CTTCGATTTGAGACTAGCTCATGGAGCATTCCATTCTTTTTTGCTGAATTTGTATCTGAAATCAGGGCCCCTTCGATTTGAGACTAGCTCATGGAGCATTCCTTTCTTTTTTGCTGAATTTGTATCTGAAATCAGGGGTCCTTCGATTTGAGACTAGCTCATGGAGCATTCCTTTCTTTTTTGCTGAATTTGTATCTGAAATCAGGGGTCCTTCGATTTGAGACTAGCTCATGGAGCATTCCTTTCTTTTTGCTGAATTTGTATCTGAAATCAGGGCCCCTTCGATTTGAGACTAGCTCATGGAGCATTCCTTTCTTTTTGCTGAATTTGTATCTGAAATCAGGGGTCCTTCGATTTGAGACTAGCTCATGGAGCATTCCTTTCTTTTTTGCTGAATTTGTATCTGAAATCAGGGCCCCTTCGATTTGAGACTAGCTCATGGAGCATTCCATTCTTTTTTGCTGAATTTGTATCTGAAATCAGGGCCCCTTCGATTTGAGACTAGCTCATGGAGCATTCCATTCTTTTTTGCTGAATTTCTATCTGAAATCAGGGCCCCTTCGATTTGAGACTAGCTCATGGAGCATTCCTTTCTTTTTTGCTGAATTTCTATCTGAAATCAGAGCCCCTTCGATTTGAGACTAGCTCATGGAGCATTCCTTTCTTTTTTGCTGAATTTGTATCTGAAATCAGGGCCCCTTCGATTTGAGACTAGCTCATGGAGCATTCCATTCTTTTTTGCTGAATTTGTATCTGAAATCAGGGCCCCTTCGATTTGAGACTAGCTCATGGAGCATTCCATTCTTTTTTGCTGAATTTCTATCTGAAATCAGGGGTCCTTCGATTTGAGACTAGCTCATGGAGCATTCCTTTCTTTTTTGCTGAATTTCTATCTGAAATCAGGGGTCCTTCGATTTGAGACTAGCTCATGGAGCATTCCATTCTTTTTTGCTGAATTTCTATCTGAAATCAGGGGTCCTTCGATTTGAGACTAGCTCATGGAGCATTCCTTTCTTTTTTGCTGAATTTGTATCTGAAATCAGGGCCCCTTCGATTTGAGACTAGCTCATGGAGCATTCCATTCTTTTTTGCTGAATTTCTATCTGAAATCAGGGGTCCTTCGATTTGAGACTAGCTCATGGAGCATTCCATTCTTTTTTGCTGAATTTCTATCTGAAATCAGGGGTCCTTCGATTTGAGACTAGCTCATGGAGCATTCCTTTCTTTTTGCTGAATTTGTATCTGAAATCAGGGCCCCTTCGATTTGAGACTAGCTCATGGAGCATTCCATTCTTTTTTGCTGAATTTCTATCTGAAATCAGGGCCCCTTCGATTTGAGACTAGCTCATGGAGCATTCCTTTGTTTTTTGCTGAATTTGTATCTGAAATCAGGGCCCCTTCGATTTGAGACTAGCTCATGGAGCATTCCATTCTTTTTTGCTGAATTTCTATCTGAAATCAGGGGTCCTTCGATTTGAGACTAGCTCATGGAGCATTCCTTTCTTTTTTGCTGAATTTGTATCTGAAATCAGGGCCCCTTCGATTTGAGACTAGCTCATGGAGCATTCCATTCTTTTTGCTGAATTTCTATCTGAAATCAGGGCCCCTTCGATTTGAGACTAGCTCATGGAGCATTCCATTCTTTTTTGCTGAATTTCTATCTGAAATCAGGGGTCCTTCGATTTGAGACTAGCTCATGGAGCATTCCTTTCTTTTTGCTGAATTTCTATCTGAAATCAGGGGTCCTTCGATTTGAGACTAGCTCATGGAGCATTCCTTTCTTTTTTGCTGAATTTGTATCTGAAATCAGGGCCCCTTCGATTTGAGACTAGCTCATGGAGCATTCCATTCTTTTTTGCTGAATTTCTATCTGAAATCAGGGGTCCTTCGATTTGAGACTAGCTCATGGAGCATTCCATTCTTTTTGCTGAATTTCTATCTGAAATCAGGGGTCCTTCGATTTGAGACTAGCTCATGGAGCATTCCTTTGTTTTTTGCTGAATTTGTATCTGAAATCAGGGGTCCTTCGATTTGAGACTAGCTCATGGAGCATTCCTTTCTTTTTGCTGAATTTGTATCTGAAATCAGGGGTCCTTCGATTTGAGACTAGCTCATGGAGCATTCCTTTCTTTTTTGCTGAATTTGTATCTGAAATCAGGGGTCCTTCGATTTGAGACTAGCTCATGGAGCATTCCTTTGTTTTTTGCTGAATTTGTATCTGAAATCAGGGGTCCTTCGATTTGAGACTAGCTCATGGAGCATTCCTTTGTTTTTTGCTGAATTTCTATCTGAAATCAGGGGTCCTTCGATTTGAGACTAGCTCATGGAGCATTCCTTTGTTTTTTGCTGAATTTGTATCTGAAATCAGGGGTCCTTCGATTTGAGACTAGCTCATGGAGCATTCCTTTGTTTTTTGCTGAATTTGTATCTGAAATCAGGGGTCCTTCGATTTGAGACTAGCTCATGGAGCATTCCTTTGTTTTTTGCTGAATTTGTATCTGAAATCAGGGGTCCTTCGATTTGAGACTAGCTCATGGAGCATTCCTTTGTTTTTTGCTGAATTTGTATCTGAAATCAGGGCTCCTTCGATTTGAGACTAGCTCATGGAGCATTTCTTTGTTTTTTGCTGAATTTTTATCTGAAATCAGGGGTCCTTCGATTTGAGACTAGCTCATGGAGCATTCCTTTGTTTTTGCTGAATTTGTATCTGAAATCAGGGGTCCTTCGATTTGAGACTAGCTCATGGAGCATTCCTTTGTTTTTTGCTGAATTTGTATCTGAAATCAGGGGTCCTTCGATTTGAGACTAGCTCATGGAGCATTCCTTTGTTTTTTGCTGAATTTGTATCTGAAATCAGGGGTCCTTCGATTTGAGACTAGCTCATGGAGCATTCCTTTGTTTTTTGCTGAATTTCTATCTGAAATCAGGGGTCCTTCGATTTGAGACTAGCTCATGGAGCATTCCTTTGTTTTTTGCTGAATTTGTATCTGAAATCAGGGGTCCTTCGATTTGAGACTAGCTCATGGAGCATTCCTTTGTTTTTTGCTGAATTTGTATCTGAAATCAGGGGTCCTTCGATTTGAGACTAGCTCATGGAGCATTCCTTTGTTTTTTGCTGAATTTGTATCTGAAATCAGAGCCCCTTCGATTTGAGACTAGCTCATGGAGCATTCCTTTGTTTTTTGCTGATTTTGTATCTGAAATCAGGGCTCCTTCGATTTGAGACTAAAATAAAAAATAATAATTGCAAAAATAAAAATAAATGAAAATACAAAAATTGTGCGCCTTGCAACACCTGTCTGCATTTGTTGTATTATCAACGTCAAATTATGTGGCACCGAAATGAAATAAAAAATTACAAATTTTGTGTGTCGCTACAGTAATCTCCACACACATTACTATGAGGATTACTGTAGCGACACACAAAATTTTTATTTTTTTTATTTCATTTCGGTGCCACACAATTTGAATATACCGTACTCCCACGGAAACAAAAAAAATAATTTTTTTTCGCTGCAGCGTGAGGGGGGATTATGGGGCTATTCAACGTCTTTTTCTCAACGCTGAATTGGTTGAGAAAACTTATTCAGAAAGGCTGAGAAAATAGGAAAACGGTTGAGAAAATGATTTTCTCAGCATTTTTTTTTTTTATTTCATTTCGGTGCCACACAATTTTCTCAACACGCTGAGAAAACAGGAGAAATGCGGAGAAAATGTATTTTCTTCACTTTTTTCGTATTTTCTCAGCCTACCTGAATAGGTTTTCTTCGCTTTTCGCAGCGTTGAGAAAATAACTTGAATAGTCCCATTAGGCTTGAAATTTTATTTTTTTTATTATGTGTTTTGACCATTGTTTTCGCGGTTGTAATTGCTTTCAAAAAGTAAAAGTTTATAAAAATATTTTAGGGCTGATTCACGAACGAAAAAAATGTTTTAAAATGTTTTTTTAACATTGAAAGATCAATTCACGAAAAGTCAAAAAATGTCGAAAAAACATTGTAGGTCAAAATTAGTTTTTCGAGTTTTTCTGCCAAACATGATGACAAATCGAGGTTTTTGAAGCTTCTGGAGTAATTTCTGATAAAAATGAGCTTCGAGAACCCTATTTTGCTTTATGTTATGCATTTTTTCGAAATTCATCAAAATTCAAAAATTTTTTATTTTACGAAAAATCAGCAAAACCTTCTGGAAAGTGAATTTCAAGGTCAATTTCAATCAGAAATTACTCCAGATTCTTGAAAAATATCGATTTTTCATAATTTTTGTCTGAAAAACTCGAAAAACTAATTTTGACCTACGATGTTTTTTCGACATTTTTTGACTTTTCGTGAATTGATCTTTCGATGTTAAAAAAACATTTTTAAACATTTTTTTCGTTCGTGAATCAGCCCTTTTGTTTAGGTGAATTTTCACGAGAACAATTAAATTTTCCGTTTGAATTTTTATTTTCGAGTGTTGTTAGTATTTCTCGTCAATACTAATTTTGCAGTTTTTCAACTGATTGCTTTCGGGTATTTGGAATTTCAATATATGATGTGGTTGTGTGGAGCAGTTTTCAGGAAACAAATTATTATTGTTTCCTAAGGTATTTTATTATTGTGCTCAGAAAATCCGGAAATATTGCTCGAAGAAGTTTCTGGATTCCCTATGTAATTCATTATTTTATCTCATTCGCAACATACACGTATCCCCGGATTTTCGTCCGGAGGGGGTCTGGCTAACTTTGGTAAAAAGGGGTGGGGACGACCGGCTAACTTTTTGAAAAAATAACAATTTACACCCCAAAAACCAAGTTTTTCTCTCTATTTTTTGAGGGGGTGTGGCTAATTTTTGTATTTTCACATTCCGGGGGTGGCTAATTTTGAGGCCCTGACCGGGAGAAACTGATGTATGTTTCAATTTATTTCGAAATTTAGAAAAAAAATAAAATAAGATTTATGTGATCTAGCGTGACCTTCAAAAATAAAATAGAAAACATCCAAAAAAAATCATTTTCAGATATGATTGATTTTGGCGGAGATTCACGTGGAATTTGGTGGGATCGGTTATTATTAAATCTCGATTCTCATTTGAAAGAAAAATCTGAATGTCTCAAATATATCAAACTTGCAATGAAAGATTCGAGTATTCTCGAAAAAGAATTGCTTTTGATTCAAGATCGAGCGATAAAAATCGACAAAGAAAAAGAAATTGAACTTCGAATTATATTGGATGAGCCTGTCAAAAAATGCATCAAAAATCGAGTTTTGGGAAAAGATTTGGGCGATGGAAGAGTTAATCGATTTGTTATTCGAAATGATGAAAATGATGAAGTTGAATGTTCGGTGGAAGAAGTTGCGAGGAAATATTATTTGGAAAATGAAGGATTTACAAATGGTTCGTATTTTATTCTTCTATAGAATCACTTTTGATATAATTTTAATTTGTTTCAGGTGTCCATGATGAAGGTGCTATTTGGCATACAATATTTGGAATTCTTTTTTATGATATCATTTTCGATGTAGAAGAATTTTCAGATACTTGGATATCTGAATGTCAAGATTCTCCTATCGATTTACCAAATACATTATACTCCAGACGAAAAACACAATTCGATTCTAGATTTGAATGGTTGAATCAGGCGGAAGATCAGGAAATCGAAAATTTGATTCGAAATGTTTGGAAGAATAATTGTCAAATAACAAATCGCGAGTGTAATTGGAGTCTTTTCGAATCACCAGATATTATTATCGATTTTTGGAGTTGTTTGCCACGCGATGGAATTTATCAGATTTTCAAAAGACTTGCTGAAAATTATAGAAATTGTCGAAGTGGATTTCCTGATTTGACAATGTGGAATATTTCTGAAAAACGGGTGACGGTGAGTTTTTTTTTCAAAAAAAAATGCATTTTATAAATAAGTGAATATCAGGTGGTCGAAGTTAAAGGACCTGGCGATAAACTATCAACAAAGCAGCGCCTCTGGTTAGATTGTTTCCAAAAATTTGGAATACGCGCTGAAGTTTGCCACGTGGCAGCTGAAAATGATAAACAACTTTTATGAAATAATTTTTTTTCGTTATTTATACGGGTATTATTTTTTTTGTTTTGAACATAAAACCTCAAAAATCTTCATTTCATATTTTTACCAAACACCTTTCATATATGTTTGATTGTGATTAGCTTCAAATGCTGTCGTGTACAAGACAAATGCTAAACTTGGTGTGTTATTCAAAGCTGTTTCCATACTATCAGCGATTAGATTAGTTACAGCTGTACTTGTTGCATTGTCCGATTCCTGAAAAAAAATTTCGAAATTTAATTATATTATTTTTCGAATTAATACCTTCATAACAACAGTTAACATGAAATAAACGATTGTGTAATCATAGGAATTCTTATTTCGAGAATCGAAATACGCATAGAGATTCTTGTATTTTGTTGCCGTAGCCGCGTTGTAGATTTTTGTGAAACCAGTTGTCAAGTCTACCCACCAATTTGTGACTGCTTGACGCTGCAAAATTTTCAAATTTTTTTTTTGATTTCAACAAAAAGAAAAAAAGAAAACTAACATTGTTGACCAAAGAAATAAGTTTAGCTTTGGAATAAGTCGAATTATCATAAAGCGAAAGAGTTTTCGGCTTTGGTTTTCCAAATTTGTCTTGTTTGAAGAATTGATTGATCAATGATCGCATTGTACTGTATTTTCCAATATTGTTGTTCAGCGCTTTTGCCAGCTGGAAAATTTAGTTGATTACGGTAACTTAGAATTAGAAGATAAGGGAACTCAGTATTAACTTCAACGTTTTTATTCATAGAAAACTTCAAATAGAAATTTAGATCTTGATATTCACTGAATGTTCTTTTTTTTTAAAGAAAAATTCCTTTCGGAGTTACTATTTCAGATTTCCAGAAATCTCCACGAAAATTCAAACAGTAAAAATTTCAAAAAATTAAAAAAACTTCCGGGTTTTGAAAATCAATTGTGATTTTGTCAAATTATTACTGTAGAATTATAATTTTGGGTTATAGTTGATATTTTCCAGATCTCTTTTTAACTTTTTATTTTACCCTGGAAATTTGAAATATTTTGAAAATCTTAAATTCAATATAGTCCTAAAAATAATTCTAAAAATGTTCTCAAAATCTAGAGACCTCGAACTATCCCAAACCCTTTTCAATTCCTACCGCAAACGCATTTGCATCAGTGGCATGTGGACAAATCCGTTGAATAGCCGGAAGTGAAACCGAACCGAAAGCTTGCTGAGATCCAACTAATTTCAACAAACTGATCAATACAATGATCAAAGAGGACAACGGAAAATATATCATGTTGCGACTAAAATGGACTGACTACTCGATAATACAAATCGGTTTTGACAACAAAAAAAAATGCGCACGAAATAAATCCCCACACTTCCAATTAGTTTGGATTTTTGAACATTTGACACAAAAAAATGAGGTGTGAACTTATATTGCAAACGATTGAATTATTCAAAAAAGATCAAGTTGACTATAGTTGAAAATTTAACAAAATTTAGTTTAATTAAAGTATCAAAATAATATGAAAAAGTTTCTACCAAGCTATAAATTTATTATTCTTCCGATTTTTGTATTCTTCTGGATCTAATCCTTTCATCTCCAAATATGTGTGAAGTTTTGGTGGATGTTTATGAGCATTTCGAGACAAATCAATTCGACCCCATTTCAAAGTTGTTGTTTTGCATAAATTTGGATTGTATATTCGCTCATTGTGATGTTTCCAATAAACATCTTCTTCAAATATTGGGGGACTGTCATCTTGAAGATCATCAACAAGGGTGAATGATGTGACAATGTTACGATCGAGGATATAGGATAACTCGAAGTCATCATCGTCTAAACCGAATGGGCGCATCAAATCTTGACCAACCTGAATTAGAGAATTGGATAAATGGGAACTTTTCGAATTTTAGATTTACTTTGAAAAAAGCTAAACTTTTGAATAATTTTTGAACTGAAAATCAGAATTCACAGATTTCTTGAAGATTTTGGAAATACATAAACTAACCTTAAACCATCCAACAAAAAACAAAAATTGTGTAACCGTAAAAAGTGGAAAAAATGCGTCCATAGAATAATGATCATCACGTTTCATATCTTGTCTACCAAAAAGACAAAAGAAAAAATATGAATATGTTGCGAGAGCAGCGACTTGTGTATAAACTAATGGAACACAAACCCAATCATGACAATAAAGACGGCGAAATGAAACACGAAAAGATTTCAGCTCATTCATAACAACTGAAATGAAAAGAGCATTTGCTCGACCAACGTCGATTTCGTGTTCGATTAATTGTTGAACCCAGTGAAGAGGGGTTAGCCAGCGGATTCCGGGAGATGGTTCCTGACGAGAAAAATATGGATTTGGAAAATAATTTTTAATAGATTTTGAGAATTCTGCTTTCTAAATTCAGTTTCCTTTGAAACTTCGGAAGTTCACAGTTCACAGTTCATGTTCAGATTTAATTTTCTTTTAAACTTTTTTTCAGGTTTTTTCTAACTGGATCTTTTTCAGAATGAAATTTTTGATTTTAAAAACTGATGAAAGCTGAACACACAAACAAATTTCGAAACAAAACTTTAGCCAGAATTTTTTTTTTCAAATTCAGTTCTTCCACGATCCCTTCCCTCTCCAAACCCACATTAATATCCTGCAATTTTTCATATTCTTTTTCAGTCAACAATCCAGCATCGATAATATTCCTCAAACTCGGAAATCTCAATCGTATTTTCGTCGAAATATCTCTCCATGCCAATGCTGATGTCAAATTCAAATATCTTGCGATTTGATGTCGAATTGGACGAGATTCTCGAGATGGAAGAAGAAGGCAAAGATGTGATAGAATATCTTCAGGCCAGCAAAGACATTCAAATTGACGCCACCATCTGGAAATGTAATAAAAAATGAGAAAAAAATATCTGGTCTCCAAAAGAAGGATTATTATCACAAGCTGACAATTTGAAGTTTTGAAAAAATGGCATAAAAATTACCTTGAAACCACATTTGAAACATAAAAACCAAGCAGAAAAGTGAGGGGAATCATTTTTGTATATTCATTAAATTCTTTGCATAAATCCCGGTATATTTTCTTATATTCCAAAATGTCTCCTGGATCTGCCCATTCAAAAAAATATGGACTTGTGAATCGAATCGCGTAGAACATGAAGAGGAAAAATACCAATTCTCGCCAAACTGATCGCCAAATTGAACCTAAAACAGAAATATTACAGTAACCCGATAAAAGCGGACTGGTTGGAATTCAAAATTGATTGAACTGATCCTCAAAAATGTTTATTTCAGCTGATCCATTCTACAGTAACCAATTACCTTTCCATCTTAGCAAAAGTCTGAAGAAGTTTCCAGAATATGAAATAGTCATGATTTTTTCTGAAAACGAAAACTTTGAACTAGATAAAATAAAATGAAATAAAAAGTGGTTTTATCTGAAGTGTTACATTGATTTTTGAGTGGATATAAAAGTAAACAATGAGGGATATCTTTTCAAATCAACACGTTCAAATTCGCCCTAATTATAGGAAAAAATGAAAGTGAAAACTTTTTTTATGATTTTAGAAAAACGTTGTTGGACACAATCCTAAACTTTTTTTGGTTTATTATTTGCATTTCGAGTTAACACAAAAAGAAATGTCTCGAAAAGCGAGAAATGCAAACATTTTTTATCTTCATTTATAATTCAGAACAAAAATCAGAAAACATGTAAAAAACAGATGTGACGATAGCAGAGATGAGCTGGAATTTTTGATGATTTTTTCGATCCATGGAATATAACGGGAGACTCGCGTGTAGACACCTGAAAACAATTTTCGAATTAATTAATTTTTTAGGAGGAAAATTGAATCTTTTTTAAAATCCACTTAAAATTTGATAAAATTTTTACAGTAAGAACGAAATCCATTTTTCAAAGTTACTCAAAATATTCAGAATTATTCTTTGTAAATAGTCAAAAAATTTTAGCGATGAATTTGAAAACCCCTTGAAGCAACTCCAGAAATCCGATTTTTCAAATTTATTGAAAAAATCGGAAATTTGGAAGTAACTTTAAATTTCCGAAAAAAAATATCTTGTGAATTTACCTGGATATTTTCCCTGATCAATCAATCCATCCAAACCATCAGCTCCGAAACTTGTTATCCCAACTTGTATTAATTTCTTATCCGATGTCTCAATCAATAATGGTCCACCTGAATCTCCTGGAGCTGTTCCATGCATATAACTTCCAGCGCAAAGTTGATTTGAAGAGATTTCGACGGAACGAAATGATAGAACATCCCAAGTTGATTGACATTTCGAAGATGGAATTATTGGAACAGAAGTTTGTTGGAGCGAATTTGAATTGCTCAGAAGAACTGTGTTCCCAGATTTTTCTGAAATGGAATTATTTATATGTTTCCAAATACTTTTGAAAAATTGAAATTACCTAAAGATACACCAAATCCAGTCACGATCCCTGTGTTGTAATTTTTCAGAAGATTCTCATCATTTTCCGACAAGCAAACAGGCAAAATTCCTTTCGATTTCAAATTCGATGAAACTTTCAATAGTGCAATATCATTTTTTGCTGTATAATTACTATATCCTGGATGAATAAAAGCATCAACAACTTTGATTGTTAGCTCTCTTCCCGATTCTTTCGTGGCTATAATGTAGCTTTTTGTTCGAAGTTGTCTAAAACTATGTGATTTTTTTAAAGAAAAAAAAACAACTTTGAAAACAACTTGTCTCACGTATCATTCAGTCAATGACCTTCCAGATGTTCTTCAGAACCAGAATTTTGGTTTACCAAGTTGAAAAAAATACGATAACAAAAATCTATTTTTAAATTAGCGCCCTTGAAAATTGGCCGAGTTTTTCTAGTCCTTCAATTAATTTTATTTTTTTCACTTTTTTTTGTTTTTTTTGGTTTTTGAAGCGGAGAGGAGAGACAGATCAATTTTGATGTTTGAAATCAATATTTGCCATATTTATATAAATATTGAATGTCACCTTGCACAATGTGCCGCAGTCAAAACCCAATAATCATCAATAACCGTTGCTCCACACATAATCCCTTCAGTCGCTCCTTCTTCATAAGAAATCAATTTAGTCATCCATGTTAAGTCATCTTTTTGTAAAACATCAATTCCTCCAACAATTCGAAATTTAGCAGAAATTGTATTCTCACAAAAATTAAGGGAATATATTAATTGGGATAATTTGGAAAGTAGAACTAAATAAAAGAGCATTCTGATAAATCGATACCTGTTTATTATTTTTCTTCATTATTACGTTTATCAATATTTTTGTGCTCTTTTTGATAAGAGTTCAATCATTTTTTGTTTGTATTTTCATGCATTCTTTTTTCTTGAGATTCTCTCGCAATAGAGCACATTTGCTTTCATTGCGAAATGTTTTTCCCTTTTTCATTCCTGTTGTGGTGCCCTCTTTGTTTTCAATAGCCTTTTTTCAGTCAACCACATGACTCAAATTCATCAGAAACAGTCACGTGGGTTTTTTGGCCGACCAAAAATATTTACTCTGTCATTTTTTTATTTTATCATGTTTCTCTCCTTTTTTAAAGTTACTTTTTAAAAATTGTTGATATTTAATCGAATATTTTCAGGCATGGATCCCGATGAAATTAATAAAGCGCTCGGGCAAATTTTAGGCGATGATGAATCGAATAATGAACTTGTTGTTGAAGATAGTACAACTGTACAGGTAAACTATTTTACTATTTTATTTTTTTTTCAATGATAAGAGTCTAACACTCCAAGAAATAATCATGATCGCGTGATCTTTTTGATAAGTTTTTTAGTCTTCATACAGTCTCTTATCAACATGTGTTTCAATGGCAAAAAGTGTGATGATTGATTAGGTGAAATTGAGAAGAAATTGGTTTCAGGTAACAAATCCGGAAGCGCGAAAAACTGGCGATAAAATCGAAGTGTTCTACACAAGAAAAACAACAGTTGTATCACCAGGAAATTCGGATGATGAGGATTTTTGCTCAGATTCTGAACTATTAGGGCATAGTGATGAGGGACCGAGATCGAGAGCCACTTCTTTTCATGGAAGACCGAGAGCTGGATCGGAAGATGAGACATTTGTGCCAAAACATACGGTTTTGAGGTGAATGAGAAATGAAATTGAAAGAGTTCACGTTGAAAAAGTGAAAATTAAATATGGCAGATTAAAAGATCACGCTAAAACGATTGTAATTCCAAAAATGAAAAATCAATAAATTTTAAACGTTCTCTTTAAAATTTATTCTTCCAGATATCGTCGTAAGAAAGGCGGTCAATGGCGAGAAGTAAATCTGCAAGGAACACCCGATAAACGAAAAGATGATGAAGATGAACTTGAAGTTGATGTAAAAGAAGACAGATCTGAAGAAACTGGAATTGTCACCAAAACCTATGAAGCCAGATGGAAAGTTTTGAAATATGAACATTTACCCGAATGGCTACAAGATAATGAATTTTTGAGGTATTGATTCTACATACAAACAAAGAAAAATAATACTAATTGCTCATTTTAGACATGGTCATCGACCGCCACTTCCATCATTTTCTGAATGTTTCAAAAGTATATGGTCGCTGCATACGGAGACCGGAAATATTTGGACACATTTGATCGGATGTATCGCGTTTTTTGTTTTAGCTTGTTGGTTTTTGAGGCCTGATAATCATATTCAATTTCAGGAAAAGGTAAGGTTTGGGAAGTTTTTTGGGGATGAGAAAAGTTCGGAGTCCAGAAAAAAATGGTGTGATAATTTTTGTGAGAAAAAAATTCAGTCAAATTTTGAACGAAAAATAATTTTTTGATGAATAATTAAAGATAAATATCTGAATTATGAAACTGGAGCTCATTACACGAAAATTCCAACTGAAGTCAAGAATTCTCTGGCGTTCTGAAAATCACAAACCACTTTTGATTTTGCAGATTGAAATTTCAAATTTCTGTTCAACTCGAATCAAAATTCTGTTCAACTCGAATAAAATTCCGGAAATATTATTCATATTGAAGCCCCGTAAATTTATCATTTTTTGAATGAAATTTCAACTTTTTAAAAACAAAATTCTCTTTTTGAATAACAACAATTCAAATTTTGAGAATATTCCGAAAATCCTACCCTCCACATCTCAATTTTTCAGGTAGTATTTTCATTTTTCTTCGTCGGTGCTGTTTTATGCCTCGGTTTATCATTCGCATTTCATACATTATCATGTCATTCAGTAAGTGTCGGTAAATTCTTCTGCAAACTCGATTATATGGGAATATCACTATTAATTGTTGGCTCATTCATTCCATGGATTTATTACGGTTTTTATTGTCGTCGTGAGCCAAAAATCACGTATATTGCAATGGTGTGTGTTTTGGGTGTCGGCGCAATTATTGTCTCATTATGGGACAAGTTTAGCGAAACGAAATTCCGACCGGTTCGAGCTGGAGTTTTTGTTGGAATGGGATGTAGTGGAATTGTTCCGACTATTCATTATATTATTACCGATGGAGTTCGATCACTTTTTGAGGATAACTCATTTCATTGGCTATTATTAATGGCATTCCTTTATCTTCTTGGTGCACTTTTATATGCGACAAGAACTCCTGAACGATTTTTCCCAGGAAAATGTGATATTTGGGTGAGATACTTTTTGTTGAAAAAATTCATGGAGAAAAGAATTTGCTTGAAAATTCATCTGATTTTTTTAGTGCTCAAAAAGTTACTGTAAATGTTTTTATTTTCAAAATAATTATCTAAAAAATTGGAAGATTTTGTTTTATTTTAAAATTAATTTGGTGAATCGAAAATTCCGTGTATCTAAAATGAGAAATTCTAAAAAATGTATCGAAAATTCTATACATCAAGTTTTCACTGGTGAAACTTGCCTCACAAAGATTCTTTAATTTTTTTTTTAAATAATAAAAAACACAAATTTAAATCCCAATTCCCGTTTTTCCGAAAATCTCTTTTAAAACTCTTCTAAAATTTTGCAGTTCCAATCTCATCAATTATTCCATACTTGTGTTGTGATTGCTGCACTTGTTCATTATTATGGTATTTACGAAATGGCTCTAGCTCGACTTAATGAAAAATGTCCCATTCAATAGCTTGTTTTTCTTTCTGTATGTTTTTTCATTGCAAATTTCTAGGTGTTTTTGTTCTGTTCAAAGCGAAAAAAGTCAGTATTTTATTATCATGTGTTGTGTGCATTTATTACATGTTTAATTGCCGAAAAAATGGGTTACTTTAATAGTTTTTGCGAAATAATTATTATTATCCTTCGTGTTGAGCGTAGAAAAAGTTTCCGGCGATTGGATCTCCCAACTTGTTTTTCTCCATGAATTGTTTGACGTTGAACTTGGCGCGAGAACTTGGTTTTGGAACGCTGATTCGGCGACCTTGATGTTCCCAGATGAGAATGACGTAGCGGTGAAGATCGGTTCTTGGACCTGGAGCTGGACTACCGTAGGCCATTTGGTGTTGACCTAGAAGTTTGAAGTTTTAGGAAAATCAGAGATTCAAGAAAAAAAATCTGAAATCGAGAGGGGAGAGGGTTTTGAGAAAATAAAAATTCAATTTTTGAAAAAAAAAATAATTTTATTACTAGCATTTCAATAGAGATCTGAAATCAACAATTTGATAAGCTGCTAAAAATTCTGAATTCAAATTTTTGGAAATTTTCATGGTCCAGAATCAGAACACAATTTAGATGTCAACGATTTTGAACAGAAATTTTTTTTAATAAAAAAATATGTGGTACTTTTTTTGGATATGTAAATATTTGTAATAATTCAAAATAATGTTATGTTTTTTTTGGAAAGTTTCAAAATTTTCAAATTCACCTCCATTAATTCCATCGATAATATTACTTGCTGGAATATTACAAACCAACCAATGAAGCCATTCAGCAACCGATGGATTTTTGCGAGACAAATTGTCAGGATCTAAAAAAATCTCATTTGAAATCCCTCGATTTTCTATCCCTTACCAATCATGATAACAGTATAAGTGCTTTCTGGATCAGCTCCTGGCAAAGCCCATCTTGGAGCATTTTTCAAATTTCTAACTTGCAAAGTTTGTCCTGGCTCGACTTGAATTCCATCCCAGGTTAACTGAAATCATGGATTTTGAAAAAATCTGGAATTTTTCTCTGAAATCCTTGATAAAAATGTTTGTCAAAAACAGTTCATTTTTTAAAGTTATCCAAACTCACATGAAACTTTTGTTGTGGAGCATTTGGAATAATTTTTGGGGTGATTTCAGCTTCGGCGAATTTTGCAGCAATGTCTGACATTTTCTGAAATTCTTTCGAATGATTAGTTTTTGATTTTTGAAAATATAAAACATGTGTTTGGAAAAAAGGAACAGGTGGGCGGAAAATAAAAGAAAAAGAGAGCAAAAGTTTGATTGAAAAATATTTTGGAAAATTGGGAAAATATATTTTTATTAAAGCTTGAGTGAAGATAAGCTTACAGGGATCAAGCTTCTGGAAAACGTGGGACTAAATTTTTGAAATAAAAAATTTAGAAACATTCCAAAAAATGTTCCAGAAAAAAACCAAATCAGCTACCGTATTTTTATAAGAAACAGTTTCCGTAACTTGAGAAAAATGTTTACATTTATTTTTTGGCTGGAAATTTTTAGAAACGCTTTTCAGCTGAAATCCAGTCACAGATATAATAAGCTCATTAGTTTTCAAACTGAAATTTGGAAAAAAATTTGAATCTGATCTCATGAAAGTTTTGGAAATAAATACCTTGATGATTCTGAAAATTTAGAATTTGTCTCAAATTCGAATTCTAAAAAAGTTCCCAAACTAAATGAAATTCGAAAATTCTCAACAAAAACAAACCAAAGAAAATGCTCAGTTACACTTTATTAAAGTATATCAATATATGAAGAGAAAAATGAGAAGAAATATCTATTACAACAAAAATGAGCACACAATTGTGACGAACAACAACAACCGAAAAAGTGGGAAGAAAAAAAGAAGGTTCAAAAAACATATCGCCTCCTCGTTGATCATCGATCTGAAATTTTTGGAATTCTGAAACCAAAAGTTCGCGGCTGAAAATGTGTTCATGCTTGAAAATCGCATAAAAAATGTTATGTGAAACATATGAATCTTTTGCTGTAATTTTTTAAACAAAATTCCAAATTTATTCATTTTCTCAAATAAAAAATTCAAATTTACACATATATTCATTCATTTAGTTCCCTTTTCCATCGCTGCCAACGTGGCAGTTCTTCTTCGAACAACTTGTTGCTCCAATTTTCGCATTTTCTTATTTTTGAATTTATTATGAGCTCTCATAATCACTTCATAAATTGTATAAGCATATGATAAAGTGCCAATAACAGTTAGAACAATTCCGATGATTAGGAGAATTTGATAGGTTTGTTTGGTGAAATCAGAATCATCGTCGGCGCTGAAAATGAAATTGAGAGATTTCGAAATTCTGATTTTTTCCAAGGCGTTTTCGCCTTTCCAAAAATTTCAGGAAGATCGAAAGCTCCTGCATGACATAATCAAGCGGGTACACTTTCCAATCAGCCTAATAAATACTCAGTACAACGCTTGTGTGTGCACTTTCACAGGGAATGACAATTATATGAACACATCGACTAGTAGACAATTCACTAGATATGCCAGCTGCTATGTTTTATGTGTATGTGTATTTGATGAGAGGCGGAAACTGGTGAAATTCAAAGTCTGCAAGGCGTTTCCGCCTTTTCAAAAATTCAAGGAAAATTGAGAGCTCCTGCATGAAGCGGGTACACTTTCTAATCATCCTTTGATTATTACGTTTTACATACCACGCCCGGCTACCGTACACAACGCTTTTCGAAAAAAAGAAACATTTGAAGAAAACAACTCGCCGACAAATCACCAGATTCGCCAATCGCTATATTTTGTGTGCCTGGCGTTTCCGCCATTTCAAAAATTAGATAATGCAAATTTCTAGCCCAAAAAAACTCACGTATTCGTTGAAACGCAAAGTAAAACAAGTCCAATAGCCAATATAAAACTACAAATAATCGCCTGAATATTCATTTCTTTCTGATGCTGATTTCCGTGATTGGTAGCAAATTATCAACTCACCCAAAAACGCATTAAAACGCGTTTAATAGCTAACCTTATCTTTTTTATTTTAAAAATTTTTATGTGAATAGAAAATCAACAAGAATTAGAAATTTGAGCAAAATTTAGAAAGTTTAGAGAAAATCAAAAATAAAAATCTCGAACGAAAGGCACAATAAATTATTAGATTCAGCTGGGAATAGTTTTGCAGAAGAAGAAAAAGAGTTAGGAAAAGAAGACAATCATAATACACGTAATATGACATAATATAAATAAGATTAGAATAGGATAGAAGTCAAGCTTTGAACAAGAATAAATAAAACAGAATAAATGGAAGAGCTAAAAGTAAAACAACCAATTGACAATGCTCAAAAATCGGCGAATTATTGAAAAGATCTTGTCGTAGTCGACCAATTTCAATATCAATTTGTAAATCAATCATCATTTGTTCAAGTTTCGAAATACATAAGGAGGAACACGAAATTTCTTCTTCATTTTCTTGATTTTCTAATTGTTGTCCGGTAAACCTCGACGTGTTCCTCCTGTTCGGCCCCCCGAATTATTATTTGCTGATTGATTTAGACCAGATGGTGTATTTGATGGATATCGAACTGCTTTTGGTGGTTGATATGGCTGCAAAAAAAAAGAAACATAAACTTCGAAACTAAGTATATGTAAATACAGTTTTGAATTTTGATGAATATTTCTAGCCACATATTTATTAAAATAGAAAAAACTAACTTCACGAGTCGGCGCTTTTCCACTGGCTCTTTTGAAAGCTTGTCGATCCCGATCAACTTCAACATCTTCGAGTCGCTGCAAAAATTATAGAAATAGCGAGAAAAATAGAAATGATTTTAAAAATTTAGAATTTTTTTTTAGAAGAAAAAACGTGAACGTGGAAAAATAGAGCAAATTTTAATTTTTTTTTCATTATTCAAAAAAAATTTCAGGTAGTTTGCTTTGATTCGGTTATAGTTTTAGTCAAATTTTGCTGGAAAGAAAATTTTCCTAAACTTGGATAATTTCCCCCAAAATTTGGATATGAGAATGAAATTTGGTGAAAAAATCGAATAAAAAATTGACAAACCTGTGTCAAATTCAATTTTTGTTGAATAGCCAATCGCAACAATTGATTCAATGTTTTCTTTTCCTCTTCATTTGCTCTCAAATCATTTGCCTGTTCTTCAACTTGTGCTCGAAGTTCTTCACATCTTGCTGTAAACATAGCTCGATGACTTGCAAATGTTGCCGCATCTTCTTTCAATTGTTTCAATTCTCGTCTCATTTTCTCATTGATATCTGCTTGTGCTTTCTTTTCTGATTCATATTTTTCACGTAATGATGCAAGCGCAGTTTCGGCAGTGATTTTATTGGATTTCAAAACAGTTCGAAGAGTCGAAATTTGATCTCGTTTAGTGCTCAACAAACTTCTCAATTTCATATTTTGCATAATCATTTCATCATTTTCAGCTCCACTTGCAGAAACAGCTTGATTGAATGCTTGTTCAGATGTTCTTTTCACAATCGACAACATCTTTTTAAGGCTATCAGTAGTTTGAGAAATCGAATTTCCTTCGGTCAAAATACGTTGCCGCAAATCGGTTTCACTCAAAACATCCGAAAATCGAACACTTGTCAATCGATGCTCAACATCTTTCACAAAACTTGGCGCAATTACCAAACGATCAGAATTGAGTGGAATTGGTCGAGATGCATTTACATCTGTTTCAGTTCCTGATTCCATTCCTTCATCGGCCAATGAAACACGTGGAACATCTTCTGCATTTTCACGAGCCAATTGTCGCAATTTTTTGACAATCTGAATAGAAATAGTTATTTTGGTTTTTAAGCCTGATAAAAACTCACATCAAGCACATTTTTCTCTGTGGGAATTCCCTGATTTTGTGCCATCTGATGATAAAATTGATATAATTGATCGGAAACTTGAATCATTGCGTCTTGAGCCGAAGCGAGTTGTGCACTTTTTTCACCAGAAATTAAAATGAGAGTTCGAAGATCTGCCTTGACAATTCCGGCTCGTCTTTCATCTCCTTCTTTTTCATGTCTGCCGGTTTCCTGGAAAAATTGAGGTTTTGGTAAATTGTTTTAAAAGATTTCTTGTCGAATTTTTTTCAAATTTTGAGAGAGAAAATTGGGAAATTTCTGGAAAAATTTTAGAAATGCTCCCAAATTTCTGAAATTTCGATTTTTTTGAAATTTGAGGTTTTTGAGACTAAAAAGATGTATTAACGCGAATAACATTCAACAGAGCTAAACTAGACTGTAGTTTAAGGACTTGAAAATGAACTTGGTCAAATTTGAAAAAAAATTACTCGAGACCTTGATTTTTTCAAAATTTCAGAAAAATGCAGATTTTTTCTTGTTTTTTAAAAAGATCTTTATGAAAAACCAAACTTACACTTGCAATTTGTTGAATTTTCTCAAGAACAACATCTTTTTGTTGTCTGGCATGCAAAAAGTCCAAATCTTCAGTTGGATGATGGATATTCAAAGTAGTCATAAGTCCTTTCACAAATTCAATCAGCACTTTTTCTCTCGACTTCAATTCCTCTTGTAATCCTTCTTTCGCCGCTTCCAATTCCCTTAATTTCACATCTGAACTTCCTTGCAATTCACTAAATAAATCATTTCCTCCATGTTTTGGTTGTACTTCTTGCATATCATCCTCATTACTTCCCAATCGTTCTAAACCCATCAACATATCATTCAAACTATTGATATGTTCCGCATTTCTCGCTTGTTCTAATTCTCTTTTCATTGCTAATCTTTGTTCTCTTTCTTGTTGTGCAGTTAATAATGCTTCTTCAACTTGTTTTTCAGCAATTACTCGAAGTGCTGTACTTTCTTCAACCGCTGCATTCAACATATAAATATCTTCAACATATCTTCCACAGTCGATTTTCAGCGATTCGAATTCGACTTGTGCTCCTCGCAAATTCGCCACAGTTTTTTGAAGTGCAATATTTTCTTCCTCAAGTTCACTATATTCAGCCATCAATCGTTGTTCCCGCTCCTGAAATTTTGAATTTTTGAAGCTTTTCAAATATTAATTTCCTCTCTCTTCCCTAGAGATTTTTCTTAACCTTTTTATTCAAAAAAATATTTCATTTTAAAAGTTCATCCACTATATAATTTTTTAAACCTATTATTAAATGAACTTCTCGCAACTTCTCTAAATTTATATATTTTCTCATAATATATCCGATAATCATGCAGATAGTAGATGTTATGAATCTGATTGGCGATGGAAATGAGAAATTTGACAACTCAAAATTTGATGCATATATAATATATTATTTATTGCGAATTCCATATTTTTTATTAATTCCGATTGGTTCAAAAACATCAATTGAATATCAAATGTTATTTCGTCTTTATATTTTCATTTTCATTTATGCACTACGAGATTTCATTTTACTAGCCTTCCAGCATATGGCTCGAAATGACGGTAACTATTATGTATTTATCAAGTAAGTTTCAGAAGAATAATTATTATTATACTTAATTTAATTAATTGTCAGTGTATTAGTTGGTTTTCAAGTTTTCAATCTACCAATTCAACTACCTGTTGTTTTTCCACTACTTTTATCGATTCAAAAAATTTTGTCGATTTCAAATATCAGTAAAGGATTTTGGTTGGCACGATTTTTCAAACCAATTTATTTTCTCACTATTTTCACTATTATAATCAGGGTTTTTGATGTATATTTCACATAAAATGTGATATATTTACATCACTAATTGAATACGAAGATTCTTCCAGATACAATGTGACTACAATAGATGTAATTAATTCAAATTGTTATTTTAATTCGGTCAAAACAAATTAATTTCAGATATTAAAAGATTTCCTTACTCTATGGAGTTTTCAATTCATTTTTCCAATCATATTATTTATTCTAAATATTTTGCTTTTAACTTTGCTCTACAAAAAGAAGGATTCTTTGTCAAAAATGCAATTGAAACATGAAATATCTATAAGCATTCAATTTTTAACTATATTTATTTTACCCTTGGTTAGAAGAGTTAGCAAAACTTATGCAATTTAAAAATAATCGAATACACACTAGAAATTCAATGGATTTTTTCAGATAAAATTTCTTGGTATAATTAGCTACTTCATAATTTCCAAGGAAAATCAATGGATTCAAAAGACAATGTGTTACAACGATTTGACAATTGATATTATTTTTCCAATTGCACATTGTATTGCAAATTTGGAGAGATTGAGAAATATTTTTAGAAGGAATAGTATTTCAATTATTGATTTTTCTATGAATAACAGCAATCCATTAGCAGATGCTCAAGTTTAAATAATTTTGATAGAATTTTCCTTCCCAATAAAATAATTTACCTTAGTTTCTTTGAGTTCCCCTTTCAATTTTCGTCGTTCATCTTCAAGCGCAGCTCCAGAATCACTAGCTTTTGTATGTTCTGTATGAATTCTTTCCAATTCCGCCTTTTTTTCAGCCAATTCATTTTCTCTTGCTTTCAATTCATTTTCCAATGTTTGTATCCGATTCAACAGTTCTCTTTCTTTCGCCGAACTTTCTTCCAACAAACTTTCCTCATTTTCCAATTCACTTCTAGTTGTCATTTGATGTTTTGTTCGATGATCGGCTAACATTTGATTGGCTTTATCCACTTCAACTCGCGTTGTTTCGAGTTCCGATTGTAGATGTTTGAGTTGTTTTGCCAATTCATCTTTTTGTTCCAATAAAAGCATTCCATATTCGGCCGCTTTTATTTTGTCAGCAGTCGCTTCATCTAATAATTGAGAAAGACGCGCTGATTCGGCACGCAGTTTTTCCAGTTCTTCATCTGACATGCCTGCAAAATGAACACTATATTTTTGAGAAGAAATAAATTATTTTGATAACAGGTTATACGTAAAATTAAGAGAGCCGAGACAGAAAAAAATCAGTTTTTTGTAAAAAAAAAAATTAATTTTTGTCTAGACTCATGTTAATAATTTTTGAGCCGAAGTCCGAAAAAAATTCCCATGTTTCTATAAAAATCGATTTGTATCATAAATATGATAATCTCATAGTTCTTATGCAAAAATTTTCAAAAAAAAGAGAAAAATGCAACAGACTCGGTGCAAATGCTAGGCTTGGCCATACTGGCTAATTGTATATTCATAAGGTGTCGGCAAAAAAAGAAAAAGAGAGCAGGAGAAAAAATCCATCTTGGGTTTTTTTTCGAGAATGTTTTTTTTAGGGCTGCACGTGGGGCACCCCGCGATGAAACACCGTGCAAAAAATCGCTTGCCCCCTCGCCCCTTCGCCCCCTCGCCTCTTTGCCCCCTCGCCCCGTTGCCCCCTCGCCCCGTCGCCCCTTCGCCCCGTCGCCCCCTCGCCCCCGCTTGTAACTGTGTGTGGTGAAGAAATGAAAGAAGATAGAAGCGCGCACACAGTTACAAACGGGGGCGAGGGGGCGACGGGGCGAAGGGGCGACGGGGCGAGGGGGCAATGGGGCGAGGGGGCAAAGAGGCGAGGGGGCAAAGGGGCGAGGGGGCAAAAGCGTGGCGGGGCGAGGGGCCGCCCCACGCCCCATCGTGCAGCCCTAGTTTTTTTTTTGAAAAAAAAAATATTTATGAAAAAGTATAAAATATTTTGTTCGTTGTCCACTTTTCGATGTCAGAAACTACACAGACGACAGACGCATAGCGATTTTCAATCTGCGTCTCTTTAACATCACACTATCTCTCGATTTTTGCCGTACCTCTTGAAATGTCTGCGTCTCTCAATGATCGCCTCTCTCTACACTCTCTCGAATTTCATTGATATTTCGCGCACTATTTTATTAAAATAATAATAATAATAATATAGAGATAGATATTTACATAAAATTGGACAAATATGTATATGTTCTTCGGGCAAAGCGGCTTTTTGTGGGAAAACAATTGTTTAAAACAATCTAACTCATAATTAAAAGTAGATATTTCGTAACACTGTTCCGCAAAAAATTGACAGAAAAATCAATGTAGAACTAAACAAAAGATAGAAATATTATTATAAAAACCTGTCCGAGCCAGCCGCCAGAACACAGAAACAGAAAGAAAAAAACAGAAAAGCAAATAGAACAAAATTGTTCGACAAAGAAGATTTATATAAAAGGATTTAATTATATCTCAATGATTAATCGATCAATTTTGAGTACAATTGCTCATAAGCAAAGAAAGTTATGAGTCATTATATAATTTGAAAAAAAAACTAAAAAAAAATATTAGTTTTTCAAAAGTGTTCGTAGTTTCCTGCCAGCCTGTCATTTCTTTTCAGGTGTCTCGTATCTCCTATTTTCACACACTATTTTCGTCCCCGCGGGTGTTTTCTTCTCTTTTCTTATACTGGAGAAATTTGAGGACTTATGGTAATAAAACTTATCGATTTTTTTGCAGTGTAAAACAAAAAATATAAATTTTCGAAAAGCGATAAAAGAACACACCTTACATTTAGAATCAATTTTATCGCCGTTTTGCCACATGTCGATTGGATTGAGTTCTGGAAAAATATCAAGTTTATAAATTAATATACACTTTAATGGAAACAGTGAACACAGAAGCGGAAAAAAATAAAATGAAATTAGCTTACTCTGAAATTCTTCTCATATGATTCACAAGATTACTCTAACTCTTTAGCTCTCTAATTCCTTATTTCTATAACTTTCAAGAATTATTCGAGGCTTTATAGAGAGACAATAGTTTTTATAAAAATATAATTCTGAATGGTTTGAGTGAAGCTCTAGATTTAAACTTCAAACTCATCTCTTATTCAAAATTTTTAACTCACAAGGATGGCTTTAACAATTTCCGTGATGCAAAATCCCAACCTTCAAAGAAAAAAATATGCCTTGGAAAAATCCGCAAATACGCTTCAAAAAAACTGAATGCACTCAACGGAAAACACTACGCGTAAACCCTACAGTACTTCCCGGGAAAAGTGTAACGGGAACCCCCCGGGGTTTTTTTTTAAAGAGAACCCAGAGGTTTTTCCTATGAATTATCATTACGGAAACCCTGAGAATCTCACAAGCACTTCGTTTCAGGGCGAACAAATAGAGACAGAGAGAGCGTGCAGAGTGCGAAAGAAACCGCGAAATTTTATAAGGCTGGCACAGCGAAAAAAAAATTATTTTTTTGTACACAAAAAATTCGTTGCGGAAATTCAAAAAAAAAATAGGCGGAGTTTTCCACAGGCAACCCCTGGCAGCGTCTTTCTGCAATATTATTGCATGTGCGCACAGTTTTTGTGTGTTCTCCCCTTTTGTTTTTTGTTTTTTTCCTTTGTGTGTGCAAACACTTTCTGTTTTGCGCACCGTACCACACGGAAACAGAAAAAATAATTTTTTTCGCTGTGGCTGGCAACCAGCCAACTGATGGGCCCTGAAGCGATGGTCCATGTTCCTTTAAACGATTCATATTTACGGGGTTCTTTTTTGTCTGCGCTGCGGTTTCTCTATTTGTTCGTCCCAAAACAGGGTTGAAACGAAGTGCAAGATTCACTTTTCGGGCAGAGAATACAAAAACAGAAAATTAAAAAATAAAAATGAATTTTTTTCGCAACAGAGCATGTTTGCTTGTTTTGCTCAAAGGCGCAACGAATTTGAATATTTTAGGACAAAATGGTCTCGTGTGGATTGCGCGGTTTTTACAATTTCGCCCGAGATTTTTCATTTTTTTCCAGTTTCTGAAGTTTTCGGTGTTGGAAAAGTGTATTTTATCGTTTTTTCAGCGTTAATAACGAGTCAAAGCTATTATGGGTCGCAAAAACAAGATCAAGATTCAACGTGTAAGTTTTAAAGTGGATTATTTCAAAAAATAGGCCACGTAAAAGCTCTTCAATTCATATTTAAAATTTTACAGAATCTTCGTCAATCGAGAGAGCAATCTCCAGAGAATCGCAAAGTTCTCGGTGATATTGGCAATGTTTCTCAACGATCCGTCGATATGACAACTGTTGAAATCGTGAGAAATATGGCGTTGAGAGGTATTTAGTTATCTGAATTCATTCACAATTCAATCAGATTATTTCCAGAAACACCTGTTGAAAAGGTGAATTATCTTCTCGATATTTTGGATCGGAAAAATTCGGAGTTGTTGTGTTCGAGAAAACTCATCGACTATTTGAAGAATCAAGATATGGATTTGATAGAAAAGATTCAAAATGGTCAAGAGCAAATGTCTATTCTGGAATCGGACAGGAGCGAAGTTCTCGAACAATTGGATGCTTTCAGGGATAAATTCGAAGATATCAAAGGAAGTTCTTCCGCTTCTCTCGACAAATTGAAAGAAGAGAACGAGGAGTTGAATGAAAAGTTGCGAGTTACCACTCAAAACTTGGAAAAATCCAAAAGTAATTAGAATTATACTTCGATATACTTAAATAATTTTCTTTTTTCAGAGGAGTTGAGTGATTTGGAACGACAATTCGTTATAACCAACCAGTTGGTGAGCGAATCTCAAAAGTCAAGTGAAGTTGTCAAAGACGAGTTCAACAAGTTGATTGCTGAGAAAAGTTCGGCTCTAACAAGTGCTCTTGCCAAACTGGAAGAGACCAAAAAATCGGGACTTGTTTCTGTCGAAGAATTGGAAAAAGTTCGAGTTAAACTTGCAAGTTTGGAGAAGACAAATCTGGAGCTGATCGAAAACCAACAAGAAGTTAGAGAATTGAAGGAGGAATTGGCGCAAGCTATTATCCAGCGAGATGATTACAAAGTTGAGCTAGATACAGCTTTGCGCGTATCAGATGAAGCGAGATATAATGCTCAAAATGAATCAAGTCATTTGGAAAAAGAGTTGGAGAAGCTTCGTGAACAACTTCGATCATTGGAGAGTGATAACATCATTCGAAAGGAAGCTGTTGGTGGATTGAAAGAACAATTGGCTGAAGCGAAGAAAATTGTTGAGGAAGAGAAAAATCTTTTACAAAAAGATCTAGAATCGGCAAAAGATTCTGCGAGCAAATCTCAAAAGGAAGTTGAAGTGTTGAATCAACAACTGCAATTGATCAATAGTGAGATTGAAAATCTTCGAAAGAGCAATGTCACATTGAGCGAAGATTTGAAATCAGAAAAATTGGTTTCGGAGCAATTCAAACAATTGAATCAACAACTTCAATCTACGAATGGCCAATTGGAAGAACAGAACAAAAGTCTTTTGGCAGCGAACAGTTCTCAAAAGAATTCGGAAAGCCTGGCTATCTCGAAGTTGCAAGATGAATTCAAGTTGAAAACCGACAAATTCACAACTGAAATCGCCGAATTGCTCGAAAATAACAAGTCACTCCAATCTGAACTTGATGCAGCGAAACAATCAATTGAAAATGAAAAGAAGACGTCAAAAGGCTTCGAACAGAAATATGTCAATTTGCAGACAGTCTTCGAAACAAGATTCACTCAAGTTCTCGATGATGTCGAAATTGTTCAATATGATTTGCATACTCTCAAGATCAATCTGGCCAACACCGAACAAGAAAATGCTCGACTTCAAAAAACTATAAACGAGATCGAAGAGAGCAAATCGAAACTTGTTGAAGAATCCAGAAAGAAACGAGATACAGCTACGGATGAACTCAAAAATCAATTTGAAGGCGAGAAGAAGAAGATTCAAGAGGAATGCACACGTAAAGTGAAATCTTCGAATCAACGAGTCAATAAGTTGGATAAGGATGTGAAAAAGTTGCTGACAGAGAAGAAGAAACTCAATGAAGAGAACACCAAATTGGCGGAAGAGTTGAAATCGAAGTCAACACTTGTTGAAGAACTTAATGGTTTGGCCAAATCTGCCCAGAGTAATCAACAAACAATTGATGAGTTGACAAAATGGAAAGAGGACAATCAAAAGCTGTGAGTTTTTAATTCCGAGTAAATATGTTTTAAAAATTATTTTTTTAGTGTCGTGAAGTTGGAAACCAGGATCAGCGAACTTCAAAGATCATCCGAAAACTGCCAAAAGCGTTTTGAAAGTGAATTGGCTGCATCTGAGAAGAAACGTTCCGAAGCAATGAGTATGGTTGAAAAGCATGAACAAGAGTGAGGAAAACAATTTATAATGGTTTATATTCTAATTTCCGTTTCTTACAGAGTTCTTGAAGTTCAACATCTTTTGAATAGTTCGATTGAAGAAATTCATGAACAAGAAGAGTTGAGAAAACACATTGCTAGTTTGGAGGCGAAGGTACAAACTCTCGAAAAAGAATGTTCCGATAAATTGGAAATCGCTTCGAAGTTAAAAGAAGTTCAAAAAACTTTGGAAGAGACTGCCGAGAAAAATGTTCAACTCCAAACTCGAATTGACACAGATTTGTCCGAATTGGCGGATATCAAGAAGAGCGTTGATAAAAGCAAGAAGAAAATGGAGGATAAACTATCGGTTGTTCGAAATAAATTGGAAAAAGCGGAAAAATTGGCAAAGGAAGAGAAAGAGGAATGTAAAAGAATAAAGGAATTGGAATCGAAGAAAGTCGAAGTTTTGGAACAAATGGCCAAGGAAGAAAAGGAGGCTACTAAATTGACATTGGATGCTTCTAATCAAGTGAAGGATCAGTTGCAAAGGTTCGTTTTTTATTAAAATTTTATTTAAAAAAAATAATTTATTTTTTATCAACATTTTTCCAGGCAAGTTGAATTATTGACAGTCAAATTGGATGAGAAGTCAGCTGAAAATGTCAAACTTGTTGCCGATCTTCAAAGTATTCAAGAAAAACTTGATATTGTTGAAAAGGTTGCGCATGAGGATGAGGTTGAATGTCAACGATTGGCTGCATTGGAAGGCTCGAAAACTGAAAAATTGTCGGAATTGGAGAAATTGTTAGCCGAAAAAAACAAGTCAGCTTGAATTCCTACAAAAAGAAAAGTGTCATTCGGAAGAGGCGGAGAAGGAATTTGTCACCATGGTTTCTTCGAAGAATAATGAAATTGCAGCGATCACTAAGTCATTGGCAGATGAGAAACAGAAGTGAGTGAATTTTTTATTCTGAGACGGCTAATCTGAGCAATCAGTGTTCTCCGTGTATGTAAATAAATTATAATTTTCAGATGTTCCGAATTGCAAGCCCATATTCTCGCAATCGACACTCTCAAGGCTGAAAAAGTTCAAACTCTTCAAAACGATTTGAAGAGCTTATCCAAGAAGTTTTCTCTTGCCGAAACAGAAGCATTGAATCTGAAAGAAGATCTCGAGATTATCAAGAGAACAACAGCTGAAAACACATCTGCGAAGTTAGCTTTGAATAGAAAATTCAAATACAAAAGTGTTTTTTTTTCTAGGAATTCCGAGTTGGAGGCTCAACTTGCAAAACTCGCCGAATCGAAAGATAAGGAAATCTCCGATTTCGAATCAAAAATTGCAGATTTGACAAAGAAGTTGGAAGAACTACCGTATGAACGTGAAAGGTAAATAGTTCAAATTTTGGAAAAAAGTTTTAATTTCGATATTTCTAGAGCAAATAAACTCGAATCACGAATCGAAGTTATTCAACAATCTTTTGGACATCGTCAAAGAAGATCGGAGGAAGAGCTTTCAGCTACAAAACAAAAACTGGAGGATGCGTTGAAATCGTTGATCGAAGCGAAAAAAGACAATATTAAAATAGCCGAATTCAAAAAGAGAATCGACAATTTGACATCAACCTCAATTGAAGAGAAAAACAAAATCTTGGCCGATCTCGAAAAGGTGAAAAACGATCTCGCTTCGTCTGAAGAATCTCGTGAAGCTGACGCCGAATTGGTCACAAAACTTCAGGCAAATTTGGTCGAAGATCGTATTTGTTTCGAGGAAGAAAAGAATCATCTAGCTTCTGCTTTGGAATCAACTCAACAAAAGTTGACAGCGGCAGATGAGGCAAAAGCTGCAGACGCTCAAATGTTGGTTTTTAATTTTCAAAATGAAAGAAAATTATCTAATTTGTTAAATTTCAGGATCGCTCAACTTGAGAACACCGTCAAAGCGCTCGAGCTGGCTCTCAAAACCGAGAAACAAGATTTTCTCGCAGAAAATGTTGAGGAAGTCGTCGAGAGAGTGGATGTCCCTGCACTTGCGGCCACAAATTCAGGAAATGTCGTCAATGAGGTTTGAAATAATCAAAAGATTTTGGAAAATAATTTTTTTGCTTTTCAGGAAGATCTCGACTTCTCATCCCTTCTTTCCAGTGCTCATTCTTACCATCGTCAACTTTCTCATCGCCTCGAACTGCTCCGTCAAAATCAATCAATTGCTTTCTATCCATATATCAGATATTTATTTGCCCTTTACATATTGCTCTTGCATATTTGGCTCCTCTGGTAATGTTTTTTTTCTTATTTTTTTGGACAGTTTCATCAATTTTGATGATCCATTCCAAATACTTGTTTGTTTTGTTCACTAATTGTACATTTGTTTCTGTATTATAATAACTTTTGTTCATTCATTCTTTCTTTTATAGCATGATATACAGTATATTATATTTTTATTATAGTTTTTTTTATTATCATAGGTTTTTGATGTATAATAAATTGTAGAAATACATTTTGTGCCACAAAAAATTTCAAACAATTTTATGGTCTCATTGCAAAAAATACATGTGCCAAAGATAAAATAAGTAGAAGTGGCTGAACTGCAATAACCACAATTACACCATTATCAAAATTATCATCCAAAGCAGCAATTGTAATATTGGCACAAGTTAGAAATGCTCTCAATAAATGGCCCATACACATCCAATATTTATATTCATATGGAATTCGGAATCGATAATCTCCTTGGTCATTCAATTCTTCCTTTTTCACATGCATTCGAGTGATTTCCAATGCTAAAAGGATTAGAATCGCAATAATTGCTATTATCAAATTTGCACAACAAATTGTGATTGGAATTGTTTCGTTTTGATTGAGATGACTAAACCAGCAAATCATTACAGCTATTGTTATTAACTGAAAAAATGCGAATGTGAGTTTTTTTTTGAGATTGAAATAATGAAAACAGAGTGATGACGTGGCATTGAAAATTCAGATTTTTTTTTTAAATTTTAAAGCTTCAGAACTTTGAAAATTCCCAAAAATTTGAGAATTCTCGATTTTGCAAAAATAAATTCCTTGAAATTTTTAAAATCCAAATTTGCCACGTCAAAACTTTTTCACAAAAAAATCTAGTGATTTTGAAAATCTTTCCTGAAAATTCACAAATCCCCTTAAAAAACGAAGACAGGGTTATGACGTATCATTTTGTCTAGAAATTTCAGATTTCTAAATTTTGGAGGATCTTTAAAAATACAGAATTTTTTAGAATACATTCGACATTGTCCTCTGAAAACTTTGAAAATTTTTAACTCGATTTTGTCACGTCATAATATTTTTTTCAAAATTGCCACGTCATTTTTTACGAAAAAAAAATTTAATTGAAATTTTCAAGACCACTAAAATTTCCCCCTGAAAACGCACAATTTCCAAAATGAGCAATGCAATTGTGACAAAAGGAATCTTTTTGAGTTGTTCTCCTCGAACCAACATAATTTGTCGTTTTTCAGCCAAAAGCGGTGTCGATTCGCCGACTTTTTCATTTTCGCGTTGGATTATATCCGGATCTGTTGTGATGATTCCTTTTGATTCGTCTTTGAAGCGAGAATATTCCCATTGGGTTTTATCGATGTCATTCTGCAAAATTGGAGAAATGTGGACTTTTTTCGCGTTTTTTTTTCAATTTATGGCTAACTTTAGAATTCTATGATAGAGAAACGCGAAATTGTCCGGGAGAAATACAAAACGTTCGTTTCGAGACCAAGCGCAGGAAAACATATTTTTCAGATTTTTTCTCATCAAATTATTTTCGAATTTGAATTTCTCTGCGTCTCTCTCTCTCTCTCTTTTTCGGTTCACCCTCCAAAAGGCCGTGAACTTACATCTCCAGTCGTAACATCTTCAGTTTTCGATTTCCTCATCTCCTTCTCGGGTCTCATTTCACTTTCTTTCGGCGGACTCAATCCACTTTGTTTGCTCATCACACTTTTACTTTTACTTTTGCTTTTATCTTTTGCCATGTTTTTTTTTGCGTGTTTCCGATATTAATTTTTACTTTTTTGTGCTCACTGTTTCAAAAAAAAAATTATTTTCCAATTTTTTGATTTTTACTCACTAAAATTCCAGTATCTATCGAGTTTCTAGTAGAGAATTTATCAAAAATGAGACATTTGTTTTTTTTTTTTAATTTGCCCCCATTTTTTCGAGAGTTCACGAGACGCAGAAAAAAAATTAATTTCACAAAAATTGTTGTGTTTGCTGCACCGTAGTTTTATCAAAGGCGCACAGTGTTTGATCATTGTTTCTTGCCACGATATATTTTTTATTTAAAAAAACATTTTTTTTTGTTTTTTTTCGCGACACATTTTCGAAAATTTTCAATCTTTCGGCAAATCAGCACTCTATTCATTTTGTTTTGGTAAGTTTTTCAACAGGTTTTCTCGTCACTATTTTCTGCCCCTTTTTTATTTTGTTCACTTCCTATTATCACAATAGATAACTTGAAATCCCAAATACTATACTTTTTGAAAAAAAAGGTTCAAGTATTTGACCACAAAATACACAAATGTACAAATTGTGGTTTAAAGTCACTTTTTATCTCTAAATCTCTCAAATAGAATGACCTCCAACGCAACTATTTCGTTTTCTTCGTCTCGTTTCTCTCGTGTAGTTTATAGCCATTTTTTGTTTTGTGTTCAACAATGATAAAACTATCGTCACAATAAACATTATTTGACAATTCGCTGATTGATTAGGCACACTTTTTGGCATTTGTTGTTATTTCAAACTTTCGCGCTCACTTTAGATATTTTTCCTTAATAATTCATAAATAATTTCAGAAATGTCGTCAGCCGTTGCTCCGATTTTCGGAGTTCTCGGAAGTTGTATGGGATGTATGATTTTCGTTGAAAATATCGCCAAACAAGAGCCATCCGCAATGAATTTAATGACTTTCTCAACATTTTTATTCATCGCAACTCATGGTATCATTTTTACCTCGAAGTTTTTCACTGTTGGCAACAAAATTCCATTAAAGTAAGTTTTTTTCAAAATTCTTTTCAGTCTATTTCAAATTTTTACAGAGGATATGTCAAAACAGTTAGTATGTTTTTCATTGTGAATGTTGTCAATAATCAAGCTCTCAATTATCATGTCCCAGTCCCACTTCATATTATTTTCAGATCTGTAAGTTCAGATTTTTATTTTCTCAGAAAATTTTCAAATATATATTTCAGGGTTCCCTTCTAGCTACACTTGTTCTTTCGGTTTTATTGGTCGGAAAAAGTTATTCGCCTAGAAAATACATTTCAGTAATTGCTATAACTGTTGGAATTGTGATTTGCACTTTGGCAACAAGTTCACAAGGAAGCGATTCAGGTTTGAGTTATGAAGAAGCATCGAAACATTATAGGGAATGGAGTATTGGAATTGCTATGTTATCATTTGCACTTTTGGCTTCCGCTTTTTTGGCGATTTGCCAACAACAAATGTATGAAGTTTATGGAAAACATCCAGATGAGGCCATGTTTATTACTGTGAGTTTATTTTCAAAATCGGGAAAAACCTTTTTTTAATTTGGATGCTTTTCCGATAAAAATATTGAATTTATCTAAAATTCGAATAATTAATTCAGTCACAGAAAAATGATCAAATTTATTAGTTTTCTCAATTCTCTGAGCTTTTTCTGTACAAAATTTGCAGAAAAATTTATCCTAACTCTCGAAAATGTATCAAAAACAAAAAAGAAGACTAAATTTCAATTTTCCGTCCAAAATGAATTATCGAACACAAGAATTTGAAAATATCTATGTTCCTGGAAAAATCAAATCAATAATTTCAGCACTTCGTCGCTCTTCCATTTTTCCTTTTGATGGGTGGTGATATTTTGTCAGCGGCTGAAAAACTTAGTGTAAGTTCAGTTTTCCTTCTCCCTCCAAAAATTCAACAAATTTCAGGCGAGCAAGCCCTATCCACTTTTGCCTTTCAATATTCCATCACTTTGGATTGATCTTCTCGGAAGTTGTATTCTCCAATATTTATGCATCAAATTCGTTTATCAATTGAATTCTCGTGTTGATTCACTTACCGTAACTTTGGTTGTTACACTTCGCAAATTTTTGTCTTTGATTGTCTCGATTGTTTATTTCAAAAATCCATTTACTAGTGAGTTTAGGGGAAATCTATTATTCCTCAAAACATCTGATTTTAGGTCAACATTGGGTTGGAGCAATCTTGGTATTTGCCGGAACTCTTGCTTTTGCTGATATTTGGGGATCATCTGCTCCAGCTAAAAAAATCGACGAAAAGAAATCGCAGTAATCAAAAAAAAAATCTATAAGTTCTCATTTTTCCCTAATTCTTGCCACAGATTTTTTATATGTGATGTTTCCTAATTTGTGATAAAAAATAAATAAATAGATAAAACAAATCGTATTTTTCATAGAAAAAACTCACTAACAAAACAAAAAAAGAAGTAAATATAACAAAAATATTGGTGGGCAGGCAAAAAAGAGGAAAAAAACAGAGAGAAAAACGAACAAAAATTATTGAAGAAAGACAACCTCGTATTCGACAAAAAATCCTAATTAGGAAGAGAGCGAGTCTTTCTACTTCTTATTTTTGACCAAATTGACAAGATATTTGAATCGACGAATGCACGCTTTTTTGGATTTTGTGCCAATTTCAGTTGAGATCTGCAAAATAATGATTTAGACAAAAAAAAACATTTTTAGAAGAAATTTCATTTCAAAACTTATGCATTCATCTACAGAAAAATTCTGTTGAACTCAAATTTTGTTTTTTACAAAACCCAAAAATTTTCCCATAGAAAAAGTTACTAACCCTTTCCCATCTATCCTCATCAGTTGTTGGATATTTCTTCAGACATTCTTCTAAACATTTTTGCTCTGATGCAGACCAAACATCTTCGTCCGGTAAAGCAGTTCCAAGCGAATTTTGTGTTGTTGACGGCAATTTCACATTCATTGTTTGAACAGCTTTGCACTGAAATAATATCACAATAAAAATGACCAATTCTATTTATCGAAATAAATTCATTAACTCACCTGTCTTATAACTTGTTTCTCATTTTTCTTTGGCAAACTTTGATCTTTCCGATGTTCATTAATATAATCAGCAATTTGAATCCATCTTTCAACAGTTCCCGGTGGGAAAGTATTCGATGCTTTCACAAGTAATTGAATCTCTTCACTTGTCCAAGTCTCAACTTTTTCCTGCTCTTTATTCTCCTTATTTTTCTCCTCCATTTTTGGAATTGGTGTTCCGTTCTTCTTAGCAATTTCAGCATCTCCAAGTGTTTGTTGAATATCAGCAGCAAAGCTCAAACTTTCAATGCGTTCACAAAGATCTTTCAATTGATCCAATGAAAAACCAAGACAGATCTGAAATAAATTCACATTTTTTTGAGATTCTATTCAAATTTTCTGAAATACAATCAACTCACTCGTTCAATTCTCTCCATTTCTGCTAATTTTTCACTGGAAACTTCAGTCCAATGTCCAGCAGCATCTGCAAGTTGTCGAAGTCGCTTCTTTTGTTGATTTGTTGCCTTTTTCAGAACTTCTCGTTCCTTCTTTTCACGATCTCTTTCTTCTTTCGCAATTCGATCTTGCTCAGCTTTGATTTTCTGTTCAGCTTCTAATTTTTCTCTTTTTTCGCGTTCAATTGCTTCTTGCTTTTCAAGTATAGCTCTTTTCTTATCCTCTTTTGCTTTATCTTTTCTCTGAAAATCAATCAATTATTTGTTTCATGTTTTTCTTTCAAAACTAACCGCTTGTTCCTCTTTTTTGAATCGAATAATTCTTGGATCTTTAGCATAAGCCATTTCAACCAATTTTCTGATTCTTTTTCCTTCTTCCTTTCTTCTTCTTTCACGTTCAGCTTTATTTTGTTTCTCCATTTCTCTTCTTTCCCAACGATCTTCTCCTCTTTCTTTATCTTCTTCATCCAAATACGAAAACTCACGCCATGAAGAGAAACTGAACCAGAAATCATAGAAGGTTTCAACGTGATCACGAGTAGCTTCATTAGTTCCAAGCTTTGGAACTGGTTGAATATTCGACCATCTAGCATTCAATTCAAATACTGGAGCAAGTTCAGTGAAGAAGTTCGAATGATTGATCGATTTTTCATTTGGCAATTGATCGTTGAATTTATGATCGACGGAATCGAAAGCTTGTCTTTTTGCTTCACCCATTCCTAATTGTTCATAAGCTTTGGTGATACATGTGAAATATTCCTCTTTTTCTAGAGTAATTCCACGATGCTTCTTTTTGTCTGGATGATGTTTAAGAACTTTTTGCCGATCTGAAAACAAAACGTTGACATTATAAAAAATATTTTTTGATTTTCCAACTTACAGCAATATCTAATTTCATCAGCTGTAGCTTGGAAACGCAATTTGGATAATCCTAAAACTTTATAATGATCCTGATTTTTGGTATCATTTGGATCCAATTTCATCAAGTATTTCTCATATTTTTCATTATCAGCGTCAAATAACTCTTTCCGCAATTCAACAACAACCGGTTCTTCAGAAGTAGTTACTTCTACTTTCTTTTCCAAACTAGGAGAATTTTTGTAAATCGGCAATGTGCATAATCCTAATGTCAATTTATCACGAATCAAACGAGTTTCATAAAATAATCCAGCAGGCTCTAAATTTCGCTGAGATGGTGAAAACCCATACAAAGCTAATTGAAGATTGGTCATTCTGAAAATAAAACATTGAATCCTAAAATCGCAGTTCTTGGAGTCTATAACCCGTTAGGAAAGTATAAAGAACTTTGTGGGCTATTGGAAAAATTTCTGACACTTAAAAAAAAAGAAAAAGAAGAAATGAAAAATGACTGGCCTAAATAATTGAGCAAACTGTGTAAAGTTTTGGAAAAAATGGGAAAAGAAAAAATAAAATGAAAACACTTGAAAAAGTACGCGCCCAAATTGCGAAAACATCTGCCGCAAAACGAGACAGCGTGATTTTGCAAGAGACGCAGACACATAAACAATGCAAGTACGCTCCAACGTAATACTTTATTTTCTTTTCCTTTTTTGGCTCGACGTCGACACCATGGTGTTGTTTTCTATCTAAAAGTCAATTATTTCAGAACAACAGCAAATGTCCGATAATGAAGAATTGTTGGGGAGGGATTTTCCCGGCCCAAACGAGATTCCACCTCCATCGCAGGATGAAATGACCGAAGAAGATTTGTTTCGTATGAGAAGTTTGACAATCAGTTCAAAACAAGGATGTTAGTTTTGCTTCACAAATATATACTTCATATTTAATTTTTGAAAATTTCAGTGAATAGTGAAACTGCCGAACAATCGATAATTTCACTTGCGGATTCTACTTCGAATTTTGATGAGCATTTGGGAGAAGATTTAGATGAAGAAATCGAAAAACAAGAAGAAAATCAATCCGACATGAAATTGGATCTTCAACAAGTCGTAAATGGTTATCTTTTTGGTAGACAACGCAATGCAGATTTCGTTCCAAACCCAGAAATTGTCACAGTTCTCAAATGGCCCAAACACATTCCAGTTCCACTTTGCCCAACAACTTTTGACGAGGAATTGTGGAACAAATCATTCGAAGACGCTCGAATTTACATGATCGGAACAGCTCATTTCAGCAAAGAATCACAAGAAGACGTGAGAAAAGTGATGGAAGCAGTGGGTCCAGATTATGCAATGGTCGAATTATGCCCGGCAAGAGTTTCTGTCATCCAAATGGATGAGGAAACACTTCTCAAAGAAACCGAATCGCTAAGTGTTCAAAAAATGCAACAAGTTATCAAGCAAAACGGAACAGTTCAAGGAATCTTACATCTTCTTTTATTGCACATGTCTTCAAGTGTCACAAAACAACTCAAAATGGCACCAGGTGGCGAATTCCGTGTCGCCTATTCAACCGCCGTCAAATTACAGGTGCATCTTTTTTTTTTTGAAGTTTGATTTTCAATTTATGGTTTTTTTTTCAGAACTGCCGCGTTGTCCTCGGTGATCGTCCAATTGGAATATCTTTCAAGCGTGCTTTAGCCTCATTGAATGTTTGGAATCGACTCAAATTTGTTTGTCACGCAATTTTCACAAGAAATGAGAAAATCAGTCAAGAAGATGTAAATGACTGTGAAAACAAATGAGTAATCTGAAAATATTGATTTTTCAGATCGAACGATGTAAACAAAAAGATCTTCTCGATGAACTTCTCGCCGAAATGGCTGGCGGATTTCCGCAATTAAGCAAAATATTTGTGGAAGAACGCGATCTCTATTTGGCTCACAATTTGCATTCTTTGATTCAAAGACATTCTATTGAAAAGATTTTGGCTTATGAAAATATCGATCGGCGAATTCCATTTCAACCATTTACGGTAAAATATTCTGGGGGGAAATGGTTAGATGAAATATACTGTTTTTTAGGCCGTGGCAGTTGTTGGAATCGGGCACACACCAGGAATTGTTGCAAATTGGGAAAAACCAATCGATATCATACCATTGATTACAATTCCAGATCAACCAATATCTGTCAAGGTATCTAGTTATTGATTTTTTTTTCAATTCAGAAGTTCAGGAATCTGAACTTTGGAAATTTGGGAGGAAAATTCGATTAATTTTCTACAAAATTTTCTATTTTCCAGATATTTGGCTACACAATGAAAGCTCTCTATTGGGGAGCAATTGGTTATGTTGTTTATCGAGCCGGCTCGAGAATTGCTCGTCGATTCATTCAATAAGATAAAAATAAAGAAGTATTATCTCCTGTTGTTTTGTTCTGGTTATCGCAATATTTTTGGTGGTGAGTTCCACTCTTTTTCTCTGCTTCCTGCTTCTCATTCATTTCGTATTCAAGATAACTCAATTATAAAAAAAAGCTAATAAATATATCTTACCTGCGTATTTCCATGGCAACAAATACCTGATTTCAGATTCTCTCGCCATATCAATACTCTGGTACACAATTATTATTATTTTATTCTCCCATTTTCGTATTTATTCATTTTTTGTAGACAAATCTGCTCTTATGTATTTATTCCCCCCAAATACAATATCGTTTATTTATTTTACTGCATAACATAACATAAATTTTTAATTTTAAAAGATTTTGGCAACTCAAAGAAATTTTTTTCTCGATTCTCACGGTTTCTTCATTCCGATTTGTTTTTTTTTTCAATGAAATTGATTTTTAGAAGAGAAAAATGTCGGTTGTTAAGATGAGTTCGAATCCGGAACCAATCAAGGAAATATGGTATATTGATTGTAATTCAATGTTCCAAAATTATGCTAATTTCCGAGGATTTTCGAGATCAACGGATTCCGATACAACATTTGGTGGATTGGTTTTTGGAAGAAAATCGAGAAAACAGGTGAATATCGAAAATTGGAAATGAAAAAATTGATTTTAAAAGCCTTAATTTTTTAATTTTAAAAAATACTCCAGCAGTTTCAAAATTTGAAAATTAGAAATGCCCAAATCGATTTTTAATCGTGTAAAAATTCCACATTTGAAAAAAAAGCATTTCGCCATTTTTCAGGTTGTTCATGTATTTTTTGCATACTCGGAAGATTTGACTGAATCAAATCTTACCTTCATTCAAAGTTCCCTTTCTGCCGATATCGAACTTCTTGGAAATCTTCAAATTGACGGAGTTTCACCATTAATTGGTGATGGATTCACACTTCAATTAACAATCGGAATGTTGGAATCAAGAAATATCGATCAGTTTTTGGATTTGAATACAATGTTCAATAATGAGCATATTATGTTGGAAGGATTGTCGCTTGTTAGTAAAGTTGGTTATGAATGGCCTCTTCGAGCTGGCCGTGAAGGAGAAGATGCTAAAAATGCTTGTGAGAGATTATCATGTGCATCTTTTCGTTTCACATATCTCAATGTCGATAAAAAAGTTGTTATTCGAGAGCATAAAGAAAAGGAGAAAATTGGAAAACAATTAGATGAATATTCAAAAGGTGCAGTTCCATATAAAGATGCTCTCGAATTAATTGGATTACAATCAATAACTCGAGATACAAGTCAAGATCCAGAAGATCAGAAATTGGTGCCAACTGTGAAAATCAATCGAGATGATAAGCATTTTACAAAATTGATAAATATTACCGAAGTTGTTGCACCGGCTTATTATGGAGAGGATTCATTTGTGATTTATACAAGAATGAGAGAAGCATTTAATCGGAGAATTCAGAATAATATGATTGTTTTGGTTAATGGAATTCGAAAAGGGGTTAGTGAGCATTGAAATAATGGATTTGAGAGATTTTGAATATTTTTTTTCTATAGAGAGGTGTACTTCCATCAACTTCAGCTACATTTTTGCCGCCAGGATGGGCGTCTCTTTTGAATCTTCAATTGCCTACGAAATGGACTGAAAATGAACAAAGTTGGTTTTTTTTTGAATTCGTAGAAAATCATGAAATTCAGAAGCAAAGTTACTGTAGAAAATATGTTTCTAGACCCAAATTCTGTACTGAAACTCATGGAAACCTTGATTTTTTTTAAATGCCAAAAATGAAATATTTTTGAGCTTCTAATTTTCCAGAAGTCTACCGTATCCGCCTTCATAAATTATTCAACTTGCCACCTTCCAAACCTTGCCTTCGAATTTCACAAGTTCTTGCCTTACACTCGGAAACTCCTTCCGTCACAAACTCGAAACTTTTGAGAAATCCACATATGAATATTTCCAATTGTAAGTTATATCAACTATCACTAAATATTTCAATTTTATTTTTTTTCAGATAAACCAGTTGGTGAAGTTACAACTGTTCGTGGTTCATATAATTATCATCATTATATGCAAGATGGAATTGATGATAATGGATGGGGTTGTGCTTATCGAAGTTTTCAAACAATTTGGAGTTGGTTTATATTAAATGGATATACAGATAAACCTGTACCAAATCATCGACAAATTCAACAATGTTTGGTTGATATTGGAGATAAGGAAACGAAATTTGTTGGTTCTCGACAATGGATTGGAAGCACTGAAATTAGTTTTGTGTTGAATTCGATGCTCAATCTCGAATGTCGATTTATTGCAACAAATTCGGGAAATGAAGTTGTTGAAAAAGCGAGAGAACTTGCACGACATTTTGAAACTGTTGGAACACCGGTTATGATTGGTGGAAATATGCTGGCACACACTATTATTGGCGTGGATTTTAATGAGAATACTGGAGAAACAAAGTGAGTCACTATAAAAACTACTCTAATTAAGCCCAGAGAAAATCGAAGCTTAAATTTCTCTTTCATTAAAATTTGAAATGCAAAATTTTTTTAAAATCTCCTAATTCTTAAACAAAAATAGAATTTTTAAGCCGGATTCTATTCTGAAAATTCAAAACTATATTTATATATTTTTCAAAATCATTTTTCAGTTCCTAAAATTTCACAAAATCCTCAACTTTCCCCTCAAATTATCCATATTTTTCTCTAGATTCCTGATTCTCGATCCACATTACACTGGATCTGAAGATCTGAAAACGATAATATCGAAAGGATGGTGTAACTGGAAACCTGCCAAATTTTGGAGTCCCGATCATTTTTATAACATGGTTTTGCCGCAAACTCCATCAGAAGCTATTTAGATTTTCCATGTCGGACATAATTTATTCTAATCTATTTGAAACTGTGATTTGGGGAAAGTTATAAATCTATTTTTCTAAAAACACAAACAATTTATTATTCACCAGTATAAAATACACAAAACTAGAGAAACTTTACAAATTCACAGACAATATATTATTTTTACCCGATCTTCGACTAATCCCTTAAAATATTCAAAATTTCTCCAAGAGAATCAACTTCGAAATTTAATTGACGATTTTCGGCTTGCATTGTTTTGATGTCCAAAGCTCGCAAATCTTGTGGAGTGAAATGATTCTTGAGGATCTGAAAATTATAATCATTTTGAAATATTCAAATATAACTCACATCCTTCCATTTTCTACACATTTTCAGCTCGATTTGACTATTTACACAATACTCCAGAACAATAGCTGAAAATAAAAGAATATTTCAAAAATTATAGAATGAAAAGCTCACAATCAGCTGCCAAACATGGCAATTCAACAGATCGAACTTCAATCAATCTTCCAAGTCCCGAATAACATTGTTTGCATTGAATCTTAAAATTAAACATATTTTTTAATTTCAAAAATTGAATTTCCCACCTTTCCTTTTCCACCAAATCGTATCTCAGCTTCTTGTTCAGATGGAGAAAACATAACTTTTCGAATCAATTTCCAGAAATTCGGATTGCAAACAAAATACTGTGTTTTCTCAGCTCGAATATCCGAATGCATACAAAGAAGAGTTTTGCATTTTCTGAATTTTACAATATTTTTTTTTTCGAAAATTGTTAATTTAGTTGAAAACTTACTTGCACAGTATTTTATATTGGATATTTGAGTTGAGTTGTTTTTGGATAATCGATTCTTTTGCTGCTTTTTCGTCTTGAATATTCTTCCAAATTGCAATCATTTTTGATCGAACAATATTTTCAAAATTGATGTGTTTCTTCAAAATCATATTCATCGCTTCGTACATCAAATGTTCCTGAAAAAAATTAATTTTTATTCGTCTGAAAAGATTCCGGTGAATTTTTTAATGTCTAATTGTAAAGCTGAACATTTTCACAGAAAATAATTTTTTGTCGACTTTCCTATTTTCGAAAAAAAAACATGAACTCACTTTCGTTTTATTACTGCTTTCTTGCTCTTTCAATCGAATATTATTAGTGATCAAAATACATTTCGAATTTGCTGCTCTTCCTCGACCTCTTCTTTGAACATGTGCAATTTCATTTGTCGCATAATTATATTTGACAACCAAATTACATTTTGCAATATCCAAACCTTCTTCAGCGACCGAAGTTGCAACAAGAACTTTGATTGATCCTTCAGCAAATTTATCGATTTTTTCTTGTTGGGCTCTTTTTGAAGCCGCAAGTTCATCTGATCCTTTGTTCAAGCCTGGAAAATTATTGTATTGAAAAGTAAACTGGAAATCCGAATTATAAGAACTAACCAGATATATAATCAGTTCGAATTTGCTTATCTTTCAATTCCTGAATCGAACTCAATATTTTAGCCAATGTCACCGCTCCAACACGTGTTTTTATGAAAACAATTGCTCGAAAATCATCATTCCGATTATACAATTCAATCAAATTTTCCACAACCTTTTCAATCATTGGATTTGTTGAATTTCTTGCTTGCGAAAGAATATGATGATATTCTTCCCAAGTTCGAATAACTTCCATATGCAATGATGGTTTTTGTTGTTCCATAAATTCGTTTATGAGATTGTAGGCTTCTTGAGAGTTGAAATTCGAATTGTGTTCAAGAGTCCAATAAGATTTCTCCAAAATTTCCAAGATTTCAAAAACTTGTTTATCTCTCTCGAATTTCGATTCAGAAATCAGGATTTTGTGGTTAGCGACCCAATTCAAATATGCTTCATGATCTTTGTCAAGTGGTGGAAGTTTGAATTCTCCTTTGACTCTTTCTCGACGAACTGGACCAACATCAAGAGTGTCTGGACTATTTCTTCCACGCATTTCAAAATCACCCGTTGATTCTAAATAAAATTGATTCGATAGAAAGAAAACCTTTCGAACTTACCAATAAGATTTATCATAACTTTCTCCATTTTTGTCATAAATTGTGCCAACGTCGTAGCAAATTGCAAATTTGTCTCATCTATTCGTTTATCACAAAAACATAAATTATCCGGGACGATTGGTGAAAATTGTTGAAGTTCTCCAATATGTTCTCGGACCACACTCAATTCATGAACATCCATATTTGCAGCCAAATCAGCGATATGATCAACAGCTTCTAATTCGTTTTTCGCTTGTCCAACACCCAAAGAAGCGGTAAGTCCAATGATTTGAGGTAAACAATGACCAGATGGCATAACTCCAGTGTTTTTCATTTCATGGTAGATTTTCATGATATCTGAATTTGAGTTTGATGAAAATAAAACCCAATAAAAAACTCACTGGAATATGGTGAATTTTTTTGAGTGTTGTGACATTCGTCGAAAATAATGATTGAAAATGTTGAAAGGAAGAATTGGGTCACATTTATATCCGGATCATTTTCAAATTGAGAATGTTCATTGCATAAATTTCTGCAAAAATATTTTGAAAACGTTTTTGATTTAGAAACTTACACAATCATTTGTGGAGTTGCAACAATCAAATCATTTGATAAAATAGTTCCACGAACTGGCACATTTTCAGCTCCTTGTATAATTTTCACCAAATACAAATGTTTCAAATAATTCGATAAACTTGAAGCTTGTTGTTGGAGAATAACTGAATTCGGTGTCATGAATAATGCTTTCGATTGTTTTCCATTGATTCTTGCTTGCTCAAAATGATGTTTCAGAATATTTGCAGCAATTACAGTTTTTCCTGAACCAGTTGGAGCAGTGACAATTGTATTTTTTCCCTCAATCGCTACTTTGCATAACTCCTGTTGATATCGACGAAGAATAATTGGTTGTTCTATAAAAATCGTGATTAAAATTGAACTATTAATTTAAAAAGTGAAAGAATTACCTTCGTGAATTCGATTTTGTACTGATTCAATTATAATCCTCTCAAATCTTCCAGTTTGCGGCATATTTTCCCAAAGAATATCAATAATTCTAAAAAAAAAAAGATAAATTTTACACTGATTTTCGATTTTTTTTGTTTGTTTTCATTTCTCCGCCCATTTTTTTAGTATTAGCAATATTTCTCTTCACTCACTTGAATCGATCATTATTCTCCAATGCTGGAGTTCCCAATTGAACTAGTAATTCGGTCAAATTCGAAGTGATCGGGCAGAAAAACAGCTTGCCACGTGGATGTTTGCGTTCTTCATCGAGATTTTCTGCATGTTTTTTGTGATAATAAATGTATGGAATATGCTAAAACTAACCATAAAATCGCAGAAAATTCGGTTCGATTTTCTCCACAAATTGTCTCGCTTCACAAGTTACGTTGTTGTCTGGATGTTGTGTTTCATAAATTGTGTAGAGAATATCATAAGCAGAAAATTGGCCAAGTTGTGGAATTGTTCGAAGGACCAACTTTTTCATTATTTCTGGATTTCTGATTCCTATAAATGAATGATTATAAAACTTCGATAAATAATTGAATTAAACTGACTTTCCAACTCATTTCTTAACACATTCACAATTCCATCATATCTGGGCAAAGCTTGAAGATAATCGATAACTCTTTTTGGATCCGTGAATCGCATAAACCCATCTATATTATCAAGAACGATTTTGAACATGCTTCTTGATGTATTTTCATTGCAAATTGCTAATAAACTATGAAGTGATCCTTTCTTATCAATTTTGAAAAGAAATGCCATAATTTCATTATATAATCTTTCTGGGGCAAGAATAGATGACTTTAATTCATCGAATAATTGTGTTGCAAATGATTCTGCATCCAAATATTCTTGACAAAGTTTTTCGATTCGTCCAATCGGCAAAAATTCAGTCAAATCTCCCGATTTTCCAGGATCGAGGTATAAAACTTCTAAAACTCGACTAATTTCCACAGCAAATTTTTTTCTACGTGACCTCAAATAAAAAAGTCATTGCAGAATGTGTTTTACACGCGGCACACACATCTGGGCGGAGCCTAATAAAATCCTGTTTTTACACGTTTTTTGAGGATTTGAACCCGAATTTCAGGGAAAAGTTGATTTTTCACTATCAGAATTGAGCAAAGAAGGATTGAGGGAGGTCCAGAAGACAGAAAATTGCTTTTAAATCTTCTAATTCCGCTCAATATGACGTTTCTCCACATTTTTCTCGATTTTCCCAGGAAAGACAAGAAACTTTTGATTCAAAAAACTATTACTACTTGAAAAATTATCAACTACTTCTAAAAATGTAGTTTGAGCATGTTTCCTTCGGTTTCGGCTTCAAAAACACATTTTTTGTGAAAAAACACAAAGAAAGAAATTTTTTTTGCGAAAATACTGTAGCGACACGTGAAATTGTGCAATGAGAAAATGCGTAGTGAAAAATTTGCTGTGATTTCAACTGAATATAACTCGAGCAGAGCATTCTTTTGGTTCAATTTCGTCATATCTAAAAACAGTTATTTTTCGCAATTATGGGATGGAAAACGAGAGAAAAGAGGGACGAACGTGAAAAGTTTGAAAACACACAATTCTTCTCGAAAATTCTAGTATGACATGAGCAATGGCCTAGAGAACCAAATTCGGCCACCTTTTCTCTGAAATTTATATCACGATCGTGCACGACCTCAGGGTCTTCCACGGCCTTTTACAAGGTAAATCGAGACGCAGAGAGAAAAAACCACCTTCAAATGGAAATACGAAACATCAATTCCATTTGCAGTTCGACTCCTCGTTTCGAGACCAAGCGCGGGAAACATGTTTTTCAAATATTTTCGAATTCAAAAACGTTTCCCGCGCTTGGTTTCGAAACGATAGATCAAATTGTTTGTGAATTTCGTGTTTTGGATTTCTTTCTGAAGAAGTTTTTTTTTCGTTTTCTCTGTGTCCCTTTTTTACCTTGTGAAATGTCCGCTACCGACACGTGGTTCCTGCCACAAAATTTTTGAATTTGGAACGCATTTTCAAAAATGCTTGAATCAGAAGGCACAGCATTTTTTTCTAAGTATAGTTAAATGTTCGATAAAATAGGAATAATTAGATTTTTCAAATTCAGAATGAATGATTCATTATTTACAATTATTCAAAGCAGTTGATCATCAGTATAAAATGGTTCTCCTTTGTCTCTGTTCAATTCCATCTCGGGCATTTCATCGGGAATCTAAAAAACAGTTTATATCAGAATGATTTTTTTTTCTATCAAACTCACATTTGTCAACGTATCATCTTCACAAGGAGTTTCTGTAACAAGAAATATTATCTGTGAAAGGCAGTTGCTGAGCTAATTTTTGAGCCCAAATAATTCCGTTTCTAGATTTTTTTTTGAATCAAAAATAGTTTCTACTTTTCAGAAACTGTCTAATTGTACTTACTTTGCTGACTTTTTCCCAAATCATTCCGTTTCTTCGATGGTCTATAATCAGCAGGGCTTTGAGCATTATTATTATTAATCTGATTCGGATTGTTATTATTTTCATCAATATTGGCTGCCAATCCATCTTTTGTTCTTTGTTGCCCATTTTCTCCACCATTTTGAGCTCCACTTCCACCATTTGAACCGCGTACTAGCGGAGCATCGTTGTTTCCTCCATTATTGTGATGATTATTATATTGATTCCCTTTGCTGCCCTTTTTTGTTACTACTGCATTTTCCTGAAATCATTAGATTTAGTTTTTTTTTGTGAATTTTTCGTCGATAAAATTACTCGATATATACTCTTTCGCTTGCCAATGCACATTTTGTATATGTAGAAAATAAACCAAAAACCCGCGAGATTTTACGTGATCACCAAATGTCACGTTCAAAAATATATTCTTGAGGAAAAAGTCTGTAAATCATCTAGAAACAAGCCCCAATTGAGTTAGGGCTTCAAATTCCAAGAGAAGTACACAAAAATGAATTATTTGTGCGATAGAGCAAACATGATCGGCTATGTTTCTTCCTATGGATTCAGCTGATCAGCACAAGTGAAAAATAAAAGTTTATCTAAAAATATTATGCAATAATAGAAAAAGCTGCACATGACTGAAAAAAAGGTGTTTCTCCTGTTTGACATGGAAAAATATGGAATGTTTAAGTGAGAAGAAGCAGGTAGCAAGTTATGCTAAATGAATTATTCGACATCTTGAAGAGCAGTTTTGAATGAGAATGGAACAAATGGATAACCCAATCCGAGATAGAATTTCGATTGGAATTCAACCCAATGAAGACGAAGTGCGTGGAGGAAAGCGGACAATCCTTCCATAAGAACCAAAATTGAGATGGTGAGAACGAAGAAAATGAAGAAGACAACAAAAACGGCGATGAAACCGAGAGTTCCGGAAACTCCCAAACCACCGGTAACGAAAACCATGTGCCAAAGAACTTCGGACAATTCTGAAAAATAAGTTGTTTTCAATTTTCCAGTAACAAAAAAAAACATACGAGCGTGAGCAAGTGAAAGAGCCCAAAGACGAAGGTACGAAGCAGTGTGAGAGACACATCCAAGAACATATTCGATTGTATGAATTGATTGATGAACCATCACATCACCGAATGATTCACCGTGATGATCTCCACCATGTTCTTCTTTCTGAAAACAAAAGTTTATGGATTTTGAGAGAGCAGATAAATTCTTACATGTTCTTCTTTCTTTGATCCACCATTGATAATAATTTCACTATTGTCTGAAACAACATTCGCTCGAACTGAAACATTTCCTTGCGATTCTTTTGCCTTCTTTTTTTGCTCGAGAATAAAGGCGATTGGTTTTCCGAAAAGCATAATTGGAATGCAGAGAACGGCAATAATGACCAGAACCATTTCAATTGAACCTTGTCCTGGATACCATTGACTCAAATAGCAACCATCAACCTCTTTCCAAACTCCATTTTCTTTTTCGGTCTGTAATTATTTTTGAGTTAGTTTTCTTCTAGAACTTTTTGGGATTTCAATTTTTCAGAGCTCGGGAGGATTTTACTACAATTTCCAGAATTTTTTAAAGATCTGAAACGATCTCAAAGGTTGAATCTCTACCAGAGAAAGACTTAGAAATCAAGAGCTTACACACAAGTTTTCCTGATCTAGAAAATCTCAGTTTCCTGTACCACTTCTATGAATTCCGACCCAGGAATCAAAAAAATCGAAGCTATTTCTTTCAAGAACTTACTCCAACAACAAATCCAGGAGATCTATCCTTCATCATAAACATATTAATCAATCCAATAAGAAGTGATGGTGCACAATGAGAACCTGGATAAACTTGTCCGAAAATTGTTTCCTCAACAGTCCAGAAGAACAACCATTTGAGAATGATTTGAACACACAAATAGACGAAAATCGAAAACATGAACAACATTTGAGGAATGAAAACGGTGAAAATATCAATTTTCGAATGATTATGACGGAAATTGAAGAATGAAAGAATAACTCCGAATGTCATTTGAGTGATTCCAAGAATAACGGACAATTTCATTTTCATTGAATTGAGGAAGTTCAATTTGTTTTCAGCGATATTCCAAATTGGATCAACTCCATAAGGATATGGTCCCATTGAATGTTGATATGATTTTTCTGGCGCCAATTCAACCAACATTTCTTTGCCTTCAGCAGTTCCTGAGATCCAACCTTCGATTTCAGACATACTGAAAAAAATGAGGTTTGAGAATTTTCAGAAAAAGATAATTTGGAGTTTCAAGATTTTCCGAATTTTCAGAAAAACCCAATCTTACTTGTATGGATTTCTCCACGATGTTCCGAAAATATTGAAAGATTTGGCGAACAAATCATTGTAGATGAATCCAGCATAAATCGAGAACAAACCCATCAACAAAATAATATAGCGACCTCCGAAGAACATTGTGAAAATCTAGAAAAAAAACATCAGCTTCTGCGTTTTCTCGTTCAAAACAAACCTCATCTTTAATATTTCTGGCAATCAAATTCTTCTCGCGAAGAACAAACCAAAGACCAGCCATGAACATAATAACACCATGTCCTAAATCTCCAAACATGCATGAGAACAAGAATGGGAAGGATATAATTGTATACGGTGCTGGGTTCAATTCACGGTATGTTGCGATACCGTAAGAATCAACAATTCCTTGAAAAACAGCGGTGAATTTATTGGTTTCATTATAAGTTGGTGGAGTAACTGATGTTTCCAAAATATTCAACACTGGCTTTACAGATGATCCACTTTTCTCAGCTCCAATTTCAATCGCTTGTCTAACAGCTTCAACATGTTTCAATGGAATCCAACATTCACCAACAAAGAATCTTCCAATTCCATCAAAAGTGAATAAGTTTAACATATGATAGACAGATTTGATCATTCGAACTTGTTTAATCCATTGATTTTGATTATTTGCAGCCGCTTGAAGAACACGGAATCGATGTTCTCTTGTTTGCCCCAAAACAGTTTGCAAATCTTGAATTCTTGCTCGAACATCATTTCTTGCCGATTGTCTTTCTTTGAAAGTTTTTGGGCAATTCTTGAAAAGTTTTGCTTTGAAACCATCGCTAACTTTCTCAACAATACTTCTCATTCGATCTCCTTTCAAGAAAACAATAAAAACACTTTTATGAACTTTTTCCCCATTTGCATCTTCTAATGGTTGTTCAATATCACTTGATCGAACATATGCTGTATGATGACAAGCACGCCATAAAACTCGCTCAAATCCACTCAATCTTTCACGTTGAATAATTCCAACAATATAATTAACTGGTCCTTTGTTTGTTCCACGTGGCACTAATTCTCCAGCATCATCTTCGATATTTTCCAATTCTTCTTGTGCTTGATCATCAACTCCGCCTTGGAAAAATTCATCAGTTTTATCAAGAACCGCATCCCATTCAAGTAAATCATTGTAATTCGATTTGAGTTGAGAATCCGAACCGTTCATATTAATCACATCCTTTTCCAAATCAACCAAAGTCGATTCCAATTGATTGAGTTCAGAAGTTGGAAGAATATTATATTCTCCAGATGCTTCAATTTTTCCAGGAATATTTATCTCATCTTTTTGAATTTGTCCTTCCAAAAATCTCAATTTTCTTTCCATTTCATCAAATCGACGGATATCTTTCACAAATGTTCTTTGGAAACTGTTCACATTTGGGTTCAGCTGGAACGATTTTTACGAGATATATTAGCCTTTTGGAATTTTGCCTTTGAAGAAGAACATGCCTTCGGAATCAATCAGAAAACAATTTTTCTTGGAATGGTTTAGTAAAAAAGTGACCTATTTTGAGTTGAATATAATTCAAAATCTAGTAATAATCTAAAAGCTAAAAAAATGGCTTAGAAACTAGATTTGGGCCTGTTTGAAAATTTGAATTCCTTTAAAAACCGCGCAAATTCTCAATGGAGCGCATTTGCCAATTCTTGGATCAACTTTTTACTAATTCGTGGTCAACATTCAGTATTTCCAAAAAATTTCTGACTAAGTCCGATTCCAGAAGTTTGTGCTGCACCGTAGAAACTTTACGGTTTCAAAATTCCAACTCACATCCTTAAATTGAACATAAGGTTGTTTTCCAATTTCAGCAACAATATTGAAAGCGGCATCTTTTTCAACAATAAGTTGACAGAATCGCATTTCCTCCGAACGCGTCAACGACCCCATTTTCAGCTTTTTCTGGTGGGTCTAATTACTTTACCTGAAACACAAAACATATTTGATTTTCTGATGTTTTCCGACAAAAAAAGTACAAAGAAAAATAAAAAAACTGGTAACGAAAAACAAATAGAAACATTCTGATGCATTGTGTAAATATTTTGTTCTCCGGACAGAAGGCGACAGAATAATAATAATAATAATATTGACGAATACGTTTTTGTTTTCAAAAATATTTAGGAAGAAGAACACATTTTTCGACAAAAAGCTGGATTGAAATTGAAAAATATATGGATTTATGTGATAAAAGATATCAATCGAGAGTTTCGGAGAGATTACTGTAGGGGTTTAGGCCCAAACTTTAGGCTGATAATTTTTTTTAGATTTGGGTTTTCTGTTATTTTTTTTATCAATCTTGCTGAAAACGATGTAAAGTTAGATTTTTTGTACATTTTTTTCGAAGAGACCAAAATTATGTTTTAAAAAGTGCAAAATTTTCAGAGTTCCGAAAAATCTAGGGTTTCCAAAATTTTGTGCTCTGCGGATTTTCAGATGCAGACTTCGGACTTCAAGTCCTAAATTTTCCGAGCAAGCCAAAACTCAATGAATCTACAGTACCCAATCTACAGTACACAGAAATTTTTTACAAGATATTTCACAAAATGAAAAATTAATTTTGTAGATCAAGTTTAATCGCAGCGGTTTTTTCTGAATCTCTCACTTTTTCGTTGAATTTCGTTAGAGACTCTCCACTTAAAATTTAGGCAAAAAACTATACCAAACCTCGAACTACAGTAACCCAAAGTGTCAAAATCTTAGCTCTGATACTTAACCATCCTATCTACAGTACCCAACCTACAGTACTATTTTTCTCGAGCCAACTCAAAAAAATGATAAAACGCAATATGCGCATCGCAATCGCATCACACGGAAAAATGCAATAGTTGTTAGCCGAAACTCTGAAGACCAACCACTGGTTTTCGGCCTCGGCCAAAAAACTGTGCTTTGATGTCTGTGTCCTCTGTTGAATAGTTATGCTATCTCGCTCAGGTGTCACCTCTCTCTTGTACAAAAATAGCGAAATAGTTGATTAGTTGAAGATGCGCAGACATTCCGATCTGGTTTTTTCCATCTCTCTTTTTTCTCTCTTCTCGCGATTAAAAAAAAGGAGAAAGTTTTCGAGTCGAAAATTAGGAATTTTCAAATTTTGATCATCAATCGTTTCTTTTCTATTTATTATTCGAAATAAAATGACACCGAAAAAATCAATCAAAAATTGTTTATTTTTTCGAAAAGATCATTAAAAGAACACCAGTGAATCAATTTAAAATTAAACTAACTTTTTTCGAAAAATCAGAATCAAAAACCTTCAACAATCAAAACATCTCGTTCCTCATTCGGTGAATAATGTCCAAATTCTCTCAAAGGATTTTCGAGTTCAATTCGATGTTTTTTCGAATTTTCCGACATTTCCAAATAAATTCGAATAGAATCTGCAGAAATCTTGAACAATCTTGCGAGCATATCTCGAATTTTCTGCACAGTCATTCCTAATGGCAAACTTCGAGTTTCGATTCGATTTTCGAATTGTATTCGGATTTTCACAACGCTCAGCCCTTTTTTTGCCGTGTCAACACTTGGTTCACCGTGTTTCTAAAAATAGAAGAAAAAATAAAGTATTGTTATAAACAACATTAAAAATAATTTGATTTTTTCTTTCTTTAGTTGTTTGTTTTTATTGATGTGAAAAGGGAACATTTTTCGGAAAATGCTGAAATTTTTTTCTAAAAAAAACTATTTTTAGAAAATTATATTTTTCAGGAATCCGGAATGATTAAAAAAAATTTTTGTGATGGTATTCAAAATTTCCTGCTGGAAATTTGCAAAAAAATTGGATAATTTTTTCTAAATTTCTGAATTTTTTTGTCAAAACTCATGCCCAGCCCATCAAAAAACCAACCTTTATCATCCTCTCAATATCACTCAAATGTTCCGCATCAATTTTCAATGTCGCATATTTATTCAAAAATCGAATTTCAGCCGATCTTCTTTCAACTTCCGAAACATCAAATCGATTCAAATCTTCCAATTTTTCTAATTTTGCAATAATCACTTCAAATACATTTACTCCTTTTTCACATTCCAAATTTTTGCAATCAAACAATAATTTCTTCAATTTTCCCAATTTTTTCAATTCATTTATACTCGACCATTTTGTTATCAAATTTCCTCGAAGATTTAGAGACTCCAGGTTTTCAAAATCGCCAATTTTATTGATTTCCGTGAATCCACAATTTGATAAATTCAGGTGCAATAAACTGTAATTTATTCATGAAATAATGAATTAATTAAAAAAAAACAGAATAAAACCAACTTTTCAAAATTGCCCGAAATATTGCTGAATTTTTGAATTGGATTATCCTCCAAATCCAAAACTGTGATATTTCTTGATAAATTTTCAGCTATCTCGATTTTATTCAATTCATTTCCAAAGGCAACTATTTCTGTCAGATTTGGAAACATTTTTAGAATTGGTGAAATCTGGAAAAAACAAATTTTCTGAAATAAAAAAAGCTTTTTTCAAACTCACCGATTTTTGTGTTATCTGACATTCGCTTATAACCAATTTTCGACAACTTTCCGAAAAAATTTCATAATTTTCTTCAATTTCTTGCATTCGATTTCGTCTCAAATTCAATTCATGAATCTTTGGGAAATATTTCAAAATATTCTGCACAGTCTTCCATTTATAAATCAAATTTCCATATAAATTCAATTCTCGACAATTTGTGAAAATCGGAGAATTTTGAGGAGGAGCCAATCCAACACATCGATTATCCAAAACAATATTCACCAATTTTTCAATATTACTGCAAAAATTTATTTTTGTATGCTGTTTTCTTTTTATAAAATTTCTTTTAAAAAAAAACCTCTGTTTCATGGCAGTTTTCTGCATTCCAACCAGTTCGATTTTTTTGGATGTTTGAACGAGATCAATCTCATCTTCCACATCATCTTCATCTCCAATATATCTTGATTGAATTTCAGCGAGAAGATCGAGAGGTTTTGTGATGTTTTGGACTTTCACAAGTGAACCGCCAGTTGGATGTCTGAAAATAAACAAATTGTTGTGGGAATGTGAAAAAATATGGGATATATTTATTATTTTGTATTTTTTCTTCAAAGAAATTTTTAAAAACCATTATTTGGATTTCATTTTCATTTTCCCTCTAAAAATGAAACTTAATTTCAGTGTTTTTTTCAGTTTTCTACGCCATTATTCTGAAAATTCTTTTCTACTTCTCAAAATTTGGAAAATATTTAATCAGTAGAATTTTGAAGTTCACAATTTTCCGAATTTTTCTCAATTTTTTCAAAATTATATTTTAAAATTCCCTGAAATGTCTCCCAAATTCACTAACTTTGTCTGAAAATACCGTACTCCTTTGACAATTCCATCATGTTTTCCTCGTTTTTCATCATCCCATTCAACTCCAACCCAAACTTGTTCACCATATCCTTCAACTTTTCCAATGTACAAAATGGTGGCGATCTGTGAATCAACTCGAATTCTTTCCCCAATTTCGAAATCCATTCTAGAATATAATTAAATTTTAAAAAAAGATTCAGACCTTCACATATATTGAGTTTTGACAACTTTCCATAAAGACGTCATAGATGAAAAATATTTGAAATCAAAAAAATACAAAAATTATATCACCAAATGTTTATTTGAACTCCCAGGGTGCAATAAAAGACTAGTGCTAAAAGATATGTGAAATTATTCAAAATATACAAACAAAAAAAGCGGACTAGAGGAAAATGTGAATTGTGTAGATAGGTAGATAGGTAAGATGCTATAAGTTTCATCAGTAATTAATTGAATTATTTTGCTTGTTCAATCTCAGCCGGATCGAAATGATAAGTCGCAGAAAATACCACAAATAATAAAAATGTTCCCATCAAATCTCCAAGTGCTGTTAAATATGGAATCACTGAATTATCCGGATCAATTTTCCATTTCCATAATAAAGCAACAAGAAATTGGCAGACAAATAGAAGAATCATGACTTGAATTATAGCGGCAATCATATAAAATGAGGTAAAAAGTGGGCCGTGTGGTGGTTTTTCGGTTCCATGAATTGCGAAAATCTGAATTAGGAAGTTGAAAAATATATGGCCAGGGACGACGAGGAGAAGAAGAACTCGCGCTGATCGAGAATCCCATTCTGAAAATAAAAAAAATTTGGAAGGGAGATTTTTTGACATATCGCTCAAAAAATAACTGAAAAATAAGAGGTAGAAAAATCGGAATTTGGCTCAATTTTTTGGTAAACCCGATATACTGTAAATCGAATTTGCTGATTTTCAGCAATTTTTCCTTCCACATCATCAGAAAAAAAACTATACCTTTTGAGAAAAACGCTCTTTTGAAACTGACAAATCTGCTGACAATCCAATCATTTGGCATAATTCCAATTTCTCCGCCAGAAGAATGATAATAAGTTGAGATTCTTGATGCTTGAACAGCTGCTAGATTTCCACCAACTCCATTCAAAACCGGTCCAAAAGTACTCAAGCTTGGATATTTTTTGACAGCAAACTCCAAAATAAATCCACCAGCACTGCTGATTAACATTGATGAAATTACAGGAGTCCATCCATTGTATAATGTTTCCTTGGTTACTTCGTGTTTTTTCGCATAATTTGCCCAAAATGGTAAAGCTAGCAAGAATAAAATGATAACTCCAACATTGAGCCATGGTTCAGTTTTATGTGCTCGCAAGAAAATCGAGCCAAAGAACGCCAAAACACTGAGAGTTGTCAAATCTCCGAGAGAAGCAGCGATTGGTGTGGCAACATTATCTGGATTAATGTTGTATTTTCGGGAAGTTACGATAACTGCAGCCATAAGAAGTGATAGAACAAGTGAAGCTGAACAGGCTGTTGCAAGACTGCTTGCACACATCAAAGCACTGTGTGTCCAGTTGAATTGTCCATTTGATGTCCATGCTAAACATGTGGCGAAAGATGAGGCGAGAAATGCAACTACTGTTGCTTGAACTTGGACGAGGGCCAGATTTGAGAATACTATTTCGCGTCTTTGATTTGAAGAATCGAGGTGACCAAGATTTGCCTGAAAAATAGGTGGTGTCACACATGGCATCTTCGCCCAACAGACCCCGCATGTAACGATCTCCCCCTCCCCAAAATTTTGATTCGAGCGAGAATTTTCATTAGCTACCCGCCCAAATCAAAATTTTGATTTGAGCGGGAATTCAAAATTTCCAAAATGATCCCCCCCCCCCCTCAAAAAATTTTTCCAAATGTCATGATCTCCCCCTCACAGTTTTGGGAGCAGTGCCATGTATGTACCACCGTGGTGTTGAAAAAATTATTTTGTAATCGCCTATCGAAACCGCTGATTTTACAGAATTTTGAAAACCAAAAAAACTTTTTTTCAAATTTCTCACTAACCAGGGCTGGGCGGAATCGTCACGCCGATTTGCCAAAATGCCGAGTTTCGCTGATTTTTCGGCAGTTTTTTTTTAAGTCGGCATTACCGACCGAAAATTTTTTCGACATTTGATAGAAGCCGAATTTCGTACCGAATTCAAAATGTGCAGAAATCACAACTGAAATGTTCTCCAGTAAAATAAAAAATGTGTTTTTATCTCTATTTTCTGCAGAATGTCTTGTTTCTAACTTCATTTCTATTGAAATATGACTAAAGTCAAACTAAAATATAATTTTATTCATTTTTCTATCATTTTTTAAAGTTTTTGAAATTTCTGAATCACTGCCAAAATGCCGAACTTGAACAAAATCGGGGTGCCGAATTGCCGAATTGTTTCCGGCAATAAAGTCGGCATCCCGAAATTCCGAAAAAAAATTCGGCACAAGAAGTCGGCGTTGCGAAATGCCGACAAGTAAATTCCGCCCAGCCGTGTCACTAACCAAAGTTGATAGCCGACTAGCCAGTGTCATTTCCAAATTTCCCTTCAATCCCAAAAGCGCCGGAACAAGAATCAGAATTTCCGGAACTTCTTTGAATAATGGCCAAGTTACAACTAATGATAAAACCAATCCAGCAAATACCATTCCAAGTCCAGCAATAACAAAAGGAAATAAGACCTAAAATTGAATTTTTATGTTAGAAACCTTATTTAAATATTAAAATTACCTGGAAAAAGAGAACATAGCTGGATTCAGCTGGTGCTGCTGATGAATTTGCAGTCATTCCCAAATCCAAGGATTTCCTTTTCAAACTTGATGTTTCAGATCTGTAAAAACATCTACAATATAAGAATTAAATAAAAATAATAAATATTTAATAACAGAGGTGATTATAATGTTCAATACAAACAAAACCACCTAAATCCGACAGGAAAAGGTATTAAAAATATTTGTTATAAGTCTGTACTTTGTTTGTTTGGCATCAATATGATGTGCGATTAAAGTGATCATTAAAAATTGCAAATGAAAAACATTTTGTAGTTTTTTTGTTATTATTTTGAAAGATTGATAAGAATATGAATAAACAAAACAACAAAATTTTGGTCCAACCTCGTCATTTTGTTGAACCCTAGTGTTTTCAGTTCTTAGTATTTTCGAATGAGGTCATTTCCGAAATTTGATTTTTTTTTTTTGAGTTCGTAGGTTTAAATAGTGGTAGCAAAACAATCTTTAAAAAATTTTACAAATTGCCGAGGATAATTCCAAGCATCGATTTGTATATAAATTGTCACCAATCCTACGTAATTATTTGTTCCTTTTTCTTTATTAATCAAAAAAAAACTTACAAAACTTTTCCACTTTTATTAACCGCAGTCGTTTCAACATCTCTATCCAAATTTCGTCCAACTTCATCTAATACCATACCAATTCTATCCAAACTCGAAATCCCGTCATGAACTGCGGCTTGATAGTTCTTCTCCTCCTTCCCACCGCCAGGCTTCATTTTTACCTTCCTAAACATTTGTTTTTGAGAATGGCATTCGGTATTTTTTTAGAGAAATATGAGAACAGCAAATTCTACTGTTTGGATTTCAAAGAAAACTTAAAATGTTCAAAAACGGATATTTTATTAGAGATCCAGCAACAAAACAAGTACTAAATTTAAATAAAACAACTCTAATATTTTTTGGTCTTCTTTTCTTCGATTGGTCTGAAAAATGATTCCTTGTCAGCTGGCTCATATCCTTTTTCTTCTGCCCATTTGACTAGATTTCTCCGCATTGCGTAAGCATCTTCGCCATCAGCATAGTATCTGAAATTTGTTGATTTTTTGTATTGACACCAAAACAAAAATTGAAAATAAATTAAAACGTACTTTGGCTCGATGTCATTGACCTCGAATTTCAAAGTATTTTGATAGAGATTCAAAGCAGCTCGATTGGAAACACGAACATGAAGTGAGACAAATTTGGCATTGTATGTTTCAACCATAGCTCTTGCAGTTTGATCCATCATTTTTGCGGCAAGTCCCAAACGCCGATAGCTACGTTTAACAGCCAATGAAGTTATATGTCCATGTGGTTCCTCTCCTGGATCATCTTCCATTTTTGCAAGAACATATCCGACAACATTTCCCTTGTGATCTTCAGCAATATAACTGAGTTGAGGCCAAGTGAGAGCATGATAAAAATAATACTTCATTTGATAGTTTTCGGGAAGACACATGAGATTTGCATGTTGCATACTCATCAAATCTTCTGCTCTTGCACATCGTATATTCATTTTGTTTTTAGTTCTATCGGCTCGTTTTACTGGAAATAAATTCCATTTTTATTAGTCTTCAAAAATCGATTATTAAATGGGTCACGGCGATATTTTCAACAAAAAATTAACGGATCAATATTTAATATCTCATTCCATAAATGTTTTTAAGCAAATAAATGAAAGAACGAGAGAAAGAGAGAGATCACGATTCAATGAAAACCGGAAAAAAAGAAAAATAAATAAATAATCGATCGAAATTATTTTGTGGCAATTTGCCAACAACTGAGTAGCAACTTGGGTTAAAGGCGCACTGGTTGCAAACGGCATTCACTGCGAGACCCATTTCTTTTTTTCTTTTCGTTTTCGAATTTTGTGAACTTTTTTTGCACTTTCAGCCTTAAAACTTGTATTTTACGTTGTTGTAGTAGTTTGCTCTGCCTGAAATTATGCAAATAAATTCATGTTCAATCAAGTTTATCTTTGATATCATTTTGCTAGTGGAAAAATCATGAAATGCATCGTTCTTTTCGAAATTATTCAAACTCTTTGCTTCTAATTTTATTTTCTAGGTAACACTCGACTACAAACATGGGTTACGATTCTCCAAGAGGAGGAAGAGGCGGAGGAGGTTAGTTTTCATATTTTAAGGCTTTGATTAAACTTGCAAATTAAGGTTTCCGTGGCGGACGCGGAGGATTTGGCAGTGGCGGCGATAGAGGACGAGGTGGATTCCGTGGAGGAGATAGAGGAAGATCTCCAGGTGGTTTCCGTGGCGGTCGTGGGGGATTTAGTGATAGAGGACGCTCTCCAGGAGGATTCAGAGGCGGAGACCGAGGACATTCACCGGGAGGACGTGGCGGATTCAGAGGCGGAGATAGAGGACACTCACCTGGAGGTCGAGGAGGATTCAGAGGAGGTGACAGAGGTCATTCACCAGGAGGTCGTGGTGGATTCGGAGGAGATCGAGGAAGATCACCAGCTCGCGGAGGTTTCGGCGGAGGTGACTCTGTCGGACGTCGTGGAAGAGGAGATTTCACACCACGTGGCGGTAGAGGTGGATTCACTCCACGCGGTGGATTTGAACAGAGAGGCGGTCGTGGACGAGGAGGTTTCACACCAAGAGGCGGTCCACGTGGCGGTTTTGGGGATAAGAGACGGTCTTTCGGTGGAGACGATGAAGATGAAGATGAAGAGGTCGAAATCCCAGAGAAAAAAGCCAAATCTGCTGCAAATACACCAAAGAAACCAGTGCCAGTAGAAGAATCAGATGAAGAGTTTGATGAAGAAGATGAGGAAGAAGAGGAGAGTGATTCTGAAGAAGTAGCAGCACCAGCATCTGCGAAGAAAGTTGCAGTCAAAGCAGCTGCTGTAGCAGAAGATTCGGATAATGATGAAACTGATGACGACGAAGAGGAAGAAGAAGGTATTATTTTAAAAAGAAAACTTACAAAAATAAAACGACATAATTCCAAATGAAATGTGTTCATTGTTCGTCATTAAAAGAATACATTGTTTGTTTTGGAACAAAATATAAAACATCATTAGAACAGAAATATTTATATTGATTTTCAGGATCAGATGATGAAGATGTTGCTCCACAAAGTAAACGACAAATTTTGAACTCGGCTCATGCTGCTTTGGTTGAAGACGAAGAAGAAGATGAAGATGAGGAGGATGAAGAAGAAGAGGATGAGGAGGACGAGGAAGAAGAAGAGGAGGATGAAGAGGAAACCGAACCAGTTGTCTCAAAAACTCCAGCTCTCAAAAGTTCGTTGAAAACAGCCGATTCCACAAAAGGAAAACACGTAGATATCGCTTCTGCTGCAACTCCGGTGACTGCTTCAAAAAAGACACCGGCAACACCTCATCCAGTCAAAACTCTCAAGAATGGTGAGAAAAATGTTGCTACATTGAATTTTGACGACGACAGCGATGAAGAAGACGAAGATGAAGAGGAGGAAATTGACGAGGTATTTAATTGTGAAAACTAAATTTGAAAGAGTGTAACAATTCTCAAAATCATATATATTTCAGGACGAGGAAGAAGAAGAGGATGAAGATGATGTTCCAGTTATCAAATCCAAAGCCGATCTTCTCAAAGCTATTGCAGCGAATCGGGCCGCTGCTCAACAAGCAGAAGATAGTGATGAAGAAGAGGATGAGGTATGTTGTAGATTTTTTACATTTCCAGTGCTCAAAATATAATTTTGTTTATTTGCAGGAAGATGAAGAAGATGAGGAGGAGGAGGAAGAAGAGGACGAAACTCCGGTCGCAAAGCCAACTCCTGTAAAAACACAAAGTCTTTCTCAAATAGCTGCTCAAATTGGTGACGATAGTGATGAAGAAGACGAAGAGGATGAAGAAGAAGAAGAGGAGGAGGATGAAGAAGATGAAGAGGAGGAAGAAGAGGAAGTCGTTCCAGTCGTAGCCAAGAAACAACCGGTTGCCAAAGTTCAGGAAAAAGTTGCGGGTAACAAGAGAAAGATTGAAGAGCCAACTCCAGTTGTATCGAAACAACCGAAGAAAGCGGTTAGTTTATTAGACGATAATCTTATTTTTATCGAGAATTGTTTTTTTTTACAGGAATCTTCGGCTATTGTTAGTGAAGAAATTAGAAGACGAAACGACAGAGATGAAAGATCTTTGTTCGTGAAGAATATTCCACATAAGGCTAAAGACGAAGAGATTCTCTCACTTCTCACTGGTGTTGATTCGTTCCGCCGGAAGAAGCACGCTAATTTCGGGTGGATCGTTTTCACTTCAGCTGCTGATTGCGTTAAAGCACACGGAATTTTGTCGAAGACTAAACTGAAGACCGTAGCATTGTTTGTTGATTTTTGCGGTTCGAAATCGGCTAATGCGACATCAAGTATGTTTTATGTTTCAATAAAAAACGATGCTCATCTTTTTTTCAGAAGAAAATTGTGAACGACCAATCAATCCACTTCAATTGTTCATCAACGCTCTTCCAGGCACTGCCACAGTAAATGATTTGAAAGTTATTTATTCATCTTCAACTGATATCAAATTTCTCCATCCACGATCTAATCCAACATCGAAACGGTCAGTTTTATCACAATTTCATCATTTATCAATAAAAATTTTTGCAGAAGCGCATTCATCACTTTCGGATCTGAAGCTGACGCGAAAAACGCATTCGACAAATCTCGTGGTTTGAAAATCAAGGAGCAATTGGTCGATGTTTTCTTCGCCAGACAACAAGAAAATCAACAAGCGAAAACAAACATTCAACCAAAATCGAAAGCTGCACCACCAAAGAAAGCAGCTGCTCCAGTAGTTGCTGATTCAGATGATGATAGTGAAGATGTTGCATCAAGTGATGAAGGAATCGAAGAAGTCGAAGAACAAGTTCCAAAAAAGAAGGTTCTCGTGAAAAAAGCTCCAGTTCAACAACAAAAGCCAATTGCACGAGTTCAACAATCGAATAAACCTCAATTCAAAGGTGGCAAACGAGGTGGAAGAAGATAAACAATTTTGACAATTTTTGTTGTTTTTTGTAACATACTCCAATTCGTTACCAGTTATTTTTCCTATTCTCATTATCATTTTTTTTTGGAATTGTTCTCATTATTCAGCATTACCACTGCCTTTCCATTCATTGTTTTACCAAGTTATTCCATTTTTTTTAATTGTTATGTTCCCCCCATCAATTTGTTCTGTTTTTTATTGTTTTTGGCTAGGAATGGTTGTATAGGTGTGTTGCCTTATTATTGTTGACTTGTTGAAAAATTGTTAAATAAAACTATGAAAAATATTCATTTTATCAATAGATTTAAATATAAGCGTATTTCAAATTACTCGTTCAAAAGGAGATCCAAATTAATTGTCTATTTAATTATGAAGTGATATTTTTTATGATAACAATTTACCACTTGTACATGGAGTACGGTAGATTGATGGAATCGATAAATGTCGTTTGGCAGGTGGAGCATTCTGAAAATCATATTATTTTTGAAAAAGGAGAAGCTCAAAGTTTAAAACATACAGTAATCGCATAACTTTCTGTTCGAGACGCAGGCGATGCAAAATGTGAATGCCACATTGTTCGAAGATCTCGAAATTGGCGAGTAAACACAAAATATAACTGAAAATTTATTGATTTTTTCCGAGTTTCGCGAAGTTTAGTTACAAAAATTGGTCATTTAGAAAATACTAGATTTTTAGAAATTATTTCTAAAATTCCACGTCAAAAATATATAGGTCACGTGAAAAAATTCAAAGTACTTATTCAATTTAAATTCTGAACTCTGAGAATTATTTCTAAAATCCCACGTTTTTTGAGACCAGAAAGAATTTGGGTTACTGTAATTCAAACATAAATTGAATTTTGATTTTTTCAAAAATTTTGAGCCCCTATAAAACCCCTTTGAAACCTACATTACTTATATTTAAATCTCCTTTCCCCATTTTTAAATCATCAAAAATCTCACCAAAGGATTAGTAAATGAATAAATATTGAATAACAAATTAATAACATCTTTGAGAAGTACAAACATATCCGAAGTTGCATATTTTTCTTGATCCACAAATCGAATTGCTAATCCGCCAGTATGACAAAGAAAAAACATTGTTACGATTGAAATCAGTAAAGTGACAGATCGTCTTTCTTGAGCAAATCGAGATTTGTGGTCGAAACTAACACGGCGATTCGAAATATTTGTCAGAATTCGAAAATTGAGAACTGATAGAAGAAGAAGAGGTATTAAATATACCATTAATGGGTATAACAAATTATCGAGCTGAAAATCATTGTTTGATTTTAATTCTTTATAATTTCTTATCCCATATTTTCACAGCTTACTATAAAAATTCAGAAAAATTAATCTAGGAAAGTAAACTTGTCAGAAATCTAACCTAAATCTCATGGTTAATGATATTTTCCCAGAAATCAATGATCAAATAATTCAGAAAAGCTGAAAAAATGTGGGTCAATGATTAATTGAATTTTCTAAATTTTTCGCTGAAAACAGAACAAATGATCTTTGAAAAACCACCTAAATTCAACATGGAATATTTTCGAATTTGAATCTTGTTATAGTATTTGTATAGCTGCTTCTGAATTTTCTGAAACATAAAATTTTGAAAAAAAACCTCGAATGCTGAATAATTTTTGGAGCACCCAAAAAATCACTTCTCCAGTGAATAAAAATAATTTTTAAAAAAATGTTATCGAAATTAGACTTTCACAATTTTTAGCTGTCCAAACTTCATATATTCCCAAATTCAGATTTCCAAAATGTTCTGAATATTTTTTTGGATAAAGAATTTTGAAGCGTTTGATCCTAAGTCTCCAAAATTTTCCCCTAGTCAAAATCAACTAACCACTCTATGATAATGTTCATTATTCGCCAAATCCGACATTTCATGCGCTAGAATCCACCTATGATCTGTCGCATTTTCATTTTGGTTTTCATCCCAAAACCAATGAAATTCAGCCCATTTACAAGAATTGAATACCAATGCCAAAAATGCGATAAATAATAATGGTTTGAATGGTTTTGATGGATTATACATATTTGATAACGGACGAATTATTGCCTGATAAATTCAAGATTTGAAAAAAAAATTGAGTAGACAAAACAAGTTACTCTATGTCTCTGTATAGAAATAAAACAAATCGTCCAAATGCTGGCACAATTGAAAGCTAATAAAAGTGGAGACAAAAGACCGGTTGATAAATAAGCTAGTTGACCTGAAATTAATTAATTAATTAGTTAATGTTTTCAATAATAAAAAAATACCTATGGTCGAGAATTCAGATTGATCTGAAAATTCATGAAATGCAGGTAGAAAAAGGACTAGAAATGAGAAAAATAATTGGAAACAATCACAGAATGATAGGAATATTAGAGCCTGCAAAAACGTTTTTTTTTAAATGAAAATAAAGATTTTTTGGAGGAACTTACCGGAACTAAAGGGTGACCTCGCGTTTTGAAAAATACAATAAGACATCCGATATTCAATGCGAGTCCTAGAAGAAAGCCTTTTGTGTTATTACTTATAAGTTTCTGGAGTTAAGCTAACTTACCAATAGAGCATACGATTGGTAAAAGCCACAGATTCAAAATACAACCGAAGAATCGTGCGCCAACAAAAGAATTGCACATCTGAAACATTTTCAGATTAATTTTTAAAGATTGAAAAAATATAAAGTTCCAAAGTTCTTTTATTGATTTTATATTCAGAAAAATCTAGAACTGACACCTGAAATAAAAATAAAAATTCTAAAAACGATACGAAAATACTTTCAAACAAAAAAGTGACAAATTCAGATTTAAAATGTGAAACCCTATTAGTTTTCGCCTGCCTGCAGGAAAAATTTAAGATTTCGAAAATCAAACGATTTTTAATCTTCCATCAAAAATAGAACAACAAGGAAAAAAAGCATTTTTTGACATGCGGAAAGAAATATTTGACAAATGGGGGAGGGAAAAAAGTTCCAAAATAAATAGTTTCCAAGTTCGCAGAAAGGAAACATTTTTCTGGAGTTTTTTCTGAGAAATCCTCTGGATCTACGAATACTCTAGAGATAAATATTTCAGTTTCTACTCAAAATTTGATTGCAAAATCCCGGTATAATCCTAGATTTTTGATAATCTAAGATCACTTGATTTCATATATTAAAAAATTCAAAAAGATTTCAGTTTTATCTAAATATCACGAGAGAAATCGGAAATTCAAATCTTCGAACATTTTTCAGACTAGATTAAATTTTGAATTTCCTGTTTCGGAACTCCGAAAAATCAAAGAATCCAAGATTACTCAAAATTCAAGGAGGAATCCATTTTTCTGTTTTCATATTTTCAGAAAATGTCAGACGGAAATTTGAATCTTCGAACATTTTTAAACTTTGAATTTCCTAGTTTGGAATGTTTTGTTGAAATTTGATCGTGGAATGCAAGTTTTTTAGAATAATTTTTCAGTTGTTATGATGGTTTAGAAACTTTCATATATTTAAAAATCTGGAATTTGTTGGATTAAGTCTGAAAATTGATCTGTAAAATAAAATAGAATAGTTCTGACGTACCTAACAAAATTTTCTAATATAAAAGCCCAGAAAAAAGTCTATCAAAGTGCAAAAAAATGAAAATTTCAAATTAATTCCTATCACAAAAACGGAAGTTCGAATCATTGAACAAAAAATGATCAATTTTGGAGACTAGACAATTTTTAATATTGGCTTCTATGTTGCAAAAAAAAGTTTTGTAACTTTTTTTTCGGAATTTTAATTTGAAATTTAGCCTGATATCAAAATATTTTCCAGCTCACTTTGTTCAAAATGAACAGGAAATAAAATTCATCTTTGCTTAAATGCGATCATTAAAAAAGTTGCTAACGTCAAGAAAAGATCTTGGAAAATTAGGAAACTATTCGAAGAAAAAATGATGAATTAGAATTAATTGATGTCTCGCGAAGGTCTTTCTAAAAACTTCTTCTTCTCATATTTTTCGACAACTAAAAACTCGTGAGGAAATTGCTTTGCAAATTGATATAAGTCACGCAAACTGATTAAATTTGTTGTTGATTTCTTCTTCCACAGCCAGAAAATGAGTAATATAACTTTTCTAGATCTAGCTTTATGCAGAGAAAAATATCTGTGCGTGCAAAATAAATAAACGGAAAAAATATTAATGAAAAAAGGAGAAATGATGCATAATTAAAAATATTTTATTTTTGTTTTATTCATTCTCATTTTTATTTCAAAAAAAAATTCTCGAAAAAATCTTGATTCGACTTTTTCTCCGGCAGAAAATAAACACAAATTATTTAGTCATGTGTGAAATTTAAAGGACACTGAAAATATTAATAATAATTATTATGGCAAAAGCGTAAAACAGGCCCAGACTGCAAGAAATACTGTAGTTTGAGGCTTACTGTACCGTAAATTACAAAGGTACTGTAGCCGCAGAGAATTTTCGGGATCACACGAACTGTAAGGATTTTCCTAGGACTATTTCAGATTACAAGATTACTGTAGCCTACGAGATACTGTATCTCGAATTGCAAAGAGTACAAGTTTCATAAAAAAATAAACCAAAAAATCAGAATATTCCAATAATATTATCAAAAATTCAAAATTTCTAAGAACTTCAATTTAAAAAAATTTCAAAAAAAACTTCGGATATAAAAAAAACAAAAACACTTTTTTTCAAAAATTGCGAAAACGTCAGTTTTTTTTCTCTCGAGAACAACTGGTCATAATTTTTTTTGCGGTGCCGGGGCTTTTTTGATGTTCGATAGGAGAATACTCAAAAAAAAGTTGTATTTCATGTTTTTCTTTGTTTTTTTGCGGCTCGATAGCCGGAAACACACATCACATAAATTTTTCTGGCGGTTTTTTGTTTTGAAACCCAACCAAAAAACGGCAAAGCACCAAAAAAGAAGAACAAGTTCGCCATTTCCCTTTTGATTCAAATAAGTAATGTGATTTTGGAACTTTTCGGGTTCTGAATAAATTTTCGGGGAAATGTCTTTAAAAGTGTGTCTAGATAGAAAGGTTATGAGTAAGGTTTGTGATGTTGGAAAAAATTGCATCGAAGAATAGATAAATCATTTCAAGACAAAACACTTTTTAATCCGAAGAGAGAAAAGGATTAGGTTTGGAAAATGTTGAACTTTAGAATTTTTCAAAGGAAAAGTTCAGAAATGAATCCTAGATCGGAAAGCTGTGAAAAAAATTGTAAAATTCTATGAAAAATGTTGGAAGAATAAAAAATTTTGTATTGGAAGAATATATCAAAAACCTGAGCTGTGTGAAATGCCACGTCATAGTTTTTTGAAATTCAATTTTGGAAGTTCAGAGTTTCATAATACGTGGTACAACATTTCAGATTTCTGATCTCCATCAAAAAACGATCTAACAATTCAATTCGATTCAATTCTCCAGACACTATCCCCGCCGGAAAAAACAACAAAACCCTCAAAATAATAATGAGTAACTATAGCTACAAATTTAATTCAAGCTCTCGCCTCTTGCTTTAACGCCACACCAAAAATAAACCCGATCGAAAACAAAATTCGAATTCAATTCAATTCAATTTTTGTGTGACGAGATGAGATGAACAGAAGCCAAATAATATTCAATTCTTTTTTGCCGTGGCTTCGTTTTCCAAAATTTTTTGTTTTTTTTTTTTTTTTGAAAAACACAGAGACAAGCACATGTAATTGAAGATGAGCAATCAGTTCAAGTTTTATGGGAAGAAAAAAAAGAAGAGAGGAAAATGAGAGAAAAAGATTAGAACAATTCATTTGTTTGATGCTTTTATGAGCAAGCTGACAATTGTTTGGAACAGATGAAACAAAACACAACAATTTTTTGAATATAAAAATGTTTGAAGTTTTTTAATTTGAAAGAAGGGACTAGAAAAAATCAGTAAAAAATTGAGCGAATCCCGGATTGCTCCAAATTTCTTTGAAATTTTTCAGAATCCTTCAAAAAGATTCTGCAAAAATGTATCCTTCAAATTTCCGGTTTTTTCAGAAAAATTGCATTTTCGTCATCTCATAACTTTTTTTGAGGAAAATTAAAATTTCTCGTCTCAATTCTGAACACGTGGCAAATTTCGGAAGTTCAGGAAAATTCTGGAAATCCTTTTTTTTTCGGAAATTAAATTCCACAAAATTTTTTGAAAGTTCAATTTCGAATTTTCATCAAGGAATACAATCTAGTTCTAGAATTTTGAAATTGCCACGTCATAACTCAATTGTTTTTCCGAAATCGCCCCATAAAGTTTACATAAATGCGAATGAGATAAGTACTAGTATTTCTTTAGAAATACGAGAACTCTCACATTCATATATTAACAAGATAGAATTTTCCCAAATATAAAAATAGACTGAAACTTTAGATACTTCTTCTTTCTTCACTTACAACTTGTCAAAAAAAAAAGAAATTGGAATTTTTCTCAAATTTTGAGTCAAAATGAGTGTAGCTTGATGATGATGATGAAAAATAAAACTAGTACATTTCAAAAGTCAAATCCCTAATCTAATAATCAAGCACATTTACATTTTGAAAAACATTACATTTTGAAAAATGAATAACACAACATTTTAGGCTAATGATAAAATGCAATAGGGTGAGAGGAAGAGATTTAGAGAAAAACATAAAAGAATTCACGTTTTGTTGATTATTCGCGTGAACTCTTGTCGCCTCGCTTCATTTTTCAAAAAACACATTGAAAAATAATACATGTGTGTATAGCGCTTGGCCATTTGTTTGATCAATGTCGGCGATACGTTTGAACGACCTCTCAGAAAATGTTCGAAAAAATGGAGTTTTTGTTCTCATTTGAGCACGTTTGCCCACTAAAAACGTATGTTTTCTCTAGAATCTCTCTCCTCTCACCCAATTGCGTTTCGGAACGTTGTGTAATTCCAAAAAAATCAAGAAAAAGCTTAAATTACATTTGTGAGTGAGTAAAACGAAAAGACCAATTAATCCTTCTTTTTTCTCCATTTTTCTGCTGATGAAAAAAAAAGAAAAAATAAAATAACAAATTTGAATGCACTTTGGTTCCGAGCCGGAATTTATATATCTTTATGAAATATTTTTCCAATATTCATTTTTTTTTTGAAAAATAAAAAAAAATAAAAGAGAATGGAGGAATGTGTCGAAAACATTCATAAATGCGTTTTTTTATTAATTTATTTTTTTTATAAATAAATATCTATATAGAATCATTTCATTTTCGAAGAAAATCTCATCTGAAGTAGATTATAATACTTATTTGTATATGTATTTTTTAACTAGGCAAAACAATGGAAAGCTAGAGTGATACCATAAAACAAATATATTTGAGTATGCCATAAATTATTCGTTTCCTGCGAGAGAAACGTTTTAATCTGAATAGAACATTAGTTTTCTCAGACAACAAACTTGGAGAATTTGGAGCAAATTCCATTTTTCCATTGGTTTTGTAGTCTTTTTGAAATTATCGAATATCTAAACAAAAAATGTAAAAACTTTACCTCGTCGAAAAAATTATTCACAATAAAACGAAAAATACGATATTAATTATACAACAATTGTTAAAAAAAAATAAAAATAAATAAGTTATTTTTTGAAAATGCCAGAAATGTAATCGAAAAGCGATGCCTCCTTACAATGTTGCCAATTTTTATATGAGAGCAACATTTCGTAGAGCATACCTGCAAAATTTTGAAGAATAAAAAAATAAATTATAATTTTCTAGGAGCGCAAATGAAACTTATAATGCTATTGAGCTTTAGAGTTTGAAATATTATGAAAACACTTATTATTTTTTGACATTTGGATTTCGGGGGGAATTTTTGAGCCAAGTCATAACTATATTTTCTAATCAAACAAATTAATACCATGGCTCGCAGGCCCTTTTCGTCAGTTTCTGATTGAAATTTTCCTCCATTTTTTCATCACAAACCTGCAGTACAATTATTGCTCTTCAAAATTCCAACAATATTATTCAACTTAATCGCCAAACGTCGATCTTCAAAAGTGCAAAAAATCAAAGGTCTTTTGGTGATTGTTGCCGCCAAAACTTGTTGCATTGCCTTCAATTCTTTGTTACCACGAAATGCACCACAACCCCACCAACCAGTTGTGATTGGCGGATTTTTTGAGCAATATCGAGGAGCCGTGAAACCAGCGAGCAACTGAAATAAAAATATAAGGTATAAATTATTCAGAATATTAGACAAAATAACACTTCTTTTTTTGTTTATAGACAAACCTTATTAATTTCTCGATTAATCGAATAAACATTGAATTGACATAAATAATTTCTGCCACTATAACTATAATCAATAGCATCAACAGCAATCAATTCATTGATATATCTTCCATGCTTATCTTGATTATTGTTCAATTTTGCATCGATCTCATGTAATGGCACCCATATCAAATTGTCTGAATATCCTTCATACGAACTATAAGTTTTGGCTCCAACAATTCGAATCGATTCACCATCTTCCATAATTTCACACAACAACATGGATATCATCATTTCTGGACACATCAAAAAACGAATTTCCTCTTGAACAGCTCCTTCGTTGAGAACTCCACCTCCAATATATTTATTCGCGAAATCCATTTGACTACATCCATGAGCATGTTCAATTTTCAAACCTGTTGAAACGTGGAATACAAGATCATTTATTTTTGATTCATTATTTTTCAATTCCCAAGATGACTTCGGATCAGATTTAGTTCTTCGGAATGTCACTTTTTCGGTCAATTTTGATTCATTTTCTTCAGCGTTTCGAATAGTTTCGAAATAAGTCATTATAAATTTGACTTTCTCCAATCCTACATTTTTATCCGAAGAAAAAATGCTGAAATATAAAATTATTAGATTTAACGAAAAATAAAATTAAAATTACTCACTGAAAAAAGGAGTTCTGTTTTGGACAAATTCCAAGAAACATATTAGCCAAAATAATCGAGCATTGCTTCCGAGTAAACGTAACTGATCCTGGACGGTTTTTCACCAAACGTGGTATTTTTGACGGTAAACTATCAGATTGTTCAGAAAGATCGACAATATAACGAAACAATTCAAGAGTTTCTTCGGCTTTTCCACAATCCTTTTGTTCTTCGAAATATGAATAAAGAGCATGCAATCGCCCTCGTCGTTTGATATTGATAGCATGAATATCATAAATCAGGGTCTGAAATATGAAATATATGGATTTTCAAAACTTCAAATTAACCAACTTCTAAAGCATGATATCCATTCGACCAGTGAATTTCATAACAATCGAATAACCGTTTGATATCCGGACATAACCTTGGCTTAGATTCTTGAGATCCTTCCTGAAATACGATGTTTATTAATCAAATGTCATCAAGAAATTCATAATTATTACCGAACGCCTAGAACAAAACCAATTTTGCCATACTTCTGTTGGAAAAATATGTTTGTAATATTCTGTCTTTCCGGCTATCCAATCAATTAGTTGAGGCTTGCTCAAATCCGGATCGAAACACGTTTTGGTGGCGGCAAATTCATCGAGCAATTCTTGCAATTCTTCTGATAGGTTAACATTTGCGTGTTCAATTGGTGAATTGCTTCGACTTTGATTAGCAAATCTTGATGGTCGAGAAGTAGATAGTTGCTGTAATTAAAAAAATAGATTTCAATTCACTATGGATATTATTATTTACCGAAGAAGTTGAAACCATTCGCGAACTTCCATTGACAATGCTTGATGATTTCTGGAAAAATTTCAAAATCGTGAATTCAAACAAAAAACCCAATAATTCTCACCTCATCAATAATTTCCTCATCCTTGTCTTTTTCTACCTTGATTTTTTCCTCAAAATCTTCAGATTCCTCAACTTTGGCTCGTTTTGCAGAAGGTATTGAAGATTGTGAACATTCCGTAGAGGTTGTGATATCCATTGAGCGGAGACCTAGTTCTGCTTCTTCTTCCTCTTCTACTTCTTCTTTTACATCATATTTCGCTTTTTTCTTTGGCACATTCTGCACAAAAACTTTTTCTTCTTTCAGTTCTACTTTTGGTTTTTGTTCTTGTTCTTCATCCTTCGATATTGTTGGCTGAGAATCTGCGACAGTGTCATTTTCAAATGACTTGTCTGAAGCATCTTGGAATTCATCATCAATCTTCAAACTGTTGTCTGCACTATCATTATCTCCGAATACATCCTCGCTTTTTGATTCCGGCTCGCCTGATCCTGATATACCATCTAATAAGTTTCCCATATCAGCAGTATCTTTTGTCATATTTGGCCCGTCGACTAACAAAATATGCTTCGATTTTGTCTTATCAAGACAATTACTGGGATTCCGAAACTTGCTATTTGGCGCGTCTTTGTGTGCAACTCCAACCCCGATATATTGTTCGTAGAAGTTTTGCTGCAACAAGAAAATTCGAAATTTGTTTTTCAAAAATGAGAGAAAAACTAGATATTACAAGTTCACTACTTTCGGAAATCGAGGATGGTTGATTCATAAAAATACGCTTCGAGATATATAAACACTTGCGCTCAGTCTGGAATGAGAAATATGCGAATTGGATACACGGAACGAATCCCAAACCTAAAGAAAGAACGGAAAAAATAAGAGTGTATGTCAACACCGACTGCCCGCAAACACCAAATCCTACGCGCAACCTTGACGCGAAATACGCGCTGTGTGTTTTCGCGAAGAAATTTCTGGGGATTTTTAAAAATTGGGAACCCCCAGATTTTAGAAATGGACACGTCTGAAGTATAACATATGGGAACCCTGAGAATCTCTCCAATGTCGCTTTTCCCTTGGAGAATACTAGTATGAAGAAGTAAAATGTTTCCCGCGCGCGGGCCGCCCGAAAAAAAACAAATTTTGAATCCGTGTATAGAGTACGGTTTACGTGCCGAGACCAATAACTTCGTGACAAGACTCATTCAAAACACACGCGCGCCTTTAAACAAGGAGTACGGTTGCCGTGTTTTCATTTTTTTTCTGAAATTTCGCGAATGCGTGCCAAAATGGCAATTTGGCGAATCATTTCATAACGTTTTCATGTGAAAAATATCATAATAGGACTAATAATAGTAATTTGCCAATTATTTTTTGTAATTATTCACCTAGTTATTTTTTCTGAACTTTCTGAAGCCAATTCTTCGTAGTACTAGTTTTCCTTTTTCTTTCCAAAAATATGAAATACTTACTCTATGTTGTGTTGATTTCAATTGAAACGACAAAAATCAAATTTCGAATTCGGCCCAAAACACGCTCACACAATTGCGTCAATACTCAACCACATGACACACAAATGACTTCCAACATTGACGTTTTTTTTGAAAAGAAAGAAAAGCGTGTTATTTACGTGTTCTATTTTATCCTTGATTTTCATTTAGCTTATTTGATTCTAAAATTAATTAATTTCAGACCGAATCATGGTGTTAGCCGATTTGGGAAGAAAAATTCGCAATGCGATCGGTAAACTCGGTCAATCAACAGTTATCAATGAGGAAGAATTGGATGTTATGCTTAAAGAAGTTTGTACAGCTTTGATTGAATCCGATGTTCATATCAGACTTGTTAAACAACTCAAAGACAATGTCAAGTAAGTGCTTTCATAGTTTTCATATACATTCATTGAATTCTTTTCTCTAGATCCGAAATTCGTATCGATGAAATGACAGGAGGCGCGAATAAAAGACGATTTATCCAAAAAACAGTATTCAATGAGCTCTTGAAACTTGTCGATCCAGGAGTTACTCCATTTACCCCAACCAAAGGAAAACGTAATGTTTTTATGTTTGTCGGTTTGCAAGGTTCCGGTAAAACTACAACTTGTACCAAAATGGCGTATTATTATCAAAGAAAAGGTTGGAAAACTTGTTTGATTTGTGCTGATACTTTCCGTGCTGGAGCTTTCGATCAATTGAAACAAAACGCAACAAAAGCAAGAATTCCATTTTATGGTTCATATTCGGAAATTGATCCAGTCAAAATTGCAGCGGAAGGAGTCGAAAAATTCACTGTAAGCTGGTTTTCTTTGATTAATTTTCATTAGAAAATAAATTGATTTTCAGCAAGAAGGTTTTGAAATCATAATTGTTGATACATCTGGTCGACACAAACAAGAAGCCTCACTTTTCGAAGAAATGTTACAAGTTTCAAATGCAGTCACTCCAGATAATGTTGTTTTCGTTATGGATGCCTCAATTGGTCAAGCTTGCGAAGCACAAGCCAGAGCTTTCTCTCAAACTGTTGATGTTGCAAGTGTTATTATTACTAAATTGGATTCACATGCGAAAGGAGGAGGAGCACTTTCAGCGTAAGAAAAAAAATCATTTATTAAATATTTCGTATGTAATTTTGAATTTTTTAGCGTTGCTGTCACGAAATCACCTGTAATTTTCATTGGTACCGGAGAACATATTGATGACTTCGAAATTTTCAAACCAAAATCATTTGTTCAAAAATTGTTAGGAATGGGAGATATTGCGGGACTTGTTGATATGGTAAATGATATTGGAATGCAAGATAATAAAGAACTTGTTGGACGACTGAAACAAGGACAATTTACACTTCGTGATATGTATGAACAATTCCAAAATATTATGAAAATGGGACCATTTAGTCAAATTATGGTAACTATTTTTCGTTTCCAAAGTTTTTTATTTTTCGAGAAATAATTTATTCATTTTGCAGAGTATGATCCCAGGATTTGGCCCAGAATTTATGACGAAAGGAAATGAACAAGAATCTGTAAATCGGCTGAAGAAAATGATGACAATAATGGATTCAATGAGTGATAAAGAATTGGATCATCCAAAAGCTTCGGATTTATTCACAAAAGAATCGGCAAGATTAGTTCGAGTTGCAAGAGGATCGGGTAGTTTACAAAATGAGGTCAAAGAATTGTTATCACAGTATAAGAAGTTCTCGGATATGGTGAAAAAGATTGGATCGATCAAGGGATTGTTTAATGTGAGTTTTTTTTCTGGGGGAGAAACATTTGTCTGGATAATTCTTCAAAATTCTTGGTCAGACCTGAATTTCCAAAAATTTTCTTCTATCAAATTTCGGACGAAATCTCATTAGATTTACTAAACCCTTTTTCCAGGGCAAAACTGGTGATATGAATCCAAAAAACATGAATCCTCAAAAAATGGCGCAACTAAATCAACAAATGGCAAAAATGATGGATCCACGAGTTTTGGCACAAATGGGCGGTATGGGCGGTTTACAGAATATGATGCAACAAATGGCACGATCTGGAAAAATGTAATAATTTTTATGTATTCATTTTCTGTTAGCTGTTATTTACATTGTCCTATACATATCCTCTGGATTTGACTCGTTTTCCCCCTTTTTATTATTATTTTTCACACAACTATTGATTAGTAGTGTAAATAATTTATTTTTTGCCTTTTTTCGTTCATTAAAGATTTCTATTTTTGTATATTATGTTCAGAATTCAAATATTCGTTAAAATTCAACGAACAATTTATTTAGTTCCCCTTTTGAAAGAAAGTTCTCAAAACTCTAACATGAAAAGAAATGCCGCCGAAAACGAGAAAGCAAAAAGTGGAAAAAACCGAAGATGGAGAAGAAAATGAGGAAATAGAGGAAGCAAAACCAGCTGCAATTCCAGAATCAGATTCAAGTTATGAAAGAAAATTTATAATTGGGAAAAATGTGGCGAATTCGAAGATTGTGAAATTGCGTCATCCGAAAGAAGGATTCGCGTTGTTTCGAATTTCAAAATCAGATTTCGATGAAGTTTTATGTATTGATGATGGAAATCGATCTTGGTTTTATGGAGAATCGGTGATTGAAAATGGACAAATTCACTTATTCGCTCCATATAATCCGATATTTGTACTTCTCCCTTATCTTTATTCCACGAAAGAAAAGTTTTTGGAAATTGATGAGATTTTGAAAGATCCCGAAACTCAAGAATTGAGGGAAAATGAGCGAATTATTGAAATGTTGGAAAACGTGGCAGATATAAAAGATGCAATCGATACAAAAGTATATCGATTGAATGAAAATAAAATGTTGGAATGGATTAGAAATCGATTTGAAGTGTTGAAAGAAGAATTGAAGGATGAAGTTCATAAGTCACTTATAGAATGTGGTTAGTTTTTAGGAAATATTTCTTGTGTTTGTTTCTCTATTCCAAAAATCTTGAATTTTTCAGAAGAAGCCTACGATCGTTATGTTTTCAATTTCCTCTCTGATTATCTATCAACAAACATCGCTCAACTCGCCAAACAACATTTGAACATCAAAGAAGCCGAAAAATCTGAAAACATCGATATGAGTATGAAACGGAAAATAATCGATGAAAATGACGAATATATTCAACCAGTTGTAAAGAAACCAAAAGAATCGATTGCGACAAAGAAATTGCAAGCGGCTAGCAAAGGAACTAAATCCATCAGCAGCTTTTTCACTAAAAAATAACTTTATTGACTTAGTTTTAAAATTTTTCACTTGATTTTTTTTTGAATTACGGTCTCACGGAACTATGAATCTCACTTATTTTTTTTCTGTTTATGTGTTTATTGATTGATTGAAAAACGAGTTTGAGAACTCTGAAAATATCGGTTTTTGAGTTCTTCAAAAATTACAAGAAAGTCTAATGTTTCAGCTCCAAAAATGTCGAGCCGTTTGGCGGCTTCTCGAATTGTTCAAGCTGGTCGAGGAATTGGGCAACCAACTGCATTTGGAAAACGAATGGATCGATTAACGAATCGAGTTTGGGGAGAAGTTGTTATGCCGACTGATGTTAAAAGTTTGAAGGTTAGTATTTTTGGTGGATTTTTGGTTTAAAAAATGGAAATCTTATAAAAAAAAGTTATTTATCTGGGTTTGAAAATTGAAAGAAAACCCATATAGAAAAAAATCAAAATTTCCCGATTTTCAATTTTTTCTCAAATTTATGTACTCGTTTTCTGCTCCTTGACATTTTTTGGAATAATCTTGCCAATTTTAATTTAATTTTTTTTTCCAAAAATCTCTCCCAATTTTTGAAACCTAATTGAATTATTATTATTTTGTATAGAATTTCTATTCTGACTAAAATACAAAATTGGAACAGTGAATTTTTTTGTTGAAAAAAAATCAAAATTTTGGGAACTTTACTACCAAATTCAAAACAAAATTCACTCCCAATTTTGCAGGTTGTCCGTGTAATGTCAGCTGAACCATATGAACAAAAAGATCAATTATCACCCGAATATTATCCAAATCTACCAATGTTCCATTATTTGACAAAAATGCTTCGATTCCATGGATTATTTTTCGATGATCACGTTGTTTTTAGAGAGGTTCAAGATAATTTGAAAACAATTCGCGGAAAAGTTGTTCGACCGCCAATTGGACAAGGAAAACGAGCACAATTACGTGGCAAAAAATAATTGTTGTTTTATTAAAAAATTTAATTGTTTCTAGGTCTCTTTATTGAATAGAATTGAAAATAAAATAACAAATATCTATGACTCTTCTTTTTTTTCCGAATAAATAAACGGTCTTTCCGATTAATTCTCTCTCTGTTTCTTATCATTTTTGTCACGTTTTTCTCCTGTTTAAAAGTTTAGAAATGGTTTTTTTCTAGAAATGAAAAGATCATCGACTGGAAAACTAAAGGAGAAAAATAATATGGAATCACAATCGGATACGGATTTATTTGGAAGACCGATAAAATCGAATGGAACTTGGGATGCTGTGGTAATTTTTTTATAGATTTCAGAAGATTTATGTTGTTAATTCGTGGTTTTTTTTCAGGAAAATGATCTACTCGTATTCACACATGATGATTGTAAGCCGAATGAAAAAGTAGCGTGTTTTGATATGGATGGAACACTTATTGAAACGAAATCTGGAAAAGTTTATCCAGTTGATACCAGAGATTGGAGGTTTGTTCTAAAAAGAAATAATTGAATAAAAAAATTATATTTTCCCGAAATTCGGAATTTTTATCTTAAAAAAATTTCTGGAATAATAATAGTTTATTCATAATACATAGTTATTTGACCCGAGCTCGTACCCGAAAATGATTATTTACATAATATGACAAGTTTAAAGAAAAATTATGACTAAAATATACCTTTTGGTCCAATTTTTTTAAATTTATAAATTTTGGACCTAAAACACTTCACTTTTTTATAAGTTTAAAATTGCCACGTGGAATTTCAAAGTTGAAATTTAGAATTTTGGAATTTTTGATCCACAATTTTTATGGGAAAGTTTCACGTTTGAAATTTCAATCGAAACATTTTCCAAAATCCATCGAATTCATATCTTTCTCTCAAATAATTATTTACAACTTCCCCCGCTCCACCAAAACAATCTGAAAACCTTCCAGACTTCTCTATTCGGATCTTCCCTCAAAAATGCGAGCGGTTCACGAAGACGGCTATAAAATTGTGATATTCACCAATCAAAAAGGTGTTCAACTCGGAAAAGTCGACAAAAATCTTTTCAAACGAAAAATCGAGCAAATTATTGCGAAAATTGGTGTCCCAATTCAAGCATTTCTTGCAACTTCTGGAGGAATTTATCGAAAACCGTGTATTGGAATGTGGAATGATTTGAAAGAGAGAAATGGTGATGTTGAAATATCGATTGAGAAAAGTTTATTTGTTGGAGATGCGGCTGGAAGACATAAGAGTAATGTAAGAGAGTTGGAAAACATTTCACTCTGAAAATGATTTTTTTTCCAGATTCGCCCCAAAAAAGATCATTCTCACGCTGATCGCTATTTCGCCCTCAATGTCGGCCTCAAATTCTTCACCCCCGAACAATTTTTCGAGAAAAAGATGAATGATGAACCATGGGGACCACCGTCTTTTGACCCGAAAGGTTTATTTTCGGAAAGTTTGGGTTTGCTAGAACCAAAAGATACAGTAATCCCTGGGAAGAATGTGGAAATGATTGTTATGGTTGGATTTCCGGGATCTGGAAAATCGACATTTTCGAGAAATATTGCGGAGAAACATGGATATGAGGTGAGGAACTTTTTGAACATTTTGCCACGGGATAGCTTTTTTTCAGATCGTGAGTCGTGATATTCTTGGAAGTTGGCAAAAATGTGTAGCTCGAGCTAAATTTTTATTGAAAGAAGGAAAAAGTGTTATCATAGATAACACAAATCCTGATAAAGAATCAAGAAAAAGATATACGGAATTGGCGAAAGAATTGAATATTGCATGTCGATGCTTCAAAATGGCGTGTCATTTGGCACAAGCTCAACATAATATTCGATTCCGTGGTTTGACAAAAGAGGGAAGTCAGGAAATTAGTACGATGGTTTTGCGAATGCATAACTCGAAATATGAGGAACCCGAGTTATCCGAAGGTTTTGATGAAATTGTTACGGTTAATTTCAAACCCGAATTTGAAAATGAAGAACACAAAAAATTATTTTCAATGTTTCTTGTAGAATAATTGCATCCTTGATACTCATAAAATTATTTTGTATTTATGTATTTTTAAAATACATACAAAGCTAAATTATTAATTAATATAACATAAGAAAACTTAACAAAAACGCTAAAACTGTAAACTTAGATAATGCAGATTGTGTTGTGGGTAAAACAAGTTTTGGAAGTGAATCAACTTTAAAATGCCCGCAATCTTTTGGAAAATTATCAGGAGGCATATATATTTGATCATGTTCTCCAACTCTATATGCATAAACAGTTCCACCCATTGTATGTAATTCTAAATGACAATGTGCCAACCACCATCCAGGATTTGTTGCGCGGAATCGGAATGTGATATATCCACCAACAGGAAGTGTGATTGTATCACGTTTAGTGGGATTCTTCAAATTCATACCATCAACAGCTCCACCAATCCATGTTTTATTTCTCCATTGTTTTCCATTACAACTTACTCCAGGACCATCACAATCAATATCTTGATTCATTTCATCGATTAATCCACTTGCATTATATTTTGGCCAACCAACTTTCATCACATAAAAATGATGACCGTGTAAATGGAATGGATGTGCATAGCCAGTTCCCATTGAACCACCTAATCCCATATTATATAATGTGATTTGAACAATATTGTTGAGTTTATGTTTCAAATTGAAGAAACATCGACATTTTGTATCAAGGTCGGAACTTGTGTTGTTCACACATTCAGTTGAAGCACAATCCTGGAAAAATTATGATTTTTTTTTCGAACCAAAAAAAATCGCTCGCACCGTCGAAATACTATTCATATCATCCTTATGAAAATATGGAATGCCCCAAGGAAATTCGAATTGATATTGTTCCATTTGTGAATCGTGATGCATATTGATAAAATGTTCCTCATAACCTCCATCAAATTGTGTTGCTTGCAATATTTCTTTTTCAATCAGTTCTGGATATGGATTTTCCAATTTGTCATACGAAATACACGTGAAATTCGGGCGATCAAACCAATTTTCGAATGGACAATTCAGAACTGAACATTTTGATGTAGATGTGCATTCAGGATGTTGAAGATTTGCTGGAAATTAAAGAACATTTTTTGATTTAAAAAAAAATGTCACTTACGTTTTGAGAAATCTTCAGTTAGCCCAGTTACATTATATTCAATAAATCCGAATCCAAAATCTGTTGGAATAACAGTCCAATCAAAAAAGTATTTTTGAATAGTCTCAACTTGAATTCGATAATTTAATTTTGTTGGATTTTCCAATCCCTTTATCAAAATATCATATCTTTCACCAGGAAATACAATCAATCGATCAATTTTCATTGGCACAACTTCATCTCCATCTGCACCAATAACATACATAACATGTCCTTCAACAAATATCATCAATTCTTGTGCAACTCCTCCATTAACAATTCTAAACAGAATATCTTCTTTTGGATTGATTAAAAATCTTTCGACTGGAAAACTGGCTGGACTTTGTTGAAGAGCGCTTTGATCATACCATCCTTTGTTGTTTAGTAGAATTGCTGAAATTGGAACTGCTCCACCAACATTTCCACCATCTGATGTTCGAGTTGGTTCCCAACATTTTGTGAAATCATCATAGCCATACATCCATTTCATTGTTTTATCTTGTAATTGCATCCAAGCTTCATCTCCTGGTTTTGTTGACCAATCCTAAATTGAAATGTGCTTTACAGTAACCTAAGTAACGTAACCCAAAGTTAAGAAAAATAAAATATAGTTTCAAAAATGAATGAATGATTGAATTCCTAAAATTCTCGGTTACTGTAGCTCAGCCCAAAAATGTTAGATATATTTTGAAAGCTGAAAAAATGCAGTGTTTTGAAAAGCCCCCAAAATCTTTAGAAAACAAGAATTCAACTGGGGTACTGTATTTTGCAACATTTCATCATTACAGTAACCTAGGTTCAGAGAAAAAGAAATGTAAAAAGTTTGAAAAATTGCTCAGTAATTTTATTTCTCAAAATTCTCGATAACTGTAGCTCAGCCCAAAATTTTGAAAAAAAAACAATTTTTTGGATGTATTTTTGAATTTGAAAAATTTTAGCTGAAGCTCTTAAAAGTCCCTAAAACCTTTAGAAAAAATAAATAATGTAGATAGTTCCCAATTCAAACTTCCAATATTTACCTGCAACATAATAAAGAATTCCTTATCAGGTGTCAATCGTTTTCCACTTTCAATTCCAGATGGAACAGTTCGATCATTTGGATCAACAACAATAAATCCACCAGCAATTCCATCTCCTCGATCTGTTTGTAAATGACCGTGATACCAATGTGTTCCTTTATTATCAGCAATAAATCGATAATCAAATCTGAAATATTTTTTTCGTTAGGTTTTTGTGGTCTGAAACAATTTCCAATCTTACGAAGTTGTTGATGTAATTGGACATTGTTGAACAAAAGCAACACCATCCATAAACCACATTCCATGTTTATCAATTCCATGAACATGAATAGTTAGGGAATCTAACAACACTTTATTTGTCACTCGAATCCAAACTTCTGACAAATATGGAACAACAATTGGCTGGCCAGGCCTGAAAATGTTTGTAATTTTTTGAAAAAACTCAATAACCTCTCACATTTCCCCATTAATTACGATAACTCGTTTATGCAATCCATCAGCAATTAAAACATCTGACAATTTATCCGAATCTCCTGGATCAGTTTGTGGATTCATTGTGAAGTTCTCGAAACATGGTTTGAGTTGATCTGGATTTCGGCGCGACCATTTTCTCTGGAAGTTTTGGAATTTTTGCTAACTCAATTTTTGAGAAGTCTGGAAACTTACCGTTTTCCAGTCCCAATCAACAGGTGTCGCATGTTGTGAAGGATTATCATTTTTATAAGCCATTGTCAATTTTTTCGTCAGAAGCATATCGTATCGATAAACACCATTCTAAAAAAACCCCATGATTTTTTTTCCAAATTCTATGACTCCAAACCAAACCTGATCTGGTTGCATAACTTGAATCGGAGCTGTATATTTCTGATATGCATTTACACAAACTATACAACAAAATAAATATAGTAACAACTGCATTTTCTATAAAACAATTTTCTAGTCCAAACACTGATAATTAAAAATTCTGCAAAAATGAATGAGAAAAAAGTGGGCGGAGTTTGTTGTTTGTGCACATTGAGCCACTCACGTTTTTGGCCTCGAAGCAAAGTGATAAGAGGAATTATTATTATTCAACAACATTTTGTTTTTTTTTGCGAGATCAGAATATTTTATTGATGAAAAATAGATAATGAAAAAATGCGCTTGATCGAATTATCATTGAAACAAGGAAATTAATTTTTTTTTGAGGGGAAATTCACAGTGTGTAAATTAATGCCACAAATCCCCGAATTTTTAATTCTCAGGTAGATCAAAGACGTTTTTTTCTGAAGCTCTCAGTTTTGACACAATTTTAGTCCAGCTCCGAAAATTTTATCAGAGCTCAAAAAATTAGATTTTTTTGATTCATCAAATTCTGAACAATTATAAATATTACTCCAATAGTTGATGACAACTTTGCCACGTCATAACTATATTTATTTTGAACACAAAATCTACAATTTTTTAATGTAATCATCGTTTTCAACGTGGCAACTGAATTTTCGAGTTCTGAATTTTTTTCCGATTCAGAGAATTTTTCTACGTCTCATTCACTCTCCTCGATTGCTCTTTAACATGTTTTACCCTTTTTAAAATACTTCCCTGATCAAATTTCAACCAAAAATAATCTAGCCTCAAATCAGTCACGCACACACACCCTCTTACCGCTTATCACCATGATTTTTCTCACTTCCAAAAATAATCCATCAATTTTGCATACTTGCATGTTTGAAAATAAGCCGCGAGGTATCAAAAAATGCTGAGAAATGATAAGAAGTGATTGTTTGATTTAAGAGGGACAAAACAACAGATTCATTAAAGATTTGAGAAACAAAATAATAACAAAAAAAATGATGTAACACAATTTGAAAGGGAAACTTTGGTGTTTATTTGGTTGAAATTGGTCCACGGCAAGTTGGACAATTCGAACTGATTTCTAACCATTCCGAAATACACTGTAAATAAAACAGTTTGATGCGCTTTTTGATAAATAAAAAAGAGAGGATCAAAGTTTTCCAATGAAAATTTAACAAATATTTTTTGAACGTGGAAATCTCAAAATAAAAAAAAACTGTTTTCTGACTTCTTTTCATATATTTGTCTTTGTTGTAATTATAAATAAACTAAAAAGTTTCAAATAACTAACCGTATCATGATATTTTCTCTCACATTTCCCACATTTTGTGACTTGTTTTTCTGACTCTTTGCTAATATCACGGAGACATATCAAACAATCATTTCCTTGCTGAAAAAACCGATAAGAAATTAATTATCAAAAAATCAAAAAAAAAACTGTTCAAACCTCTTTGATTTCCGGGCAAATATCAGCAAATTTGTAGATTCCCATTCTCAACCATTTTTTGAATTCGGAAGCGCTTTGCTCGTTTTTCTGTTTTTCATCGTGGGTTCTGAAATTTCAGATATTTTTGGAGGGAGTGAATGAACTTTTGAGGAAGCTCGGGGAAATATTTATTAAAATACAGAAAGTTATTAAAGATAAAAATTGCAAGAACTTTTATGGAATTAAGTTTTAATTTTTGCTAATTCCCACGATTAAGTTTTCAGCTTCGGTAATATTTTTGGCATCGAAAATACAAAAATCGTCATTGTGAAGTTTTTCAGCATATTGAATTTAATATTTTCACCAAGTTTCCCATAAATTTATCAACTTACTTCTCCAACTCTTTCGATTCCAATTTCAATTTCTCAATCTCTTTTTTCAATTCTTCAATTTCTTTCGCCGATTTTCGATCTTTCTGATGTGCAACTTTCAAATTTTTGACAATTTCTTCATTTTTACGTTTCTCCTCTTCCAATTCTTTTTGAGCAATATCATATAAATCGAACAAATTCTTTATAATAACATCTTTATTTTCTTTGTCTTCTGTTGGAACACTGACTATGATTTCTTTCAGTTTTTGAGATGGCACGATAACTTGCTCAATTTCTTGTTTTGTTTCACTTGGAACAACTTGCGGCTTTTTATCTTCAACTTTGATTTGCTTTTCCAGTTTGAAACCTTTTGAACTTTCGGCAGGTCTTTTTGTACTGTCTTGGATCCAAATATGTTTTTCGATCAGATCTGCAATGTAATATTTTGAAAGAGAAATGATATTTCAAAATGGCTTACTTCTAAAAGTGAAACTCTTATTTCCGATTTCAGATCTTCTAACAATTTCCACATATTTCGAGATTTCTCCAATGTCAAAATATCTGTGTTGATCTTTTCTATCCATCCAATTTTTAAAATCATCCAAATTTCCGAGTTTAATATGTGCCAATTGAACAGTCCATGCTTTATAAATATTCTCCTTCAATTCATTTTCATTTACCAAGAATGAATCAATCGCAAAATGCATTGCACCATATCGAATTCTCCAGAGTTCAAATTCTTCAACATTATAAATATCATCAAATCCCATATATTCAATAAATTCGCGCACAAACTTTTGATGAGAATTATGATCATTGAAAACAGTGACAAATAAAGACGCCAATTCTGTGAGTGTCATTTCAAAATTAAATGGAAGATTGTGGCAATAAGTCAAAGCTGTTCTAGTTGTTCCCTGAAACAAAATTAGAATTTCTGAATAGAACACACTTAAGAAATCCTACCGATTTCAAAGTTTTATAGAAATTCCGTTGAAGAATTGTATTGATGAGTGCTTCAATTGATTTCACAGTGACATATTCATTTCGAACTCCTTTCATTGCATCAATAATCACTTGTTTTTCTTTGGCAATCGCAGAATCTTTTGTATTCATCCAATAAACATCACATGTCAATTTTTGGAATATTTTGAGTTGTGCCTGGATCTTCGAATAAACCGGTTCACCATTTGAATCTTTCACTGACAAACTATGATAACTCATTTTCATTGGAGATTTTAACATTTGTTCGGTGTAACCAGTATCTGGTACCAATACAAATTGTTTTTTATCGATTGATAATTCCGGGATGAAATTATCGAATTCTTGAACACTCAAAATACTTCGATTGTCCTTTCTCAATTTCTTCTCGTATTTATCCAATTTTTGTTTCATTTGAGACATTCTTTTCTCCGATCTCAAAATACATTTAATCGAATCCATAACTTCAGCCAAAAATAAATGAGAGAATTGTTTTTGATCATCAATTTTCGAATCACTCATTATTCTCAACACAGTTTTCTTTGAATTTCCAGTTGCAGTTCGAAGTCTTTCGATATTTTTTGTATTACTGAATGACATATGATAAATCGAATGAGATCTATGACATAATCCAATCATCATATTGAGATGTTTAACATGAAGTCCAATCTTGTGAATCTTTTCTTCGTATTTTTTGTAAGCTCTCTTCAAATCTTGAAGAATCTCTTCAACTTGTGAATTGCCTCGAAACTCTGTGTATTGTTCATTAATCATCAGCCAAACATTTTCCCATCCAATGTGTACATTCTTAAAAATAGTTTTATCAGTTCGAATCGTATCTTCTCTCATCTCTGGAAAAATTTGAATTTTTAAAGTGACCCCGAATTTTACACTTACCTTCCACGTATTTGATATATTGATTCAGAAGATTTTTTGAAATCTTCTTCCGAAATATAAAAAACATCTCTTTTTTCATGATCATTACAAATAATATGACAAACTGCATCTTGAATTCGAAATGCATAGTAAAGTGTTTCCTGTTCGATTTCTTCCAAACTCGTCATTTTATGACTCAAAAGTTTGCCGAAACATGTTGTATTATCGTAGAACTTAGCACCAGATTGTGTGACCAATGAGTATTCAATTGAATCCTTGTAGGCGATATTATTCACCTCGAAGTGGGATGGTTTGTGAATTTGGAGACCCGTTGACATGGCTGAAAAATATGTATTGGAATACAAGATTTGAACAAATTATAATGTGGTAGAGTATAAAATGCAATTCCAGACAGACACAGACAGCGCCTTCTTTTGAATGGTTCTCGACACGATGCGCGTCCCTATTTCTCTAGATTTACCCCGAGAAATTTGTCAGAGTCTCTCTGGAATGACAAGAAAACATGTGAAAAGCGAATTCGCGCGAAAAAACAAACAGTTTTCAAAAAACAAGAAATGTGTGTGGTAGTACGGTTTCAAAGGAACATTGCAATCAACCACCGGGTCTCGACACGCAACAAAACAATAATTTCAAATCTTTTTTTTTTTTTGAAATTTGCGTCATGGTGTTCATTGCGGACAGCGAAGATTCATTTTTTTGAGCGTTTTTTTATAAAGACTAGCAATTTTTGGGTCGGACAATTTTTGTCGGGCATTTTATTGTCGTTGGTGAGAATTGCGATGGGATTTGCGGATGGATATTTGCCATGGATGGGAAGACGTTTTGTTATGTTATGCTCGCAAAGTTTGGCTGTTGTTTTCTTCGCCTGTGTTATCTCGTTCCTTCTCACCGATCAAAAAGTTAGTTTAACATTTTTTTGAATAAATAAAAAAATATTTTTTAGGGTCAATGGTTCTACACTGCCGCCTATCTTTCCGCATTCGTCTTCACTTCCATCGTTTGGGAACCTTGCTATCTTTGCGCATCTGAACTTATGCCAACTGATGTTCGTGCAACTTCAACCGCCAGTTGCTCAATCATCGGAAGATTTGCAAACATCGGAGCATCAATGCTTAGCGGACTCAAAACTGTTTATGAGCCAGGAGTTCATATGATCTCAATTAGTTTGGGAATTATCAACATTGTTGCCGCCTATTTTATGTTGGAAGAGACAAAGAATTGTAGTTTGGATAAGGCTGGAGGAGGTGCAAAGGCTGCCGAAAAAGCCAATGAACAGGAAATGACTGATCTCATTAAGAAGAACGAGGAATTGGAGGAAGATGTTGAGAAGAAATAAGCGATGGTTTTTGGTTTTACAGTATTTTTTTCTTTTGATACACAGTATTTTATCACTCGCATAATTAATAATTTGTCAACTTTTTTTGTACCAACAATAAACTTATTTCCGAAAAAAATTTGAAATTTTGAAAATAATTCATTATTTATTTACCATTGCAACACGAGAAATCTGAAAAGTCTCAAATCGAAGGGGCTCTGATTTCAGATACAGATTCAGCAAAAAAAGTAATGCTCCATGAGCTAGTCCTCCTACAGTATTCCTCTGCCTTCAACTACAGTACCTCTACATTATCTGCTACAGTAACTCGTTGCAAGTTTCTACAAAACCCCAAAAAATCCGAAAAAAATCCAAAAACTCATTCAGTTTTTCTCCTCCCTGGTTAATCTTGTCCCATGACTACTGTAGGTGAAAAAAAACCTCCTACAGTATTCCTCTGCCTTCAACTACAGTACCTCTACAATATCTTCTACAGTAGCCTATTGCCAGTTTCTACAGTACCCCAAAAAAATCCGAAAAAAATCCAAAAACTCATTCAGTTTTTCTCCTCCCTGGTTAATCTTGTCCCATGACTACTGTAGGTGAAAAAACCTCCTACAGTATTCCTCTGCCTTCAACTACAGTACCTCTACATTATCTGCTACAGTAACTCGTTGCAAGTTTCTACAAAACCCCAAAAAAATCCGAAAAAAATCCAAAAACTCATTCAGTTTTTCTCCTCCCTGGTTAATCTTGTCCCATGACTACTGTAGGTGAAAAAAAACCTCCTACAGTATTCCTCTGCCTTCAACTACAGTACCTCTACGTTATCTGCTACAGTAACTCGTTGCAAGTTTCTACAGTACCCCAAAAAAATCCAAAAACTCATTCAGTTTTTCTCCTCCCTGGTTTTTCTTGTCCCATGACTACTGTAGGTGAAAAAACCTCCTACAGTATTCCTCTGCCTTCAACTACAGTACCTCTACAATATCTTCTACAGTAGCCTATTGCCAGTTTCTACAGTATCCCAAAAAAATCCGGAAAAAAAAGTTTTCCCTGCAGATTCACTACCCTTTCAAAACCTACAGTAACCCGTTCCACTAAAAGTACAGTATTCCGAAAAAAAATTACAGTACCTATCGAAAAAAAACCTACAGTACCTCTTTCATGCGGAAAGACATTAAGGGAAATAACTAGGGGCTGTTAGCCCCCAGGCGTAACAGTCTTCTCATTTATTTCAGTCTCACTTTTTTCTGTAATTATATTTTGAGCCTAATTATTGTTGGAATTTTGAAAAAAATAACTAAAAGAGAGAATTATTTTAAATTATTTCACGTGTACGTGTGACGTATCATACGTGGCGATGACCAAACCGCCTATATTTTTCATTATTTTTTTTGTGTGGAGTTCCTCCCAGTTTTTTTTTGCGTTGCACATTTTTTGGGGGGTTTTCATTATGTTTTTTATTTTTTCGGCTTCTTTTCGGGTTATAATCAGGTAGTAAATTAGATGTATTTGTAAATTAGCTATAAAGACAAATAAGATTTATTTCAACACTTTTCCAATTCGAATTAATTATTTCCAAGTACTTGTTTGGGAAATTAAGGGAAATAACTAGGGGCTGTTAGCCCTTTTCATCCTAAGTAAATTAGCTGTGAGTAAAATGAGACTTTTTCAAATTTTCGCGTGGCCCATATTTTTTGTCCAATTTTTTATATAAAAACACACGAATACGAAGATTATTTATTTTTCCATTTTTCAAAGGAAATGTCGAACGTCGATGAATTGACAAAAATGGCTAGTGATGGTCAGTTACCAGAAAAAGTAAGTTATAAACAAGAATCTTGAAATATATATTAATAATGTCTGTAATATATTTCAGCTGAAATTATTGAGGGAACTTTTGAAGAGAACTGAATATTCGAATTGTGATCCATTTTGCGAAGCCAAGTTCAATTCGACATTCAAAAAATATAAAAATGTGAGATTTTAACTTTTCATTTTCTTACAAAACCCAATATATTTTCAGGCAGTGTGGTATGAGGTATTTTTTCTCTATAGCATCGAAGACTTCAAAGATCAAATTATTCGAATTGCACAGAGGAAAAACAACCATGTCACTCGGGTTGTATTGATCGCAGCTCGAAAGGCTGTAAAAAGGAATCCGGCTGAATCTCTTTCAATATTCACTCAAATGGCAGGAAAGCTGAAAAATCGACGAGAAAGCGATCGAGAAATTGAGGATGACATTTGTACAGAATACAAAGATGTGAGTAGTGAAAAAAAAGTGAAAGATTATTTGGTTTTTTCTCAGCTTTTCAACAACATCGAAATTCATCCGACTATCAAACTTTTGAAAGCTATCCACGTCACAGAGAAGGTTTACACGAAATTTGGAATGGAATATGCCTTGAATATATCTTCTCAAAAAAAAGTCTACCTCGAGTGAGTTTTGCTTTGTTCAAAAAAAGCCCAAAAATACTTTCAGTTTAAACATTTCCCAGAAACATATTAACAAAAAAATAATTTCAGGAAGGCTGCCGAATATAAACGAGACTTCTCGAAATTCAACGCCGAAGAGTTGATTGATTTAATTGAACGACGTCCGGAACTTGTTGACTATAGGGAGAAAAGAAAGCCGAAAAAGAAAAATTGACATTTCGTGTGTTTTGAAAAATAAATTTATGTTTTTTGTTGTTTGTTTTACTTCAAATGTTTTTTTCTCAAATTGATTTTCCCCTCCAAAAATTTCAAATTGCTAAATTTATTTTCTCGCGTGACATAATTAAAAAATTGAGGGAACGCCACGTCATCAAAAACGAATGATGACGTATGATTTTCAGCCAATCACAGTTTTTTCAACAACAAAAAATTTCGATAACTTTTCCTGAAATCGAACAAAAGAAACGAAAAAAAATGTCCGACACTTTCATTGACTTCATTACACTTTCATTGGCTTCTGGGAATTCATCCGCAGCTTCTTCTTCGGTCCATTTGATTGAATGAGTTGTGACACGAAGATCATCAATTTCAACCTTGCGAATGAGATAAAATAATAAATTACATAGGGAATCCAGAAACTTCTTCGAGCAATTTTTCCGGATTTTCTGAGCACAATAATAAAATACCTTATCAACCAATGGTTGTGCTGGTGGATTCTCCTTCAATTCCTCATCAACATATTCATTCGAAACAAACCATCCCAAATTGATAAACTCTTGCTCATTGTATTTGCAGCGAAGCAACAAGACACTGACACCAACAATATCCTCAGTTGGAATTTTGGCAACATTTGGGCACGGCTCATCGAAGACAAACTTGTGACGACCTTCTGGAACTGGTCCGACTAGCGCCGAATCCAAAACTTGATCGTATTCACTGGAAGTTCCAGATCGAACATAAACCAACTCCCATTCGAGATCTTTTGGAAGGTATTCGAAAAGTTCAAAAGTGATTTCCAAGTTGAATTTGGAAGTGAACTCGGCTGGATTGTTCAAAATGTTCACTTGGCAGACACGAGAAGCCATTCTGCAAAAAATCGTTTTTGTAGAGAAACACTATTCAAAATTCGCCCAAAAGGTATATAAACTGTTCTGAAACAGGATAGTTTCAAAATTTTTCAATAAAAAAAACAAATTATTTTACAAAACTGGGGTAAAAATATTAACAAAGATGAGAAGTACAATTAAAATTGTTATGTAAATGAGATCAATATGCCAAAGAAAAAATAAAATAAATTGCGCGAGGAGGTGTTCGAAGAGATTTATTGATTGTTTTGTTGTTGTTGGCCGATTCGAGGGCTGAGATGAAAGCATCGCCTGTCGTGATGAGAATTTCACCGAAGGGCTCAGCTTGACCGACCTAAATTATTGATTATAGTAAACGTGACCTTTCTTTTCGATTGAAACGGGCACTCAAAGAGAGTCTCATTCTCTATTTCGCTAAAATTACGAAAGGCCGGTTCGAAAAATTTTGTTACTAATATTCGATTTTTTCTAATATTCAAATGAAGTTTTAGTTCGATCATGTGGAAAGTTGGAGTGGGCATTTTCAGAATCTCTTATATAATAAAATTTTTAATTTTTGTGTTGCAACTTTAAATTCAGATGGCGCCGCTATGCACAAATTTAGTCGAAACCGAGCGCGTGGTACCGATGAGATTTTCGATAATATTTGAAAATCCACACTAATAGCTTGGGATTTTGCCAAAGATAACAACGAATAAAATTGTTCTGCGGCTTGCTTTCTATCTTTCACCGATGAAACAATTGTCGAAAATTCAAATTTCTCACTATTCTCCAATTCATTCGAAATCTTTTTCAGAATTTGATTCGATCTTTTCACCCATTTACTATCATTATAAATCGCTTGTTTTGCAGCGCTTCCAAATCCATAAGATTCCAGTTTTCCTCGACTGGAATTTGAAGAAACAGAAAATGGATCAGCATAATCTTCCTGATTCTTCTTGTTGTTCATGAAACCGAATCCTCCAACATCATCGAAATTTGAAGGCAAAATTCCATGTGAATCTTGTTGCATTGAAACTTCCAATGTTCCATTTTGTATTATATCAGCAATTGGTGCAATATCATCGAAATCATTGAGACGAGAATCCTAAAATTTTTTATTATTATTTCAAATTGAAAAATAGGACAAATAGATATTTATGTATTCACGGGTGATTTTTTCATCTTTATCAGAAAATAGTTACTTTTTAGATAGAGATAAAATGTTTATCATATTGACCTCTATGTTATCACATACACAAAAAGCTGGTCACTCGATTTTTTGCAATGGTTTTCGTGTTGAGAAGTGAAAAAAATGTGCGAAAAAAGAAAATAACTGCGCGTCAGGTGAAATGTTTTGTGCATTCTGACGTCGCAGTGTTTGCACACACATTTTTTTCCTTTTATTTTCGGCCACCCAAATTTCACGGTTTTTCGGGGTTTTTGGGGGAATGGGTGGGGATTTTTGTTAGAACTAGTGGGCCCTGCGCAGAAAGTGTTACTAAGCGTGCCCCTTTGAATTTGATGAATTTACTTTAATGGAGAGAAATGTTAAGGGTTTCCGAGCTAAAATCCTAGATGAAACGAATCTACTTCAAATGCATGCGGTTCCTTAGCTAAGGAATAACTGTTTAGGTTAGAAAAACTCAATCCGGGTCCCCAAAATTTCGATTTCCGGGTTCCCAAAGAAAACAAATAAAATTGAAATAACTTTGCAACAGAGCGCATTTGCTGCACTTGGCAAGTCGCCAGTGTGCACGGTTGCGTCATGGTGTTAGTGTGGAGGTGTTTGCGGATTTAGGAGAGAATGTATTTTTGCGTTTTTTTAAAGGGAAAAATTAAAATTTTTCCACATGGAAAAAAATGGATATCCATTTCTATTCAAAAAATACATGAAAAAGCTTGAATCAAAATGTTATATTTTTACGTTTGAATTTTGTAAAACTTGATATGTCGTGTCCAAATCTCTAAATAAATCACAAAGCTTTTTCTCTCTTCACAATCAGTTAAACATAATTTATGAGCAATAAGAAATTCAATAAAAGATCAAACAGTCGAATTATAATGTTCTCCAAGTTGAAAAGCTCTTCTCAAATAAACTATCCTAATTGGTATATGATTTTCACCGTCGAATTCTTCTCCATATTTTCTTTCTCCATCCGTTTTGTAAACTTGAATAACTCGTTTCAAACATCTCGATAAAGCATTCAATTCCAAATCTCCTCCCCAAACACCTCCAGAATCAGCCGAATTTCGAACACCATCCAAATATTTCAACCAATCCGATTCTTCACCTCCAAAATTCTCATCAGCAATAAAAGGAAGGAAATCATCTTTATTATTTTTCATATATTCAGCGCATAATTGTCTCAATTTTTTGCCATTTGTCTGGAAAAATACTTATTTTTAAATTTAAATATGAGCAAGAATTTTAGTTAATGACTAGGGGCTGTTAGTCCCCAAGCGAGACAGTCTCCTTTGATAAGACATCTTCGTTTGTGAGATGTTCGTAAGATGCTCACCATACGAATTGCAATCAATTTTAGCCTCAAATCATTAAATTTGGCTCGATAATTATGCATTTGTAAAACTGGAAGACCTTCCAGATTTACAAATTTTTGATCGAAAAAAAAATTGATCAGAAAAATAGTTATTTCTTTGAATATTGTTCGTAAGATGCTCACCATACGAATTTCAATCAATTTTAGCCTCAAATCTTTAAATTTGGCTCGATAATTATACATTTGTAAAACTGGAAGACCTTCCAGATTTACAAATTTTTGATCGAAAAAAAAATTGGGATGATTTTTAAGAAAATTTGACACAGTATTTCTGATCGTGAAGAGATCTAATATAAAATCCTTTAATTACTTTTCAAGAATTATTCTTACCTCATTTCCAATTTTTGTGAGTTGATGTGCAATCGAATTATACATACAATCACCGTCGGGTAAAATTTCGAACATTTGCATCGATTTATCAGCCAAAATTTTGGTAATAATCTCATTTTCAAAATATTTATCCGATGTTTTGCTGGCCGCTTTATCTTCTTTCATTGCATTTTTCCATTTTTCATCCGCCGCTTTTTTCTTTGCTTGTTTTTTGGCAGCTTTCCCACTGATCTTCGTTTCCTTGTAGAATCCAGCATCCTCTTCATTTTCCTCGTTTTCGATTTGCTGAGGATTCTCATTTTCAGCTACTGGTTCTTGTTCGACTGGCTTCAATTCTTCTTGTTCAGCGATCTCCTTTTTATGCCGATCTTCCATTTCTTTCTCGATTTTTTCACACTAAAAATATTATAATTTTTGTGGCTCGAAAACTTGAAATATCTAGATACCTCAGCATTCGTTTCCTTCTGTTTTTGTTTATTTCCACTTTTGGCAGCTTTTTTCATCGCCAAAATTTTGGCTGAAAAAATGAGAAAATTAGCGAGTTCGTGTAAGTCTTCAAAAATTACCTCTCATTTCCTTTTTCTCTTTTCGGTGCCTATCAACCAGTTCATTTCCGATTTCTTCACAATCAGACATCTGAATTAAAAAATATTAACTCTTATTGTCAAAGAAAACCTTGGGAAAATTCGAAATCCCAATTTTTCCATCGAAAAATTTAATCACAAATTTTTTATTTTCAAATTTTCTGTAAGTATTTCACAATAGTTTTCCAAACTATTATTTTTCCAATCATAAACTTCAAATATATCACAGGTTCATTCATGTAAATTCAAAAAAAATGCAATAAATATTTAGTAATTGATAAAATTAAAGTGATTTGACAATATTTTCGAGACTTCTTCCAAGTTTTTCAGTATCTTCAACAGTATCGGCTTCTGCATAAACACGAACAATATTTTCTGTTCCAGATGGTCTGATGAATGCGCGAGAATTCGAATATTTTTCAACTTCGGCGTTTATCAAATCTTGGATTCCAGAAGGTTCGATGAGAGTGGTTTCTTCCCAAGTGGTTTTGAAGATTGAACGATCTTCGACCTGCAAAATATATTGTTTTTCAATTTTAATATGGTTTAAGAAGCTTACGGGAACTTTTATTTGAATATTTGGAACATCTTTATACAATTTTTCATTCCAATCTTCAATTGACCAACCATAATGTCTTAAAACAATTTCAACAGCCAATAAATCGGCAAAAGCGTCGCCAACAACTTCATTGATAACGCGAGAAATCAATTGGAGACGTTGAATCGAAAGATTTTCAGACGAATTTCTGAAAACTTGTTTATTGAACAGGTAAATCAAATTTCATAACCAACCTTCTAATGACTTCATCGAATTTCTCACTAAAAACAACAGTTCCATGTCCATTTGCCTCAAAATAAACTCCAATGTCATATTTGATTGCAGCATGATGCAGGTTTTTAACACCAGTTGGAACAATTTCAGGAATAACTCCAAGTTTTTCTTCGATATAACGAGATGAACTACCATTTGCATATGCTGTTTGAATAATTCCAAATGTTAAATCAGTTTCAATGTTTTTCAATTGATCTTTGATATAAGTTGCAAGTAGAACAGCGATTTTGTCACCATCCAACAGATTAATTTTGTTATCAGAAGTTGGCTTGAAGTAGATGAGACGATCTGCATCACCATCAAAAGATGCGCATTTTTCATCATTTGAGTTGAAGTTTGCCGGAAGAACTTGTGAGATTTTAACGAAATCTGCTCCACATCCAAAATTCAATTCACCATTTTCGTTGCGGAATTCGATATTCAAATAACGTTCATCGATGAGTTGAAGAAGATCTTGAAAACGTGGGAAACCAACACCATTTGCACAATCCAATACCAATTTATTCGAATAATTTGATTCTTCCGGTTCATTGGTCAACTGTAATATTACAAAATTTCGAAATTTTTCCTTTTTTGATATTTTCAAAAATGAAACTTACATGATGCAATTTCTTGAAAGCGTTAGCCAATGTGCAATAATATCCAAATTCAGAGGGTCTTCCGAAACTTGGTTCATTGTTGCATTTTACCAAATAATGTAATTGTGGTGTGGTTAGAATACCGTGATTCTCAAATTCGACGTTGAATATAGCGACTCCGGCTTTGGCAGCATTCATAAGATGTTTTCCACTTTCGCGAGTATCAATAGCACAAACAACTTTAGCATTTGGTGCAAATGTTTTGTTGACTTTAACTTCGAGAGCTCGAACAGCAGTTGGAAATTGATCGTCAGTTGAATTAACAAGTTCAGTGGCATACTTCTCCCAATCTGCAGCCAACATATCTCCTTTTGGATCAACAATTTTCACACCATTGTCACAAGCAGGATTGTGTGATGCGGTAATCATCAATCCAATTGTTTGATTTTGTTGTCTGGCACGTAATCCGGCAAGATATGCGCATCGAAATACAATAAATGTCAGCTTATCTGCATTGTTCCGGAATCCTGCAGTTCCATAGGCAAATTTCTCGTCTTGCGCAATCGGTGATTGTTGTCCATTATGATTCACATTTTGATTACGGCTATAGATTGCGGGAACTTTTACTGGAAGAGAATCCGCCATTCCTGAATAAGCTTGACCCATTTTGATCGAAGTTTAGGTTTGATTTTCGACAACCGTCGACTAAAGTGAAAATCAACATGGTTCAAACTACATACAGATATGGAAAACGTGGAAAATGTTATTTTCCCGCGCGCACAAAAAAAGGAAAAAAAGAAAAATAATTGGGGACTAGCTTTTTTCTCTTCCACGGCCATACAAATTTCTTTTTTTTTGCCGAAAAATTAATTTCGCGAAAAACGTTTTTTTTTTCACTTTCCAAAAAACGTACAGTTTTTTCACAACAAAACATGAAGGTAAAAAAATATTGGTATCATTATTATCAACAAAAAACCCAAAACTGACCAAAATAGCTGAAAGAACCAGAACGAAATCCATCGGGAAGCGAGCATTTTTTCATTTTGTTTCAGTTTTCGAATGAGATTTTTATGAGAAATAAAAAATTTTATTAGATTTTCTGAAAATACAGTTGGAGAAAAACACGAATATTGTTTTCTATTTTTCGAGGATTTTTGAAGGAATTGGAAAATATTTTTCTAGACAATTATTGTGGGAATTTGTGATGTTTTCAAAAGGACACGTTCTCGTGTTACTGTAGATTTGGAATAAATTTATATAAATAATATTTTGAAATTATTGACGAGGGAAAATGAAATTCAAATGAAAAACATGACGGGAGTTATAAAATTCCATTTTGAAATTAATCCCGAATTGAAAAGTTTTTCAAATAATAATATTTCTGAATTTGGTTCCAAAACTGAATTTTTCTAAATATTTCTTCCCCAATTTTCGTTCTTCCCAAAAAATGTATAGTTTTCCCGCATTTGAACTATAACACTTTTCCAGCAACCCTTCCAATCTAATTATGCTTCAACAGTTCCACCCATTCCTTTTCTCATGACATATCATCAATTTCAAAACACAAAACACTTTTGTCAAGAAAAATGTCTCTATCAGAAGAGAAAGAAAAACCATTTTCGAACAAACAGCAAAACCTTGGTTGACCAACGCCGCCCACAATTTCAGACACATTTTATTTTGCTGCGACCTAGCGTCGCGCACGCAAAAAACCTCCAATGACATTTCAACGTTCACTTTTTATTGTTATTATTCATTTTGCATTTGTAAACGGGTAAGAAACAATTTCAAGTCAAATTCTTTGGTTTTGGAACCAATATCTTGAGGAAAAATTATAGGAGGAGAGGGAAAGGAATCTCAAAAATTAAGTTCGAGAAATTTTCTGAAAAGCCTAGAAACATGTTCTGTAAACTAAAAGTTCAACGTATAGATCATACTGTTTAAAAGATATCCTAACTTTTTAGTAAAAAATTCTGTGGTCTTACTCCTTCTCTTTATAGGCTCTAGTAACACGGAAGAAGTTTCGAGATTTTTTTGTTATAGGAAAACACCTCAAGTTAGCTTCAACCATCAAAACGAACATTTTCTGTCTTATACTGAACAACAAAAAAAATGATAAGCTAAATAACACAATGACCCCCCCCCTTTCTTTTTTTTTCTGAATTGTTTTCTTCTAATATTAAATAAATAGTACAAAAAATAGTAACAGATAAAAAAAACCACACCTATATTTTTTGAAAACTTTATTTTTCAAACAGAAATTCTGATCATCCGATCGATCCGTCAACTGGTTCAAATTATCGAGATGTTACTGTAGAACACTTGGATTTGAGGTGGAAGATTGATTTTGAGCGAACGAAAATTATTGGGGAAGTTGATTTACATTTGAAGGTTTTGAATGATGCGAAATTTGTGGTAGGAATTCTTTTGAAAAAAAAAGAAAAATATTGAGATTTTTTCAAAAATAGATGCTTGATGTTCGTGATTTATCAATTCGAAGTGTGACTTCACAAAATGTTTCATTTCATTTTCAAACAATCGACAATGGAAATCTTGGTCAAAAGCTGAAAATCTATTCATATCGACTAATCACCGGAGATAAATTGTAATTCTAAAAAAAATAGAGAAGGGATTCAAAGGGAATAAAATTAAACTCAAAATTCAATTCTTTTCAGAAAGTTGACAATAAAATATGAAACAAGTAAAAATGCGAGAGCTCTACAATTTTTAACGGCTGAACAAACTGAAGATGGAAAGGTCGGAAAATCATCATTTCTCAAATAATTCCATTTTCCAGAACCCATATCTATTCTCACAATGCGGTCCAATCAATGCCCGCTCAATAGTTCCTTGTATGGATACACCTTCAGTTGCAAGCACTTATACAGCTCAAGTATATGTTCCACCACAATTAACATGCTTGATGTCCGCAATATCTCTAGGTAGTCATTATTCCGATGTTGGCAATTATCGAATCTATAGTTTCGAGCAAAATATCGCAATTCCTAGTTATTTGTTGGCTATTGTTGTGGGGAAATTGGAACAAAGACATATTAGTTATAGGTTAGAAAAAAAAAATCATTGAGAAATATTGATGGTGGTTTTTTTAAAGATCTTCTGTGTGGTCTGAACCTTCTCAAGTGTCTGCTGCACAATATGAATTTGATGAAATTGAAAATATTCTACAAATGGCTGAAGATATTGCTGGTCCATATATTTGGGGAAGATATGACATAATTGTTCTTCCATCTTCATTTCCATTCAGCGCTATGGAAAATCCTTGCCTAACTTTTGTTTCGCCAACTCTTATAACCGGAAATCGTTCTCTAGTTAGTACAATTGTTCATGAAATCGCTCATAGTTGGACGGGTAATTTGGTTCGAATCGTTTCATGGGAACAATTTTGGATGAAAGAGGGATTCACCAATTATTTACAACAAAAGATTAATGGTCGATTGTATGGAGAGAAAATGAGACAATTCGCTTTTCAACAAGCTTATGAGGTCAGTTCTGTTTTTCCGGAGATAAAAAGTGAAATCGAAACTGTGTCAAGGTTTTTTCTTGATATGTGTTAACCATATGATGACCAAAAACCCGGAACAATTAAATTAAGAAAAGTGAATTGGTTAGATATTTTGAAGTGGCACTTGATTGAGGTCATTTTTTGTTTATTATTTATGAATTAAATTTAGAATCGAATAGTTTCAATTGTTAATGGAATGGGAAAACAAAACGAATTCACAAAATTGAATATTCGACTTGGAAAAACTGATCCAGTTGATGCATTTAGCCCAATTCCTTATGATAAAGGAGCAGCACTTATTCTAACTATCGAACAAACAATAAATGATGACAAAAGATTCGATAAGTTTTTGAAAAATTATATCAAGAGGTGAGATTATGTATGTGTAAAAACATGATTTTAGCAAGTTTCACATTGTGTTTCAGATTAAAAAAACACTTTAATGAACAATAAAATTCCAGATTTTCCTACAAATCTGTTTCTTCAAGCGAATTTATCATGTTTTTGTATCAACAATTTCCTGACAAAATAGAAGATCTCAATAAAATGAACATTGATTTGTGGATAAATCAAGCTGGTCTTCCACCAAAACCTCATTTTGATACTACAGTTTTGGATGAATGTAAAAGATTTGCAAGAATTTGGGTTTTCGGAAGAATTCCAACTGATGAAGAATATTTTATGAATATGACAAGTGCACAAAAAGTCGCAGTTATTGATGAAATATTGATTCATAAAAGATATTTCAGTCATTGGAGGGTGAGTTCAAAAATTATTATTACATCAAAAAAAGTTTGTATAGATGGCCGAATTCACAAAACTATATAATCTGAGCAATACTTCTGATAGTTCGGTTCGCCTTGGATGGATTCGATTAGGATTATCAGTAAGATATTATCCGATTATTGAACCAAGTTTGGAATTTATCTCACATGTTGGTATTTTATGGTATAATTCATCAATTTATCGTGGACTATTTAATTGGAATCTGGCGAGAAATCGAGCTATTTCGAATTTTTATAAAACTATGAGAAAGATGAATCCGATGACAATTAAATTAGTCAACAAGTTAATTAGATGAGTTATTTTGATCTCGATTTTGTGTTAATAATTACTGGTTTGTACGTATTTAAATAAAAAATTGATTGATTCATTTGGCTAAACGTTTCTCTGATAATTGGTTTGCTGAAACTTCAAGTTCTGAATTCTGATGCGAGGAGGAAACTTGAAAATGACTTCCTACATATATTTTTTCGCCTATTTTTTATTTAGCTTTAATTTCAAGAAGATTTCTTACTCTAACAAATGTTATCCCTGATTTCAGTCGACTTACATTTCTTGGCAACATTTCGAAAAATTGATGAGATGATGAAGTCCTAGTTTTGTGTGTTTTCGAAAACCTGAAATGAACGAGGAAATTCACGTTTTTGAATTTTTAAAAATCAAATCAAATCTGGGACACAGAAGTGGGTCAAGCTGTTTATTGCGTAAATACGTGAACAGATACAATTGTTGAAAACCACCCCATTTCTATCAAATCATGGGAGCACAAGCATCTGCCTATCTTGCTCCGAAAACTATCCAAAAAAAAAGTGAAAAAAACGAATCGATTAGGAATAATGCAAATGATAACAATACGCTTAATAAAATATCTACAAAATCTCAAAGAGAAGTTGAACTTCCTGAAAATGCCAAAGCTTATTATCGAATTCCAATTCGGGTAATTTATCAGTTAAATTGACTGTAATCATAACAGATTTTTTAGAAATCAGAATTCACCAACAAATCGGAATCTAAATCCAAATCAAAATCAAAATCTAAATCTAAGTCCAAGTCGAAAACCAAAAGTAGAAGTTCTTCGAGCTTTGAAAGGAGTGGAAAAAATATGGAAAGTGAAGACAGTGCTAGTAAGTTACTTCTTTTCTTTTGAAACGCTTTTCAAAAGAAAACAAATCCTTTAATTTTTAGATGATCGTTCTATCAGTGAATCCGAACAAGACTTAGTTCAAGGTGCAAACAAACCAGATGTATCGAAAAAAGAGAAATCGAGAAGAGTGAACATTGGTTCGGATGCAGAAAGAACTAAAGTGACCGAAAAATCAATTCAAGATGCGTTTAAAAATCCGCATAGCACATTTCTTTATGCAACACCAGTCACAAATATCGCTAAAGAAAAAGTGCAAAAAGAAGGCATATTTTTGGAAAATGTGGCTTATCGAATGAATGACGAGCAAACTATTTATGAAATTCCATTGGAATCAGTTGGTCTGCGAATGTCAAGAAATCGGACAACTCGGTCAAAAGTTGATCCGTGGAGAAAACATGGAGCACTTATGAAATTGTGTGAAATTGGTGGAAATGTTCCGGAATTCAAGGGAAAAGGAAGGGTAAAAACGTATGTATATGTGAAGAAAGGAACACAACCACCTCCACCGCCCAGTAAGTTGAACGAAATAATTATCAACACTATGATCAAATAAAAATTGAGTTTCTTTTTACAGAATCAAAACCACTCACCAGTGTTGGAGAATACATGACATTCAAGAATGTAAAAAGTTGAATTTCAATAAATTTTAAGTAAATAAATAAAAACTAGCGAAACTTCGCAAAAAAAAATGAAAAAGAATTCTTTATATATAAGAAAAACACATTTTAACTTACCGTACTCTGAAGGCACACAGACGTTTTCAAAGAATATCTCACAGCGATGTATTTTTTGGATTTCTCTCGGACTTTTTCATTTCCAGCGTTTTTCATTTTCAGCGTGGTTTCTGGCTTCCACGCGACTGTCTTCATTATTTGTAGTATTTAATAAAAGGTAGACATGGCTATACGTTATATTTTGATAATTTTGGATGTTGCAGATGTCAAATATCGATACAAGAGTTAATTATACATCAACACTATGGCCTTTGGTTTCGGACCCTGAAACATCGATTGAAAAAGTGGGAAAAGTGATTATTGAACACAAAAAAGCTGGAACTCTGCCAGATCAACGAACAATTCAGGTAAGATATTCAAAAAATTTCTAATCACCATCGAACTCTAAAAATTTCAGCGAGATCTTCAAAATTTCTCGCGCAAACAACTGTTTATTGAAATGGTCCCCAAAAACATTGAAACTCAAGAATTTTGCACCGGAATAAACTTTTTGGTAATAAATTACTATCACTTGATTTTATAAATTCAATTCTGTTCCAGGTCAATTTGATGAGCGTGAAAGAGCATGTGAAGAGGACGAAGCTGAACAACTAATTGAAACACAGTTATATATATGAAATATACACATTTATTATGCGAAACACTGAGTTTATGTACAATGATGACTAGAAGTGGGTTTGACTAGATTTTTAAAAATTCGAAAAAAAACTAACTGACAAAAAAGTAAACTAGAAAAATCTATGCGGTAACTAAATTTGGTATTGGTGGAAGAGCAAAACTGAATGATTGAATTGGCGAATCACAGACAATTGTTTTAGGAAAATTTGAGAATTTTGTGAGAATTTGATGAGAATAATCGAGAATTCCAAGAACTTCGAGATGGTTGAGATGTTTGAGGGATGATAGGAGATAAAATAAACCTTGTCTTCGAATCTGAAAAATGTTGAATGTGTGTTTCACTCCAGAATCGCAGGAATCACCTTTCTGCAAAAGTTTAAATCAAGAAATTCGAGTTTGTCACATTTCGAAATTTTCAGACAAACTGTATCATCAACATTAGATATTCCACTAATCCCCAATTTTTTCAATTTTCGAATTTGTCCCAATTGACAAAGTGAAACATTTGTTAACAAATTACACTGATCAATGAATAAATTCTCGATTTCTTGACAATTTTCGATAATTTGAATAAGTGCATTATCTTCAACTCCATCTCGATTATTACTTAAAATCAGTGTTGATAAGCTGTGAAGTTTTGAAATTTCTGAACAATCCATCAGATTCGGCGACCAAGATAAATCCAAATGTGTTAGAGTTTCAGACATTTGAACAAGATTTTCGAGCGATGAAGCTGATATAAATGATCTCTGTAATACCAATTTTCGAAGTTTTGTTCCTTTTAAAAATGATAAATCTTCAATTTTCAATGAACTTCCAACAGCAATCGATACATTTTCAATTGTTTTTGGCAGTGATTTCAAAACTGAAGGGTCCAAATGAAATTCTCCATAGTTCATACTTCTTCCCTAAAAGTTTCAAAATCATTGAAATTGTTTTTATAAAAAGAAAAATGCTTACCGATATTTCGAAAGTTTTCAATTTCAAACATCTTTTCAAAAGTTTCTCAAAACTTTTATGAATAACAGTAATCACATCCCATTCCGAGCAACTCATAAGACAATTCGAAATTTGTAATTCTTCCAAAGTTTCCGGTAAATTTCCAAAATTCTCGATTGCTCCTAATGAAATAATCATTCGATCGATTTTCAAACTTCGCAATTTTCTCGCGTGCATATTTATTGATTTTATGACTACAGTAGTCACTTGACTACAACTTGGGATCATTGAATATTTTTCATTTGGCGCGCGGATTTGAAGATTTATGGTTTGAAGATTGGCTCCACAATATTCTGTAAAATTATTGATTGATTATAGAGAGGGGAAAAATTGACTGAAAACGTATTGAGCAAATTTTTTAATTTTAGAATTCTATATTTAACTCACAGATTATTTCTGACTGAATTTTCAAATTTTTTGGTAAACTATTTTCAAATTAGAAATGAAAAAACCGACGTAATTCACGTGAAAATAAATAATTTCAATTTTTAAAAGACAAAAATATTCCGGCTTGGAAAAAATTTGAACTAACTTATCACAGTCGCAATTCCATCAGGTTCATTAATACATTTCGGAGAATCCTCTTCAATATTCAAAGTTTTCCGAAGTCGAAGAGATTTCCGGCAAAGTAGATCAAAATATGGGGAAACGCGACGCGACCGCAACACATCTTCGATTCCTAACTGTGATATTATATGGAGCCAAGCTTCATCCATCTGGTAAGAATTTGAAAATTGAATTTTTGTTTTGAGAAAAATCAAAACGAAACGGAATTTATTGTTTCGACAAATGTGAATCATGGAAAAAACATGTGGAGGAAGAAAAAAAAAAGAGAAAATAAAAATAAAACATGAAAATTCGGCAGAAAATATCTGGAGCAAAAAAAAAAGAAAAGCCGAGAAAAATTGCTCTTTTGAAAGAAATATGACTTGGGAAATCCTCTTTTTTTTTCGTTTTTTTTGAAAATTTTTGAATAGGGTTTCTATGGAGATGTGTTTAAAATATTCCAAAAAAAGTGTCAAATTACAAAAAACCTCATATTTCAACAACGCTTTTGAAGAGGAAAGGAAAATCAATAACATTTTGACTCTCTGAAATTATTTTCAACCAAAAAAAAAAAAGAAAAACTATACTTTTTCTCACCCAACCTTTTCTTCTTGCAAAAAAAGAAGACAATGAGAGAAATAGTGTGGAAGAAGGAGAGAATTCGAGAAATGCTGTTTTAAAATTTATATATGTCAGTATACTAGTTGAAAAAAGACGAAGAAAATAGAAAAAGCATGACATTTTTACGGGTTTTGAGGAATTTAGTGCCATTTGGATTTGGAATGGCGCATTTCCGGGATTTTTTGGACAATTTTCAAGTATAAATTTTGAAAAATTTGAGAAACTTGAACTTGGAAAGTGAGAGGAAATATGAGAGATAATTGAGTTTTTGAGGAACTCGAGTAATTGAATTTGTTTTTATTTTGGGGAGAGAGTGAGAATAGGAATAAAATAGAAAGAATTAGAAAATGTTCCAATTTTGGTGGGAAAAATTAAAAATTGTGAGAAATTTGGAGAAGAAAAAACAAATGAAAGGATTTTTTTGTTCAGAATTTCTGAGAAAACTTGTATTTGGTTTCCAGATTTATGTCTTGAATTTTGAATTTCGATTTTAGATTTGAGTTTTTCACGAACTTCACTTTTACGAGGTTTTTCACAACTCTACAATTTCGCACTTGAGACAAACTTTGAACTTAGCTTAACTATTATCAAATCAGACGGAAAAATGCATTTTGAACAAAGAAAAGATAAGTCGAAAAATTGCGACGAAAGTAAAAGATGGTGTCAGCTGTCAGATAAATAATAGAAAGAGAAAAAGAGAGGAAAAAGGCTAATTAAACCGATAAAAATGCAAGAAAAAGTGAATGGCATATTATTACGTAAAATCAAATCGTGTTTTGTTTGTTTCTATTTAAATCGTTTTGTCTTTTTTTTCAATTAATTCTATTTTGACTGAAAATTGAACAAGAAGAAGAAATAAGATAGGAATTTTTTGTCAGAAAAAAGCTCCAGAAGTATAATTTACACAGCCAGCCATCGTTTTTTTCTGTTTGCAATAAAAATTGGAGAAAAATATTAAACAAACAATATTAAATTTCCACAAACATTTACTTACTGTTTCAATTATCAATAAAATATTTCTGGGAAAACAGAAAAAAAGTTTCGGGAGAAAGTTGAAGTTACAAGAAGTCGAGAAGGGTCGAAAAAATAATAGAGAAATTCTCTCACTTTTTCCAGGTAGTTGCTGCAAAGTAATCAAACAAAAGAGAAGAAAAAAGAAACAAAATGGGTTGGAGGTTGAAAGGTTGAGTGAGGACCGGTTCCAAATTTTTATTTATAGTAGAAAATAAGTTGAGTTAAAATACACAGTGGCGCTTTTTGCTTTTTTATTTCGAGTTGAGACATTGTTTAGCTACAAGTTTTCGTTGTTGGAAAAAAAGAGGAACTTGTAGGTAAAGGTTCGGAAATAGATTTGAAACTTGAAACTTGGATTCTGGATCCTGGAGAAAAAATTTTTGAGGATTTTTTTCAACATTTTTGATTTAAATTAAAAAAAATTTTCTGTCAAAAAATTTGGCCAAGAAACAATCCAAAAAGTTGCTAATTACAAATGATTCATGAAAAATGATCAAAAATAAATATAAAAAATCAAATGATTTAAAGCGGTCCATTATATTGATAAGCTTGTCCAAGAGTTCCAGAAAGTGAATCCATCAATTTCAATTTATCCTGAGAATATGTGGTTTGATTGGGTAGAAATCGATTATTTGAAGATGGTGAAGCCATTGAAGTTGTTGTTGTTGTGGTTGAAAAATGTGTTGGTTTTAGATTCCAGTTAAATGATTGATTTGGTCGAGGAGCATAGGGGGATTGCCAACCATTTCCATAACCATAAAATGATGCCGATGGATCATCGAGCTAAATAATAAAAATAAATTGAGTTTTCAGGGGTTTTCAGAGCAAAAAGGAAATAATTATCAAAACTTGTTTTTTCCAGGCTGATTGAGGTTTCAAACAAAATTTTCGAATATTTTTCCCACGAAATCGAAAAATTCCCCCCTTCTCCCACACCCTAAAAATGGTCTGGTTTGGTTAGTTTGTATATATAATTTTTTATGTGCAAAATAGAATAGCAGAAACATTTTTGTGTCTTTTCTTCCACCAGACACAAACTTGTTCTAAAATAAACAAACAAAAAACAAAGAAAAAATGATGCTACTGGTAATTATTTACTAATATTTAGATATGAGAGAAGAAAGAACCTAGTTCCAGATTGTCTGGAATTTGAGAGAAATTAAACATGAAGAGTTTTTAGAGAAAAATATCAGGAAGAGCTTTGAATTTGGTATGAAAATTCTAAAATCGAAATAAATCTTCAACGAATTTTGTACCAAAAATAGGCGTCGTGATATTTAGAAGACATTTTTGGTGAGAAATTTCAGGACCACAATTTTTGGAATAAAATTGTATTTATGATTTCAATATTTTTTTCACCCAAAACTCATTCCCTCCCCAAAAACCTGGCCCACCTGAACACCTCCTTGCAACAACGCGGGTGCAAATCCACTCTGCAAACTGGCCAAATTATTATTCTTCTGTTGATTCTGATTCTGATTGTGTTGTTGATTTGTTGGAACAACAACCATTCCACTCGAACCATTTCCACCAACACCATTTCCATTATCAATCACATAGTTTCGCTCGCGTTTTCGCCATTTTGCTCGTCGATTTTTGAACCAAACCTGAAAATGGAACTTCTGAAATTTTAAAATTGCACTTGTACTCATCAAGGATTTTTTTGTAGGAAAATCAATCCCGAATATCTATTATTGATTTTCCACAATATTGTTTTCTAGAAAAGGTTGGTGGTTCCCGTCGTAAACCAGAATAATTCAATTAGCCATTTCATATTGTTCTGTTTCTTTTCTTTTTGTTTTTGTTCCTTGGGTGTCATATCATTATGACACATTATTCAATTTATGGCGGGACAAAAAAGGGGAGAAAAAAGACGAAGAAAAGAAAAATACGGTAGAGCAGATGGGGGAGAGGAGAAGGAAGCTTTTGGTGAATTTTTCTGAACTTCGGAATGATATTTTTTAATTTTTGGAGAATGATGAAAATAAGTGGTTACGGTGTATAATTTGATTTTACTACACAGCAAAATTTTCAAAATTTTCTGATGAATCAAATTTTTTCTCAAAATCTCTCGATTTTAGTTTCACATCCTTATTTCTAAGTACATACCCTAACTCTTGGCTCTGTTAAATTGATCCAAATCGCTATTTCTTCTCGAGTTGCCATATCAGGATATCGATTCCGAGAAAACCAATTTTCGAGTTCCGTTAACTACAAAAACTTTCATTTTTCCTTTTTTTCCTAATCTCCAAGAATTATTACCTGATGACTTGTGAAATGCGTCCGTTGTCTTCGTGGTTTCTGAATTTTTCCATTTCCGCCGCCATTCGAAGTTGTTGGACTTCCAACATCTGTGTCAGATTCTTCCTTTTTCACATCCAATGAATTTAGTTCCACTGAAACAGTTTGAGGATTTTTCAACAAAAAAAATTAGAAAAACTTACATTTGGGTAACTTTAAAGAATCGGTTGGCGGAAGTGGGATAGAATAATTGAAAGCGTATGGATTATGATGAAGAGCTGATAAAGATGAGGTTATTGGTTGTTGATCGTGATGAAGAAGGGGTTGATGTTCGAGTGAACTGACTGTGCAAACGAGATGAGATGAAAATCTGGAAAGAGAATTTGGACTTGAATTGATAACTTTTATATGAACCAGGTTTGTACCTAACGAAAAAATAATAATTTCCGGTTAGGAAATCAGCACAGAATTTTGAAATTTTAAAAAATTCGCCAAATTTCCCCAAAACGAAAATTCTAGAATTGAAATTAATTCGGTTAATCGAAATATTTGAATTAAAAATCTCGATGTGGCTAGTGAGGAGATCTGACGTTGTTTCATAAATTAAAATTCTACCCGGAAAAAGTAGACTTCTCGAAAATACAAAAATTTTGAACCATAAAAAATTAGGTCAACCCACGTTTCTTAATTTTCAGAAGAAATGTTTCGGTTGAAAAATTATCTCAAGTTTTGTATTTTTGAAAAAAAAAAAACAAAATTTCAGAAAAATATAGAATTTCTGATGTGTTTTTATTAGAAATTATTTTCGTGAAACTGTTAAAAAATTCCAAACAGGTTTCAAAACAAATTCCCTCAAAAAAGAAACTTGACAACAAACCTGTGTGTATGATGATGTACAACATGGTGTGGTTGTTGTGTGGCGGTGACTGCTCCTCCTCCTAATACCGCAACTGCTCCTCCAATACCATCAACACCCAAAGAAGAAGAATCCATGGATCAACCAGGGATTATTAGAAAAGAAAATAATAGCAAGGATCGGATTAATTGATCTTCCAAACAATTCCAACTGCTTCTTTCTCCTTATTTTGTTGCCAGCAGCTTCTCCCCCACCGTATGCTCTTCACTCAAGCCACGCCCATTTTTGCTCAATGAAGAAAATGGAGGAGAAAAACGAGAGATTAAATTTGTTGATGAGAAAATGGGTATACGGTAGTTTTGGAAGAAATGGAAAAAGAAAAGGAAAAACTCATCAGAAATGATGAACGACTTTATATTGGACGGAAAACGAAACAAAACAAGAATGGAATTGTGAAGAAATTTTGAAGAAAAATGTGACTATTTCTTGAAAAGCATATCAGTTACACTTAATTTCGAGATCTTTTCCACATTTCGAACGGTTATTGAGATTCTGAAAAATTAAAAGGGTTTTTTTTGTAAATATACAAATTTTATGGTATAATTTAACTTCGAAATGGAAAAAATTAAGGTAGTATATTTCGCCTAAAATTTTCTTTCCAGATTCCCAATTTCTAACTATCTGGAAACGTTAAAATGTTCAGAGCTATTCAGAATTTGAAAAGTTGAATTTTGAGCTGTGTAATTTTTTTAAATCCAAAATATTTCCATTTTTCAATTTAAAAATTCTAACTTGAAATGCCTTCTAAAAATTTTTTCCAGATTAAAAATTGCAAATTTCATAGATGGTATTTCAAATTTTAGATCCGCTCCATTTTCAGCTATCAAGATCAATTTTTCAAACAAAAAATCACCTTGTTCCCCGTGTCAAAACTTGGTTCATCTGTTCAGGCGAAGCATTGAAACAATGTTCATCAATATAATCAGTTTTTCGTTCACAAATTCCATGAAGCATTGTTGAATAAGCTTCATCTGTCATTATGAATAAACTTCGAGGTTCGAGTAACATTGAGCCAAGATATCGTTGAGGTTGTGATTGGACATTCTGCAAAAATTTGGATTTATGTGGGTTCTGAGAAGTTGACATCAGTATTATTTTTCACCGAAATGACTTTTCTGAATTTAAATTTAACGGAATAATTTCCAAAACATTTGATACATATTTTAAATTGTGTACCGTAACCGTTTCCCGATGCTTTTTTCTTGAGAAAAAATCCTATTTTAAAATTTCAGAGCTATTCCTTTAAACTTTATTTTCCTTTAAATTTTATAATTTCTTAGGTAGCTTTTCTGAAAGGTCCTAAAAATAAGTTTTAAATTAAAACGAACTTTTTCCTTCTCAAAAAACCAAAACCTATTTTAATATGTTTCATTAAAAAATATTTCAATTTGTCCAACTAATTAAATCGGAAATGCTAAAAAGAATAGCATCAATCATTTTTTTGTCGAAAAACCAAAAATTTTCTCCTTATCGTTTCAAAACATCTTCTTGTTTTACCGCATTTGCCGCCTCCCACAAAATTATTACGCAATTCGTCCATATGCCAAAAAAGCGCGCGCCCGCGAAAGAATAACATTTCAAAAAAAAGGGAAGGGAGATCGAAAAATCATTGAAAGTTTCTTATTTATTATTTGCCATTCCATTAGGCTGGGGTTTTTTAAAAGAAACTTAGAATTAGTTTTGAACTTGGAATTAATAAAAATAAAATATTATATAAAAGTTTGATTTTTGATTTTCCTTTTCCCCGAATTTCTTTCTGATTGTTCTGAAGAAAAAATATGACAGTGTTCTTTGAAATAAGAAAAACACAGTCGTTCTAAATCGTTTGTTCTTTGAGTTAATGAATCTTTCCATCGTTTTTCTTCTCATCTTTTGTCGTTGTCATTTTTATTGATTTGATAACAACGCCTTCTTTGTATTTGATTTCATTTTCAAAAGTTTTATGTTTGCCGCGGCGGTGCGGTTAAATTTTTGGAAGTTTTTTGGCTGGAAAATGCATTTTTCTCATACTTTTTTAGCTTATTGTTATGTTAAATAAATAAAATGTATTGAATTCTTTTTTTCTGGTTTTCCATGATTTTCAGCATTTCTAGAATCTGTACAATTTTTTCCATCTTTTTCGAAAACTTGTTTTTAAAGAAGACTTTTCAAAAATGTATTTTAGTCAAAAAAAATTCCAGATTTGAAAAATTTCCAAAATCTGAAAATTCAGAGAAAACTAGAACTCAAAAGTCAATTTATTTCCGGTCAAAATATTTTTTTTTCATGTTTCCAAAAACGTCATTCAATAAATATCTCTCCTTATTTTTCTGTGATACCAGTTAATTTTCTAAGATGATTGCAAAAATCATGTGATCATTTGAACACGTTCTTCATTGTGTTTGATCTGATTTCTTTGAACTCCCTTTCTCCAATTCTCAAAATTCTTTCAGCGTTTTACCAAATTTCAACAAAAAAATGACGATAAACTACAATAAAGAAATAATGAATTCACATCCATGGACATTTTTCCTTTTACTTTTTAAATGGAAAGGTTCAATTTGGAAAGCGGTTTATCTCGAAACTATCATATTTTTAATTGTTTATGGTATAATTTCGGCTATTTATAAAACTGTTTTGGCCGATTCAAATCAACAAACTTTCGAGTCTCTTATACGATTCTTCGATAAACGATTGGAATATATTCCAGTCGAATTGATTTTGGGATTTTTTGTGACTACGGTAGTTAATCGATGGACGAAATTATATCAGACAATTGGATTTATTGATAAGTGAGTCTTTGATTTGATTAGTAATTAATTAGTAAATCAATTTGAGAACTTTTTGAAGAGAAAACAAATATAAAATAGGAAATTTCGAGTGAAAGCTTTAAAAAAATCCAATTTTCAGCATTGGACTTATTGCGAATTGCTATGTTCGTGGAAATTCCGAAAAAGCTAGAATCTATCGTCGAAATATGATTCGATATTGTGAACTTTGTCAAATTCTAGTATTTCGTGATATAAGTATGAGAACACGTCGAAGATTTCCAACTTTAGAAACATTAGTTGCATCTGGATTTATGACAAAAGAAGAATTGCAATTATATAATAGTTATAATACAGAGAATAACATTCGACTTGGCACAAAATATTGGATTCCTGCCAATTGGGCATTGTGTATGACATATCAGGCAAGAAAAGATGGATTCATTGAAAGCGATTATTTTAAAGCACAAATGGAAGCTGAGATTCGAACATGGCGAACAAATATTGAATGGTTGTGTAATTATGATTGGGTTCCATTACCATTAATGTATCCACAATTGGTTTGTTTGGTTGTTAATTTATATTTTATGATTGCTGTGATTTCGAGACAATTAATCACACCAAAACACGAAATGAGTAATGAGGTGAGGAATTTTTTCAAATTTAGATTTTCACTTTGAAGCATAAAAATCCATCAAAATTCTAAGAAAATTAATCTCTCAAATTTCAGATCGATATATATTTCCCAGTCATGACATTTCTTCAATTCATTTTCTACATGGGTTGGGTAAAAGTCATCGAAGTTATGCTAAATCCATTTGGCGAAGATGACGATGATTTCGAAACAAATGCATTAATTGATCGAAATATAACAATGGGTTTAATGATTGCTGACAATCCAATGACAACTCCCGAAGTTCGAAAAGATCAATTTTTCGATTCCGGCGATGTTCAATTATTATATTCCGAAGAATCATCACATATTCCAAATCATCATTATCATGGATCAGCGAGTAATGCGAAAATTAATGAAACTGTGAATAATGTTATGATTCCACATTCACAAAGTGATGCAAATATTCGAAGAAATATGTCGGTTAAATCAATGGATAGTGATAAAGAAGTCAATTTCTTTTCAATGTCTCACGATGATGCGAGAATTAGAAAATTCAAGGAAATCAATATTGATCATGATTTTATGAAAAGATTGGAAGAGCATGTTGATTTGAAAATGCCAAATGATTGGAAAATGCCTACGGAAAATGGGAATTTGAGAAATGGCACACGATTTTGAGTAGTCAGATTTTAGAATTAAAAAATACGTGTATTTATTGAACTTTGTGATAATTTGTAAATAAAATCATTTTTTGAATAACCTTTGAATTATGCAAATCTGGTCTATTTTCATTAAATTAATAAATTTTTCAAAAATTTTAGAAAGTTCCCAAACTTGTATTTTTAAATTTTGAATTATAATTTTTCAACATTTATATTTATTAGAAAATATATTCCAACAGTGTTCAAATTTTTTGCCCCAAAATTCTAAAAAAATAAACTAACCTCTTTATCAACTGGTGCATAAATATCCAAAACGGTGTGAGACCCAATGGTTACTGTAGTCACAACTCGATGAAAAGCCGGTCCATCTGTATGTGGCATAATTCCTTGTCCCGGTTTATATTCATTCACCAAAACATGATTCACCGGATTTGGGAATATTTGCAAGTCATCGATTTTTTTCATCAAATATTTGAGCTCCTAAAATTTTTTTTTGAGTATACTATAATTTTCGAGAATAATAATTCTCAACATCTCACATACCACTGGAAAATCATCATTAGGAATCAGCGCACTTTTTCCAACAACTCCTCCATAATTTTGAAGCCGCCGATTCGCTAAAACTGTCCATTTTGGTTGTGGAGCATTTTCGATGCAACTTTGATAAAGGCTGAAAATTGTTTTATGTAATTATGTTTCGAAATAGTTCGAGGCAAACCTGGCTTCTTCTTCATCAATCCAATTTGGAATGTAAAAAATTGATGGAGGAGCATCTTTGATTCGGAATTTTTGAAGAGATTCTGGCATTTCTGGCATTTTTTGAGGAGGGGGAGGAAGTTTAAGTGAAGATGGTGCAATAGAGACTTCTGGAAAATTGAAATTTTGTGAATCGAAGTTTACAAAAAATTTCAAAGTTGAATTATTTTCGAGTGAAAAATTTGCAAGAAAAACAATCCACTGTTTCAAAAAAATTTCAAAACTAAATTGAAACTACAGAAAAATTATCGGAATTGAGGGTTCCTAATCTAATTTCTCACGTCAGGTCTGATCCACAATTTTCCCCCTTCAAAAATAATTTCAACGTGACCCTAAATTCCACGTCGAAAATGCCACCCTCTCTAAATCTAGTCAACTCATCATTTTTTCTAAAAACCATGAGTGTAAGTGTTGAGCAAGAGGCATTCGAAATGCCATCGGATAACAAAAAAGTGTTGCTCAAAATTGACGATGTTAATTTGCATTCTTGCGGAGTATTCAGTAATGTTTATCGGTAAGCGAAAAAACAGTAGAACTTTCAAAACGGAATTAATTTAGGGGAAATCTTCGAGAACCGTGTGAAAAGAAAATTGCAATCAAGAAAACGTGGCCGGAAAAAGGCGAACGAAATTTCGAATTCATATTTTTGACAGGAAGAGAACGAGTAAAACATAAGAATATAATTCAAATGAATTATGCGTTTAGTCATAATTATGGAAACAAAATTTGTGAATCCTATGTTTTTGATTATATGCCAAATACATTATATGATGTTATAAAATTAACATTGAATGATTTGGATATTCGTTTGTATACTTGGCAAATTTTTGCGGGATTGAAATATTTGGAAGAACATTGTGTTGTGCACAGAGATTTGAAACCGGTTAATATTCTCATTGATCATGATTCAGGAAATTTGAAAATCAGTGATTTCGGCTCATCAAAAGCCTTGGTTCGCAACAAACAAAACAATCATTATCAAGTGACACGTTTCTATCGTCCACCTGAATTATTGCTGAAATCAACAGATTATGATTGGACAGTTGATATTTGGTCAGCTGGTTGTTGTGTTGCTGAAATGATTCGAAAGAATGTTGTATTTCCGGGACGCGATTCAGCACATCAAATGAAATTATATTGTAGATGTTTTGGTGTTCCAAGTGATTCAGAAATGAAAGCGATGAAAGCGGAAGATACTCTTGATTTAGATGTTGTCAAATATGAAAAAGGATGTGGATTGAAGAAATTATTGGCTGATTCGACGGCGGAACAAATCACATTTTTGAATCGGGTTTTGGTTTATTCGCCAGCGAAACGATTGAAAGGTCCAGAATTATTGAAGGATGAATTTTTCAAACCCTTGTTCAAGTAGGTTTTAGAGATTATAAACTATGAAAAATGGATACAGTATTTTTCGGGAATTTCGGGTCATAGAAGATTTTATAGTAAATCGAGTTCTATTTCTGATATTCAATTTTTTTTCAAATTATTTCGATTCAATATTTTTGTAGATCTGGTGCAACGCGTTCAAATGATATTCCAATTTCTTCAATCATCACTCCATCCGATTATAAACAAGCAACAGAACCAGAGAATTCAACAGTTTCAAAAAGATTTGCACTTATATCACTTTACAAAAAACCGACGGCTCTACAAGGAATACCAATTTGTGAAAAGAGTACTTCATTTGAAAATATACCAAATCGTCGATCAACTTTGATTCCAAAAGAGCAAAAAATGGCGAGAGATCAGAAATCGAAAGAAGATTTATCGAGAGAAGAAATTGTTGGAAAGAGACAATTGGGAAATAAGGATAAAAGTGATGAGAAAATTATTGTGAAAAAACTTGGATCAAATGAGAAGAGCTCTTATAATCAGAAAACTCAACGTTGAATTATAAATATTTAGAGATTTGAAAAAATACTTTGTGAAATTTTTGATGTAAAAAAGGGGGGACGAGCAATTGCTTCTAGTATAATTACTTCACCGATTTCTGAGTGGATATATGATAGAGGTCTTTAATGAAGCTAAAAAGTTAAACCTGCTTTGCAAAAGAAAATTTTTGCCTCGAACGACACTGCGCGTGTTATACTATACGCTTTTTAGGCCTACGAAAAATGCGGGAAAATGTTTGGCGCGTGGCCTAAGATCTTAAAACCTCGTCCCCTCTCCTCGTCCCTGGCTTTCATAAAATAGCAATTTTTCTTAACCAACCTGAATAGGTTTTCTTCGCTTTTCTCCTGTTTTCTGAACACTGATTGTGAGAAAACATAATTTTTTTCGCTGAATTTAGAAATTTGAAAAATCGGGAAAATGTTGGCTTAGATCTCCAGTAGAATGTGTTGAATACTAGAAGAATCAAAAATGTGCAAGAATCTTATTGAAATAACTTTTAAATCCCAAAATCTAACTAGTTTATGAAAATTAAATCTTGAATCCAGTTTTCAATTTGAAAAAAATGTAATAAAATCTGGAAAAAATTTACTGCAAAACGCAAAAATTATTTTGATCTGCCATATTTAAAAAAAAAACATTTTTTGACTATTCGTGAATTGATCTTTCTTTCTTTTTTGAATATCTGATTCTTTAGTGAGTTAGTCATTTTACAAGTTATACTTTCAGATTTCGAGTCCTTTGTTTTCATACCTAATCCTAATGATGATTTTTTAAGATGCCGCAAAAAAAATCACACGCTGGTCGTGTGATGAGAATGAAATATGCACGGGAAGGTCGTCTACGAAAGACCTTAAAAACATATGACGGGTTTTCAGTTGGCCAGTCAATGGAGGAAATGGAAAGCGGAAAAGAAGAAAATAAAGGTGATTAATCTTTTTCACAGATTCATCGTTTCAACAATTTTTCATTTTGAAAACGGCAAAAATCTAGATAATTTTCCATCGCACACGAAACGATTAAGCTTTGAGCAAAATATGATTGAAGCGCGTATGAAATACAAGTTGTCTGCCTATTAACTGCTTCGAAAACTAAATTCACTGGCAAAACAATGGAAATAATTCTTAATTTAAATGTGTGCGGCAGTTGCTAAAGTGCATGCTTTGGCTGCTCCTAAAAAATTTTTGCTGAACTATTTTCTTCGCGTTTTGATTCTATTTTAGATAGTAAAAATGTTCTCGGCTATTTTAATATTTGAAAATATTGCTAATTTTTGCTTGAATATAGCTTAACCTATCTCCTGATAATTTCAAAGAAAAAATTTAAAAAATGATTGGACCCTGTATGATATAGCGATTTTTCTTACTTTTTTAGTTTCTTTTCAATGAGAAAAATCATTTAATCAATAAACTCCTTTATTTTTTAAGGTAACATGGACGGACTACAAGAATTCGAGGCGCAGACAGTTTGCGCTATTTTTAACGAAATGACAACGATTCCGGAAATCTTCCAACAAAGTGGTCAATTCTGTGCAAACAACATACTGAAATTGTACGTTTTTTTGTTTACTTTGAAGATTTGGGAAACACGAAACGAGTTCGTAAATTCAAGCAAGAATTTGGAATTTGCAAAATATTTTCCGATTTTTTTCCGACATTAATCAGAAGTCTGATGATTGAAAATATGAATTCTAACGAATTCAATTTAATTCACACATATAACAAATTTTCCACGAAATTTTTGCGATTTTTTAGAAGAAAATCAAAATTCTCAAGTTTCTGGGTCTAGAATACAAATTTCTTGATTTTATACTGAAAAAAGACATTTTGAACGAGAAGTTATTCAAAAATGTAGAGCTTCAAGGTTCTATAACTGAAAATGAAAAAAAGAGATTTCAATTATCTAAAGTGGGTGTGAAACCGGTCTCACACAAGAAAAAAATTCATGAAAAATAATGAAATTTTCAAATTGATATTACAGAACTCCATCAATCAGACAAGTGGATGACAACCTTGAAATCGGATTATTGTTTGATTCGAACGTTTTGAATCAAACAAAATGGATAGTTCAATGCATGGGAAAATTGAGCATACAAAATCCATCAAATTATACGGATATAACAATTGCAACAATTCACCCCGCCAAAGTCACCTGTTCATTCAATATTCATAAAATATATATGAATCGATAATTCAATTCTTGTTAACATATCAAAAAATAAAAAAGTTCTACATATTTCGAAAGACTTGAGCAAATGATGAAATACTGTATTCATGTCAGAAGCTTAAATAAATATGGCGTCAAAGTTTCAAATCTCCTGATTTTTTAATATTTATATTTTAAATCCCGGAGAGCCAATGTTACTAAAAAATATTTCAAAAATCAAAAACTGCACAGAATATTTAAACTCGAGAAATATTGCGTAAAAGTATTATGAAAGCTCTCTAGGCACCGATACTTGACATCTAGATCCTCTAGGCGCGACTACTTGACAACTAGGTTTTCTAAACTCACAAAACTGTCAGCTATTTGGCATAGAAACTCTCGAGGACAAAGTGGAAGTCTATGTGTGGGTCTTAGACAATTAGGTTCTTCAGGCTTGACACCGTTTGATCTCAAAAGATTTCCAAAACACAGTTAGATTGAAAAAAAATATTTCAAGATTCAAAAAACTCCATGCAAAAAAACAACAAAAACATAACTTCGTGTTAACTTATTTATTTTTCATAATTTTATATACATGTAACATTTTTTTGGGGATAAGTAAAACACTTTTTTGGAGAAGAAGAAGATAAAACAAAAAGAAAATCGTATTTAGCTTATTATATGGGTTTTTTGGAATTCAAAATCATTTCACAAATAAAATTAATGAGATCAGGTTAAATATCGGAACGTGGTAAGATTCAAATTTTTTGCCTATTTTCAAATTATTTCGCAATTTTTTTGGGGGTGGATTTTACAATTTTTCAGGTTAATTAAAACGGAAAAAACTTAATAAATTAATAAATGAAAAATAATAAATAAATAAATAAATAATTGATTAAAAAATCAGAAAAATAAGAAGAGAAAACGGGGGTTTCGAGTATCATAACAGGGATAAAACGAGAGGTAAACTGGGAAAGAAAACATGGGTTCTTTTTTTTGTGGTTATTATTTGTATTTTTATTACAATTTTACTGGAAATGTAACTGGGCCCTTATAAGGGCTATCCGTTGATGGCAAAGTGTTGAGAAGCGAATTGTCGTTGAGAGCATCACGAGCTGATTCGAATGAACCAATTGTGCTTCTAGAAATTTATGGGCTTAAATAAAATTAAATTGGGGAAAATTATGATGATTAAACCAACCTATAAGCCATTGGAGACGAATTTCGATTCTCTTCCTCTTTGACAACAATAAGTGGTTTGGTTGGAGTTGCCAAAACTTGCGAAACACAATTGACTGGTCCATGAACAAATTCAACCAATTTTTCTGGCTTAGTTTCAGGGCACAATTCAAATTGATCAACTTCATCATAATGCAATTCAAGCATTGGAGAAGGCGAAGGTGAACGAGAGGGTGGAGATGGTGTGTACAAACGAACTGGCATACGTGAATATTGTTGTTGTTGTGGTTGTTGATTTCGTTTTGGTTGTTGTTGTTGATGATGCATATTTTGATGTTGTTGATTATGATTATGATATTGATGTGAAATTTGTTGATTGATATACGAAGCTGTTGAAAGTTCCGAAGCCGCCGAAGTTGATGGCATTTGAGAGAAATCAATTGGTGGTTCGACAACATTTCTGTTTTGAACTCTTCCGCGATTTTGGTTCATAGTCATGTGTACGGTTGAAGTTGATGGTTGGTTGGCAATTGGGAACTTGTTAGTGTTGCGAACCTGCAAAGAAAAATTGGACTTGATATGAACATTGAGAATTTTTTTTTTTAATTTTTTACCAAAAACTTTGAAAATTTTTTAAAAACTACTTACCGCTTTATTCTCATGATAAGAAGTCTTCAAAACATTCTTCGAATAGAAATCCATATCTGGCATTCCTTTGGTTCCATTTTCAATTGCTTCCAAATCTTCTGGTCTCGCCAATCCTTCAATTGTTCCACGTTCTCTCCATTTTCTAATGTCGACTTCCAATTTGTCGACTTTTTCCGGGCAAATTTGCCAGAGACACGATTTGCGGTTCAATGCGGCCATGTCGAGTTCGACTTTTTGGAAACATTTGTTCAACGACAAATTGTGTCGCACCGAATTTTTCCAGCCAGGCGGCGCAGTGCGGAAATACGGGAAGTTTTCACTGAAAACATGTTTTTTGAATCAAAACTGTTAGAGAAAATAAACACGGTGTAACTTACAGCATAAATGCATAAATTTCTGAAACAGTCAATTGTCCAGTTTCACTATTTTTCAATGACAAAGCGATAAGACTAGAATAGGACCATGTTGGTTTTGGGAACACTCCATCAACTGGAATCGGCGCAGCACGACCATCTTTTCCAATTATAAATTCCATATTATTATGCTGACTATATTTAGGATGTTGTTGTTGGTGATGATTTTGGCGATGATGATTATGATTTGATGATTGTTTAACCATATGTTGAAGTTGTACTGCTGGTTTCATTTGATTATGTTGTTGTTGTTGATGTCGATGATAATGATGCTGTTGATTTGAATTAAGATGACTATTATGTTGAGAATGATTTTGTTGTTTATGTGCAAGTGATAAATCCTTGCTAATTCCCGCAAAATCGCTAACATCAACATTCGAAATCCATTCATCTTGATCATCCGAATCATCAATTGTATTCAAATATTTCAAAAACGACGAGTTACTATCATCCGGTGCACATTGATAGAAATTCGGATCGTCCATGAATTGATCATCATCTTCGTTTATAATAATATCACTGAGATGAATATCGGCCGGATTTTCTTTCAAGTAGACACGTTTCACTGCGTTTGGACCGGTTTTGGTTGGCGAAATTGAAGCATATGTTGGACTGGGGCGTTTTCGAGAAGAAGCTGAAGAGGAAGAGGACGAAGATGAAGAAGATGATGAAGAAGATTGAGATTGTTGATAGTTCCGCTGAAGTGATCGTTGAGCTGGCGGTTTGTCATCTCTTCTGAAAAAGGGAAAGTTGAAAATTTGAACAAAAAAACATGGGTGGGAAACAAGATTTCGAATAAAAATGACCTAGAATCTCAGAAAAAGACTGCCTGGGAAACATGGAAATCTAAACTTAAGCTTAGAAATTTCAAAAATGTTGGTAACTGAAAAATGTCCTAGAACTCTAGAACCTGATTAAAACTATTTCAATCCCGAAATCTGGGCTGGAAATCAGTAGAAAAAATAAGCCCAGAATATTCAAGAATAGATCAGAGTCCCAAAAATATTTTTTTTTAAACCAATAACCCACCCCCACCCCCCCCAATTCCAGAAAAAACTAACCCATGAATCATCATTGATCCCGATCCATGTTGCTGCTGATGTTGATAATGACTAGTCGATCTCGAAGTTAACAGCGGTGCAGCTCTTGGCGGCGGCGCAACATTCGGTGCACCATTCGTCGGTCGAGACAATTTAACGTATTGATAGGTTTTGACGAGCGATGGATCCTTTTGAAATCGATTGTTGTATTGATGATTACCGACTGCCTGGTGTTGCACATTTATTGTCGCATATTCCTTCTGTCTAACCATATGGTGTGTTTGTGGCTGGTGTGGAATTGGTAAATAATGTTGATTATTTGACGGTTTAACTACGTGTTGGTGATGTTGTTGTTGTTGATGGTGCGAAGATCGTTTGATATTATGCCCGGAGATCATTGGAGTTTCTTCTTTGACGATAATTCCATTGTCTTCGAGAAGAAATGGATCGATTTTATATTCGCTTTTTGGCAAAATCAAATCATCAAGATTGTCCTCCATTTCTAGAAAAAAATTGATTTGAGCATTTGAGCATAAATTGATAAAAAAGATAAGATACAAAAACTAGAAGAGCTCTTGAAAAATAAAAGAAAAGAGAGTGGGGCGAGCGTAGCGATAGTAAACTGCAAGGTTCCGCGAAACTGCAAAATTACTATAGACTAGCCAAAGAAGTTATAAAAACTTCCCAGTTGAGCAGTGGAAAAATGAGTTATCATAACTTCTTTGGTTTATCCAGAAAATTAAAAATTTTCCGTTCCTTGGTAAGTAGATAATGCGGAAGCTCGCGGTTAACACTCGCTCCGCTTGAAAATACCAATTTCTTTCGAAAAAATCAAAAAAATTTCGAAAATTTCAAGTTTTTCAAATTTTCGAAAAAAAAAATCAATTATGAGTCAAAAACGTTAGAGCAATGAAATTAAACTTAACCATTTTAAATTACAGAAAAATCTGACGAACTTCTAAAAATCAACAAAAATTTCAACAAGTCTAACACTAATTGCAAAAAAATAGTTGAAAAACTTTTAAAGTGACCTCAATATTTTGACCGAAAAAATAGAAAATTTGAAATGTTCGAACGAGACGACATAGATTCGCGGGTAAGATTGTCAATAGAGCGAAGATGGCAGGAGAAATGAGTTAGAGACGAAGAGGAAAAAGGGGGGAAATAAAAAAGGAAAGTGAAGGACACTGGCAGATGTTAATAATAAGAAGGAGAAAAGAGAAGAGCAGAAGGCTCATTGTAGATATGTCAATGAACGAATGAACGAATATTTTATTAGAGGGTGGGATTTGGTGGGGTGAAGGGGTGGAGCCACCCAAAAAACACATATAAAAAATAAAGGAGGCAGGGGCGGGGCATACAAAATAGGGTGCTAAAAATAAGAAGAAAGGTGTCAAAATAATCGAGAAGACCCCCTACCTAGGTAAATATCAAGAAACCTGGCTAATGTGAATCAGAATGGCAAAAAAAAGCAAAAAGGAGTGAGGGAAAGAGAGAATGAAATGAACAAGGTCGAATTTAATTATATAGGTTGCAAGACAAGTTAAATGCAAACTTGATTATTTTCATTGAGTTGCCAAAGTGAGGAATGAATTGATAGCCTATGAAGATTCGATAACTCAACAGAAAACATAGGGAAAATGTGACTTGAAAGAGTAAAACAAAATGGTCCAAGAGACATTCAAAACATCAAATCCATTTGCAGCCTGTCCTAAATGTTTCAAAAGCAAGCGCGGGAACTCGGAACTTTATATGCACATTGTCTAGTACTGTCTATATTTTTTGTAGGTCATGACGTCATCACCGATACAAAATATTGACAGTATTCGAACTATGTTCAGGACCCACACAACAAACAAATTTCTGATCAACATGTTTTTCAAATATTTTCGAATTCAAAATTTTTTCCCTCGCTTTATTTCGGAATAGATCAAAAATTTTTTTTTGGATTTCATGTGTTGGATTTACCTCGAAGGTTTTGCTTTGTGTGCTCATCGTCTCTCGCGATTTACCCCGTAAAAAGCCGTGAACTTCTACAGTGTTCTAAATTATTACAAAGTCATGAATCAGTTTCTTCCGGTTAGCTCAAAGTTAGACAGCCCCACAATGTTAAAATTTGAAAATTAAGTCAGATCTCCCGCACAAAATTATAGCATGGAAAACCTTCTGCAGAGGCTGTTAGTAAACTATCCTATCGTACAATAATAATTGAAAGACTGAGCATAAAAAGACCCTTGGATAACTGCACAGTTGGATACGTTTTATGACAGTTACGTAGAGGAGCACTTTTCGGTAAATATTACCACATGCTCTGCACTTTTGGTATATTGGAAGGAGAAGGAAAAGGTGAGAGGAGACGTTAGGACTGGCAGTTCTCGATCTAATGGAAGAATTTGGAACTTTTTTGAAGTTATCATAATTCGTATCGAAAATTATTAAGATTTGAAAAAATTAGATTTGGCCAGAACCAACATAAGATAAGATTTTTTTCAATTCAAAATCCTTGAATCAAATGAAAATTAATTCAGAACTTCCTAACTTCTCTGAATGTTTTCTATGTTTGACTCACCATTTCATGCACACACCAATTCCTTATTCGATTGTTTCACAAATCCCATGTTTTCGAGAAATGAATTTTCCAACAACAACAAGAGACGTGGAAAAAATGAGGTCACGTTTTGAAAACATTTTTTTCAGAATTTTATTTTTGAAAATAGGTTTTCAAATTGCCACGTCTTGGCGCACGTTTTAAATTTAAAAAATTCAAAGTTCTGAGATCCATATACTTAAGCCACATGTTCCCACTCTCATAATACATCATAGATAAGTCTATTACGTGTATTTTTATTATTCTAACTACAAAAGGTTTTACCGCACTTAATGGGAGAAGAAGGAAGAAGAAGAAGGAAGACAAAGAAAACAGATAAAGAAACATTTGTTTTTTGACTTCTGTGAGCTGGATAATTGTGATGGTTGGAGTTTTGGAAAATAAGCTGAACTTCTAGACATTTCAGATTATGACGTGGAAATTTGTTCAGAAAGCTAAGAACTGTAAATCTTTTCAAAGGCGTAAGAAATTTCAAAGAGGATTTGAAAATTGTGACAAAAAATGTGACCTCAGAATTCATAAATTTGGTTTTAACTAAAAACCGGAAAACTTTCTCCAAAATTTGATTTCAAAATTACAGTTTAATTTTCAGATTTCAAAATTTCAACAAAAAAACCCTGCGGGTTTTTTGTCATCACAAATATTCTCCTGATTACGTAATTATCTCAAAATCATTCTCCAACAATTAAAATTCAAATTATAATTTATGTTATCTGTCCATCTTTTTTCGTGCACATTGCAACCATTTTCTCTCGTGCTAATCTCGTCAAAAACATCGATCCATTATTAAAAAACATGTGACATATCTACAGTACTCTTCACTTTTCCCCTTCTTTTCTATAATAATCCGATCATTAAAAACGAGAGAGGACAGAACAAAGAAGAGCACTAGAGAAATGAGAGAGAGACATTTATGAGCACGACTAGTTTGCCTACAGTAAGGTTAAAATCACAGATGTGCCGACGTCTGCTCTTTTGCTTATTTTTTGACACATTTTTTATAACACCAGAAGAGATATAGAAAGGTGCTAAAATAACACACTTTGGGAAGAATATTTGAAAAAATAACTGACAAATAAATTTTTAAATAAACATCTGTTAATTGTAAATAATCACATAATAAATACATCAATCAATAAATCAATTATTTAGGCAAAAATCTTGAGCAATTTTTGAATTTTTTGTCGACACGCATTATAAGGACAGCGGCTGAAGGTTTTGAGAATCTCGGTTTGATCATCGTCCTGGACAACTTGAGAATGTAAATAACTGCATGGAATGTGACAACTGGAAAAAGTTGAAGACTTTTCTGAACCAAATTTCTCAAAATTTGAAACTTTTGGTGTTTGAAATTGGTATTAAAATTTTTAATATTTTAAATTCGTATTTCCAAATTTTTTCAATCGAAATTCTGTATTTTTCATGGAAAATGTTCATTCTTCAAAACTCACCCGCATGGTTGCAATACTACACCATTTGAAATGTTATTAGTCGAACATAAATCAATTGGACATGGTCCATCTCGAAAATTGACTAGAGTTGGTTGCTCGTTCTCATCTGAAACTTGCTCATTTTATCAATTAAAATAATTAAACAAACACTGACCTTGTCTACATATTGGACAAATCTTATCGTTTGATACATAATAACAACGACTGCAAACACAATGTCCACAACTATTGATTAAAAATGGCACATCAATTTCTTCGAAGAAAATTGCACATGTCATTTTTCTCTCAATTGTTCCAGCAGCAAGATATTTCATATATGAATCTTCACATAAAGCTATCAAATTCTGAAAAACACACATTTTTGATTGTAAATATGTTCAGAAAACTGACCATTCTACCGGGAATAACTAGAAACGTATCGCGAACGGTTTTTTCGAACACTCGAATCCGCGATTTCACATTCTTCCGAAACGAATCTTCCCAAGACAGATGGATTTTCGATTGAGATCTCCAAATATTAATTTTCAAAATACTACCAATTTTGCGGCTTGTTAGTGGGGTTTCATTAGTTTGTTCCCTTATATTCCTAAAAATTGATAAAACAACTTCAAAAAGAATAGAAAGAAACAATTGAGTATTTAAAATAAATGAAATAATGAGAACTGCCATTTCCTCTCCCTTTTTCAAAATAAAAAATTTACCATAAATCGGTCGATTGTTCGATAGCCTCATCCGCCGAAAGACGTACCAAATCCGTACTATCATCTAATTGCAACATAGAAATCGGTTGATTCATCTCACAATCTCCCTGAATCAAATATGTTTGAAGGTGTTGTTGTTTCTATTTCTTCACAAACCATCCAAATAATATAGATAGCAAAATAATCTCCATTTTTTGGAACTAAATTATTCAAATCATCCCCTATTACTTTTACATACAACAGGTCTTCCTCTTCGGCTTGGAAATTTAAATCATCTTCTCTTCTTTCCAATAGTCGAATCACATTCATCGACCTAAAATTTCTATGAAAAGCTTGTCTTTAAAAAAAAGTTATTAAAAATAATTATCTTCGGTTTACATAACCGTTCAAAATCATCGAGTACGAGCATAAAAACAAAAACATAAATTCATTTTAACAAAAAAACTGACTATTTATAATACACTAACATATGTAATCTATATCTATTTATCCATGTATTTTATTACGTAACATATTGAGTTTGTCTATATCCGTCGCACAATAATCGAAATCAGTTTTGAAAACAACAATTGGTGAAAAACCTCGTTTTTTGGCTAATCGCAAATCCAATTGAGCAGAACCCATCAGAACATTTTCGGGATTTTCGACATCCTGGAAAAATATAATTTGTTTGGGAAATAAATAGGAAATTGAAAAATAACAAAGGTTTAGAATGAAAAATGGAATTTTATATTTGAGAAAAAACATTTAAAAATGAGAAGAGGTAACTTTTCAGGGAATTTTTCATATTTTCAAAGTTCATTGATTAGTTTTTTTAGTTTCGAAGAAAACAAGAAACCTTTGATTTTTTTCAAAATTTTCTGCATTTCAAAATAAACAAATTCACCTGTTTAACTTGCTGCCATCCATAAAAGAAAATCGGTCGAGGATTTGTGTTCCATTTTTCGACAGCAACAACTCTTCCCGTTTCTTTTTCTGGCATAACATAAGCATCGACAAAAGTTCCAAATTCTTCGATATCCGAATGTTTACAATATTTATCTCTTGGCGCAATTTGGAAGAGTTTCGCCAAGAATTCATCGCATTCTTTTGTATTCTTTGTGTATTTCAATTGTCGAGCCTCACGGATCTGAAGAAAAATGGAACATATTTGAGGGTGAGATAATCAGAACTCACTGAATCTGAATTGAACAATATTCCATATTTTTCCAATGATGATTTCGAAATTGTTGGTCCATTATAATTTTCCAATTCATTCACAGCACATCCATTGATGGAAAGAAGAATCAAGGCTTTTCGAAGTCTATCGTGCTTCTCTCTGAAAAAAACTTTGATGAAAAATCCTAATTCTGAACCAAATCCCAAAGAAACTTACAACGAGGATGTCAAAAGATTCTCCACGAAATCTTTATTAAGAACCGAATCAGCCAAATTTGCATCAAGTTGTTGGAAATAAGCCAAAGAATGAATAATATTTAGCCATGCAACTGGATGACGCAATTTTTCGCGATTCAAAAGTGGTTTCAAAACTTCGGCCAGCGGTTTGCCAACCTCGATCGGAACTCCAATTTTACTCAATATTGAGACAAATCGTGTCAATTGATCAACACTCGCTTCTTTTGCATTTTGTGTTGCCCATCGACTCAAAAAACTCCACGTTTTCTCATTTCCCATTCGCAATCTCAAAAGTGAATCCGAAATACTGACAACATCATTCCATTTTTGTAAAACATTTGAATGTTTCGGTAAATCTTCGTTGATTTTCTTCATAATTGGTGGCGAAAAATAGGACAAACCAACTAGAGATTGAACTATATTTTGAATTTGAGCGATTGTCAAGCATTGAGAAGATCTGAAAAAATAGTTGAAAATTTTCATTCAAAAGTTCCTGCCTGTATTTACCTGGAAACTGCTGCAGAAATTTTTCGAATCAATAGAACATTTCTCTGATTTTTCTCGCCCATTATCTTCAAAAATGCGATCTTCTCTCCGGGACCCATAACATCCACAAGTTTTTCGGCGGTTTTCACGAAATTTGCATTTTGGAGCCACGCAGATTTTGTATCATAATGAACTAAAGATATCAAATCTTGAGGTTTATCGAGTTCACTGAAAATTATTTGAATAGATAAAAATATCAAAATAACAAGAAAACTTACTTTTGAGCTCTGGTTAAAACCGAATTTCTGACTTTTCTCAAAATATTTTGATCGAGATATACATTATTCGAATATCGTAGTATTTTGAGCAAAGTATTGAAATCGACACAATCAAAATCTTTAGCTTCATTCAAAATTCGCTGAACTTCATCAATAAGATCGGATTGCGGATTTAATTGAATCAAAAATCTCAAAACATCAGCTGCTTCAGATGTTGATAAATTTTCCAAGAATGTTGGAAACACTTTTTCACTTTCATTGTTGAGTTTTTGAAAAGCGGTTTTCTGCTCGTTTTCTCTCACATTCACTGCCAATTTTGCGGCTTCAATGTAATTTGTGACGGTTTTCAATTTATTTGCGCCAAGCCCACTGGTCCTGGGAGGTTGACCAAAAATTGACCAATTTTTGGCCAAAAACGAAAATTGGTCGAATTTTGGCCAAAAATTGATCAAAAATATTTATTGGCCAAAATATGGTCAGAAATTGGTCAAAAAATTGGTCGAATTTTGGCCAAAATTCAGTGAAAATTTTAATTGTGAAAAATTGCGAAAATCTTAATGTTTTTGGGCAGACATGTCGTTTTGCGGCTTTTGGTGAAGTTAGGTTGATGAATTTCGTTGTTTTTCTACTGGTGAATCAATAAGTAGGAGTAAAATACTTCGTTTGTTGAATGTTGGCGCCACTCACACCAATTGCACCATTGGCGCAAATGTCAGTCCCAAATCTTCAACTAAAATCAGTTTTGACTTATCTTGGAGCTATTTGATATCAAGCAGAGACCTATCTCGAATCTATCAGTTGTATTGATTGATCCTTGATTTATCAAGAACTAGGGCTCAGAGAATTCAGAAGTATTGGGTTCAGAGGCAATAATTTCTATTATTTTTTGGAAGAATATTGTTGTGATAGCCATCAGCTTCGAAAAAATAACACCAGTGACCCAAAAATCATGCATTTTTTCCCAAAAACGTGAACTCAAAAACTTCCACAGACAGAGATGATTTTTATATCATTTTACTCAGCGTGAAATTCTGAATCGAATGGTGCGAACTATTTATCACCAAAAACAACTAATTGGGGCGCGAAAACAATAGATTAAAGGCGCAAATATTTATGCAATGTGGTCCTGCAGCGAAATGTGTGTGTGTACTTCTCTCGGACGAAATGCACGCCAAAATTTTTTTTCTTTTTTTTTTTTCGTTTTTTTGTGTGTTGCCCTACTTATAGAGAAATTGATTGTTCACGACTGCTAAAAAGATATAAAGCTTGTTCCCCGACTAGGATCTAGCAGCAAGTTTTACCAGAACTTTGAAATTCACATATTAAACTTGAATTTAGGCCAAAAACTAAAAAATTTGGTTTTCTTACAAATTTGTTAATTTGTTACTTGTTAGAGTGTCAGATTTTTATCAGAACGGGGCTGTTTCTCAGTTTGACACATTTCCAGCAACATTTGCATGAGTTCCTATGTTACAATCAGAAGTGTCTCAACAGCCGGTAGACGGCCGTCTGATTCTCATCTATCTTCCGATTCTCATCTACCTTATTTCGCAATATTGATATTTGTGCTGTTTTTAGAAACTACTAATCAAGAAAGAATGGATGCTGCTCTTGCTGACACTACCAACACAATGACCGGAGAAACCACTGTTCCAGTTGAAAATATCAAGACCACCACTACCGAAGAAACAACTCCAACTACTGCTGAAACTTCCACCGCTGCCACCACAGAGCTCACTTCCGAGGAAAAGTCAGTTTTTTCTCCTGAAGAATTTTAATCAAAATTGGTTCTTATTTCTAGGGCTACACAATCGAAGAACAACTTGACATCTGGAAAGCGTCTTTTGTTGAGAAGCGAATTCAGCAAGGCTGCTGATTATAGTTGGACATGAGTGGTTTTTCAAATGGTTTGAGCGAAACCAGTTTGATTGGTTCGCTCACTCATTTGGTTTTGGTTCGCTCATTTGAAATGGTTTCGGTTTGGTTTTGGTTTTTGGTTCGCTCACTCATTTGAAAACCGGTTTTCGCTCAAATGTCAACTGGTTTTGGGGTATTAGGTATTGATGAATTTCGAGGTTTTCGACTATGGGGATTCACGTGATGGACTTATTTTCACGTAAAATCACTCTTAAAGGCACACACCAAGCAAAATTTTTTTTTCGAAAAATGGGATATTTGGGCACGGGGAACATTTTGGTGAGGTATACGCTCCAAAACAGACTTTTAAAGACACATGCCAGGTTATTATACATTTTCGAGACACAAAAACTAAAACGATCATAACTCGGGCAATCTTTGAGCTTTTTCAAAATTTCGACAACCATTTTGACGTGCTCGTCGTCAGCTAAATTTTTTCTCATTGGACCGAAATTCAAATTTTGCTCCTAAGGAGTGAAAAATACGTTTTTTTCTCGGAAATATCAATTTTTGAACGCAAATTTTAGCAAAAATGCGTATTTTCACTCCTTAGGAGCAACATTTGAATTTCGGTCCAATGAGAAAAAATTTAGCTGACGACGAGCACGTCAAAATGGTTGTCGAAATTTTGAAAAAGCTCAAAGATTGCCCGAGTTATGATCGTTTTAGTTTTTGTGTCTCGAAAATGTATAATAACCTGGCATGTGTCTTTAAAAGTCTGTTTTGGAGCGTATACCTCACCAAAATGTTCCCCGTGCCCAAATATCCCATTTTTCGAAAAAAAAATTTTGCTTGGTGTGTGCCTTTAAGAGTGATTTTACGTGAAAATAAGTCCATCACGTGAATCCCCATAGTCGAAAACCTCGAAATTCATCAATACCTAATACCCCAAAACCAGTTGACATTTGAGCGAAAACCGGTTTTCAAATGAGTGAGCGAACCAAAACCAAACCAAACCATTTCAAATGGGCGAACCGAAAACCAAATGAGTGAGCGAACCAAAAAAACTGGTTTCGCTCGGTTTTTTTCGAACCATGTCCAACTATACTGCTGATCTCTTGAGTTTGGCTTCTCAACTTGCGTAAGTTTTGAAATTTTCATACATTTTCTATTTCTATGCATTTCAGTGGTAAACTCTTCGGAGACGACAGCGAACAATCATTTGATCCTTACTTCTACTATGGACAAGCCCTTTGGAACTCAATAACTTGAAGATCAAGTATTCTCAAATGCCATGACTATCATGCCAACCGTAGGAGAAGGTGATGCCAACAACAATTCAATCGACGAGGAACAATATGGTAATCCGGATAAATTGTCAGAAGACGAACGTGAGCAAATCAAGGAACAATTTGACACTGCTTTTTCTGCTGGTGCAGAGAAGGCAGAAGGATTAGTCGAAACTGAGTAATTTTTATTGTTTCTAAGGTTCACAAACTGCTAGGAGTCTGCGATTGCTCTAAAATTAACTTTCTTAGGGCAAAATTTACATTCTTCCGAGCACAAACCTCCAGCTCTCTTTTCTCTAATTAGCTCAAAATGTTTTTCAATGAAAATTAAAGTTCATAATATAAGGCAGATTCCTAACAGTTAGAACCATTTTTTGTTTCTTTTTTGTTCTTTTTCAATAAATTTTTGTGAAAAAAATGTGTTTTTGATTTGAAAAAAGTCTGGGGAAATGATCAAAAAATGGTGAAAAATTGGTGGGAAAAAGTTGAAAAATTGACCAAAAAATGGTGAAAAATTTTTTGGTGCATTTTTGGTCAATTTTTGTTCAAAATTTTTTTGACCAAAAATTGACCAATTTTTGGTCAAACTCCCAGGACCAGTGCCACTGAAATTTTTTTGTTTTTTAAACAGAATCCAATAAATAGTTAAAAATAAACCTTTGAAAACTGCGAAGCTGATTCTAAACTCGTCGATTCTTTTCTCGGCGCCTTTTGCGAACTACTAACACTAATTGTGTTCAAAAAATCATCCACCACTGATTTTTCTACAACTGTTGATAAACTTCTAGTTGGCAATTTTCCCAATGCTCTTCTCAACATCTGAAAATAATTCTGAAATATTTATATCTGAAAGGGAATAATAATGAAGTAAATTTTTCGAGGAAAAACGCAATTTAAACAGTTTTGAAATTCTTATAAAGTATTTGAATCAATTCATTTTGAGAACAACAAAAAAGAACAACAAGAAAATCTAAAAACAAAAAAAATGAGATATAAAAAACCTATCCGAGAATCGGAGCACAAGCCCTGATGTGTTGTTGAGCAACAACAGCAAGACATTCGTAAACATCAGCACACGTTGATTTCGCAGTTTCCATGACTGTATTCAAATGATCGATGTGAAGTCGATTCTGAAGTTCAACAAGGACTACCTCGTCACGCCCAGAAATCGTGGCCAACTGAAAAACAAATATATTTTCAGCGAAACGAAATTCAAAAACTTACAGTGACTCTTGGTAACAAATCAGTTTCTTCCCTTGATGTCAAATCAACAATTGGTTTGCCTTCAATAACTCCACATGTAACAGCTGATGCGATTCCTTTCATTGGAATTCCAGCATCAGCCAATGCGAGTGAGATCGCGTTTATACAAGCAGCTAAATTTGAACCATCGCCTTGAATTACTTCGCAGAAAATATCAATTTGTGATCGTGGAAAACTGTCCGTCAAAATTACACTTTCAAAAGCTTTTTCCAACAATCGACTAATCTCTGTTGATTTACGATCTCCTCTTGGCCGATTTTTTCGTTCGAGTCCAGAAAATGTTGTCGCACTGTATTGACATACAATTGAACAACGATTTTCTAAACGTTTCGAAGCTTTTCCCTCGTATGGACCATAAACTGCACAAAGAACTTTTGTATTTCCATGTTCGATATAACAACTGCCTTCTGCGTTGCGATTTAAACCAAGACGTGTGTTGATGTTACGAATTTGTGATGGGCGACGCCCATCCATACGAAAACCATGTTCCGAGATGATATTCATTGTCTGAAACTTATAAATGTGTGAAAAGATTTTTGAAATTGATAACATACTTGATTTCTGGTGTTTCAATTGAAGTAGTAGCAATTGGTTCTTCTGATGGTTTAACAGCAACTGATGAAGTTGATGTGATTGTTTCGATAGCTGAAGGTTCTCCTTGTTTGAATAAAACTTTTGGGGCTTGTTCGGCAAATACTAGCATAAAACGTCGGTTCACTAGCATCTGCTTGTCAATACCTAAGAGGATACAAAATTTATGACAATTTAAAACCCTACAAAATCTCACATTGACTAACGCAGCTGTGCTCGTCTTTTGTCAATTGGGGAGTGTTATAATCTCTTGCACAGGCAGAGAAGCAACGCTCGGTTAAGGTGTTATAAACAGTTAAAAACTCGCGAAGTTGTTGGATATTTTGAATAGTATTCATAAAGTTGAAAACTCCAGTTTTCTGCAAAGAAAAACGTTTCAAATGAACGGAGCAAAAAAATGAAAAAAAAATTCTCAAAGCAATGTGTGCAGTTGTGCGTCGCGGTGTTTACACATTTTCTGATTTTTCGAATAAAACCGTAGTTTTCAGATGGATTTTCTGTAACTCGAGGGGATCCTCGTGGATTTTGCAAATTATTAGAAAATTTTATATGAGAGAAGTAAAAAATGTCATTTTTTACAATAAATATGATACATATCACAGTTTATTTTCACATAAAGCCATTGTTTCATTGAATTCAACTCGTCGAAATTTTCGAAAAATATGTCACAGTTTTATTCTTATGATCGAGAAGCAAACTGAAAATAGCATTCATTAATTAGTTAAATCGTTTTCAATTTATCCAAAACTAACTTTTCAATCGAAAATTCTAGTCGAATATGTTGTTCTTGTAAATGTTTACAGTATCTGGCATCATGTTCTTCAGAAGATCCGGGACAAGAACAAGAAGCAGTTCGACAAGCTTTTGCTACAACTTCACCAGTTTCAGCGTATCTGAAAATTAAGAAATGCAATTTATCACTATATTTTTATCACGTGGAAAGCTATACACGCGTTTTCCCAATAAAAAATCGAAATGCGAACTTTTTTCTGAACTTTTAAAATAGTGATACGATATTTAAAGATTCTGAATTTTGAAGTTTCTCTAAAATCTACAGTAACCCAGCCCCTATTGAGTTTATGAATATATTTATATACATTTTGATGGCGTCAAAACAAGAACCTCGTTAACCTTCATTTTCTTCATTCTTTTCGGTGATTTTGTAAATAGATAGGATTATGCTTTCGACAAGACATAAATCATTCAATTTATTGAATTCGTGAAAGCATACTGTAGATTTTTTTAAATAAATTTCGACATATTATTCAAAATAGAGGTTTTAATACTTGAAAAAAAACAACCAACCTTCTCAAAACTTTGCTAACACAACTATGAGTTATACCAAGTTTTTTAGCAATATGAATCTTCTTCATTCCACGCTTGAAACATTCCACAATTTTCTGCCGATCACAGGTTAATAAAGGCCGGCCGGAGATATATGGGCGGCCATAACGATTTCGTGATGGGACCACTGGGGTTACTGTAAGAGTAATTTTGATTAGGAGATTTGGATCAAAAGCTGAATGAGTTGGGGATGTTTTACTTTGCAAATGGAACTATTTTCATTAAAAAATGTGAATCGTTTTTTAAAACTAAATAAAAACCTTCACTCAAATTTTGGAATTTCAGAAAACTTTAGAACCTTCATTTCTATTTTGATAATTCAAAAAAAAAATCAAGATTCTGAAAAAGCTGGAATTTTTAGATTAATAAAATGTTCTTCAACAAATTCCAAAACAAAAATCCACAAATCGTAAAAATTAATCTCCAAAAACTGAAATTAAAAATAATCCCACAAAGGATTTTTCAAATCAAATTAAAACTGAAACACTACCTTTTGTATTTCTGATTTTATCCGGACAAGTTGTCAATTTCTCAATATGCAATTGTGGTTTCGGAAACGATCTCGAAAACTTTTCCAATGCTCCCAAAGAAGAACTATCCGAAAAAATGCGTGAAAATAAAGAAGAATTATGAAGGAAAAAATTGAAATCAGCAGGAAATATAGAAGTAGTCATTTTTGAACACAATCTATCTAAACTGTTCTTTTTCTTTTTCTTCTTCTTCAATAATGATAAGTGCAATGTTGTTTTTTTCTCGAAGTACGGTAGTCGGAAATCTCCGCCCACAATTTTGTTGAAAGGCTTTGATGTGATGCCGATTTGATGGATTTTTGTCAAGGTGATCTTTTTCGATCAAATTTATTATGATAGGTGGAAAGAGAAAAAGAGAAGCGGTGTTTTAGAAATGAAGTGACACCTCGAATTTTTTTTTTTGAAAATTTTTTTGTGACGATTTGAAGTATGAAAGTATGTGTCAGAAAATTAGAAAGGTTCCGAATTGGGCCGGTTTTGACGCAAATTTTGAATTTTTAAAATTGTAAAAAATTTTTTTCTTTAAATAAAATTTCAATAGAAATCGGACTAGGTCAGAAAAATTTGGAAGTGGACCAAAAAAATCACTTTTAAAATTTGTTCGATCAACAGCTCCGCTTCAGATTTTTTGTCGAACAAAATTAAACCTGGAAACAGAAATTTAGAATTAGGCCCGATGGATCAAACGCAACTCTTACCTGTTGATTTTAATTCACTGTACTCAATTTCAAAAAAAAATCCTTTCTTAAAGTTGAAAAAACTCCCAAAATATCTATCTCGTATTTTTTCCAGAATGGTCACACTTCTCTCATTTTTTATCTACATTTTCTTCTCCCCATTTTCATTTTGATTGTACTCAATTCTAATTAGTCATTCGACTTGTGAGATGAAAAAAGAAACACCGCCGCCAGAGGCGACAAATTTCATAAGTTATATGTTCATCTTTCTCTTTTTTTCTCTCTCTTTATGTTTCCAACCCGGAGGAGTTTGATTAATTGCGATTGATGGACATCAACAATTTGTCAACTTCTCACGACAAGCGTGAAAAAAACTGGAGAAAAGAAGTGTGACTTGAAGAAAAAAAGATGCGCGGAAAAAAATTGTTGCGGAAGAATCTGGACTTATAATAAGTGTAAAACAATTCTAGATGTTTTTTTGTTGATTCACAATCGAAGAAGTAGAAGTGGGGAGTGATAACAAACAACCCAAATGATAATAATAAAAATAATGAGCGGCGCAATTTAAGAATGGTGTGAAAATGATGGATTATAGTGATGTAGACTGCGCGCGACAAATGACAGAAAAAAATGAAAGAAAAAAGATTGAGCGAGAAAATGATAGTTGATAATAAAATAGAGAAAGAACGAAACAATCTTATTTATTTGGGAAAACTGAAGAAACCGGGGCGAAATGAAATGAAAAGGGAACTTTTTCAGAAAATATACAGGGAACTTCCGAAAATTGAACAAACACTGATCACGATGTCGTGAAAATCAACTGACCAGATTCAATATTGATTGATTTTTATTTACAACGACATGCTAAACAAACAAAATGCCCGCTGTTTAGCGCAATACGAGAATATTTTCATTTTTTGTTTTTTTTCCGTGGAAAATCAGTGGATTTCAGTCAAAAATTGAATTTTTAGATGTTCTACGAGGCTGGAATAATCGCTTCCAACGGAAAACCCGAAGATTATCGAAGAAAGGTGGGTTTTTTCTAGAGAAACACTGTTTCGATTGAAATTTTTGATTTTTCAGGGTCAACAATGATTTAAAATGTAAAGAGAACAATGATTAGTCGAATTTGAAGCGATTTTTTTAATGAAAAGCATCGATTTCATGAAAACAGTTGGGATATTACTGGATTTTCGATGATTTTTGTGTTATTTGAGAAATTGAAGCGATTGGTGAGTTTTTTGGGGAGGGATTTCGGAAAATTTGAAAAAATCGAAAAAAAATTCTGTAATTTTTGAAAAATATATGAAAATTATGAAAAAAAAATCTTTGAAAAATTGAAAAAAGTTAGCCTAACTCATTGAAATCTAGCCCCCCTATTTTATTTTTGATTTATTTATATTGTGAAATTAATTTTAATTGAAACTAGAAGGGCTTCGCTGGCTAACACCATCTACAGTAGTTTGACTTACTTTTTACTGATTAATTTTCCGGTTAGGGAAAGAGAAATATTGAGAAATGCCCAGAAATTGTTCGCTTTTTTCAGAAAACAGAAAGATCAGATAAGAAACGTGTCCTTTAATTTTTTGGAATAAAAACGTGATCATTCTTTTTTACATGAAAAAAGTTTTGATTTTTCACGTGAAAACTCGCGCATTTTTTCAAAAATCGAATATTAGCGCCTCGATGGGAGAGAATTTGGGATCGAATGGTGAAGGTCCCATCAAAAATGGTCTTCTGGAAATTGAGAAAAGTCGAGCGACACATTTTAAATGCGAAAATTACATTGAGATTTTCAAACTTTTCACTCTCCGCGCACTCACATACATTTTGAGAAAGAATGAATAGGAAGCGCATCGAGCTGCCAACATTTAGAAACTTTTTCTTTTTTTGATCATCAATTTTTATGCGCACAGTTTTGAGAACGGGTCCCGGACATACTATTGCCAAAAAAATTTTCCCAATTAGTAGATAGTAGATAGTAGATAGTAGATAGTAGATGAATATAAATGAGTGTTTTTTGAGTGTTAGTCAGAAAGAATTTGGTATTTGGATTGTTCATATCCGAGAGTTCCTCTTTGCCTCTCCACTATGTTTTTCCTTTGAATGTTTTGCCCTTTCCAAATTCAATTTTTCTAATTGCAAAATTTTCTTTCACGAATTGTTTTTTTTTAATTTTTGGGGGATCCGTCTCCCCTGATTAGCTGTTTCTGACAATTTTCGTTCAGTGTTCTCCAAAACGAAGCATGAACAACAACAAATCTGGTATGTTTTTCACTTCTAAACCTGCAAATTATTTTACATATTTTATTGAAAAATATCGAAAAATCCTGAGTGTAACTGTAGCCCTTATACAAAATGTACAAAATTTACAAATGCCAATAATTGATCTTCTATGGCATACATGCAGCATTTCGCTGTTTGATTTTGTCAACCATAATTTGGAAGTTTTGATCAGTGAAACTATGAGCAGAATTTGTAGAAATTGCAGATAATGTCTCATTATTCAATGTTACAGCGTTTGGTACACCAGCCTGAAAATCCAGTATTTTTTCTCAAAGGTTCGGAAAACCAACAAGCTTACCGAATATGCTACAGTATACATTTCAAATCCAGCTGCTTCCGCATTTTTCGCCTGAACAGTCGGATCTGGTCCTTTGTTACTCCAACCATCAGTAAATACAACCATAACTTTCGTCGCAATTCCAGGTCGAGCTCCTTCATCTTCATCTAATTGTGTCAATCCTTTCTCAATTCCAGCTCCAATTGCAGTTGTTCCACCAGTCGATTTCAAATTATCGATTGCTCTCAAAACATCTTCTTGAGTTGAATATCTTTTCAAATTGAATCTGACACGAGTTCTTCCAACTGTGGCAAATGTAACAACAGCGACTTGAGTGTGATGTGGACTAATTTTGAGTTGGGAAACGAGTTTCTTGCTCAATTCTTTGTAGGATTGATAAACAGGATCAGTGGTTGTTGAGAAATCGAGAACTAGAACCAAATCAAGTTCACAACCTGTGATTGGATTTGTTGTGGTTGTTGTTGTCGTAGTGGTAGTAGTTGTGGTTGTTGTGGTGGTTGTAGTAGTTCTACATTTATCCTGAGCTTCACGTAAAAGTCTTCTAGTAATATCTGTAGCAAGATCTCTTCCACGATGCATAACAATGTGATTGATGTTACCAGTGATATCCAAAAGTTCCCGGCTGAAAAACGGTGTATTTTAGAAGTTAGAAACTATGAATTAGATTTGTTTTCACAACATTTTAGATTTTTAAAACTTTTTTAGAAAAAGTTGAATTTTACTTACGTATCAACACTCTCAGGGTCTCCAGTTGCTGCAGCAAAAACCCATGTATTAGTTTCAGCTTGAAGTCTTCTTCCAGGTTCCTTCGGATCATCAGCTGATCTTCCATCAGTTACAACCATAACCAAAGTTGGAATTGATACATTTCGTTGAGCCATCAATTCTAATCCAACTTCCAATGCTTTTTTCGTATTTGTAGTTCCACCAATGGCTCTCAATCCATTAACTTTTCTCACAAATTCTTCATTTGTCTTTGCAAAATTCCATGGAAAAACTTCTCGTCGATAACTCAAACCAGAATAAACAATGAGTGCAACTCGATGTTTCTCTGGTCCGATCTGAAGTTCTTCCGAAACATCTGTCACAAATTTTCGACTTTTGTTGAAACCTCCTTTTACAGAATCCGATCTGAAATTTTGTTGTAGTTTTCGTGGTCTCTGTTGACACGGAAATGTTTTTAGATAGTGTTGATGAGTTTGCACTCATCGAATTAATTTTGTGATTTTTGTCAAGTTTATTTTTAAAGAACACTAACCACGAAAGTCGTACTTTGAATTTTTACAGAAAATCGGGCCAGGTCCTATTCAGGCTAGAATTCAGCCTGGGCTGCTTTCAGGATTTAAACAATTTTTAATTCCCTCCAGAACTTACCGATCCAACACAATCAGAACATTAAGTTCGCAAGCAACTGGGAAAAGTGGAGTAGTTTGTGAATGCACAACAACAGCTAGTGCTGCTAGTGCACTAACCTGAAAAAAATTATAAAATAAATTCAACCAAGTAAAATTTACCTGTAACCAAATCATATCTAATAAGAAAAAAGTTTTGAGAAGTAAACTATTGCGTTTCGTTTCAGGAATAAATGAAAAACACGATGGGCGGTCCAGAAAACGAATTGAATTTTTTAATTCAATTTTTTTTCGTAATTTTGTTAGGGCGGAGAATGAAACAACGAGACTCGTTTGGAACACCCCATATCATCATCATCAATTCATCATTTAACACTACTACTATCAAAAACTACCTGTTTTTATTTTTATTTTTATGAAAGTGTTGTGTAACTGATGATCAGAAAAAGTATATTGGTTGGTTGGTGTTCGCGAAATTAAAATCGTAAAGTTAAAGTTCTAAAACAAAACTTGTCATATCATTTAGAAGAACAATGTAATATGCTAATAAATTATGTGATAAAAGATATAGCAAAATATAAATATAATCGTATCAGATATATTGACAAACCAAAACACAGGAACAAAAATATATGAATTGTTTTTTATTCCAAAAAAAAAAATACGGAAGTTCAGGCTGGAAGATTGAATTTTTGAGTTCCAAGAAATCCAGGATCTATTTTTGTAGATCATGAATTCAAGATGAGCTTGGAATTCTGGATCAGGCTACAGTGTGTGATGAATTTGATGCCACAATCGCTAGTTTCAAAATTCCAAAAAAAGTAGATCAAGAAAATTGTTCTCTGAATCTCCTAATCCTTTGTTGGATTTTTTTTGGTATTAGATATAGGGTTAGGTATCGATAAAACTGATCTTTTGATTTTTTTTTCAAAATTTTCCAAACGTAACTAATCTTTTAATTCCGGGTAGATTTTTCCCGGATGTTTTCCTAGATGAAGTTTTTTTCCCAAAAATCCACTCTTGAGCTTCACACGAACGTTACGTAAATTAGGACCCAAAAATTGATTTCTAAAACTTGTATCAATTTTCCTCTGATCCTGAACACTTACCGTAGCCAATAAATAAATCTGCTGCATTCAGTTCTTCTTCCAGCAAGTATAAAAAAGAAATATGAAAACAAAAAAAAAACTAGAAATTCTGAGAATATGCTTCCTTGCTTGCCATGCTTTGCGCACCCCGCCTACTTTTTTTTCGAAAAAAAGTTTTGTCACAAGTTTCGCATTGTTATGTTGACCTTCATCTAATATGATAATCACTATATCATATCACTTACTACTTTGACTTTTTGAAAATGCCCTTTTGAAATGAAGAAGCATGCTGCTGTAATGATTGGTTGGTCATTGCAAGATTTATCACTTTTTTCTTTTTTTTTTTTGAGAATTTTTCTTGAAATCAAAATGTTGTTTACTTACTTATTTTTCAGAAAAGATCAAAATAATGTTGATCATCCGAAACATGTGACAAGGAGTGGCGCCAACTTATTTTTCTTTAATTTCGAACTTGGTTCAGGGTCGTCTATAGATAGATTTTATTATTGACTGGATTGAAATGAAAAAAAACATGAAATAAAGAAAGACAAGATCTTGTAAGCAAGAAAGAAACAGAGATCAAATACCCGCATCAATTTTTAAAAAATTTGGAAAGTTTTAGTAAGTTGATTATACATAATGTGTTCGGGTTGGCAAACTTGGCATTGGTGGAGGTAGAGATGTTTCATGCCATGATTCATTTCGTTTTAGAGATGACTTGTCTCCGTCTGTTTGCTGAAATTATAGTAAGAATTTATTCATCTAGGAATGATTTTCAGATTTTCTGAGTTGAAAAAAATTGGACCAGTTATGGTAAAAATTTCAATGACAAAAAATCGGACTCTTGAAAATTACCTGGTCCGAATATTTTCTGAATCTGGTCAGATACAAATTCTCAAAATTTGGTCCATAAAGTTGAGATTTGAAAAAATTCAAATTTTTTTCAAAAAATCAAATGAAAAATTTCAGAACTGAGAATTGACGTGACCAAATTCCAAATCTTTTTCAAGAACTCACAGATTCCCAATCATTGGCAGTTCTTTCAGAACCTTCAGCTTTATCATCACAAACTGGTTTTCCACTTCTTCTCAAAAATATCAACCATAATTGTTCTGTCACTTTTGCACACATCAAATTTCCAGCATGTGAAGCGATCATTTGTAATAAAAACACTCCATCAGATCGTAAAAATCGATGGGTAAATCTGCCGATTTGATCTGATTGAATATCCAAATGTTTTGATACAAAATTCTCTCGACATGCTCCAGAAGCCAATGCGATAAACCAGAATAATAGATTGAGAGCAGTGATTAGAGCAAGAACTGTTAACCAAAGCCATAAAAATATGAAAATCTTTTCAGTTAACATATTGATAACTAAAACACATTGAACTGTATGACGATGAACATTTCCAAGTACACGAATTTCAAAATCGCAAAGTGTTACACGAGGAAACTTTCCAGAATCTCGCCATTCTCTTCCCATAAAAAGATCGTATAAAACATGTGCTCCAAATAATGGATAATCAGAAGTTTGTAAAAATGAATTGAGAAGCATAAATTGTAGAACAACATTACATAAATGTAATGCTTTGATGAAAATATAAACAGATGAAACATAGGCGCCGTAGAATTTTCCTAATCGAACAACCGCAAAAATATAAACACTATTTCTTCTTGCTCCATGTTCTCTTTGATACATTAAAGCATCATCGATGTGTCGAGCAACAATATCGACGGTTTTATCGCGAACTAATGGATCAACATTTTGTTCGCCGCAAGCCAATTGAAGAACCAAACCAGCGTTGAGACCTGAAGTTTTGAGGAAAATTTTAATGAGGGTTTTTAGAAGTTTGTGAATTAGAACTTTTCTAGTTCAGGCTTCTGTGGACTCATTGTTTTTTTTTTTTTTGGAAAAAATCATTTTTTTTCATTTTCTGAATATACAGATGAGTCCTTCTCATATTTTTAGATTCCCGATCCCCATTTTCTTTCATACCACTTTGTCCCGCCAACATTCTCCAAACCGAAGATGGAATATGAAACATCAAAGCAGCCACGGCTAAAACAAACGGAACCCATTGATAATATCCAATCTGTCGCCTTTCTCGATCATCCAATCGATGAGGTATTAAATCCTATAAAACATAAAGCAATCAATCATTGTTTTTGACCAGTTGTGTTTTTTCTTATGTTATATAATCAATCATTATTTTCGCATTCACTATCAGAAATATGTGTTACCTGGAATGGAACCCAATATGTGTTTTGCACCCAACAATAATTTTCCGTATATTGTTCCATGGCTCGAGTGAATTGCGCGGGAACAAAACATTCTATAGGATGGCCAACTGAAACAAAACTTCTTATTTGATTTTATTTTCGCCCCGATTCTTTTTTTCTGAAGTTTGAATAACTCTAAATCACGCGAGCCTATTAATAATTTACTTTCTATGCACATACGAAAAAAAATCTTATTCATTTTTCTGCGAAAAATGAAGCCAATTTAGAATTTAGAGTCTACTGTAAAAATATATAAAGTCATTAGATGTTCTTTTTTCTTTCAAGTTGACCAAAAACAGAATGAGGTGAAAAGAGAAAAACAAGTATGAGAAAGGGTATCAGATTCTGGGAAAAAAAATGATATTTGGAAAAACATAAAGTAACTTGCCATATTGTTTTGCAGACACTAAAACAGCAAACATCAGAACCATGGTGGATGTGTAGAGATAGTGAAGACGATCCACAAAATCATCATCGACTCTGGAAAAATATGGTTTGTTTTGGAAAAAGAAAGGAACTGGAGGTACTGTAGATCAGGGAATTTTGACATTTTTTTTGAATTTGAAAAAACAATTTTTTTCAAGTTTATAAAAGGTTTGGCAGATTTTTTTCAAAAAAAAAACAATTTTTATTTTGTCTATTTTTTAACCCCAAGAAGCACTTTATAAAGTTCTTTCCACAATATTTTTTTTTCTTAAATTTCCGAAAAAAAAAATTGTTTTTTCAAATAATTTTTCAGACACTTTTTAGCAGAACTTTTATTGGAAAATTGAATTCGAAAAAAAAACAACAAAATTCGGATATTTGGAATAAAAGGTTGAGAGTACTTTTTAAAAAGGATTGGAGATAATGAAAATTCTTATTATCTTTGGACAAACTATTTGCCACGTCACAACTATTTTAAAACAAGTTTTCACGAATTTATTGATTTACCACGTTTATTAGAAGATTAAATTTAGTCCCTGCTTGTTTGCTTTTTTTAAATTTTTATATAAATTTAGGATTTCCCAATTCTATTTTATATTTTTTTTTCTGTCAAAAATTTTTTCCATTCATTTTTTTCACCTGGTTGCAAGTATTCAAGTAATTACGCACTTTTTTCAAAAAATCGTTCGAAAAAAGTTGGCGAATCAAAGCTCAATGTTCAAAAACAAAATTCGAGATCATATTTTGTTTCATTTTTTCTATCTTTCTATTTCAAAACATATACATACACATTTATAAAATTTTCATGAACCTCAAAAAATATAGTGTGTGATAAAAAATATGAGAGAAAAAGAGTGATTTAAAAAGACAGGTGTTTCTTCTTTTCGTTTCAGAAATTCGAATCTTGTTGAAGGAAGCAAAAAAAACAGATATCTACACTAAAATGCGTGTATCTATACAACAAGACAACAAAAAACAGATGCAAAAAATTAATTTCTAACTTTCTTAAGTGAATTTGAAAGTTGGAATCTTTTTTTTGGCTATAATTGAATCCTTGGAGACACGGTAATAAAACATTTTCTTTTTATTTTCCTTCCGAAGGTCCCTCCTGTCTTACACAAATTTTTTATTTATAAAAAGAATGCCGCAAAAAGTGTCTCGTAATCCTTTCGTTTCAAGTTTATTTTAGTCCGTCATGGCGATTTTTTGTTTAGAAAAAAAAGAAAATTGGAAGACCAAAATTGGAGTTGTATTATATGTGAGAAAATCAAGTCCTACGAAAAAAATACTTGGAAATTCTGTCTAACTGCAGAAAAAATGGTGTTCCAGAAATCAGGAATGAAGTTGGAAAATGAATTTTGAAAATTGAGTGAACAGTTTTTGGAAGTTTAGAAACACTACAGTACATTGTAGAAAAAGTAGTTAGAGTTCAAAAAAATTCCAAAAAGTTGGAAATTTTTTTTGGAACTTTGAAAACCTAAGCAAGTTGTTAGCAAAAAATCTTCCAGGATCTACAGTATCCCAGCCCAATCTTCAAAGCTCCAAAAATCTCAATCCCCAAAAACTCAGACAAACCTGGGTTCCAAAAATCGAAGTGCAGAAGCAAGAAAATGCATTCCTATACGGTAGCCTCCGACCATCAGTTAGAATAAGAATAATAAGAAGAAGAAGTGAGTCGACCACAACTACTTGGATTGCTCCAACTCCATCTTCTTCTTATTCTTCTTCAGCTTCTTCGTTTTTCCCATCTCCTCCCCGTTAGACGGCAGAGAAACGCGAGCGAGAACTTTTGAAAATGGGTGGAGTCGCCTGAGGGATAGAGACGCAGAAATAATCTCTAAATTTTTCATGCTATTTCAACTGGTCGCAAAAAAGAATACACACAAAAAAACACAAAAATAACAACAAATTTCGTCGGTTTTTCTTCTTCAGCCGGGTTTTTGCTTTCTTTTTTGCTGAAGGTGCTCATTATGAACTTGTAATTGGATATTATTATATAGTTTTGGTTTGTTTTTTCGTAAGTCGTAAACAAAACTTGACTTGTTTTTCGTTATTTTTGTTGTTTTTTGTCTCGAGTTATGGAAGTTAATTATAGATGAGAGCAAAAAGATATGGAATATTCGAATATAAATTTTTGTGGAAATTTTGTGAAGACCGGTTCCACTTTCGCTTTTTTTTTCAGGAGAAAAAAAACAAAAATAATTCCGTTTCTCGAATATAAAAACACCTTTTCACTTTCCATCACAATCAGTTGACATTAAAAAAATTACGAGAGTACTGTAGCCACGCAGTTTCTGTCCTTTTGCGTGATGGTGTTTACACACAAAAAATTTACTTTTATTTTTCCGCAAAAAATTAATGAAATAATTTGTGTTTGCCTTTGTCAAGGACTATTTTTTATTGCAATAACAAACACAATTGAAATGAAACATCAACTTTCAAATATTGACAAATTCTCATTCATTTCGTTTCAAACTAATAAAAAACCACTTCCCATTTAATAGTCTTATCAAAAATGGTAGTGTAATATTTCGACCCCATCAATCTTTTGTCCTTTTAATAAAAACCACATGTGAGTGCAAAATAATTCCAATTATTTTAGGCAGAAATGGCTGCAAAATCTGCAAGTTCGGAGCAATTGGCAGCAGCTCAGGCGGCAGATGAAGAGAAAGCGAGGGTTGAGATAGAATGGGCTGAAAAGGGTTCGCTGATGTCAAGAGTAAAACGGTTTGTTGTTTGACCTTGATTGGGTTTTAACAATGAAAAAAAATAAATCGATTTTTTTCAGTGGAAAAATCAAGAACCTCGGCTTGGTTTCTATACAAAATAAAAAATTCCTCAATTATTACTCAAGTTATTGGTTCAATTTTATACCGAATGCATTGAAATCAGTTAGCCTTGCGGAATTGCTCGAAGTCCGAGTTGGTTATCAAACAGACAATTTACAAAAAGCATCGAAACGATATGAATTTCAAGAAGTTGCGCCAGACCATCGATGTTTTTCAGTGATTTTTTCGCATGCAAAATTTCTACACAAATCAGTTGATTTTGTGGCCGATTCGAAAGAGGTAATTAATTGAAAATAGGGAAAAAAAGGAGGAAATTGAGGGTTACGAACATTTCGAAATTGGCATGGATGAAAAGTGCAAAGGCAAAAAAATAAATGACGAAAGTTGAAATTGAGTCGAGATATTTTTCGAGAAATGAAATAAATAAATGAATATTTATAAATTCAAGAAAATTGTAAAACGTGAACATTTGACGTGGAAATAAAAAAGAATTTCATTGCTAAATAAAAAATATATAAATAATTTTCAAAATTCAATTTTATTCTACTTAAACGTGACCTCTGTGTATTAATACAATTGTTTCGTTTTTTTTCACTCAAAAAATGTGCCATTTCTATTTCAGACTCGCGATAAATGGGTGAGTGTTCTGACTCATTTGATATCTGTTGCCAAACATCAACGAGTTGTGTTCAATGAAACCGCGTGGCTTATTGATAAATTCCAACAAGCAGATACGAATAAAAATGGATTATTGACTTTTGATGAAGTTTGGAATTTGTTGAAACGTATGAATCTTCAGATTTCCGAACGATATGCAAAAGCTATTTTTAGGGTGAGTCAAGTTTTTTGCATTGCATGGATTTAGATCAGAATCCAATTTCAGAATGTTTTTCCCCAAATAGGTTTGCTTTGATTTGTGTTGTTGTGGGATTATCTGATTTTTGAGTTTAGGAAGCTCTTTGTTTGAAAAAAAACCTGATTGCATTTCAGGAGTCGGAGTTGGAAAACAGTCGAGACAATAAATTGAACGAGAAAGAATTTTTGAACTTTTTCGAGCGACTCACTGATCGACCAGATCTTCGATTTGTTATGCAACAAGCTAGTTCGGATAATGTTGAAACTTTGACTGTTGCGGATTTGCAAAGATTTTTGACTGAAGAACAAGGATTTACGAATATTGATTTGAAAAAAGCCGAGTCTATTTTGGATACTTTTGAACAAACAGTTCAAGATAAACAGAAGGAGAAGCTTATGGGTCTTATGGGTCAGTTAAATAATTTTTGAATGGGAATTTTTGGGAAAGGAATGAAGCATCGATGAGAAGTTTATTCTAATAATAATCACGAATCTGGAATGGGTATAATTTTTAAATGAATAAAAATTCTCGAGCTCTATGACGTGGTTCCCGTAATTAATCCGGTTCGATAACTTCTCAGCTACCCTTCTCATTTATCTAAAATTCCCATAAATTATTCAGTCCATTCCAAGAAATTAATTTCATTTACTTTGAAATTCCAAAAACCTTCCAGGAATGCGTCGATTAATGCAATCTCGTTGGGGAAATGTGTTCAAATCCGATCACACTACAATTTTCCAAGATATGAATCAATCATTGTCTCATTATTTTGTCAATTCATCGCATAACACATATTTGACTGGACTTCAAGTGAAAGGAGAAGCCACTGTTGAAGGATATATTTCGGCTTTGAGAAAAGGAGCAAGACTTTTGGAATGTGAGTTTACTCAATTTTGAAATAAAAAATCTCACAATTATTTTTTCAGTGGATTTATTTGATGGTGAACACGGAGAACCTGTGATCACTCATAAAAGAACATTCATCGAATCAATCACATTGAGAAATTCATTAGAAGCAATTAAAAGAACCGCATTTGAAACAAGTCCATATCCAGTTATTCTAACTCTTGAAAATCACGTAGGACATGCTCAACAAATTGTGATGGCTGAATTGTTTGATGAGATTTTGGGCAATATGCTTTATCGTCCACCGAAAGATTCATCCAAAAATCCACTGCCAAGTCCGAATGATTTGAAGCGCAAATTTTTGTTGAGAGGTAAAAAGATCTTGACATCGGATGAAGTTGATGATAATGATGATGATGATTCGCCGACTGAAAAGGATAAGGTAACTTATTTCTAGGGTAGGAAGTTTTGGATGAAATTCGATTTCAGCATAATCACCATCCTCATCCAATTGCTCCAGAGTTATCGAATCTCATCGCTTTACCATCTGTAAAACTTACCAGCAATATTTATCACGATGTGAATACACGTAAGAATTTTAGTTTCGAAAAATGAACAGCCATTTTTCCAACCTCAATACCTAATATTTCAGATCCTCTTGATGGTTCGCCTTCACTTTCTGAAAATAAAGTTTATACACTTTTCGAAGCGGCTACTCCAGTTTTCCATTATTCTGCTGAACGATTAGTCAAAAGTTATCCAAAAGGACTTCGACAAGATTCATCAAATATGCATCCGATTGTCTCTTGGTTATGTGGAATTCAAAGTGTTGCAATGAATTTCCAAACTGCCGGAGAAGAATTGGATTTGAATGCTGGAATGTTTAGAGTGAATGGAAATTGTGGATATGTTTTGAAACCGAAGATTTTGTTGGATGGAATTGATCCAAGAACTATGATTCGACCAAAGATGAAGCTTGGAATTGGTCTTTTTTCTGCACAATATTTACCGAAATCTGAACCTGGAAAGGAGATTATTGATCCGTATGTTAGTGTGCAAATTTTCGGGATTCCACGAGATGAAACAAAGGCGAAAACAAGAATTATCAAAGATAACGGTTTTAATCCAGAATGGAGAGATAACTTCTATTTTACTTTATGCTGTCCGGAATTAGCTATAATTAGATTCTGCGTCAAGGTTTGTATCGCATTTATTTTTTTTTTATTTTTCAAAAAAAACTTTCCAGGACTTTGACTCGACCTCCTCAAACGATTTTGTTGGTGAATTTTCGATTCCAGTAATGAGCCTTCGAACCGGTTATTCACAAATTCAGCTGAATACAGGATATCAACATACATTGGATCCATCTGCTTCGCTTTTTGTTCGTATTGCTATTGATGATTTGTAATGTAATGCATTCAGTTTGTTTTAGAGACGGTTTATTGAATTCGTGTGATGTAATTAATATAATTTGAATAATAATGATGATAAAGTTTGTTGAATAGAAAAAGAATGGAAATTTAACGAGTTAGCAATGGTTAGCAGAATATTTGAAGAGTCGATGATTTGAAAATATTTTTAATGTTAGTTTTTAAACTCCGGGAAGACAAATGCGATATCTTGATAAGCGACGAAAAGGTAGATAAAAGCAAAAATGAATTCTCTTTCAAAATGTTCCTCAAAGGGAATTCCCTTTGAAATATGGGCGTTCATTTTGTATTCCCTTTGGGGAACATTTTGAGGGAGAATTCATTTTTTGCTTTTTTGATCTACCTTTTCGCTCCGTCCACGCATTTTTTTCTGAAGAAAAAACGGCAACGCCAGTTTAAAGGGACATGAACCATTTGTAATGGAAAAACTCAGATTGGCTGAACCATATAAAAAGTTACATACACCATTCGAATCTACGTAAAAAACTGCATCGAAATAAGGTTCAAGTGATGGATTTAGTGTAACTTTTTTCTCGCGGTATTCGTTACGGGACCCAATTGCTTTTTCGAAAAATTTTCTGGGAATTCATCCGCAGCTTCTTCTTCGATCCATTTGATTGAATGAGTTGTGACACGAAGATCATCAATTTCAACCTTGCGAATGAGATAAAATAATAAATTACATAGGGAATCCAGAAACTTCTTCGAGCAATTTTTCCGGATTTTCTGAGCACAATAATAAAATACCTTATCAACCAATGGTTGTGCTGGTGGATTCTCCTTCAATTCCTCATCAACATATTCATTCGAAACAAACCATCCCAAATTGATAAACTCTTGCTCATTGTATTTGCAGCGAAGCAACAAGACACTGACACCAACAATATCCTCAGTTGGAATTTTGGCAACATTTGGGCACGGCTCATCGAAGACAAACTTGTGACGACCTTCTGGAACTGGTCCGACTAGCGCCGAATCCAAAACTTGATCGTATTCACTGGAAGTTCCAGATCGAACATAAACCAACTCCCATTCGAGATCTTTTGGAAGGTATTCGAAAAGTTCAAAAGTGATTTCCAAGTTGAATTTGGAAGTGAACTCGGCTGGATTGTTCAAAATGTTCACTTGGCAGATATTGACACGAGAAGCCATTCTGCAAAAAAATCGTTTTTGTAGAGAAACACTATTCAAAATTCGCCCAAAAGGTATATAAACTGTTCTGAAACAGGATAGTTTGGTATTTTCGGGACCACAAAATGATTTGCGCGTCAAATAAAATGTGTGTTGTGCATTCGTGTTTGCAAATAGCGTTGTGTATTTCTCGCGGACAATTTTTTGAAAAAAATTTTCTCTGGCAAACGACTAATCGCCGGCCAATCAGTAGTTGGTCGGAAGTTCGTCGGCCCAGATCTGGAAAAGACAACGCAAAAAAGGAGACACAGACCGGCGACTAACTCACGACTAATCGCCGACCAATCAGTTAGCTCTGCGTCTCTCATTTTTGCATTATCTTTTTCGAGATTTCGGCCGACCAACTTTCGACCAACTACTGATTGGCCAGCGATTAGTCGGCCCAGAAAAGTTGGTCACCGATTCGTCGGCTCGTTTGCCTGAGTTCGATCGAATTTTTTCCTACATAAAAATGGTTTTTTCAGGATGGGAAAACGTAAAACCAAAGGAAAACCAAATCCGAAAGCGAAACCTGGTTATGCGAGAGCTGATCATTTGCGGACTTGCGCTCTGCACATCGCCAAACTTGGAAATTCGAAAAATGATGGATTTTCAAAAATCAGCCGGCGAATCTCGAAATTATGTCGACAAGTGATGGATTCGGATATGGTGCAGATGGAACCGGAAAAGAAGCAAGTATTTTGCAAAAAATGTCGAGAAGTTTTAGTGGGAAAAATTGCAAAAACTGAGATCTCGTCGAAAATCAAAAACACAATCACAGAGAAATGCGGAAATTGTGGAAATTCGAGAAATTATAACAGATTTCCTAATATTAATCCCATATTTGATGGAAAAGAAGAAAAATATCTCGGAGTTTATTGAAGCTGTCGATGAATTATTTTCAATTGATGTCATGGGTTTCGAAGAAACAACACTGCCAGATTGGGGAACTTCGATGAATGAAGTGTCTCGGAAGCTGAAAAAACTCGTAAAGCGGTCTGATTTTCATTCAAATTTTCTAAAAATTTTCAATGCTCCAAAAAATTGTTTTCTAGAATTTATTTGAAATTTTCATTATAAATCTGAAAAATATAAATTTTTCAAAAACACAGTTTTTCAGCAAATAAATCATGAAAATTAATTTTTTGATCTTTGAAACACAGTACATAACATGAAAATAGATTATTTATTCAATTAACATCAGAAAATCAGACCGCTTTACGAGTTTTTTTCAGCTTTCGAGACACTTCATTCATCGAAGTTCCCCAATCTGGCAGTGTTGTTTCTTCGAAACCCATGACATCAATTGAAAATAATTCATCGACAGCTTCAATAAACTCCGAGATATTTGTCTTCTTTTCCATCAAATATGGGATTAATATTAGGGAATCTGTTGAACCACACCAATTGTAATCATCTGAAAATATTATGATTTCAAATAGAAAAAAAACTTCTAAACACTAACCTCTTCGTTTGAAAAATGCTTCTTTTGATTCAAGGAATCCGTTCTTACCATTGTGTTTCCACGGCAATTTTGATTCGCAGAATATGAACATTATCTGAAAAAACATGTATTTTTTCAATTAGGATAATAAATTAGGATAACTCACCACGAAAAGCCAATTTTCATAATCATCGAATGCATCGAATATCGCACCTTGTTTATGATACTTTCGAGAGACGAACCGATCAAGACGAAATTTATGAGAAACTTTGCAGGTTGATTTCGAAGATGTTACTCGAAAAAACTCGACGATTTTTAAATTAAATGTTGGGGAAATTGAAAATGAGGAAAGCCGAAGATCCATATGGTAATAACCATAACTGTGAAGCTCTTTGATTGCTTGAAATGAATAATATGTGATGAGAAATACAGTTGGAGGTCTGGAATGAAACATTACATGATGATTGATCCTTGGCGGGAAACTAACTCAAAATATTTATAATGATCGAGGAGAGTTTTTAGATCTCTTCCGGCATCCTCAACAATGATGTATCGAAAATCAGAATCGAATCCTGAATCAAGCAATCGAGATATTAGTGAGTTCTCTTTCTTTGATTGTGATGTTGATATGGAAGCGAGAAACTTGCGCTCTCCCTGAAATCAATTCAACTTTATGGATGATAATTATTTCAAGAATATAAACAAACATCGAGATCAAGTATCTTCGCATTCGCCACAGATTTCATTCTACCTTGCATTCTTGCTGTATACTCGACGCATGTTGTTTTATTTCTCACTCGAGCAGAAATTGGAGTTACATCAATATTTCTGATGTCCTCGTCAGAAGCAGCGACCTCGAATATATAATATCTAAAAATTTCAGAATATGAATTAAATACAAAAATAAATATTTAAGAGTTCTTACTTATTATGAAGAGTCGCGATTTCAATTGGAAGTGGAACACCAAAAGCTGCCAACTTGGTTCTGTATGTCGATGTTACTTGTGTTTGATCATCCACGAATCCTTTAGCTGCATGCTTCATAATCACATCAATATTTGGCTGTTGTTGTTGTGATGAGCGGGTCTCATTTTTCGAGCGATTTCGATGATTTGATATTGGTGTTGATCCAGCATTCTTTGTATTGCTTTCGCCATCTTTTATTTTCAGTATTTTTGTATCCACAGTTCGAGGAATTACACGAAATGGAAAGTCGGTAATCATTGACACTTGTTGGATGAAAAACGAGTACTAATGACACATTTGAACTAATTATCCACGTTCATATTGCCAACGATTTGCCACGAAATTGAGTCACATGATCACGCGAATTAATTTTTTAAGAGACGTTTTTTGTAAGAGCGAAAATGTTTGCTACGCATCTCGGACAAAAAATTTTAGGTCTTCAAATGGGCTGATTTTTTTTATTTGATAGCTACAGTACCCAGGACAAAACTCCACACAAAATTTTGACCTAAAAAAATTTCGGGGGCCTTTGAATGCACACAGTCCAATTTTTTAGATCAATCGGAACTTATGTTAAAGTTAACCTTTTTTCATGATTAAAAAAGCAAAAATGATTGTTTTTACGAGAGGAAAACGATGGAAGCGTCGAAAAATCATGAAAATGAACGTGGAAAATTTTTTCGAAAAATCGATTTTTTCACTTCGTTCAGGAAATTTTTCGCCCATTCAGACCGCAACCATTCGATTCCTAGTCCGATTTTATGGGGCTATTCAGCGATTTTCTCAACACGCTGAGAAAACGGGAAAAATGCTGAGAAAATCATTTTCTCAACCGTTTTCCTATTTTCTCAGCCTTCCTGAATAAGTTTTCTCAACCAATTCAGCGTTGAGAAAAGACGTTGAATAGCCCCATAATCCCCCTCACGCTGCAGCGAAAAAAAATTATTTTTTTGTTTCCGTGGGAGTACGGTATATTCAAATTGTGTGGCACCGAAATGAAATAAAAAAAATAAAAATTTTGTGTGTCGCTACAGTAATCCTCATAGTAATGTGTGTGGAGATTACTGTAGCGACACACAAAATTTGTAATTTTTTATTTCATTTCGGTGCCACATAATTTGACGTTGATAATACAACAAATGCAGACAGGTGTTGCAAGGCGCACAATTTTTGTATTTTCATTTATTTTTATTTTTGCAATTATTATTTTTTATTTTATAGCGTTTTTTATCATTATTTCTTCTATTTCGTGTTTCTTTCGATAGTTTCCATGGTTATTTTTGATATTTATTAGAGTTTAGCTGTAAAAATCTCGAAATTCATTTGATAAATCCGTAAAATTAATTGCATTATAATTTTTTATGGGGCTATTCAAGTATTTTCTCAACACGCTGAGAAAACAGGAGAAATGCGGAGAAAATGTATTTTCTTCACTTTTTTCGTATTTTCTCAGCCTACCTGAATAGGTTTTCTTCGCTTTTCGCAGCGTTGAGAAAATAACTTGAATAGTCCCATTAGGCTTGAAATTTTATTTTTTTTTATTATGTGTTTTGACCATTGTTTTCGCGGTTGTAGTTTTCGCGGTTGTAATTGCTTTCAAAAAGTAAAAGTTTATAAAAATATTTTGTTTAGGTGAATTTTCACGAGAACAATTAAATTTTCCGTTTGAATTTTTATTTTCGAGTGTTGTTAGTATTTCTCGTCAATACTAATTTTGCAGTTTTTCAACTGATTGCTTTCGGGTATTTGGAATTTCAATATATGATGTGGTTGTGTGGAGCAGTTTTCAGGAAACAAATGTATTGCTCAATCAAAGGGTTGGTCCTGCTACACGAGAAAACAAGTCCGCAATAGTGCGTCACTTTTTAAAACTAACTATTAGCAATCCTAAAGTTGATTAAAATTACCTTCCATAGTTGAAAAATGTTAGGAAATGCATTTCGCGAGAAATACACACAAATAAATTATGTGTGTGAAGAGCACACATGTTTTTTAATGCACTAAAACTTTAAAACCCAACAAAAACATGAATAAAATGGTGAAAACTCGCTCTAAAATCAAAATAAAATATGGAATGTTTCAGGAGCACCTTAGCTCTATCGAATGAACCTAACTTTTTCCTGTAGCACCAACCCTTCAAGTTCAGAAAATTCTAGGTTATTTTTCTATGAATTTTGTAGGCCAATATTATTATTTTCAGATCAACTTCATTTGTAGAAACTGAGTCTCGTATTTCATTTTTGAACAACCATGGATATATTCATCTATTTCAATTCAAAGACGTATATGCTATGTTTTTCAAACTACTTCGTTCGATCTTCATTTAGAACACCTGGAAGGTATTTTTTTCACAACTATTGTTCCGAAACTCACTCCAATCCGTAGGTCAATATAGATTTTACAGATTTTCATTGAATTGCGTTGAACACACAGAAACAAGGATCAAACAACATTTATTAGATGAATTGACAAATAACGGAATATAGTTTGGAATGAAAATGGAATTTTGACTAGATGGACACATTTAATATCAGTAATCAATGGAATTCCATTATCAACAGCCATTCTTCGAGTTCGAAAAGCTGAAACTCGATACGCCCCAGATCCCCGAATCGGCAGATTAATGACCAAATGGAATTCCTTATTTTCCAGGAATTCAACGACACTCCGGCTTCCACTCGCCATTTTTTCATCCGACGATCCTTCTTCAAACGGCCAATCGACCGGTTTCACGTTGATTTTGTTCATTTTAAAATAATCAGCGGTTCCTGGACAAAAATATAAGAATTATTTATGATAAAAACGTTGGAGAATCCTCACCTTTTGATCCGTACAATTCATAGCCCAAATGTTGCAAAATTTCGACACTTTTCAACATTTCCGCTTTTGCGTGATATCCTCCGATTGAGATGAAAATGTTCTTTTTTGGAACGACGAATACGGTGGAGAAGAGCGACTGGAAAAATTGGATTTTTAGAGAGCTAGAGCTAGAAATTAAAAAATTTCAGTTTGGGCTTGAAATTCGGGCCCTAAATTCAAAGCCTACGCCTAAAGTTTGACGGTAAGTCAGACTTCAATCAAGCCTAAATTTTTGAACCCTAATCCCTAAACATTATGGATTTCCTGGTCTGCTTTTCAACCAAAGCCTAGGCCTAAAATTGAAGCTTAACCCTAAGTGATTTTAAGCCTAAGCCTTGAAAATTGTTAGCCTGAATTTTTGGCCTAAGCCTACGCGCAACTTCAACAAGCCTAAGCCTAAATTTTAAACCTAAGCCTAAGCCTTACTGTTTTAAAATCTGAGCCTAAATTTTGAACTTCGGTCTGCTTTTCAACCTAAGCCTAGGCCTAAAATTGAAGTGATTTTGAGCCCAAGCCTAAATTTTAAGCCCAAGCCTAATAATTTGCAGCATTAATGTTTTTCCAAAAATTTCATAAGATTTTTTTAATTTTATTATTTTTTTCTTGACTCGAAAATTTCTATTTTAAATTTTCAAATTTTCTAAAATTTAATTCTGAAAATTTAAAATTGGATTTTTAAAAATCAGATCAAAAATTATAGTTTTTCTAGTGCTGAAAATATGAAAAAAAAAAGTTTTTTTCAAAAATTCAATAAGATTTTTTTAAATTCAATTTTTTTCTTGACTCGCGAAAATTTCAATTTTCAAATTTTCAAAAATTTAAGTCTAAAAATTTAACATGGGAATTTCAGAATCACAACAAAAATATAGTTCTCTAGTGCTAAAAATAAAGTTCTGGAATTATTTTCGCCATGAAAATTTCGAATTTTAGGCCGACAATAAATAGTCCACGTGGAGTTGTGGGCCTAAAATTCAAAATTTCATTGCGAAAAACAATAATTTTTGATCTGATTCTAAAATTCCAATTTTAAATTTTCAGACTAAAATTTTTTGAAAATTTGAAAATAGAAATTTTCGAGTCACAGGCATGTCGTCTTTGCCCGGGCCGCCCCGGGTCGGGCCGAAAAAAGCAGCCCGTTCGGGCCGTCGGCCCAAACGTTGCGGCCCAAACGTTGCTGCCCAAATGTTTGCGCGCCAAAAAACCGTAGCTAAAACGTATGTGTGTTTTAGCTGAGAAATCGGTCAGAAACACTGAGCTAAATTTTTGCTTCGATTTAGCTGGAGATTCAAGTTGTTTCTACGGTTCAGCTACGAAAACCCTCAAAATATGATTTAGCTACATCTGCAAATGCTGAGATGGTCGCGGTCGGGAAACAAGGACCGCGGCGCACAACCGCACGCGACTGACGAAGTACAGTTTTTTGCATTCGTTTAATTCTGCACTTCAACTTGGAAAATTTCAAAAAACTAAAATTTTTCCAAACAAAAACACAATTTTCTGAATTATTCCGAGTAGAAAATCCCAAAAAATTCAAAATTTTCACTGAAACCATGAAAATTTTTATTGAAAAATACAAACTTGAAATTTCAAATTTTAACTCTAAAAATTTATAAAATTTGATTCGAATTTTTTTCTGAAATAAATTTATTTTCAAAATTAATTTTTCAACTTCGACAATTATTTTGGCCAATTTTTCCACACAAAAACACAGTTTTCTGTATAATTTTGTGTACAAAATTCCAAAGAATTCAAAATTTTCACTGAAACCATGAAAATGACTGAAATTTCGAATAAAAAAAACCCCCGGCACTAACTTAATAAATTTGCTAACAACCGGATGATCCTTCGCAACAACCGCCGCCTGTTTCAAAAACACTTCCAAATCCTCCGCATTATGCGCAACATTCATCGCAGCTCCCGACAATACATAACTCGGCCGAATTAGACAAGGATATCCGACTTGTGCGCAAAAACTCTTCGCATCTTCCATATTCTCACTCTTCTTCCATTGCGGTTGACTGATTTTCAACAATTCCAATTTGCGCGAAAATTTGAAACGATCTTCAGCGTTATCAATGTCATTTGGAGATGTTCCAAAGATTTTCATCTGCGCACGAGATAATGACATTACAATGTTATTTGGAGCTTGGCCATCGAACGCAAGAATAACTCATTTCGGATTTTCCAAATTATAAACATCGATGACAGTTTCGAATGAGATTTCTTCGAAATATAAACGATCACAAATATTGTAGTCAGTTGAAACGGTTTCAGGATTACAATTGATTGTGATCGTAGTATAACCAAGAGCCTGGATTGTAATTTAAAAAAAAATAGGGAAGTGTTTTTCACGATGAAAAAGATCCAATTTTTGCTGTGCGACTGTCTAAAGAGCTCAAAAATGAGCCAAAAATTGATAATTTTGTGAAAATTCGCGTTTTTGAGAGCCCGTAACTCATGTTAGAGAAGATTTTATCAAAAACTGAATACAGGGTGATGACTTTGGTAAATTGTATTCAGTTTTTCATAAAATCTTCTCTAACATGGATTACTGGCTCTCAAAAACGCGATTTTTCCCAAAATTCTCAACTTCTGGCTCATTTTTGTGCTCTTCAGAGAGTCATTCAGCAAAAACTGAAAACTGGATATTTCTCAGCGTGAAAAACTGTACAGAAACATGTATGTTTAGGACCTAAAATTTCATCAAAACCCTTTCAAGGAGCTTATTCAGAATTTGAAAAAAATTGAATTCTCTCTCAGAAATACCGAATTTCAATCAATTTGTTCAACAAATTCAAAATAATTTTCCCGATTGAAATGTTGTGCTGAAAATCAATGATTTTCAGCGCTAAATTTTGATCCAGACCATTTCACTATTTCAAAATTTGGATAAATTTCGCAAAGGTTTTTAGACTTAAATTTTCTGCTGAAAATCAAGAAAACCTCTATTTTCAATCAAATTTTCGCGCTAATTCGAATTTTTAAGCAAAAATTCTACAAATTTTATCACCCTCACCTTCAATTCTCGAATACATCCAACACACGACGAGTCAAATTCCACCGACGATCCAATTCGATAAACCCCACTTCCAAGCACCATCACCGCATTCTTCATATTGAATTCGACATCGTATTGAACGCCGTTGAAAGTTGTGTACAGATAATTGGTTTGTGTCGGCCATTCACCGGCTACTGTATCGATTTGTTTGACGCATGGACGAATGTCTTTTTCGTGACGAGTTTCACAAACCGACCATTCGTTGCTGCAAAAGTTATGGGAAAATTAGGAGAAAACTTGTAATTTTTAGAATAACTCTGATAAATTTTGATGAACAACTAGATTTCCTTTAAAGGTAAGGATTTCCTTTAAAGGTAATTGCACAAATCGTCAATACAGGGTGACAACAAATTATAGCGACAAATTCCACTAACTCTGGTGACTGTCGTACTTAACCGATCTCTATGAAAATTTTTTTGAGACTTTCCTGACTATCCAGGACCACGCAGAAAAAATATCAAGAGTTCTCGGAAAGTTCACAATATTTTTTCTGCCCTTCGAAGAGTTATGAAAAATCTTTCCGTACTCGCTAGATACTTTGTTCAACAAGAATTTTCCCTGGCTGATAAATTTCATATTTCTTGCTCAAAATAGTTTTTCTAGATCATAATACACACTGTTTCACAGTTATAACAATTTCTGATCTTCAAATGAGTAATCCACCGGGATTCAATTATCATGAATTTTCGGAATTTTGTGAATTTTCAAATCATGTCAAAATTAAAAAATGTCCCAATATTTTTTTCAACGGTGTTAAGAGAGGTTATTTGTAAGAAAGGAAATTTTAATGAAAGGCTGCGGCCAAGAAAAAAGTCATAGTCTCGGATTCGGCTCAAATTTTTTTCTTTGAAAGCCCTATGGGTGAGGATGACTCTCCACCAAAAATTTTGACCCAAATGTGTTTCCCCCCTTTCACGTGATCACGTGAAAAATTCGTGGGTGGTCTCCAATAAAATTTGAGGAACTTTCTTCAAAGTCAAGCTTTTTTCACAAACTCAACGCGGTTTTGATTCATTAATGATGGACTTTCATCGACAACATCCGCTTCAATATGGTGCAGCTCCCTAAAGGTTGCACCAAAATTTTTGGAAAATTTTTTTTTTGAAATTTTTCTAAAAATCGATTTTTCTCCTTTTAAACCAAAAAATGCGCGCGCTGTAACTGCTTTTATAATGTTCCTCATACCTTTTTACCCCCAGGAGCAAAGTATGAGAAAATTAATCGATACTCTTTTTTAGTTATTTCAGATTGAATAAGCTCACCTAGAGCGCGCGCTGCACACAAACACACACAATCTCAATTATTTTTTATTTATTTCTTGTTTTTGACTGTGTTTGTGTTTTGAAAAAGTACTACAGTACCCATAACTGTTTTTTCAATATATTTATGGGAAAAAATATGCATTGTGAGATCTATTCCGATGTTTCCAGAGAGAACATCTAGAAAAATTGATATGGCTCAATACATCGATTTTTATGACATATTATCGTCGGATATTCGATAAAACACTTCAATTTGATCATTTACATTCCGAAGCATCATTTTTCAATCGAATTCCGATGTTTTCGGTGTGATTTTGACATTGATGGAATTCAGATGTTTGTCTAGATCTTTGATTCTAGACTACCAGGAAATCAAACTTTGATTTTGATGTTGGATTTTGTCACCAATATCTGTTTATGTTCCACAATCAAACTGAAAGTCGGAGAGCCCAACTATTAAAATAAATACCAGTAAAGAAAAAGTTTCCTGATTCATAGTGTTTTCTATAGTTTTCTTTACAAAAATTCAGTTTTGTTTTCAACTCCTATGAGACAAATGATGTTTATAGAGGTGAAATTCTTCGTCAAACCTTTTCCTGAACACTTCGAGCATAAAATTCAGCAGTAAAATCAAAGTTTGATGTCCTGGTAGTCTAGAATCAAAGATCTAGACAAACATCTGAATTCCATCAATGTCAAAATCACACCGAAAACATCGGAATTCGATTGAAAAATGATGCTTCGGAATGTAAATGATCAAATTGAAGTGTTTTATCGAATATCCGACGATAATATGTCATAAAAATCGATGTATTGAGCCATATCAATTTTTCTAGATGTTCTCTCTGGAAACATCGGAATAGATCTCACAATGCATATTTTTTCCCATAAATATATTGAAAAAACAGTTATGGGTACTGTAGTACTTTTTCAAAACACAAACACAGTCAAAAACAAGAAATAAATAAAAAATAATTGAGATTGTGTGTGTTTGTGTGCAGCGCGCGCTCTAGGTGAGCTTATTCAATCTGAAATAACTAAAAAAGAGTATCGATTAATTTTCTCATACTTTGCTCCTGGGGGTAAAAAGGTATGAGGAACATTATAAAAGCAGTTACAGCGCGCGCATTTTTGGTTTAAAAGGAGAAAAATCGATTTTTAGAAAAATTTCAAAAAAAAATTTTCCAAAAATTTTGGTGCAACCTTTAGGGAGCTGCACCATATTGAAGCGGATGTTGTCGATGAAAGTCCATCATTAATGAATCAAAACCGCGTTGAGTTTGTGAAAAAAGCTTGACTTTGAAGAAAGTTCCTCAAATTTTATTGGAGACCACCCACGAATTTTTCACGTGATCACGTGAAAGGGGGGAAACACATTTGGGTCAAAATTTTTGGTGGAGAGTCATCCTCACCCATAGGGCTTTCAAAGAAAAATTTGAGCCGAATCCGAGACTATGACTTTTTTCTTGGCCGCAGCCTTTCATTAAAATTTCCTTTCTTACAAATAACCTCTCTTAACACCGTTGAAAAAAAAAATATTGGGACATTTTTTAATTTTGACATGATTTGAAAATTCACAAAATTCCGAAAATTCATGATAATTGAATCCCGGTGGATTACTCATTTGAAGATCAGAAATTGTTATAACTGTGAAACAGTGTGTATTATGATCTAGAAAAACTATTTTGAGCAAGAAATATGAAATTTATCAGCCAGGGAAAATTCTTGTTGAACAAAGTATCTAGCGAGTACGGAAAGATTTTTCATAACTCTTCGAAGGGCAGAAAAAATATTGTGAACTTTCCGAGAACTCTTGATATTTTTTCTGCGTGGTCCTGGATAGTCAGGAAAGTCTCAAAAAAATTTTCATAGAGATCGGTTAAGTACGACAGTCACCAGAGTTAGTGGAATTTGTCGCTATAATTTGTTGTCACCCTGTATTGACGATTTGTGCAATTACCTTTAAAGGAAATCCTTACCTTTAAAGGAAATCTAGTTGTTCATCAAAATTTATCAGAGTTATTCTAAAAATTACAAGTTTTCTCCTAATTTTCCCATAACTTTTGCAGCAACGAATGGTCGGTTTGTGAAACTCGTCACGAAAAAGACATTCGTCCATGCGTCAAACAAATCGATACAGTAGCCGGTGAATGGCCGACACAAACCAATTATCTGTACACAACTTTCAACGGCGTTCAATACGATGTCGAATTCAATATGAAGAATGCGGTGATGGTGCTTGGAAGTGGGGTTTATCGAATTGGATCGTCGGTGGAATTTGACTCGTCGTGTGTTGGATGTATTCGAGAATTGAAGGTGAGGGTGATAAAATTTGTAGAATTTTTGCTTAAAAATTCGAATTAGCGCGAAAATTTGATTGAAAATAGAGGTTTTCTTGATTTTCAGCAGAAAATTTAAGTCTAAAAACCTTTGCGAAATTTATCCAAATTTTGAAATAGTGAAATGGTCTGGATCAAAATTTAGCGCTGAAAATCATTGATTTTCAGCACAACATTTCAATCGGGAAAATTATTTTGAATTTGTTGAACAAATTGATTGAAATTCGGTATTTCTGAGAGAGAATTCAATTTTTTCAAATTCTGAATAAGCTCCTTGAAAGGGTTTTGATGAAATTTTAGGTCCTAAACATACATGTTTCTGTACAGTTTTTCACGCTGAGAAATATCCAGTTTTCAGTTTTTGCTGAATGACTCTCTGAAGAGCACAAAAATGAGCCAGAAGTTGAGAATTTTGGGAAAAATCGCGTTTTTGAGAGCCAGTAATCCATGTTAGAGAAGATTTTATGAAAAACTGAATACAATTTACCAAAGTCATCACCCTGTATTCAGTTTTTGATAAAATCTTCTCTAACATGAGTTACGGGCTCTCAAAAACGCGAATTTTCACAAAATTATCAATTTTTGGCTCATTTTTGAGCTCTTTAGACAGTCGCACAGCAAAAATTGGATCTTTTCATCGTGAAAAACACTTCCCTATTTTTTTTTAAATTACAATCCAGGCTCTTGGTTATACTACGATCACAATCAATTGTAATCCTTGGTCTTGGTTATACTACGATCACAATCAATTGTAATAATGGAATTTTGTACACAAAATTATACAGAAAACTGTGTTTTTGTGTGGAAAAATTGGCCAAAATAATTGTCGAAGTTGAAAAATTAATTTTGAAAATAAATTTATTTCAGAAAAAAATTCGAATCAAATTTTATAAATTTTTAGAGTTAAAATTTGAAATTTCAAGTTTGTATTTTTCAATAAAAATTTTCATGGTTTCAGTGAAAATTTTGAATTTTTTGGGATTTTCTACTCGGAATAATGAAGAAAATTGTGTTTTTGTTTGGAAAAATTTTAGTTTTTTGAAATTTTCCAAGTTGAAGTGCAGAATTAAACGAATGCAAAAAACTGTACTTCGTCAGTCGCGTGCGGTTGTGCGCCGCGGTCCTTGTTTCCCGACCGCGACCATCTCAGCATTTGCAGATGTAGCTAAATCATATTTTGAGGGTTTTCGTAGCTGAACCGTAGAAACAACTTGAATCTCCAGCTAAATCGAAGCAAAAATTTAGCTCAGTGTTTCTGACCGATTTCTCAGCTAAAACACACATTCGTTTTAGCTACGGTTTTTTGGCGCGCAAACATTTGGGCAGCAACGTTTGGGCCGCAACGTTTGGGCCGACGGCCCGAACGGGCTGCTTTTTCGGCCCGACCCGGGGCGGCCCGGGCAAAGACGACATGCCTGTGACTCGAAAATTTCTATTTTCAAATTTTCAAAAAATTTTAGTCTGAAAATTTAAAATTGGAATTTTAGAATCAGATCAAAAATTATTGTTTTTCGCAATGAAATTTTGAATTTTAGGCCCACAACTCCACGTGGACTATTTATTGTCGGCCTAAAATTCGAAATTTTCATGGCGAAAATAATTCCAGAACTTTATTTTTAGCACTAGAGAACTATATTTTTGTTGTGATTCTGAAATTCCCATGTTAAATTTTTAGACTTAAATTTTTGAAAATTTGAAAATTGAAATTTTCGCGAGTCAAGAAAAAAATTGAATTTAAAAAAATCTTATTGAATTTTTGAAAAAAACTTTTTTTTTCATATTTTCAGCACTAGAAAAACTATAATTTTTGATCTGATTTTTAAAAATCCAATTTTAAATTTTCAGAATTAAATTTTAGAAAATTTGAAAATTTAAAATAGAAATTTTCGAGTCAAGAAAAAAATAATAAAATTAAAAAAATCTTATGAAATTTTTGGAAAAACATTAATGCTGCAAATTATTAGGCTTGGGCTTAAAATTTAGGCTTGGGCTCAAAATCACTTCAATTTTAGGCCTAGGCTTAGGTTGAAAAGCAGACCGAAGTTCAAAATTTAGGCTCAGATTTTAAAACAGTAAGGCTTAGGCTTGTTGAAGTTGCGCGTAGGCTTAGGCCAAAAATTCAGGCTAACAATTTTCAAGGCTTAGGCTTAAAATCACTTAGGGTTAAGCTTCAATTTTAGGCCTAGGCTTTGGTTGAAAAGCAGACCAGGAAATCCATAATGTTTAGGGATTAGGGTTCAAAAATTTAGGCTTGATTGAAGTCTGACTTACCGTCAAACTTTAGGCGTAGGCTTTGAATTTAGGGCCCGAATTTCAAGCCCAAACTGAAATTTTTTAATTTCTAGCTCTAGCTCTCTAAAAATCCAATTTTTCCAGTCGCTCTTCTCCACCGTATTCGTCGTTCCAAAAAAGAACATTTTCATCTCAATCGGAGGATATCACGCAAAAGCGGAAATGTTGAAAAGTGTCGAAATTTTGCAACATTTGGGCTATGAATTGTACGGATCAAAAGGTGAGGATTCTCCAACGTTTTTATCATAAATAATTCTTATATTTTTGTCCAGGAACCGCTGATTATTTTAAAATGAACAAAATCAACGTGAAACCGGTCGATTGGCCGTTTGAAGAAGGATCGTCGGATGAAAAAATGGCGAGTGGAAGCCGGAGTGTCGTTGAATTCCTGGAAAATAAGGAATTCCATTTGGTCATTAATCTGCCGATTCGGGGATCTGGGGCGTATCGAGTTTCAGCTTTTCGAACTCGAAGAATGGCTGTTGATAATGGAATTCCATTGATTACTGATATTAAATGTGTCCATCTAGTCAAAATTCCATTTTCATTCCAAACTATATTCCGTTATTTGTCAATTCATCTAATAAATGTTGTTTGATCCTTGTTTCTGTGTGTTCAACGCAATTCAATGAAAATCTGTAAAATCTATATTGACCTACGGATTGGAGTGAGTTTCGGAACAATAGTTGTGAAAAAAATACCTTCCAGGTGTTCTAAATGAAGATCGAACGAAGTAGTTTGAAAAACATAGCATATACGTCTTTGAATTGAAATAGATGAATATATCCATGGTTGTTCAAAAATGAAATACGAGACTCAGTTTCTACAAATGAAGTTGATCTGAAAATAATAATATTGGCCTACAAAATTCATAGAAAAATAACCTAGAATTTTCTGAACTTGAAGGGTTGGTGCTACAGGAAAAAGTTAGGTTCATTCGATAGAGCTAAGGTGCTCCTGAAACATTCCATATTTTATTTTGATTTTAGAGCGAGTTTTCACCATTTTATTCATGTTTTTGTTGGGTTTTAAAGTTTTAGTGCATTAAAAAACATGCGTGCTCTTCACACACATAATTTATTTGTGTGTATTTCTCGCGAAATGCATTTCCTAACATTTTTCAACTATGGAAGGTAATTTTAATCAACTTTAGGATTGCTAATAGTTAGTTTTAAAAAGTGACGCACTATTGCGGACTTGTTTTCTCGTGTAGCAGGACCAACCCTTTGATTGAGCAATACATTTGTTTCCTGAAAACTGCTCCACACAACCACATCATATATTGAAATTCCAAATACCCGAAAGCAATCAGTTGAAAAACTGCAAAATTAGTATTGACGAGAAATACTAACAACACTCGAAAATAAAAATTCAAACGGAAAATTTAATTGTTCTCGTGAAAATTCACCTAAACAAAATATTTTTATAAACTTTTACTTTTTGAAAGCAATTACAACCGCGAAAACAATGGTCAAAACACATAATAAAAAAAAATAAAATTTCAAGCCTAATGGGACTATTCAAGTTATTTTCTCAACGCTGCGAAAAGCGAAGAAAACCTATTCAGGTAGGCTGAGAAAATACGAAAAAAGTGAAGAAAATACATTTTCTCCGCATTTCTCCTGTTTTCTCAGCGTGTTGAGAAAATACTTGAATAGCCCCATAAAAAATTATAATGCAATTAATTTTACGGATTTATCAAATGAATTTCGAGATTTTTACAGCTAAACTCTAATAAATATCAAAAATAACCATGGAAACTATCGAAAGAAACACGAAATAGAAGAAATAATGATAAAAAACGCTATAAAATAAAAAATAATAATTGCAAAAATAAAAATAAATGAAAATACAAAAATTGTGCGCCTTGCAACACCTGTCTGCATTTGTTGTATTATCAACGTCAAATTATGTGGCACCGAAATGAAATAAAAAATTACAAATTTTGTGTGTCGCTACAGTAATCTCCACACACATTACTATGAGGATTACTGTAGCGACACACAAAATTTTTATTTTTTTTATTTCATTTCGGTGCCACACAATTTGAATATACCGTACTCCCACGGAAACAAAAAAAATAATTTTTTTTCGCTGCAGCGTGAGGGGGGATTATGGGGCTATTCAACGTCTTTTCTCAACGCTGAATTGGTTGAGAAAACTTATTCAGGAAGGCTGAGAAAATAGGAAAACGGTTGAGAAAATGATTTTCTCAGCATTTTTCCCGTTTTCTCAGCGTGTTGAGAAAATCGCTGAATAGCCCCATAAAATCGGACTAGGAATCGAATGGTTGCGGTCTGAATGGGCGAAAAATTTCCTGAACGAAGTGAAAAAATCGATTTTTCGAAAAAATTTTCCACGTTCATTTTCATGATTTTTCGACGCTTCCATCGTTTTCCTCTCGTAAAAACAATCATTTTTGCTTTTTTAATCATGAAAAAAGGTTAACTTTAACATAAGTTCCGATTGATCTAAAAAATTGGACTGTGTGCATTCAAAGGCCCCCGAAATTTTTTTAGGTCAAAATTTTGTGTGGAGTTTTGTCCTGGGTACTGTAGCTATCAAATAAAAAAAATCAGCCCATTTGAAGACCTAAAATTTTTTGTCCGAGATGCGTAGCAAACATTTTCGCTCTTACAAAAAACGTCTCTTAAAAAATTAATTCGCGTGATCATGTGACTCAATTTCGTGGCAAATCGTTGGCAATATGAACGTGGATAATTAGTTCAAATGTGTCATTAGTACTCGTTTTTCATCCAACAAGTGTCAATGATTACCGACTTTCCATTTCGTGTAATTCCTCGAACTGTGGATACAAAAATACTGAAAATAAAAGATGGCGAAAGCAATACAAAGAATGCTGGATCAACACCAATATCAAATCATCGAAATCGCTCGAAAAATGAGACCCGCTCATCACAACAACAACAGCCAAATATTGATGTGATTATGAAGCATGCAGCTAAAGGATTCGTGGATGATCAAACACAAGTAACATCGACATACAGAACCAAGTTGGCAGCTTTTGGTGTTCCACTTCCAATTGAAATCGCGACTCTTCATAATAAGTAAGAACTCTTAAATATTTATTTTTGTATTTAATTCATATTCTGAAATTTTTAGATATTATATATTCGAGGTCGCTGCTTCTGACGAGGACATCAGAAATATTGATGTAACTCCAATTTCTGCTCGAGTGAGAAATAAAACAACATGCGTCGAGTATACAGCAAGAATGCAAGGTAGAATGAAATCTGTGGCGAATGCGAAGATACTTGATCTCGATGTTTGTTTATATTCTTGAAATAATTATCATCCATAAAGTTGAATTGATTTCAGGGAGAGCGCAAGTTTCTCGCTTCCATATCAACATCACAATCAAAGAAAGAGAACTCACTAATATCTCGATTGCTTGATTCAGGATTCGATTCTGATTTTCGATACATCATTGTTGAGGATGCCGGAAGAGATCTAAAAACTCTCCTCGATCATTATAAATATTTTGAGTTAGTTTCCCGCCAAGGATCAATCATCATGTAATGTTTCATTCCAGACCTCCAACTGTATTTCTCATCACATATTATTCATTTCAAGCAATCAAAGAGCTTCACAGTTATGGTTATTACCATATGGATCTTCGGCTTTCCTCATTTTCAATTTCCCCAACATTTAATTTAAAAATCGTCGAGTTTTTTCGAGTAACATCTTCGAAATCAACCTGCAAAGTTTCTCATAAATTTCGTCTTGATCGGTTCGTCTCTCGAAAGTATCATAAACAAGGTGCGATATTCGATGCATTCGATGATTATGAAAATTGGCTTTTCGTGGTGAGTTATCCTAATTTATTATCCTAATTGAAAAAATACATGTTTTTTCAGATAATGTTCATATTCTGCGAATCAAAATTGCCGTGGAAACATAATGGTAAGAACGGATTTCTTGAATCAAAAGAAGCATTTTTCAAACGAAGAGGTTAGTGTTTAGAAGTTTTTTCTATTTGAAATCATAATATTTTCAGATGATTACAATTGGTGTGGTTCAACAGATTCCCTAATATTAATCCCATATTTGATGGAAAAGAAGACAAATATCTCGGAGTTTATTGAAGCTGTCGATGAATTATTTTCAATTGATGTCATGGGTTTCGAAGAAACAACACTGCCAGATTGGGGAACTTCGATGAATGAAGTGTCTCGAAAGCTGAAAAAAACTCGTAAAGCGGTCTGATTTTCTGATTTTAATTGAATAAATAATCTATTTTCATGTTATGTACTGTGTTTCAAAGATCAAAAAATTAATTTTCATGATTTATTTGCTGAAAAACTGTGTTTTTGAAAAATTTATATTTTTCAGATTTATAATGAAAATTTCAAATAAATTCTAGAAAACAATTTTTTGGAGCATTGAAAATTTTTAGAAAATTTGAATGAAAATCAGACCGCTTTACGAGTTTTTTTAAGCTTCCGAGACACTTCATTCATCGAAGTTCCCCAATCTGGCAGTGTTGTTTCTTCGAAACCCATGACATCAATTGAAAATAATTCATCGACAGCTTCAATAAACTCCGAGATATTTTTCTTCTTTTCCATCAAATATGGGATTAATATTAGGAAATCTGTTATAATTTCTCGAATTTCCACAATTTCCGCATTTCTCTGTGATTGTGTTTTTGATTTTCGACGAGATCTCAGTTTTTGCAATTTTTCCCACTAAAACTTCTCGACATTTTTTTGCAAAATACTTGCTTCTTTTCCGGTTCCATCTGCACCATATCCGAATCCATCACTTGTCGACATAATTTCGAGATTCGCCGGCTGATTTTTGAAAATCCATCATTTTTCGAATTTCCAAGTTTGGCGATGTGCAGAGCGCAAGTCCGCAAATGATCAGCTCTCGCATAACCAGGTTTCGCTTTCGGATTTGGTTTTCCTTTGGTTTTACGTTTTCCCATCCTGAAAAAACCATTTTTATGTAGGAAAAAATTCGATCGAACTCAGGCAAACGAGCCGACGAATCGGTGACCAACTTTTCTGGGCCGACTAATCGCTGGCCAATCAGTAGTTGGTCGAAAGTTGGTCGGCCGAAATCTCGAAAAAGATAATGCAAAAATGAGAGACGCAGAGCTAACTGATTGGTCGGCGATTAGTCGTGAGTTAGTCGCCGGTCTGTGTCTCCTTTTTTGCGTTGTCTTTTCCAGATCTGGGCCGACGAACTTCCGACCACCTACTGATTGGCCGGCGATTAGTCGTTTGCCAGAGAAAATTTTTTCAAAAAATTGTCCGCGAGAAATACACAACGCTATTTGCAAACACGAATGCACAACACACATTTTATTTGACGCGCAAATCATTTTGTGGTCCCGAAAATACCAAACTATCCTGTTTCAGAACAGTTTATATACCTTTTGGGCGAATTTTGAATAGTGTTTCTCTACAAAAACGATTTTTTTGCAGAATGGCTTCTCGTGTCAATATCTGCCAAGTGAACATTTTGAACAATCCAGCCGAGTTCACTTCCAAATTCAACTTGGAAATCACTTTTGAACTTTTCGAATACCTTCCAAAAGATCTCGAATGGGAGTTGGTTTATGTTCGATCTGGAACTTCCAGTGAATACGATCAAGTTTTGGATTCGGCGCTAGTCGGACCAGTTCCAGAAGGTCGTCACAAGTTTGTCTTCGATGCGCCGTGCCCAAATGTTGCCAAAATTCCAACTGAGGATATTGTTGGTGTCAGTGTCTTGTTGCTTCGCTGCAAATACAATGAGCAAGAGTTTATCAATTTGGGATGGTTTGTTTCGAATGAATATGTTGATGAGGAATTGAAGGAGAATCCACCAGCACAACCATTGGTTGATAAGGTATTTTATTATTGTGCTCAGAAAATCCGGAAAAATTGCTCGAAGAAGTTTCTGGATTCCCTATGTAATTTATTATTTTATCTCATTCGCAAGGTTGAAATTGATGATCTTCGTGTCACAACTCATTCAATCAAATGGATCGAAGAAGAAGCTGCGGATGAATTCCCAGAAGCCAATGAAAGTGTCGGACATTTTTTTTCGTTTCTTTTGTTCGATTTCAGGAAAAGTTATCGAAATTTTTTGTTGTTGAAAAAACTGTGATTGGCTGAAAATCATACGTCATCATTCGTTTTTGATGACGTGGCGTTCCCTCAATTTTTTAATTATGTCACGCGAGAAAATAAATTTAGCAATTTGAAATTTTTGGAGGGAAAATCAATTTGAGAAAAAAACATTTGAAGTAAAACAAACAACAAAAAACATAAATTTATTTTTCAAAACACACGGAATGTCAATTTTTCTTTTTCGGTTTTCTTTTCTCCCTATGATCAACAAGTTGTGGACGTCGTTCAATTAAATCAATCAATTCTTCGGCGTTGAATTTCGAGTAATCTCGTTTATATTCGGCGGCCTTCCTGAAATTATTTTTTTGTTACTATGTTTCTGGGAAATGTTTAAACTGAAAGTATTTTTGGGCTTTTTTTGAACAAAGCAAAACTCACTCGAGGTATCCTTTTTTTTGAGAAGATATATTCAAGGAATATTCCATTCCAAATTTCGTGTAAACCTTCTCTGTGACGTGGATAGCTTTCAAAAGTTTGATAGTCGGATGAGTTTCGATGTTGTTGAAAAGCTGAGAAAAAACCAAATAATCTTTCACTTTTTTTTCACTACTCACCTCTTTGTATTCTGTACAAATGTCATCCTCAATTTCTCGATCGCTTTCTCGTCGATTTTTCAGCTTTCCTGCCATTTGAGTGAATATTGAAAGAGATTCAGCCGGATTCCTTTTTACAGCCTTTCGAGCTGCGGTCAAAACAACACGAGTGACATGGTTGTTTTTCCTCTGTGCAATTCGAATAATTTGATCTTTGAAGTCTTCGATGCTATAGAGAAAAAATACCTCATACCACACTGCCTGAAAATATATTGGGTTTTGTAAGAAAATGAAAAGTTAAAATCTCACATTTTTATATTTTTTGAATGTCGAATTGAACTTGGCTTCGCAAAATGGATCACAATTCGAATATTCACTTCTCTTCAAAAGTTCCCTCAATAATTTCAGCTGAAATATATTACAGACATTATTAATATATATTTCAAGATTCTTGTTTATAACTTACTTTTTCTGGCAATTGACCATCGCTAGCCATTTTTGTTAATTCATCGACGTTCGACATTTCCTTCGAAAAATGGAAAAATAAATAATCTTCGTATTCGTGTGTTTTTATATAAAAAATTGGACAAAAAAAATGGGCCACGCGAAAATTTGAAAAAGTCTCATTTTACTCACAGCTAATTTATTTAGGATGAAAAGGGCTAACAGCCCCTAGTTACTTCCCTTAATGTCTTTCCGCATGAAAGAGGTACTGTAGGTTTTTTTTTCGGAATACTGTACTTTTAGTGGAACGGGTTACTGTAGGTTTTGAAAGGGTAGTGAATCTGCAGGGAAAACTTTTTTTTTTTTCCGGATTTTTTTGGGGTACTGTAGAAACTTGCAACGAGTTACTGTAGCAGATAATGTAGAGGTACTGTAGTTGAAGGCAGAGGAATACTGTAGGAGGTTTTTTTCACCTACAGTAGTCATGGGACAAGAAAAACCAGGGAGAAGAAAAACTGAATGAGTTTTTGGATTTTTTTGGGATACTGTAGAAACTGGCAATAGGCTACTGTAGAAGATATTGTAGAGGTACTGTAGTTGAAGGCAGAGGAATACTGTAGGAGGACTAGCTCATAGAGCATTCCTTTTTTTTTTAGCTGAAATTGTATCTGAAATCAGGGCTCCTTCGATTTGAGACTTTTCAGATTTCTCATGTTGCAATGGTAAATAAATAATGAATTATTTTCAAAATTTCAAATTTTTTTCGAAAATAAGTTTATTGTTGGTACAAAAATAAAGTTGACAAATTATTAATTATGCGAGTGATAAAATACTGTGTATCAAAAGAAAAAAAATACTGTAAAACCAAAAACCATCGCTTATTTCTTCTCAACATCTTCCTCCAATTCCTCGTTCTTCTTAATGAGATCAGTCATTTCCTGTTCATTGGCTTTTTCGGCAGCTTTTGCACCTCCTCCAGCCTTATCCAAACTACAATTCTTTGTCTCTTCCAACATAAAATAGGCGGCAACAATGTTAATAATTCCCAAACTAATTGAGATCATATGAACTCCTGGCTCATAAACAGTTTTGAGTCCGCTGAGCATTGATGCTCCGATGTTTGCAAATCTTCCAATGATCGAGCAACTGGCGGTTGAAGTTGCACGAACATCGGTTGGCATAAGTTCAGATGCGCAAAGATAGCAAGGTTCCCAAACGATGGAAGTGAAGACGAATGCGGAAAGATAGGCAGCAGTGTAGAACCATTGACCCTGAAAGATAATTTTTTTATTTATTCAAAAAAAAAGTTAAACTAACTTTTTGATCGGTGAGAAGGAACGAGATAACACAGGCGAAGAAAACAACAGCCAAACTTTGCGAGCATAACATAACAAAACGTCTTCCCATCCATGGCAAATATCCATCCGCAAATCCCATCGCAATTCTCACCAACGACAATAAAATGCCCGACAAAAACTGGCCGACCCAGAAATTGCTTGTCATATCTCCACCACACAAATCTGTCAAGTACGCCGTCATTCCAGTGATAAACCACATGATCCAAAGAATCAAGATATTTTTGCGAAGTTGTGGATTTTTGAAGACGGTTAAGATGTTGACAGCTTTTTCTGGTTCCGCATTCTCAACTTTCGGTGGCGGTTCCATTGGTTCGAAGTCGATGCCGGCGAGATCGGCGATTCGTTTGCGACTTGCTTCGGCTTCCTCGTGCCGACCTTTTTTTCTCAACCAAATATGACTTTCCGGCAGGACAAAATAGACAATTGCCAATGTGATGAGTGAAATTGCGGCACAAACATGTGAGGATAATCTCCATTCTCCAGTCAAAAGAGCAACCAATGTGAGCATAATTCGAGCATTTGCCTGGAATTTGAAAAATGTTGGAATTTTTTGAAAACTTCCCAAATCTTTATATCTATAAATATCCCTAATCCTCTTACCCAATTACTAAACGTGCGCAATTTGAATCGTTGATGAGGCGAAACAAGTTCCGAGAAATACGCCCATCCAACAATCATAGTTCCAGCAATTCCAATACCAGTCAATGCGCGGAAAAAGTAGAACGAGGCGATGCTATCAAAAGCCGCCGAAAGTGATAATGATGGAATTCCGATGAGCATTGAGATGATGAATGTCTTTCGTCTACCGATTTGATCGGCGACATAACCAAGGATAATATTACCAATCAAGACACCGACATATTGAACGAATGCTGGGCGGAAACTGGAAAATTTAGAAATATTATTTGAAATTATGGATAATTGTGACAATGAAGCTCACTCTTTCCATCCAGGACGACAATAAATATCATATTCCATGGCTGCCGATTGATAATATTTGAATGATTTTTCCAATTCACAATTTTGCAAATCATTGCCAGTAAAATTTCTGCAGACACTTGGATAATTCTCGTTTTGCATACATTTGCTTTTTGGCACATTGTAGCAAACTTTTCCTGTAGAAATTGTGATTGGTAAAATTCGGGTTAAAAAAAAATGCAAGGGGGACTAGGTTTACACTCTAGTCCACGCTGATTATTTCGTCACTTTTGGCCGAGGAAACCAAACCGGGCAGCTAGACGGCCAGGCTCCGCCCACTTTTTTTCTAAATTTTTTTTTCGTTTTTTTTTGTTCAGAATTTTTTTCGAAACACACAATTTTCTCAGCTCTCAGGCCGTTTCACCGAAAAAACGAACGATGGAAACGTAGAGAATTAAATTGTGATTCTTTCATGACTAAGAATGAGCTTTAAGTCAGCGAAACCATGTACTTATTAAGCCCTAAGTAAAACTTCTCATTCTACAAGGTTTTTGAAAAGTTCAACTTTGCAAATTAGAGTATTTGGGTTTATTTTCCTATTCCCATCAATATTATCTACATTCGGCGTCGTTTAGGGTGTTAAATTGCGATTTTTAGAAAAAAAACATAAAATGCCGTGTTGAAAAAATGAATGTGCGCTCTAGCGAACACGGGGCCGAACTTTTTCCATTGACGGCCAAATGTCACGAAATAATCAGCGTGAGTCCGCGCGTTATTACATTCTAGTCCCCCAAATTTACCAGCCGCGCGAAATTTCAGAAATTCTGGAAAAATTACCTTTTGCCGTATCAACACACGTTGTTTTCGGTGTATAATTCAAGAATATGGGAAAAAGTTGTTGAATCGAGAAGAAATGACACATCTGATACGAGATCAGGATCAAAATATCAACACGGTATATACCGGGTGGCAGTAACTTCATTTTTGCTGTAGTGGTTTTGGTTTACCTGCAAAAAAGTTAGACTTGCTGGGAAAAATGTGGGTTATCTAAGTATCTAGAAAAAAAGATGATACTTAGATATTTGTTACACAAAAATCTTTGATCAGAAGGGGCAATCGAACTTTTGAAAGGGCGAGCGGAAATTGTTCATTTCAGGAAAAAAAGAGTGCGCACGTGAATTTTCAGAAAATATGTGTTTTTTGGGGGAAGCCAATGAAAAAATTGCATCACTTTTGGCATGATGCAAAAACAAGAGCTCTGAAAAAAAACAAAACTAGACTATAGTGCTGATAAGAGTAAACTACTGAAGTGAACTAATCAAATAAGTTAATTGAACCGGAAAATGTTTTGGAGAAAATTGAAATTTGCTAACATGATTTTTTTGAAAAAAAAGAAGATGAAATGAAAAGAGCTGAAAAATCTCGGCTTAAAATGTTTACTTGGAAAAATTCAAATATGAGGATTAGCGTAATTGATAAACTAGAAATTCATAGAAAATGACATTTTTTTGGGAAAACTTTAGTTTTCCAGAATTTCGTGACATGAGAAGATATTTTTCGAAATCTAGAATTTTGAAAAAAAATCTGAAATTATTTCAGACCTTCTTTTCTTAAAAATTTCAATTTTAATTTCGAAAAAAAATCGGCCACAATTTTAGGAATTTTTGAAACTCTGGAAAATAAAGCGCTGAGCTCAGCTAACCTGAGCAATTTCTAAATTCCAATTTTCCATGAACTGAACAAAACTCTAAAATCTTTTTTTTTTAAAGTCAAAAATCTCTCAAATGTCCACTCAAAAATAGGGGGAGCCACACACAAAAAAATGACGCAAACCAAGCTCTTCTCTGCGTCTCTTCTCGCCTTCTGCTCATTTCTCTGCGTCTCCAATAATTTGCACACTATTTCCGAAAAACAAAAAGTGAATGTTTGAACTGAACTGGTACAAAAAAAAGAAAAGGGAAGGAAGGGAAGGGTTTAGCGCGGGAAAAAAAATATTTTTGAAAAATGATAGCTAAACACGTGCGGTTTTGAAACTTTTCTGTTTTCTTATCAACTTTTTTTTGTTTTATAAAAAATAAAAACAAAAACAAATTTTTTCGCACTTTCAAATAAAATAATAATACAAGGCCAAATTTCAACCAATTAAATATAATATTTTACAAATAACCTTGAACTCTCCAAAAAAATAATGTTTCATTTTTCAAACACAAAAAAAGTTCAAAAAGTTTTATACCAACTATTTCGATATTCGCCATTTTGAAACCAGGCAATATAACCGCACGTGGCTTTTCCGCGCAAATTCCACATTCTCAATTCGTCGCAATTTTCGCCTTCTGAAAAAAATCTATAATTCAAATTTCCGGATTAAAAAAAAATAGATGAATACCGACCGATAAGCGAGGAATTATGAGCTTTGAAGAGCGGATGATTGACTGAACATTCCAGTTTTCCACAATTTCCTTGTCCTGAATCGAAGCGGCAATAGAAATTGAACGCATCTTCGGAGCCCATCCATCTTCCGGACCAAGAACAATCAACTGGATCACTTCTGGAAAAAAAATTTGGGATTTTTTTGGGTTGGGGATTGGGGAATAATTTGAAAGCTTCTGGAGCAAAAAACTGAATTTCAAAATGAAAATTTGATTTGGCCAATAAAAAAATCTTAATTTTTAACGCAGTTTTTTGATATTTGGGATAGCCGTTAAAATACTCATAAAATTGAGATAAAAAAATATTTTAAAAGACATTATTTGTAAAAACGTAAACTTTACAACAGAGGCCCGGACAAAAAAAGTCATGATCTCAGAATCGGCCCAATTTTTTTTCTTAGTAAGCCCCATGGGTGGGGAACTTTTTCCACCAGGTTAGAGATCATGATATCGTTTCGCCAATTTGGTGGGACCGGGTGAAGGGGAAAATTGTTTTTCGAAAAAAATTCGTAAGTCGGTTCAACGTTCATATTTTTTGATGATTAAAAAAGCATTTTGCTCGTCTTTTGACGCTCTTTGCGATGGAAAAGAGCACGAATTTCGATACTCTATCCTAAAAAAAATTTTTTTTTCGCCATAATACAACATTGCTTAGGAGTCATTTCCGCTCTTTCTAACCGCTTCCAAAATGTTCCTCGTGCTTTTTTACCTATATTTAGCTACTTTCAAAAAAAATCGCCGGCACCTATCAACCTCGGAAAATCACCTAAAAGGGCGCCACTCAAGCGCGCGCGCTCATATAACACACATATGTGCATGTGTGTGTTTGTGTGCATTGAAGGATTACTGTAGGTGGAAGAAAAAGTTTAAAAAAACGACTTTCTCGTGGAAACTATGCAAATTACAATGAATAGTTCCCAAAATGAAGTACCCCAAAGGCATTTTACATGCAAAAATTTTCTTTTCGGACTTTCAAGGGGTTGGACTTTTTTTTTGATATTTTTTAGCTCTGAACTTTGAAAAATCGTATTTCCACTTACAGTGGACAAAAAATTTCGAAGAAAAAAGCATAATGGATCTCAAATATCGCTCTATTGACTGAGAATAAGAGTTGTTAAAAGTATCAAGTATTCTAGTGCCAATTTTCGAACTCTAGGTTTAAAGTTACGTACAGTAGTATGTTAGAACTACTCAGAAAATCATCATAGATAGGTAGAAAATCATTCCGGCAAATCTTCAGGCTTAGAGAGCAGCTCTGGCAAGGATTCACGCCTAGAAAGAAATACAGACAAGGAACTACGCCTAGAAAGCTATTCTGACAAAGTTCGGCGCCTAGACGGTCATTCTGGCAAGGAGTCCCGCTTAGAAAAAAATCATGGATAGCTCTCATAAGCGCGGCTCCTTGCCAGATCAATTGTCTAGGCGTTGACTCTTATAAAAATGGTTTTCTAGACGCGAATCTTTGTCAGATTTGCTTTCTAGACATAGATCCTTGTCAGTGTTACTTTCTAAGCGTGTTTCTAGGCGTTCTAGGCGTGATCCTAGTGAAAGCTTCTTACTAGGAGCAGTACTTAGAAATAGTGGCTATCAAGACGTGGATTCTTGTTCTAATTCTTTGCTGAAGTGCCGTACCTCGTCTGGTGGTCTCTGAAAGCGCAACGACGTGATGTAAAAACTCGCAAGGCGCTGTACCAAGTTAATGTGGTTCTCCAGGCACGGTTGTTGGTCATAGCGGCTTTTCTGGCGCAAATAGTTGAAAGCGTAAGAGTTTTGGACATTTTCAAAAATTTCCCGTTAGCAAACTTTCTTCAAATGTTGTTCGGACCCCTGAAACTTTTCCCAAAAAATTATTTTTTGAATAATATTTTTTCCGCTGTGAGGAATCCATTGGCCTTTTTTCGCAGAAATTACTACTCAACTTTACTCAAAAGTGCAGCCTGCAGAAAACACTATTGAAAATTGTTGTTGATTTTTGCAAAAGAAAAACATAAAATCAATTTCCAGTACCACTGGGGACCGGACACCTATCAATTTTAATATGCTATTGTACGTAACTTCAAACGCAGAGTTTGAAAATTGGCACTAGAACACTTGATACTTCCTCTAACAAGGAAACCTTTTTTACTCAATACTTCAAATCTTGACGAAATTTTCTCCATAGACAGCTTTTGGTGTCATATGAACACCCTAAAAATTTTGTCTCCCAATGGACCTCTGAACCAAGTTCTGGGCTCTCAAAAGTTCAAAAATTGCCAAAATTGGCTCATAAAATACATCATAACTCAATTCTCGATCATTTTTATGAAAAACTGAGTAGCAGATGATGATCAGCGTGGTCGATTTACCCAAAAAGCATCAATAAATCAAATTTCAAAAAAAATTAATTTATGAAAAATGAATGAGCAGAGGCACATATGAATTTTCATGAATTTTCAGCCGAAAAATAAAAAAATTCAAAATTTTTCGAAAAAAAGTTTTATTGTTGTACTTTTAGTAAATCGACTATGCTGATCACTATCTGAAACTTTATTTCTCCCACAAATTATTTTGAAATGGAGCTATGATGACTTTTATGAGCAATTTTTAGCAATTTTCGAACTTTTGAGAGCCCAGAACTTGGCTCAGGGGTCCATTGAGAGACTAAAATTTTTAGGGTGTTCTTATGACCCGAAAAGCTGTCTATGGACAAAATTTCATCAAGATTTGAAGTGTTGAGTAAAAAGGTTCCCTTGTAAAAACAATTTCAAAAATGTTTTTGTTTATTCTGAAATTTTCAAGTTTTCTAGGTCGAAAAAAATTATTTTTTAACAACTTTTATTTTCAGTCAATAGAGCGATATTTGAGATCCATTATGCTTTTTTCTTCGAAATTTTTTGTCCACTGTAAGTGGAAATACGATTTTTCAAAGTTCAGAGCTAAAAAATATCAAAAAAAGTCCAACCCCTTGAAAGTCCGAAAAGAAAATTTTTGCATGTAAAATGCCTTTGGGGTACTTCATTTTGGGAACTATTCATTGTAATTTGCATAGTTTCCACGAGAAAGTCGTTTTTTTAAACTTTTTCTTCCACCTACAGTAATCCTTCAATGCACACAAACACACACATGCACATATGTGTGTTATATGAGCGCGCGCGCTTGAGTGGCGCCCTTTTAGGTGATTTTCCGAGGTTGATAGGTGCCGGCGATTTTTTTGAAAGTAGCTAAATATAGGTAAAAAAGCACGAGGAACATTTTGGAAGCGGTTAGAAAGAGCGGAAATGACTCCTAAGCAATGTTGTATTATGGCGAAAAAAATTTTTTTTAGGATAGAGTATCGAAATTCGTGCTCTTTTCCATCGCAAAGAGCGTCAAAAGACGAGCAAAATGCTTTTTTAATCATCAAAAAATATGAACGTTGAACCGACTTACGAATTTTTTTCGAAAAACAATTTTCCCCTTCACCCGGTCCCACCAAATTGGCGAAACGATATCATGATCTCTAACCTGGTGGAAAAAGTTCCCCACCCATGGGGCTTACTAAGAAAAAAAATTGGGCCGATTCTGAGATCATGACTTTTTCGTTGTCCGGTGGGTTTTGCAGTTTTACAAAGAGTGTCTTTTAAAAATTTTCGGAAAGATTTCTTTAAAATTTGAATAAAAAATCAAAATTCAGAAAACCATACTTGCAACAAAACTTCTTCGTCATCTGATAGCTAAAAAGTTTCAAACATGGTTCTCCAAAACTCGAATCCGGAATACAAGCAGTTCCATCTGCACATCTTCCACTATGTTGTCGAATAAAATCATAATCCGACGGACAATTCTCATAGCAAAATGGTGCACTTCCAAACCATTTACATCCAGATTTCGAAGTTTCCGGATTGGTTCTCGCTGGTTTTTTGGAAGTTGAAGAAGTTGATTTTTTGGATGAATTTGGTTTGAAAAACGATGATAATAAGAGGAATAAAAATAAAGGAATTGTTGAGCAATTCATTTTGACAGTTTATTGAAAATAATATAGGAATCATATAAGATGATGGAATGACGGAAACGAAAAAAGTAACACTCGAAAAGTCAACATTGCGAAGCGGTCATTTTTCGAAGATTTGGAAAAAAGTTTTTGTTGTAAATAAATATTTCCCACGTGGTCTTTTTTTCGAATAAAAAATCACCAACCTATAAAAATCCAGCATAGCTCATATTGAATCCAACTGGTTTTTTCGCCAATTTTAAAACACAACCCTTTTCGCACGCCAAAACCAAAGTATCCCAATTTTCCGGAGCGATCAGCAGAAATTCGTTGGATTTTGGGAAGTTGAAGGATGATGTGTAGAAGGTTCTGGAAAGTTTATAGGAACTTTTGGGTGTCAATTTTTCAAGAAGGAAAAAATAAGCAAAATTTGAAGGCGAACAAAATTTCCGAAAAAAATCGGCTCTGTTCGGAAATAAATGGTTTTAGAGAAAAAAATCGGCTCTGTTCGGAAATAAATGGTTTTAGAGAAAAAAATCGGCTCTGTTCGGAAATAAATGGTTTTAGAGAAAAAAATCGGCTCTGTTCCGAAATAAATGGTTTTAGAGAAAATAATGGGTTTTTCAGAAAATAAAGGGTTTTTCAGAAAATAAAGGGTTTTAGAAAAACAAAAAGGTTTTATAGGGGTAAAAATATCTGACAAGGGAAGTGCATAGGGTCAGGTGTTGAACTTTTGATGAAACGTTCGAAATATACCAAATCGACCATGCTGATCACGAATCCGAAGTCAAAAATTGCCACAAATGTCTGTGAGCACTTTTCTGGAGCTCCAAAGTTAGAATTGAGTTTTGGTTTTTGCCCATTTTCATCTTGTTCCTGGGTGGAAAATCAAATTTTATAACTTGAATATGGTTGTTCACCACATTCGAAAACCTATCAGCTTTTTAGTTTACAAAAAATATGAAAAACCTGCTGAAAACTGTAATTTTTAAGAAAGTCCTGAAATTACACACAAACACACGTAAATACACACGTTTTTCAAAGTTTTTTGTGCATTTTTGAAAATTACAGTTTTCAAAAATTTTCATATTTTTTGTAAACTAAAAAGCTGATAGGTTTTCGAATGTGGTGAACAACCATATTCAAGTTATAAAATTTGATTTTCCACCCAGGAACAAGATGAAAATGGGCAAAAACCAAAACTCAATTCTAACTTTGGAGCTCCAGAAAAGTGCTCACAGACATTTGTGGCAATTTTTGACTTCGGATTCGTGATCAGCATGGTCGATTTGGTATATTTCGAACGTTTCATCAAAAGTTCAACACCTGACCTTATGCACTTCCCTTGTGAAAAAGAAAAGTGATTGTTGTCTATTGGATATTTACTAAGCCTAAGCCTTTATTCCAGAGCTGCACAAACATAAAAATTGAATTTTTAAAGCTTTCCTAGCATTCAAAGCTTAGGCTTAGTGAGGTCCTGTAAACTACAGATCCACATCAAGTTAAGAAATTTCAGTCAGATAATAGATAGTTGATAAAATTGACTAACTTTTGGACTCATTATTGGGGAGTTCTTTTTACTTTTTCGGGCTCTTAAAACCATTTTTTCTTGAAAAACCCTTTATTTTCTCTAAAACCCTTCATTTTCTGAAAAACCCTTTATCCGAAAATAAAACTCTTTAATGAAACCCTCTATTTCCGAACAGAGCCAAAAAATCTGTTCGGAAAAAAATTTAAAAAGTTTCTGAAATATTTTTTCTGGAAGTTCTAACCTTTCAAGAAAAAAACCCATAAGGGTTTACTGTTCAAAAGTTAACCTAACTTTTGAAATGATATCATTCTCCTCTCCTTCTTAAAAATCCCCGAAAAAACTAACTTTTCTGCAAAAACTGCAAAATTCACCACATTTTCCATCCGAATTTTCACCCGATTTTCCTCAATCAATCGAACATTAATCGTATTCGGTGCAATCCTTTTCTCATCTCCCAAAATTGCCAATTTCAAAATGTGAAAAGTGCACGGATCGATAAAATCTCCGATAAAAAATTGGTCCAAATTGGTAGTTCCTTCAAGAATATCCGCATGCCCTGACATAATTCCGTCATCAGCGTGAAGTGCTCCAAAAACATGAAAAATCTCGTGAGCCACAACATTCAGGAATAGCCCTTGATTTTGTTTTCCTTCGTGGAATTTTGAGAAAAATTGAGAGGGTATTGAGAATACACATTTTCTTCCGTGACAAATTCCATCAATTTTTTCGAAATTTTCAGAGATTTGAAAGTCCAGAATTATCGATTTTTCGGTGGGATTTCTGGAGAAAAAATTGATTTTTAACTGAAATTTTTGTCTGAAAATTTAAAATTTACCTCTCAATTTTCAAAAATTTTCCTTGCTCTTCAAAAAGTTCCCCAATTTTCTTCAACAAAATTCCAACAAGCTTTCGAAAAATTCGAATTTCCGATTTCACATAAAAACTAGGCATTCCCTGAAAACTGAAATTTTTTGAATTTTAAAAACTTCGATGGAAAATAAGAATAAGAATTTTCAACAAAATTATTCGAGGTAATAATTATGTAGAAATTTAAAAATTCATTTCATTTCAGATGAAAAAAAGCGACTCGTAGGCAAAAATCATAAAAACTATTCGATAGGAAGAAAGAAAAAAGAACATGCATTGCAATAAATAAAATAACTTTAAAAAAAACGGAAAAAAATGGGAGGGGGGGAGCAAAAAAAGAACTAATAGAAATTTATAAAAATTACACGAATAGCAATTAACCCGTTAAAACTGTATAATGTATGTATTTGTTATTGTCTTCTTCTCATTTCACAATCAGAACATTTTTTCGTTCGAAAAATGAAAAAAAGACAATAACATAATACCCGGACGAATCGGATCCTAAAAATTTGAAAAAAAGAAGAGAAAAACTATTGGGGATTTCTGGGTGGCGCTGATTGATTATCTCGAAGACGTGAAGAAGATGATGGAGATGGTGAAATTGTTGGGGCACCTGCGGTTTGTGACATTGTCATACGATTTGTGGCAGAAGATGTGGATAATGGTGATGTTGAGAAATCGAGCAATTTTGAAACCTGCGAAAAAATTGGGGGTTGGGGTTTTGAGATTCGAATGAGAGTCTGGTTTTTAGACCGTGAAAAATGAAGATTTTTAGAATATTTTTTTGGGGGAAAAGGTTTGATGAAGCTTAAATTTTTTTAATTTTTAGAATTTCTAGTTGAACTTTTTCAAATTCTCATATGAATTTTTAAATAATTTTTTGAAGTTGAAAAACTGCGATTCCAGAATTCTACTTGATTTTCTACAAAATGCGAAAATTGGGTTGAGGGTTTTGAAATTTGAACAAATCTGGTATTTTTTTTAGACCCGTTCATTTTCAAGTTAAAATTTTTTTTGAAAATATTTTTTGTGAAATCTTTCGAGTAATGAATGAAATTTTTTGCAGTAATAAAATCCAAAATTTCAAAATTCTGGAATTTCAGAACCTTGAATATTTTTCCTTCTAGTTTCTAGTCAAAACCCTGAACTTCTCATGAATTCCTCAAAAATCTCAAAACCCCAAAAAACCAACCTCCGAAACAAGTTGACTCAATTGTTGCTGATGTGGCGACGGACTTGTCGGCAGCGAAAAAGTCGTCGCGAAACTATTGGGATCTTTTGCCAACATCGTCGAATCCGCATCAATCGGAATATCATCGTCAATTTCATCATTTTGATCCGATAATAATAAATCGGGTTGAGCTGTGGCGGCTCGTTGAACTCGAATTCGTGATCGAAGTTGTTCGATCTCGACTCGTTGTTTTTCGAGAAGTTCGTGTTGTTCCATTCGATGTTTGACAATCATTCGAATCACTTCTGGATCTTCGCCTTCCAAATCCATTTGGCCCTGAGAGAAGATATTTTGTGGAGGGAAAAGTTGATTTTGTGGGGAGATAATTGGTTGTAATTTTAAAAATTTCAGCCAATTTTTTCTGCTGCCAAAAAAAATTATCGTTCAAAAATTTCTTGTGAAAGTATTTTTTAAAACAAAAAATATTTCGATTAAAAATTCTACCAATTAAAATTAGAAAGCAAAATATTCCTCTTCCGCAAAAAAAAGCCCAACCAAAAAATTAAACAAAAAAGCCGAACCTTCAAATCATAATCACATTCTGAAACAGGCAACGGACTATGCGACGGCGGTGTTCCAATACTAAATGGTATATTCGGTGTAGATGGTCCCTCATCTCTCGAAGGCGGTGCATTTTGTCTCAAATGTGTTCCAAGTGTCGACGAAAGTGCCGTTTCCAAATTCTCAAACGTCGCCAATCTCGTGCTCGTCGACGCTTTCGTCATTCTTCCCGATGTAACAGATTCAGCATCCACATTTTCATTATTCACAGCTAATTCCTCATCTTTATTGTTAGGAGCAGTGGAATTTAGCACAACTTCTTTCTCTTTTTTCTCCCTCAGCCACTAATACTGTTGAAGAAGTAGCCGACAAATCGGGCAACACGTTAGGCGGCGAAATTATTGGCTAAAGTTAGTATGATGAAAATAAGGAGACTCACAATAACATGATTAGATACTTGTTAAAAAATAAAAAATAACTACCAACCTGCTCAATAATTTGTTCCTCATTAATTGTGGATGGCATTGGTGTGGCTTCTCGAGCATCCGTATGAATAACTTTTCCAAGAGCTTCAGCCAAGCCTTTGAGTGTGTCAATTGGTATTTTTCCATCCGTTTCTTCTCCGCCTTCTTCTTGAGGACCAGCTGCATGGCCAGATTCCTCATTTTCATTTTCACGTTCATTTTTGGCTTCTTGTTCCAATTTGAGAGCTTCCAGTCGTTCATGTAAGCCTGGAAAATGGATTTTGTGAAATTGAGGATTTTAGATCATTTTTAATTCTATGATTTCAATAAAATTCTGAAAAATTGTAATTTTTATCAATTTTTGAAGAATTAACTTCAAAAATTTTAATTTTAAAAACTAAAAATTTTCAAAATCTAATAGCCTTTCATAAAATTTCAGGAAAAATTTTGGCAAATTTTGAATCGGACCAGGTCCGATTTTTTGAGAAAAATTCTGAATCGGACCCGAAAAATTGGACCACTTTTTCAAAAAAGTCAATTTTTTGGTGCAAAAATCAGGAAATTTTGAAAAAGTGGTCCGATTTTTCGGGCCCGATTCAGAATTTTTCTCAAAAAATCGGACCTGGTCCGATTCTTTTTTTGTGGTCCAATTCCTATTGAAAAAATGTCACCCTGGGCCGATTCAGAAAACCCTAAAAATCGGGTCCGATTCAAAAACTGCCAAAAAATTTTTCAATAATTTCAATAAGATTCTGAAAAATTTTAATTTTTATCAATTTTTCGAAGAATGAACCTCAAAGATTTCAATTTTAAACCATTTTAAAACTAAAATTTTTCAAAATCTAACAGGCTTTCATAAAATTCCCCAAAAAACCCACCAGCTAAACCAGCTTCGGCTTCAATTCGATTCGGTGTCTGCGGTACACTTTGTCCAGCGTTCGTCGAAGATTGCTGAAAATTTCAGACATATTTTCTACATTCCTCTAAATTCCACTCATACATAAAATAGGTCCCCCGAGTCAGTTTTTAAAATTAGGGTCCCTCCTTGAAAATTTTCCAAAGTTAAACACCTGCCTCACATTTTTGAGCGAATTTTGGTGAATTATCAGCAGGAAATTGGCCAAGTTAGGCACCCTTCCCTTCAGATTTTTGAAAAAAGTTAAGCCCCTCACCCCGATTCAGGGGACCCATTTTATGTATGATTCCACTTACCGCCGGACAAATCGATGGTGGAACAGTTGGCTGTGCAGTGGTTTGTGGTGTTTGTGTATTATCAACAACTGTAGAAGGCGAGGCTGAATGCGATGCTCCACTGACTTTCCGAAGTTCCGAGTCGAGTTGAGTCAACACATCATTTTGTGTTTGTGTTTGAGTTGGTTCAGTGTTCACAGAATCCATGACTACTGTAGCACTTGAAGACGCGCTTTCACTCAAATTCGATGTCGAATTTTCGGAATTCAAGATCAGCGATGAACTCGAAACAACTGGTGGATTACTAGGAATCGGTGGTGGAATTGGTTGCTGATTCTGTTCAGGTAGCGGTGTGGAAATCGAAGAAGATATTCCAGATTCCGCTTGTGATACAGGTTGAACTGTAAACCTTCTGACAGCCGCACTTGCCGTTGATGTTACCGACGAATTATTCGAATGTGTCGTTGCACTTGGCGACGAATTCGATGATAATGAATGTGAAACTGGTGAGGGAGTTGCGAGAAGATTTGTGGATGTTGTTGTATTTGTGCTGATGGTTGTGTTGGCTGATGATACAACTGTGGCTGATGGTTCGATGTTGACAGCGACTGGAGTTGTAACTGCTGGTGTTGCGATTGGCTCAGATTTTGTGACCTGCAAAAATAACAGCTCAAAAAATTTTAAAATGAATTTCTTTCAGTTTCAAAACAAAAATGCATTTTTTATATTAAAAATTGAAAAGAGATAAAGATAAAGAAAAGAAAAGAACTATATTGAATTGTTTTGTGGGGAGAAAAAATATAGTATTTTATATATAAAAAACCAACTTGGAATCTCGATAATTTCACAGCTGGCGCAGGTGTTGGTGTAACAGGCACTGGCGTCGAAACAACATCTGAAGTTGGTTCAGGTGTTACCGAAACGGGCGTTGGTTGTGATATAATAATCTCTCCAATTTTCTTGTTTTCCTCCTCTCCTGACAATTTCCTCACAACTTTTTCCTCTTCTCCATCTGGTGTCGCAATCATTGCTGTAATTACAGGAACTCCCGTCAAATTCGATTCATCTAAAACCGTCGCAAATTTGCTGCCAATTCCTTTATTGGGCGGTTCCGATTTGATCAACGTGATAACTTCTTCCAATTGCGCTTCAACAATTCGCGTATTCGCCGGTGATAAACAATCTTCGCTCAACAATTTCTGTGCAATCATATTTGGTTTATCGGTTCCCAGTGCGAATTGAAATGTGACTGTTTTGTGAGCTGTATCCAATTTGCAAGAGACCAACGGAACACTTTTCGTCATATCAACTTTCAAGATTTCCAACATTATCTTCTTTTTATTGATCTTTTTTCGCTCTTCACATGACAAATTCGAATCATCGGCAAAAATTGATGGAGTTATTGAACCAGGTGATGTGACCATTGTTGACATTTCTGTTGAAATTGTTCGAGGAACTGTGTTATTCAGAATTGTTGGAGTTGAAATCGATATTCCATCATGTTCATCTTTCGGCTGAAAAATTGTAATTTGGGGTAAATTTTTGAGATCAATATTTAATAACGAATCTCCCAAATTTCTAATTTTTGGTGTTATTTTGCTAGGGCTTCAGATTTTTTGGTTAAAATTAGACCAATCAATATGTATAACTTCTAGAAATCGTTCAGATCCCACTTATATGGCCCAGAAATAAACATTGTCTAAAATGAAAGAATATATTCATCTCTAGATTTTCAGAATCTATATGAAAAGTTGCGAAAAGGCTTTCTCGATTTTATGGAGCCCGAGGAAAAGCTTTTGAGAAATTCAGGGACTAGGAAATTTCTAGTCCCCAAATTTTCCTTTTCAGACCATGTTTATTTCTGGGTTGCCTGGTAATTTAAATAATTGCAATTTTTCGAGAAAGGGAATCGTCTGAAATCTGATAACTTCCATAAAATCAGAAATTTTTGTTCATAGAAATTCTTTTACATTTTTGGAAAAAATTTCAGATTTGATTTCGGCTTTTTCTATCTTATTAAAATTCAATTAAAAAAATAGATTTTTGAGCTATTTTTTAAAATTTGATTAGATTTTACAGCTTCTGGGTGAACAAAACTTCTAAAAATCAAAAAAATTCCAATTTTCAATCTCATCCTCAAAACTCACCTCCTGTTCAATTTCCATATTATGAATCACAGTCAACGTGGGATGCACAACATTCTGAACTTGCGGTTGATGAAGAGTCTGTGAGACTACTGTAGTTGTTGCCGAGACTGGCGAAGAAACCGGTTGAATTGAACTAGGTGTCGAACATTCAACTGAAGGCGGATGTAGTATTGTAGAAGTGATAAGTGTTGTGGAACTTGGTGGTACTATTGGTGCAGCAGAAGAGGTTGGTTGAGATGGTGTGACTTGGGCGGGAGTGGGAGTTGGTGGTGGTTGAGAAGAGATTGCTGCAGCTGTTGCGGCGGCTGCGGAAGCCGCTGCCGCAGCTTCTTTCTCAATCCGTTCCTTCTCAGCTTTCTCTTTCTCCTTATTCTCCGCTCGAATTCTCAATTCCTCTTTAACTTCTTGTTCCTCTCTCAATCTCTCTTCCTCCTCTTCTTTTCTCTTAATTTCAGCTAATCGATGATCTCGATCCCTTTTAAACGCATCAACTTTATCCCGAATCAATTTCGTAATCATTTTCGTATCCTCATCCGGTATATGTTGTTGTTCAATCATTTGTTGCACAACTTCATCAGCGCTATCATTTTCAATATCGAATGCGAATTGGAGACCCTCATTTTCTTTGAATCGATATTGTTTCCGTTTTTTCTCGTCGTAAACTCGGAGTTGCATTTGAATCTCGACATTGAGCTCGTTGAGATCAGTGTCGCGATTTTTAATCTCAACTCGAATTCCGACAAGATCTTCGGGTGTGAAGAAATCGTCGACGAGAAGTTGTTTGACAGTACTTCGCTCTTCTCGATGAACCCTGAAAGGAAAAAATGAATTTTAAATTTTTTTAAAAGGAATTTTCGAAGATCTATGGAGAATTTTCCAAGGCTGAAAAAAGAAAGTCCGAATTTTTTTTAATTGTCCGGATCTATTTAAAAAGTTGCGAAAAAGCTTTCTCGATTTTATAAAGCCCGAGGAAAAGCATTTGAGAAATGGAGGGACTAGGAAAAAATAGTTTAGGGACTAGAAATTTCCTAGTCCCTCCATTTCTGAAAAGCTTTTCCTGGGGCTCTATAAAATCGAGAAAGCCTTTTGACAACTTTTAATATAGATTCGGGCAATCTAGAGATGAACATCTTTCATTTGGATTTTTATATTTTTATACTGAATATTGGATTTTTGTTTTTTTTTTTTGGAATTTTCAAAGTTCGATGGAGGAATTTTACAAATGATAAATTTTTCAGTTTTTCTTTTCTAAAGCCCCTTACCTAATACATCGATCAATAATTTCTCGAATCTCCGGATATTGTTGTGGTATCCGTTGAAAACATTCAGGCTTAACTCCAGAAATAACTTTTCGATAAATCGTCGCCGGATTCATACATTCAGAATATGGATATTCACCAGTCACCATTTCCAACAAACACATTCCAAATGCATAAACATCAACACTTTCATCATACATTTCTTCGTACATTTCAGGTGCCATGAATTCGGGAGTTCCGATGACTGATTTAGCAAACGATTTATTTTTGAGTGTTGCCAAACCCAAATCTCCAATTTTAACACTTCCAGTTGTTCCAGTGATAAAAATATTGTCACATTTTAAATCTCGATGAATAACCGACGGACTTCTTGAATGCAAAAATGATAATCCTTTCAAAATCTGCCGACACCATGATTTCAGCACTTTAATATTTATCCTCTTGAATCGCTTCAAATACATTTTCAATGTTCCAGATGTCATTAACTCAGTAACAAGTACAATATATTTTCGTTTTCCGGACAAATCACTACTTTCCCAATAATCATAGAATCTGACAATATTTGGATGTTGTAGATCTTTGAGCATTTCGGCTTCTTCTCGAAATCGCTGCCGTTCTGTTCGATTCAATTTCGATTCTTGCAATTCGCACCAAGCGACAGCGACTCCGGTTTCAGTGTCCAAACCGCGGAAGACGGTTTTGAATGAACCGCGACCGAGTTCTTCGTCGAATTTCAAAAATCGACCGTCTGGAAAAAAAATTGGTCTAGACTTGATTTTTGGAATTTTCAGATCCAAACTTTAAAAATTAATTTTTGAATTTTTTTTTTCAAATTTTGGGGTAAATTTCAAAAAGATCTGATTGTGAGGATGTCAAAAGTGAGATTTTTAGGCCCAAAAGTTTTACAGAAAATTTCAGAGATCTGTTTTTTTCGCTCACATACATTAGATTTTTAGCTTGAAAAATTAATTTTTGAATTTTTTTTTATTTCGGGGAAAAGTCCAAAAAAACGTTTGAAAAATTCAAAAATTTATTTTCAAAAAATCTGAGGATCATTTTAATTTTAAATATCAAAATTGAGATTTTTTAGATCCTAGCCTAAAAGTTTTACAGAAACATGCAGAGATCTAATTTTTTCGCTCAAATACATTACATTTTTCACAAATCCTTTGAACTCACTTTTACTCTTATCAATCGGTTTTTCCTGCGCATCAAAATCATCTTCAATATCAATTTTCCTCGCCGCTTTCTCCTCTTCTTCCCGTTTTTCCTGCTCTTTTTTCAGCCTTTCTTCCTCACTTATTTTCAGCGTTTCCTCATTTTCAGCTTCACTTTTCGATTCGATCGATGTTTTCACAGATTCATCATTCGATGTTGATGTTTCCGTAGATGTTCTCAGCGTGGAAATCGGCACAATTCCAGGTTTCAGCGGCGACGAATCATGTAAATGCGAATGTTGAAGAAGATGCGCTTTTTGCGGTGTTGTTTTACTCGATAACCTCGATCTATCAAAAATATTATGTTGAGGACTAGAAACAGCATTTTGTAATACAGCAGCAGCAATATTTGTATGCGCATTTGAAGGATGCGAAGTTGGTGAGACAGCCAATGGTGATATCATCCCATTTGAATTTGTTGTTACAGTATGATGTTGTACACGTGGACCAAGATGATTTTGATGTTGCTGATGTTGTTGAGAAGATTGAGCCGGATAATGATGATTGGTGATTGTTGTGTTGTTTGTTGGTGAAACTATGCTCACCACTTTTTGTGGTGATAATGTTCCGCCACTTTCGACACTTAGAATCGAATTGTTTGGTGAAATATCATCGGGTCTTCGAGGTTTCGACCATTGATACTGGAAATTTTTTTTGAGAAATCTGATGGGATTTTTTTTCTAGATATCTTACTCAAAACATACATAAAATGGGTCCCCTGAATCGGGGTGAGGGGCTTAACTTTTTTCAAAAATCTGAAGGGAAGGGTGCCTAACTTGGCCAATTTTCTGCTGATAATTTACCAAAATTCGCTCAAAAATGTGAGGCAGGTGTTTAACTTTGGAAAATTTTCAAGGAGGGACCCTAACTTTGAAAACTGACTAGGGGGACCTATTTTATGTATGACTCAAAATTAATTCTGAAAGTTTTCCTGTCAGAATTCGAAAATATGAAAATGATGAATGAGAAATTATAAATACAAGAATGATACACCGGCTATCGCCGGTGTTCATTCTTGTTATAAATATTTGAAATAAATCCAGGTTTCACGTAAATTAGAACACGTAAAAAATTAATTTCTGATTAAAAACTATTTTTTGTAAAAAAAAATTAAATTTATCAAACCTGGACCAATAAATTATACATTTTGAAGAATTTTTAGAAATTTTTTTTGAAAACCATTGATTAGTAACCCAGCTCAATTTTGTGCAATTTTCAAAAAATCAAAATACAAACCTTATTTGGTCGACTCCTTCGCCAATCTTGTTGAACAGCTTCCAAACGCGATCGCTCTTCACCAGAAAGCCAATGCGATCCCATTCTGAAAATTTAAATTTTTTTTGAATAAAATCTCTCCTCTCATATTTATTATTTTCTATACCGTTTTCTTTCATTTCTAGTCTGCAGAAGTCTATTCGCATTTATCAATTCATTAGTTATCGGAAATTCCATGTTAGTTCAAAAAATAAAATATAGAATTTGTGTAGGCGATGAAAAAAAACTGAACGAAAATAGATGATGGAAAATTTAAAATTCAAATCAAATCAAAAAAGTTACGGTTTTCAGTCATAAAATGATATGTTAATACGAAAAAATATGAATTGACCATTTCCAACCACACAAAAAGAGGGATTTTTCTATTTTTCTCTTGTAGTAGTTGAAAATTTGATAAAATTAGGGAAAAACAACTCACGTGGGATGTTCTTGTGATGGATGCAATTCATCGACTTTTTTAATTTGTCGACCAATTCGACGTCGTGGATAATTTGTGGTTGTGGCTGACGTCGATGTGGATGTTGTTCCAGAAGCCGTGGCTGCTGCTGTCGAAGTTGTTGATGACGTGGAAGATTGTGGTGGCGGTGGTGGTCGACCACCATTTGGTATAGACTGAAATGTTGCGAATTTTTATGAGGGGAAACTTTGGGGGGAAGGGTTAGGGTTATTTTCTGAAAAAAATAATTTGTAGAAAATTTTTTTTTTGGTAAACTCGGAAAAAAATTTCCTATGAAGAAAAACAATACAGAATATTATTTTCATTAGAGACAACGTGAAATTTAGAGAGTCCAGACAAATAACTTATGATTTTGTCTAGACTCTCTCAATTCCACTCCTAGATTTTCGAAAAAATTCTCAATATTTTCCGATATCTCTATGGTTGGCTCACGAGACTAACCAGACACAATAATTTCCAGCAAATTTTGGCTAGTTCTTTTCGTCTAGCAGAAACATGTGACCAAAAAATTGGGAAATACAACCAACCAACCCCAACTATTTGATAGAGAAAAATGAAAGATTTTTGTTTATTATTATTATTTTATCGATAAAAAAGGAAGAAGAAGAGAAATAGAAGAAGAAAGACAATAAACACACGTGTTTTGTCAACGAATCGAATCAAGACGAAAAAAATGATTGTTCTTGTGATTTTTCACGAGATGCGTTCTTGTTCTACAGAGGGAAGGGATGAATTTTGAGGTTTTTGTGAAAATTTGAAAAAATATTGTGTCTGGTTAACCAAAAATTAATATTTTCCCTCACACAGAAAACTTCAACAGAATATTATTTTGATTAGAGACAACGTGAAATTGAGAGAGTCTAGACTCTCTCAATTTTACGTTCTCTCTGATCAAATTAATGTTTTTTTTTCGAAAATTTCCTACATGAAAAAAAATATCAAGGTTCTATGCCATTTTATTACAAAAAAGCCCATAATTGTTTTTCCAAAAAAAAAGTTCCTTCTATTTTGCAAGTACAATTGTTTTTGCAAAGCAACAGGATATTTGTTCAACAACTACACTCTTCCTCTTTTATTTATACAATTCGCAAGACAAAATCAATTTTTTCGACCAAAGGTCATCTCATTTTCATTCCCCCCCAACAAGAAAAAACTCACATCTGGCATTTTTTTGTCTGAACTTCTTTTGAAATAATCAATATTAATTTAAATTTGAATAATATTTTGATTGTCGTATTTTCAGCATTTCCCTCCTTATTCGCGTGCTCAAATCGTTTAAACACAATTCAAACAAGAAGTAAATAGATATTCTGAATAAATAGAGAAAAACGATGAAATTGTACTTTGCTCGAATATATAAGATAGCCAAGTTGAAAGAAAATCGCCTGGAAAATTTGTTGGTTTTTTTTTTTGGAAAAAACGAAATCAATCAGAAGCGAAAAAAAACGGCGTTGAATAAAATATGAATGAATGAATGACTGGAACTATCAGAAAATAAATGTCATATGACTAGGGTTTGAAATTTCTTATGATTTTTGGTTTGGAATGGGATGAACATGTGAACAGAATCATAAAAAATTTGAAAAAATACTTTTAAAAATCTTGTAGCTTGGCCCTATTGAAAATAATGATTTTTAAACATCATTGTTTTTCTGAAAATCTTTGAAAACTAATATTTTTTCAAATTAAATTCTACTGAAACAATTTTTGAGCTCAACATGATTGAAAAAAAGTTTTTTTTCGTGATTTTTCAACTTTTTTTCTTCAAATTTTTGCCCGCCTTTCAAAATTCCTCGAAAAAAATCAGCTGTATTTTGTTGAAGCAAACCATCATTCTTTCTCAATTGTCTCTCATGTTATCATCATCAAATACATATGACTTGCCTACTGACTTCACGTGATGTTTGCTATCGAAAAATTCCCGCTATTTACTTATAATACTTTTTTTTTAAATTTTATTTTGGTTTATTGATCCTTTTGGGATAAATTTATTTAAAAATTGATCGAAAATCATTTACGCTAAAAATAGTCGAGAATATTAAAAAAAACACAAAAAAGGGGAAAGATAAGATAGTTTTTTTTTGTTTCGATATTTCTTAAACATGAGAAGGGGTCAAGTCAAGGTTATCTTGGGCGGGGGAGGCCGGAAAAACGAGATTTTTATCGATGGATGAGCAAAATCCAATATTGGAGGATATTTTGAAAATTAAAAGAGGGTGACGTCAAAGCAAAAGTTTGTTAATGAAGAAGTTTTTCTGCAGACCGACAAAAAAAAGTTAATTGAAAAGATTTTCAGAGAGATAATGTGAAAATGGGTGAACAAACTTTTCGTTTTCTCTCGTAAGAAATTTTTTTAGAAGAAGAAGAAGAAAATCGTGTATCCGTTCGAAAGAGAATATGTTCTTGTGATTGTGAAATGAATTTTGAAACATCAAAAACAGACACGATTTTCTCCCATGTCCATTCAAATTTCTTGGACACACAACCAAAAAAACAGACATACAAATACATAAAATGAGGCGAAGAGCCGCAAACTGCTCTTTGCAAAAGCGAAGTGAAGGGTGGAAGAGAAACGCGAGAAAATAGAAAGACGCAGAGTATATTGGACGGGGGAAATGACTGCGTATAGCAGATGTCTCGGGACCGAATGCATTTCTCTGCGTCTCTTTGCAGCTTCAAAAAATGTGTGTGTCTTTTTGGTTGAAGAGTGAGTGTTTGTGAGTGTGAGCGAATGAGTGAGCGAACATCGAGAGATGAAGAGACATTAGACAACACTATAACACATATATATTTTTTCTGTGAGACTAAAGAGTATTGCAAGAAAGATTGTCGGTTTTTTTCTCATTTCGCTGCGTCTTTTCGTTCGCACGTTCGGTTTTGCAAGAAAAAAGTGGAAATCCGGTCGAAAAGTTTGAGGAAACAATTAAAAATCTCTCAAAAACAGTGGAATAAAATTTTCTAGAATTTTGTAAGAAAGGGATATAAAAGTTTAGCGTGAAAATTTAAATACACTGTCTAAAACGAAAAAGTTAGATTCTCACCCGAAAAAAATCATGAAAACTCATCAGAAACGTACGAAAATGAAAGCCACTATAAAACTATAACAAGAAAATCACAAACCCAATTAGTCTATCAATTGAAAAACGTTTTCTTGGTTGAAACAGAAAATCAAAAAATGAAAAAAAAATAAAAATGTTTGCGCGTCAATTAAAATGCATTGTGTGTGTGCATCACGTAAAATTCCGCGAAACAAAAATTTCAAATTTAATTTTCTAGCAAACAATAAAACATTTCCATTTTTAACCCGGAACGAAAGCAAAACTGAACAGTAAAGTACAACAAATGATTTTCAAAAAGAACGATAATAAAGTTTATGCAAATATTCGATTTTTCAAAAATCGACAAAAATGCAAATTCCTTGCCAAAAAGAAAAAATGTAAATAAACAGAGAGAAAAATGGAAACTGATTGATGTTATTATTCACCAATCTATTCAAATACCTCATAATACCTTGAAATCTTCACAAATCCGTCTTTTTCACTTTTTCTTTTTTTCAGTAAAAAATCAATTTTATTTTTATTTTTTGAAATAAATTTTTTTTTAAAAATCAAAAATTTCTGGAGAAAAATTTGCTACAAAAAAAATTTTATGAATCACGCATTCTTTCTTTTTTTGTCAAACAAACAATACATGTGTTTGTTCGCCCGGTTTGTATCCCGAAAAAATGTTGGCACAGATGGTTTCCGGCAAAAAACAATAATTCAAATGAAAATTTGAAAAGGGGAACAAAAATGTTCCCTCCTAGAATATGGCTTCACGGCTTTTTCATTGATCAAAACAACAACATCATCATTTTCATTTCTTTTTTTATTCTAGTTATATGAGTGACCAAACAAAGGATAAAAAGCGGAGACTTTCGAGAAAAAATATATCCGAAGATATTCTTCCAACCCAATTCGAATATGAAAATCAATATGTGAAATGGAAAGCGGCTCAACCAATTATACAGTGAGAATTAAACTTTTTTCATAAATTAAACCTCCCTTATTTTCAGCATTGAATTCTCTGTAGATGAATCTGGATATATTTATTGGTTCTGGTCATTTTTGATAACTTGCGGATGTTTATATAACATTGTAATTCTGTCAGTTTTAGCATTTGAGAATGTTCGAGCATCTTATTTTCAAACTTGCATTCCGCTCAACACATTTTTTGATATTTTGTTTTTGATTGATATTATTGTGAGATCTAGATTGAGTTTTTATGAGGAAGGCGTTTTGCAAACTGAATACGTGGATACAAGTCGCAATTATTTTCAAAGGTGAGCTGAGTTTTGAAATACCATTTTTCAGTTTTTTTTTTTGGAAAGTTTGGAATTTTTCTTTTGAAAACTCAGATTTTCCAACTCTCCAAAATAATTTCCAATTTTTTTCAGTATTTATTTCGGTCTTGACATTCTTGCCATAATCCCATTTGATATTGTTTTCATAAGTCGAACAAGTTCTGCATTTTGTCGATTGAACCGATTTCTGAAACTCTACCGAATCGCAGATTTTATTGCACAATCCTATGGAAAACTTGGTCAAGTAACAATTTCGCTCACAAAAATCATTGTCTCTTGTTTTCTACTTTTCCACTGCAACGCCTGTATTTTCTATATCATATCAGTGAACAGCGATGTTTCTGGGTGGGATGGAGTTAACGCAACTTTCGATGATGATGAATTTCTACCCTGGCCTTATGTTCCGGAAAAGATTACTGATACTTATTTAGTTGGATGTGGAAAAGAGGAGGATGATTGTTATAATCAAGATTTTTATTTTGACGAGGAAAGAGAGCAACATTTAGTTGAACTCTATCATTTTTGGAGGGAAGAAAATCGAACAAATATTCTACGATTTTCTGAATTCACAAAAGAGTATACGGTATCGATTTATTGGTCAGCACTTACGATGACAACTTTAGGAGAACAACCACCACCAAATACATCTTTACAAAATTTTTTTGAAGTAATTAACACATTGGCAGGCTTATTGTTGTTTGCCGTAATTATGGGAAGTATTGGTGATTTGGTTGCAAATGCAAATCAAACCAAAACATATTGGCAAACTTTGATGGATGGATTGAAACAATATATGACTTATCGAAGTTTGAATATTGATTTGCAAACAAAAGTTTTGAAATATTGTGAATATGAGATGGCGGAGGAGACGATTTTAAAAGAACACGAAGTTCGAGATGAACTTCCAGCGAAATTATATGGACATGTAACAACTTCAATTATTGGAAAATCATTGCTGAATTCAGCGTTGTTTAGGGTGGATTTGAAAAAAAAAGGAAAAAAACAAGTAGATGATATTTTGTTTTCAGGCATCTGAACGAAGCTTTCTTCAAGAAATCAGCGAATATTTGGAACCTCATTATTTTTGTCCAGGAGATGTTGTTGTGGAAAAAGGTCAACTTTGTTCGGTGAGTACAGGTTTAATTTTTTTGAAAATAATACCTGAATTTTTACGTTTCAAAATTTTGGTTAAATTTTCTGAAAATTTTGAGACAGCGATAAACATTTTGTCGGAAAAAGTGGATTTTTGGAATTTTGGAACTATTTTTTCAAATATATTTTTTTCAGGAAATGTTCATAATAGTATCTGGGCAAATAATTGAAATCACCGACGATGGAGAAATTGAACATTATGAGGGAGAGGTTTTGGGTGAAATGAATATGATTTGGTATGAAAATCATTTGAACAATAACAGACATCGCAATAATTATGTGTCGAATTCGTTCTCACAGGTTTTGAATTTTGAAATTTTTTCTCCTGACAAAATGTTATTTAGATTCATATTTTGACGCGTGACGATTTCCTAAAAGTTCTATCTGTTTATGATTCAAAAATGAAGAAACGAATGTTTGACGTGGCATACCGTAGTCTTCGAGAAAAAGGAGAGATGAATGATCGAAAACGGCGATTATTGGAAAATGAAGATTTGGATGCAACATTTCGAAGATTGTCAAAAGATGCTGATGAAATAACACAAAATCTAAATGTGTTGGAAAAACAATTTGTGGTGAGTGTGGCAGAGAAAGAGAGAGATACAAATATAAAAACGAAAAAAAGACAGTGGGCGATGTGTGCAAGGCTAGTGTAGTGGGGGAATTGTTTGCCTGCCACACACGTGTTGCTGGTTCGAACCCCGGTGTGGTCTGTGATTATACTCTATCTACTGTTCACGTACCGATTGATAGTGAGGATAATCCTTCTATGAGACTTTTTTTCCAGAAATTTGCATCGACTGCCAAACAAAGGGTATTCAAAGCGGAGGTGATAATGTGTAGATTTTTGAAAAAACATCATAAATTGTTTTGATATTTTTTTTGTTTGACATCATAATAAACCGGTTCCCAACCCAACACAACCCAAGAAAATTTTCATGGTCACTATTTAGCAACCCCCAAAAAAAATGTCTCACTCACTCATCAAGAGAAAATGAGAACAATATTGATTCTCTTGATTTTTTTCAAACTATTTTTTGCTGATTATTGTGGAACAGATCAAGTTGCGATTGGAATGGAAGTGCATATTAGTGGAGTGGCAAGATTGTTGTGTGGAAAACCAAATTGTTTTGATAAGAATTATTCGGAATGTCCGGAAAGAGCTGAATCTAGGAAAGGATGTAAGAAAGAGAATGAGTGGATTGGTGGATTTGATGCGACGATTGATGGGAAGTTATACACGATGTGTTGCGAGTTTGAGAATTTGAAGGATTTTGTGAAGCCAAAGTATAAAGAGGTGGGACCAAGTTATAATTTTTTACAAATATAAGTTATGAAAACATAAGGAAATTCTGAAATTCCCTCTCAAAATCATTTCATATTTATCCAGGTCCGTATCCGACGTGGCGAATATTTTGAAGGAGAAGAAAAACAAAACGATGATGGAGATGTGACATCTTTCGATGTCATCAAAGATATTCAAACATATCGGGACGATTCAGGGTTTGTTCTTGCTAGTTTTAAATTTAAGTCCATAATCTGAAATTCAAAACTTTCCAGAAATCCCTACTACAACTTGACTGTTTATAATTTCAATTGTGTTCCGCTGGCTGAACAAACACCTAAATGGGTTCTGAAAACGCATTGGCCATATTTCAAGAAATGATTTTCAGATTGAAGATTGTTCTGAATTTTTTTTATACGGGTGCAGTTTTTTTTTCAATAAGGGTGTTTGATTTTATGTTTGATAAAACTTTCTGTCAATTTTATTTTTTTTTGAAACAAGTCCACAAAAATGTTCAAATTCAAAACTAGAAAATAATTTTCACGAGGTCACGTGTTCTAGAGAACAAAAAAAACAAAAGTATCGAAATGTTCCAGTCAGTTTGTATTTTTAGCCGTCAAGGGTTCGGTAAATAAAAGTTTTTTCATTTGCGGAGTTCAAAATGTCGTCTGTTTTTGAACGTAAGTTTCTCCACTTCAGGAAAAAATCTAGAATACAAATTTGTAGCAACGAGAACGAATATTGACAAATTTCTGGATCGTTTAATGAATATCGGCCGCCTTGGTACTGGTTTTACAACAACTATCGAAGAAACTGAAATCATGGATTTGTGTCATGAGGCAATTCAGATGTTTATGAAACAACCAGTGTTTATCGAAGCAAAACCGCCAATTCAAGTGGTCGGAGATATCCATGGACAATTTGGTGATCTTATGCGTCTCTTCAATTCCTGTGGTTTTCCACCAGAACAAAATTATCTTTTTCTTGGAGATTATATTGATCGCGGACAATTCAGCGTGGAAACTATTCTGCTATTGATTTGTATCAAAATGAAATATCCGGAGAACTTCATCTTACTTCGCGGAAATCATGAGACAAAATTGGTGAATCGAATCTATGGATTCTATGATGATATTAATAAGAGATTTGGAACTCCAAGATTGTATGAATCATTTAGTGATGTATTTCAAGTTATGCCATTGAGTTGTTTGATTGGGAAACGTATACTTTGTATGCACGGCGGGTTATCGAGTGAGTTGCTTAATGCGCAGAGTTTGGATATTTTGGACAAGTTCACTCGCCCGTTCCCTGATCCACCTAATCCATCACTTGGTATTGATTTACTTTGGTCGGATCCAGATGTCAATACGAAAGGTTTCAAGCAAAATATCAGGTTTGTTAAAAGGGCTGGAACTTTCTGAAGGAAAATATTTATTCATCTCTGATTTTGAAATATTTCCGGTCAACATTGAATGAAATAGGAAGTTGTTTTTTGATTTTCAAGCTTCCGAGTTATAAAAAACCAAATTTTCTGATAAACATTTTTTGGAATCCCGAAAAAATGTTTCAAAAAATGAGAAAACCACGTGGCACATTTCAATTTTCAGAAAAATTCCCGGAAATTTTCTAACAAAATTCATAATAAATTTTATTTTCAGAGGATGCAGTTGCACATTCGGTCCAGAAATTGTCACCCAAATCTGCGAAAAATTCAAGCTCGACCTAATCGTTCGCGCTCATCAAGTCGTCCAAGATGGCTACGAATTTTTCGCCAACAAAAAACTCGTCACCCTATTCTCGGCTCCTCATTATTGCGGACAATTTGACAATGCGGCTGCGGTTATGAAAATTGATGAGAATATGGTGTGCTCTTTCAAAATTCTTCGCCCCGAATTCCCAAATCAGAAACCAACTCAATGTGCCAGCACAATCACAATTCTCGCTCCTCCACCACCATCTTCATAATCTTTTTTTTTGTGCCATGAAATGAAATGAAAAAAAATATTTTTTGATTTTTATTTTTGTTTTTTATTACCACCAACTCTTCACGAAAAAAAATATTACACTTTTTTTTGTCAAAAACAACAAAGTTAGGATATTTTTGTCTATCCCAAAGCTCCGCCCAATTATTTTTGGTGATTTTTCCGTCTTGAGGGGATGCTTAATCTAATGCTATCATTGCGATTTGTATAATTTTTTTTTGGATTAGATGGATATTTTTATTTTCATGTTTTTGCGAGAATGTTGCCTTTTTCTTTAAAAAAATGATTTTTTTCAGGAAAAGGAACTTTTAGAAGCCGAAAAGTATAAGAGTATCAAAAAATTAGTTAAAAAATGTAATAAATTTCTAATACCTTGAAGGAACGTACAGTACCTTTGGCGAAATTGTAGAGATCCAAACAAAGTGTATGTCCCTTTAAAGCCCTGTAGCTTTGGGTTACTGTATGCAAGATTTAAATGAAGCTGAGACCATTTGAATTTTCAATTTTTCCGCGAAAAATCCCGGTAACAATTTACATTAACATTGTAAAATCCTTTCGGGCCTTTCAAGTCATTTTTTTTAAATCCCTTTATTTTCTCTGAAACTCTCCAAAAAAGCCAATTTTTTTGCGTGCAGTTCTGAACTTTATTTTTTTTTTCATCAAAAAATATTATCAACAATTAGCTTGATTCACCCTTGAGAATTCTTCGGAAAAGCATATTTCAAGTTCTTTTTTATCATCATTTTTTCATAATACATACATATATATATATATTTTTTTTTTGAAAACGGAAACGATCATTTCCCATTTTTTGATTGAAAACTTGCGTCATTTAGAAAGGAAATTGCATGAACTTTTTCCCAGTCATTTTTTGAGTCACTCTATCACATTCTGTAGGTCTTCCGTTGAAAACAACAGCAACTTGATGACGAGCAGAAAACCTCCAATTCTCTCATCTCGTTATAAAATATCACACTTCATTTCATTTGGCTCTAATTAGTGCACATACAATTTTGAATCGATTACTTTTTTATTTTCATTTTTTTTCTCAAAAATATATTTTCTCCTGAATTCTTTGTGTTTTTTTTTTGCAGTTGTATGTATGGGCTGTACTCCGTCAGTTCCAACAACATCTCCTGATGAAAGTTTATCGGATAAATTCGGACCGCCGCCACCGATTCCGGTTGAAATCGGCAGCGGAATTCGACACAATCTCAATCACGATGTTATTATTGTTTTCATTTTTGGTGAGTTTCTCATCGTTTTTTTTTGAAATTTGGATTATTACGTCAGAAGGATTAGAAATCCTCGTATTTTTTTTGGTTGTGTTTTATTTTTGCTGGCTGTTGTGAAAGAAAAAGTGTGGCGGAGGGAAGGAAATACATATTAGTCGAGTGGATTTTTTGAAGAAGGAGGAATAAAAATGTGGAAATGTGGAAATAAATAGAAAACTTTGGAAAATGAGGAAAAAATTGTGAATTTTTTCATGCGAAACCTGATTTTTTATTTCAAAAATTAGCTTGAGGAGAGTCTTCGAGGATTTGAATCGGGTCCAAAAAGTATTCCCAGGGTTTCCGTTTTCCAAGAAGTAAAAAAGCCAAGCCTTAGTTAGGCGCAGTCTAGCCTGTCAGTATATATCTCCCAAATATTTTTTCCAGGAGGACCAGCTTCTCGAAAAGGTCTAATAATCCAAGAACTCACACGATCTTTCAATTTTACATCAATAGCTGTAGAAGATATTGTATTTAATTATTTGCCAACTCGTGTTGGTAACACTGTAGATTCAATTGGTGAAATTCAGGAAGCATTGAAGGTAGGTATTGAAGTGAGAGATCAAATTATCTTAAATTGTTCCAGAGAGACAATGGGCTGCTAACGTTAGATTGGATTTTTTCGATGATTAGTGGTAGATTGTCAACATCAATGCATCAAAGATTTGTCATAGGTTTGGTTGTTTTCAAATTTTTTTTCAAATACAATTTTCCGTTTAGATATTGTTCCGACTTTATCATCAATCATGAAAGCTGAAAGTTTTCGACAAAGAAATCATGACAGAAGTTTGGAGCAATTCGAGAGAAGAGTGAGTTATCCATTTTTCCAATTTCCGAAAATTTGCCGGAAATTGTTGATATTTTTAGCATCCTATTGCATTTGCGTTGGAGATAAATGTGGCTGATGAACGAACACTTTTGACATCGAGAGATGGTGGGAGACCTAATCAAAATAGTAAGAGACGTTTTCGCAGAATTTCTCATTCGAGATTTTTTTTGAGAAAAACAATTCATATTTCATTTTCAAAAAAAATTAGGAAGGTGTTTTATCCTTTCAAACTTTCCAAAACGATTTTTACAGATAGAGAAAACAACAACCACAACAATAATAACAGTGGAAATGGCGCTGAAAATCCAGAGCTGACCAATTATCGAAATACAATAGAAGATTATGATCGAGGAAGATTAGAGAAACGCCTCGAAGACTATCATAATTGTTCGATCCCATTTATTAGATATTTTCAAAAATCTAGAAGAGTTGTAAAATTATCCGTAAAAACTGATGCATTTTCCAATCTTGTTCCAACTGCCAAAGATATTTTTATGGATTTCGGGTTCACTTTGACAAGAAGGGATGAGCATATTTTAGTGTTTTCTACAGGTTTGATTCTGAATTTTTTATTTTTTATTTCAAATGAAGACGAATTTTTTCTTTAGAAACAACGCATGAAGATATCGATTTGAGTTACTACAAATTAAAAGTTGTAAATGCTTCAGAATTATGTAAAGCGAGTGATGAATTGAGTACACAAATCGCGGCGGTTTACAAATATATTACCTCACATTCCCGCCACGATGACAATTTTCTGGTGATAGTTCCCAATTTCAATTATCAGGATCCAAAGAGTAATAAAAGAATCAATTTCATGGAAAAAAAGAAGGAAGTTTATCTCGACGAATTTATTTCTAATAAACAACATGATAAGCAGCCAAAGGAGAGGTGAGAACATTTTTTTTTGAGAAAAATCTGACAAAATAATTTTTTGAAGAATCCCGGTGTCTGTCAATTGTATATCCTCATCTCGCCAAACTTTTTTATTTTTCGAGCCATTTCCAACGAGTTTAGCACAAACTATTTCACTTTTATATAATCGAATTGTGAGTTTAGATTATTATTATTGAAGGAACTTCTCAAAAAATCTTCTCAAATTTAGAAAGACAATCCATCTTCAACGAAAGAAAGTTGACGGGTTGGCGTCACGTCAGAAAAAGTCAAATCCTCCTCTGCAACACCATCAAAATCCAAAACTAATGGAAATCCTGTTCCACCAGCCGAACCACCTGGATTGGTTCCATCTACATCAACTTCGGAAAATTCGGAAATCAGAAGACCAGCTCGATCGGTTTCCGCTTTATCGAATCATCCATCGCCACAACAAACTATTGGATTCAGGAGTAAGTATCGGAAAAATCTCGATATTAATTGATATGACTTTTTTGACGTCGACGCCTTTTTGTACAAATGATCTACGTGGAAATGTTATCTGTTTAACATTTTTATGTAAATTATTGGTTTCGTAAATAATTTCAAAACTTTCTGTGATCTTCAAAAAACCTTTTTATTATTATTATGTATATTAATTAATAAAATATGTTCGTATTTTCAGATTTTGTTTCCTAATTTTAATTAAAAGACACTTAGAAAGCTAGAAATGTGAGTTCGTAATCGCGAAAAATTGAACGCGCTCTTTTTCAAACTTGTATGATGTTCGTTTGAAAAAAAAATGTTTTCGCTTTTTTTGCGTTAAAAAGTGGTATTTTTCAGTCGAAAAGGGTGTCACATCATGTCAGCCCAATGAAAATTGGCAATCGGTGAGAGTGAAGAAGACTTAGAGAAAAATAGATCAAAGGTACATTAAAAATTTGTGGGTCTGAAAATCCATAATTTTTGAAATTGCGGTTGCTAACCATATTTTGTTTCAAAAAAATTGAGGATGACTTTTAGTCGCTTGGCACACTGAAAGTTCAAAAATGAATTCTCAAAAATTAAGCTGAAGCCTATTTCTAATTTTCACAAATCCTAGACCCGCAAATGTAAATCGCTGTAGATCACGCGCGATTTCAATATCTTTTCGTCTCTTTCACTCTCACCGATTGCTGTTTGACATGTTGTGGTGTTTTCACCTCGCCAAAAATTTCAAAACCCACACCGCACAATTATTCCTAACTATTAGTTTACTTCTTATTATTAGGCAGTTTACAACGGGTTAGATTTTGAAGAGTTAGACTAACTTTTTTTCAATTTTTAAAGATTTTTTCATAAATTTCATATATTTTTCAAATTTTACAGAATTTTTAATCGATTTTTTCAATTTTTCCAAAATCCCTCCCCAAAAAACTCACCAATCGCTTCTATTTCTCTAATCACACAAAATTCATCGAAAATCCCTATCACAATCCTTGATAAATCCGAAACCCTCCAAGTTTTCCACGTTATTAACATTGAAATCCAATTTTCCATCAATTTTTCAAGCTGAAAATCAGAAAATTTGAATTTTTCATTAACGTGTACGCGTTTTGTTGTTTTTTTATTCAAGGATCACATAAAAACATATACAAAATATCCCAACCTTCAAAGGAAAAATATGCTTTGAAAAAATCCGCAAACACGCTGAAAAAAAACTGATTGCACTAAACAGCAAACACTACGCGCAAACCATACAGTACTTCCCGGGAAAAGTGTAAAGGGAACCCCCTGGGGTTTTTAAAGGGAACCCTGGCATTTCCCCTACAAATTGTAATCTCGGGAACCCTGAGAATCTCACAAACTTCATTTTTCGGGCGGAGAATACTAGTTTTGACACAAAAATAAAAAATTAATTGAATTTGTTGATTTTTACAACGACACTCCGCGCTTGCCCGCTGTTTAGCGCAACACGAGAATATTTTCATTTTTTGTTTTTTTTCGCTGGGTTTTCAGGTTTACGGGGAAAATTAGTGAATTTCAGTCAAAAATTGAATTTTTAGATGTTCTACAGGTCTGCAATCATCGTTTCCAACGGAAAATACGAGGATTATTGAAGAAACGTGGGTTTTTTCTAGAGAAACACTGTTTCAATTGAAATTTTTTATTTTATGTAAGAAAATTTTCTGATTTTCAGCTTGAAATATTGATGGACAATTGGATTTCAATGTCAATAACGTGGAAAACTTGGAGGATTTCGGATATATTAAGGATTGTGATTGGGATTTTCGATGAATTTTGTGTGATTAGAGAAATAGAAGCGATTGGTGAGTTTTTTGGGGAGGGATTTCGGAAAAATTGAAAAAATCGATTAAAAATTCTGTAAAATTGGGAAAATATATGAAATTTATGAAAAAAATCTTTAAAAATTGAAAAAAGTTAGGCTAACTCTTCAAAATCTAACCCGTTGTAAACTGCCTAAAAATAAGAAGTAAACTGATCGTTAGAATTAATTGTGCAATTGAAGAAGATGTTGATGAATAGACAGAAAATTTCAATTTTGCAAAACTCCCGGAATTATTGTTGAAATTCTTTGTTGCAACATTCATTGATTGACCGAGTACTTCGGATCCGATAGTAAATAAGACATCTAACAGACAAAGATGGCACCCATGTTATAACCTCGAAGTATACAGAAGAAAACAATTCCATTATACAAATTACTTAATTAATTAAATTTTCATTATTAGATCAAATTAATAAAATGCTATGAAACATGCAAATAATGTTTTTCGAACGATTTCTAGCTTTCTAGGTGTCTTTGGGTTCATCTTGATAGCTTTCATATAACTTATAGAAGCAACGCTTCTTCCAGAAGAAATCATTAAAAGGCTGTATTTTGGGACGAATATGATCAGAATATACGTTCCTAATCGCATCAACAGTTTCTCGATCAATTGGATTTGCTCGATGAATGTTATTAAATCTATTCTTGAAAATTCTCCGAATAGCGGGAAATCGTTCATCCAAAAATTTGATAGCTGGTGGGAAATTATGCTCATAATACAACTCGCTATCCAGACTCAGCTTTTTGTTCTCCTCTTTGAATTCAAAGTATTCTTCTGGGGTGGCAAATTCGAGTTCTTCTAAATTCCTCTTACTATAATGTTTCCATGGTCCTGGAGGAGGAAATCCAAGAGCAGCGCGCATTTCACTATTCGCAATTACATCTACAGCTTTATTCATCAGAAGATTAACAAAGCAATTCGTGAAATGGAAGCCCGTTAGATTTCCTCCTAGTTCTATGAAATCTCTTCTAGATAGGCACGAGGTATTGAATTGAGCGATTTCTTGGTCCATGTCGAAAAGGGAGGATGATGAAGTTTCGGAAGTAGATGCATTTAAACTATTTAGAGACTCGCCAGTTGTATCTGAAAAAATTTACACATGAGTTCATAGGACCGATGATCGATTTTTGGATATTTCCACAAATTTCAGAAAATCCATTTTTTTGAGTCTCAATTTGTTTTTCATGTCTACAAGAGGAAACTACGTACTGTAGTTTCGAGGTACTGTACGAGGTACTGTATGACCCTTTATACTACAGTAGAAAGGGCATACACTCCTACACTCGAGCCAAAAACGCTCGGGAGCACACAGTACCCCGAGCGCCTCTGGCGCGAGTGTAGAACAAAGCGTAAGCGACTCGAGCGAAGCGAGTGTACTTATGTTCCTTTAAAAAACTGTAGAGTAGCCCAGATACAGTATATATTTCAAAGGGACATATACTCGCATCACTCGAGCCGCTTTCGTTTTTTGTTTGCAAACTGAGAATAAAAATAAAAATACCTGCATTCGAATGTATTGCAAAGAAGCATAGACAAATGATGATTATTTTCCACATTATTTCTTCGACTGAATAATATCTCTCCAAATGTATTTGAAAAAGTTTTAATAAGTTTCAATGTTTAGAGATAATTGAAAGGATAATAAAATAACCTATATATTTCTGGTTTCTTTTTTCGACGGAAAAAAAGTGAACATTTCTTACGATTAGATAGAAACGTTTACGTACATGATAAACATTTTTGGCATACCTCACCCAGGAACCTGCCAATTTTTTTCTCGAAAAATCTCCCATGTAGCAGGGATAGATTGAAACCGAGGTTTAAATCTAGGCCTATCCATCACCGCTCTATCTACCTAATCGTAAGAAATGTTCATTTTTTCCCATCGAAAAAGAAACCAGAAATATATAGGTTATTTTATTATCCTTTCAATTATCTCTAAACATTGAAAATTATTTGAACTTTTTCAAATACATTTGAAGAGATATTATTCGAAGGCCTTTTATTTATTATAATATTCCTTTTTAATGTTGAAAACAACTTTTGTTTTCTCATAGCAAATATAATATATAAGTATTTTCAGTCGGAGAAATAATGTGGAAAATAATCATCATTTGTCTATGCTTCTTTGCAATACATTCGAATGCAGGTATCATTATCTTTATTCTCAGTTTGCAAACAAAAATTGAAAGCGGCTTGAGCGAAGCGAGTGTATGTCCCTTTGAAATATATACTGCATCTGTGGGCTACTCTACAGTTTTTTAAAGGAACATACACTCGCTTCGCTCGAGTCGCTTACGCGTTTGTTCTACACTCGCGCCAGAGGCGCTTGGGGTAATGTGTGCTCCAGAGCGCTTTTGGCTCGAGTGTAGGAGTGTATGCCCTTTCTACTGTAGTATAAAGGGTCATACAGTACCTCGAAACTACAGTACGTAGTTTCCTCTTGTAGACACGATAAACAAATTGAGATTCAAAAAAATGGATTTTCTGAAATTTGAAAATGTCCAAAAATCGATCATTGGTCCTATCATACCCATGTGTAAATTTTTTTCAGATACAACTGGCGAGTCTCTAAATAGTTTAAATGTATCTACTTCCGAGACTTCATCATCCTCTTTCGACATGGACCAAGCAATCGCTCAATTCAATACCTCGTGCCTATCTAGAAGAGATTTCATAGAACTAGGAGGAAATATAACGGGCTTCCTTCACACGATTTGCTTTGTTGCTCTTCTGATGAATAAAGCTGTAGATGTAATTGCAAATAGTGAAATGCGCGCTGCTCTCGGATTTCCTCCTGCAGGACCATGGAAACATTATAGGAAGCGGAATTTAGAAGAACTCGAATTTGCCACCCCAGAAGAATACTTTGAATTCAAAGAGGAGACCAAAAAGCTGAGTCTGGATAGCGAGTTGTATTATGAGCATAATTTCCCACCAGCTATCAAATTTTTGGATCAACGATTTCCCGCTATTCGAAGAATTTTCAAGAATAGATTTAATAACATTCATCGAGCAAATCCAATTGATCGAGAAACTGTTGATGCGATTAGGAACGAATATGCTGATCATATTCGTCCCAAAATACAGCCATTTAATGATTTCTTCTGGAATATACGTTGCTTCAATAAGTTATATGAAAACTATCAAGATGAACCCAAAGACATCTAGAAAGCTAGAAATCGTTCGAAAAACATTATTTGCATGTTTCATAACATTCAAAATCGAAAAATATTGAGTTTAGCGAAAGCCAAAAAAAGTCCTTTTTGAAAATCGCTCAGCTTTACACAAATATTTGTGATTTTGCATACCGTATTTCCCATTTATACTTATTTATTCATTTCTTTTTTCAAACGAACATCACACCAGTTTGAAAAAGTGCGCGCGTTCAAATTTTCACGATTACGAACACACATTTCTAGCTTTCTAAGTGTCTTAATTAAGTAACAAAATTTTAATTAATAATAAAAATTTAATTAATAAAGTAATTTGTATAATGGATTTGTTGTCTTCTGTATACGTCAAGATTATAAGGCTTATTTACTATCGGATCCGAAGTACTCGGTCAATCTATGAATGTTGCAACAAAGAATTTCAACAATAATTCCGGGAGTTTTGCAAAATTGAAATTTTCCGTCTATTCATCAACATCTTCTTCAATTGCACAATTATTTCTAACTATTAGTTTACTTCTTATTTTTAGGCAGTTTACAACGGGTTTATAGAAAAAAAATGATATACATAATAAGAATAAAAGGTTTTTTGAAGATTTGAATTTTTATTTGGAATGTTATAAATTCACCGGCACATAAAAATAGTGAGATCAAAGAGAAAAAAAAGGGGTAATTCACATGAAATCGAAAATAAATGGGGTGAATAAAATAACTTCCCAAATTTTTAAAAGACCTAAATCCCGCAAGAGACCTGGTCAGTTGGAGGTTTTGACAAAGAGATGAGAAAGAGTGTGCGAGAATCTGGCCGTAAGTGTTCATGATAAAAGCAATGCGTTCAAACCATTAATCAATATTCTGAACGATTGCACTGAAGAATTCATTTCAATGAGGTGACGAAAACCGAAATTCAGGTTTTTGTTGAATTTTTTCAACGAAAACCGAAATTTAGGTTTTTGTTGAATTTTTTCAACGAAAACCACTTGTTTAGCTAGTTTATCTGAAAAACTCAAAACTTCATGTTAAATTCAACAAATTCATTGAATAGCAAAAAATATTTAAAAAATACATAATAACAACTATTCGTAAGGACAGTCGTCATTAAAATGAGCCAAACTATGAATCGCAGGAGTCATTTCGGTAAGAATATGATCAACATATTCGTTCCAAAATGCATCAATAGTTTCTCGATCAATTGGATTTGCTCGATGAATGTTGTTAAATTTATGCTTGAAAATCTTTCGAAAAGCGGGAAATCGTTCATCCAAAAATTTGATAACTGGTGGGAAATTCTTCTCCATAACATATGCGCTATCAAGACTAAGATCTTTGGTCTCCTCTCTGAATTCAAAGTATTCTTCTGGGGTGGCAAATTCGAGTTCTTCTAAATTCCGCTTCTTATAATGTTTCCATGGTCCTCGAGGAGGAAATCCGAGAGCAGCGCGCATTTCACTGTACGCAATTAAATTTACACCGTTCTCGATTAAAAAAGGAATTGAACATAATGCAAAGAATGGTCCAATTGTATTTCCTAAGATTTCTCGGTGATCTTTTGAATATAGACACGAGCTAGCAATTTCGGCGATATCCTTGTCCATATCGAAGGATGAGTATGATGAAGTCACATTCGGAAGAACAGTAGGTACTCTAGAGATCGGAGAGTCAGTGCTGTCTGAAAACTAATTTTTTTTTCGAATTGAAAGGATGAGGATTTTAGTTGGTCAACGACTTGACTAAAGTCGATAAGAGAAAATTAACGAGGTAGATAAGGATTTTCTTAGAGGTTTTTCTGCCAACGATGTTTTTGTTGCAAACTGCTAATAAAAATAATGATACCTGCATTCGAATGTATTGCAAAGAAGCATAGACAAATGATGATTATTTTCCACATTATTTCTCCGACTGAAAATACTTATATATTATATTTGTTATTAGAAGACAAAAGTTGTTTTCAAAATTAAAAAAGTATATGATAATAAACAAAAGGTCTTCGAATAATATCTCTCAAAATGTATTTGAAAAAGTTCAAATAATTTTCAATGTTTAGAGATAATTGAAAGGATAATAAAATAACCTATATATTTCTGGTTTCTTTTTTCGACGGAAAAATATTTCTTACGATTAGATAGAAACGTTTACGTACATGATAAACAGTTTCGACATACCTCACCCAGGAACCTGCCTAATTTTTTCTCGAAAAATCTCCTACGTAGCGGGGATAGATTGAAAGCGAGGTTTAAATCTAAGCCTATCCATCACCGCTTTCCGGTTTACACTTCCGCCAGATGCGCTTGTAGGCTTGAGAGCGCTCGGGGTACTGTAAACGTCCAGAACATACAGTACCTCGCATCTGGCGCGAGTGTAGATCAAAATTCCACGAAAGCGGCCCGAACAAAGAAAATTTTGAGCTGAAAATTCGATTACGAATTTCCTTGGTTTCCTTTTCGCTAACAAAACTTTCTGTGATCTTCAAAAAACCTTTTTATTCTTATTATGTATATCATTATTTTCTCTTTTCTATAAACCCGTTGTAAACTGCCTAAAAATAAGAAGTAAACTAAAAGTTAGAAATAATTGTGCAATTGAAGAAGATGTTGATGAATAGACGGAAAATTTTAATTTTGCAAAACTCCCGGAATTATTGTTGAAATTCTTTGTTGCAACATTCATAGATTGACCGACTGCTCGAGATTTACTCCCATTTTGATCGCCAGTTATTCTGAAAATGGAACATTTTAGGAAATAATTTTTTACTGGGGGGAAAACTTACACAATACTTGAAGTTTTCTGGTTTTCTGAATCTATTACACTTATATCAAGTTGACCTTTGGATGTTATTTGAACTTCTTCAATTGATACTTCGAACTTCATTGATTTTTGTGCAGCTGAAAAATTGTAGTTTTTGTGCAAGATATTTCTTTTACAAGATTATTTTGAGCTTACTGTAGGTAACATTAATATCGTTCAAATTTTCTGGATCCAAATAACTCGGCGAAAAAATATATCCCGTTTGACTTTCCTGAACATCATAATAAGAATCAACAAGTAAACTTCGAAGTGTGAGTTGTAAACTACAATGTTCAACGATTATCGAGAAAAATTTTGCGGGGAAAAGTTGCGGGAGAATATATGGATTATTGGAAGATGGTGAAAAATCAAAAAGTTCTTTTGAATTTGAAGTCGGAGGTCCAGTGATGGCTTTGGCAGTGCAAGCTGGATCCCCGTTTCCCTTCAAAAAAAAATTAGATTATTTTTGAACTCACATTCAGATCTTTTCCTTACTTACCAAATCTGTGAAATGCAATGAGTTGAGAAGAAGAACATCACTATTTTTCGCCAAAAATGTTACAGCTGTATTTTGTTTACTTGAAGAAATACTTATTGTTCCTGAAGTTATTGCAACTGTAACACCGGCAAGTTTATCGAAACTTGAAACATCAGATTTTCTATGGAAAATCAGCGAAGACATTGATGTTTGATTATCAAGTCCGATGATTGTCAAAAAATTGGATGTTGATACAAAATTCTGTCCTCGAATAAAATCATCCATTCTTGAAACATTCTGATAGTTTGTCAAGTTTCCGTCAAAAATGAAAAATAGAGTGAAGTCATCAGAAATGTAACCACTTCGACCAACTGTTGCAATAATCTTTAGAAACATCAGAATTTGAAGTTTTATTTTTTTTGTCATGAGAAAATTAAATACCTGTTCAGAACTTGTAATTGTGATTGGATTTTGTCGAATATCATTTAATTCCACATAATTCAAATGACCATTTGACTTCATTTCCAGAGTTGAAGGTTTTGTGTCTATCAAAATTTTGTACATTTTTTTCGACAAAAAATTATTACTCACAACTTGTATAATCTATTTTTATCAAAATTTTCGAACTGTTCGTTGACGTAGAGACTTGTAATTTAGAATTTGAAACTAGAAAATATTCCGATGATCTACTAGATTCGCTGGAAAATTTTTGAGAATTCGTTTCCAAAATAAAATTCTGAACTTACCCCACAATTTTCGTAAAATGCCCAATTCCATCGTCAAGTTGTATAAAATCAGTTTCTTCTAAATCATTCAAAATTGTGACTTTTACCCAGAGCCCAATTTTGATTGGAATTTCATAAATACATGAAAAATTGGCTGGTAAAGATACGGTATTATCGGATTGATGTGGAAGGTATACTGTAGATCCATCGGTTTCGAGGTTTTTGCTGTATTGGGAGCAACCTGGATTTTGTTAGGAAGGAGTTTTGGAAACGGGAACTTTTTGAATATGAATCGGACCATCAAAAAAGGAATTGGACTATTTTTGAAAATGTATCTTTTTAAACCAGGGATACCTAGAATTCGGTCACCCTGATTCAATTCAGAAATCCTAGGGTCCCAATTTCTCAAGTCCAATTCAAAAATTCAGATTTTCCAACTCACCAACACTCAATGTTTTCGCCTCAACAACTCCTCCAAAAAAACTCAAAACCAAAATCGAAATTAGAATCAACATCATAATTTGTTTGAGTGTGTCGTCTTGTGTTTACCCAACGGAAAAACGCTGTGAATTTTATAGTGTTCTCCTTATCAAACCCCTCACTTTTCTTGGCTGATTCATTTTTTGAAAAGCGAGAAAAAAAGAGGTCAAAGGAATAATTTTTATTTGGAAAATTGAAAAAAATGGAGAACAAACACCTTAGGAAGCATAGATTTTTGATTTACAAGAATGGTATATTATTGCGCGAGATCAAAAGGAAACGGGGGCTAAAAACGGGAAGGGGGAAGGTGATGACTAGATTCACACTCAGCAAAGGAAAAATACATATCAAAATTATGAATAAAATAAAAAAAAATCAATAAATTAATGAATAAGTGTTCGTTTTAAGACCCAAAGTAATATTTGAGCTAAAAATACTTTTTTGGTAGGTATATCACAAGTTATTGAGAAGAATATCATCTGCAACTCCTTCATCCACGTCTTCTTCTTCCACCTCTTCTTCTTCGATTTTTGGTTCAAGCAATGAGTCTTCTAGAAATGGACTCATACTGCTGAAATCTTCTGATGACTCGTCAAGATTTGATGTGCTATACATTCTAGGCTTCATATCTTCTTGACGAGTTTCGTGACCGCGGCGGCGAGCATTCATGAAAAAGTTGGCAACCTGGAAAAAAAGCGGGTTGAGTTGAACTCCTGAATTCTGATAGGAATTAGAGGCTCCTTGAATGTTTCACTTCAAAAATATTTCTAATGTGAGTTTTTCAAGCAGTTGGAACAAAGCTTAAACAATTCTCGTTTTTTCAAAAAGAATTTTAAAACTCCCTGAAATTGTCACTTACGGTGGTAGAATCTAGATTCAGTTGCTGACTGATTGTAAGTTGCATTTCTCTCGATGGTCTTTTCGTTTCTTTAAAAATTGCTTGCAAAGTTCGTCTCTGAATATCCGTAAAAACTAATCGCGGCTTTTTCGGAATCGACGGTGAACACGTCGACATCGGAACATCATCTTTCCGTTTACACGCCGCCAATCTCAAATCAGACATTCTCTTGAATTCCGGTTCTTGCAACCATTTTGCCATTCTTCGAAAAGTTTCTCTTCCCGATTTCAGTTTCGACCAAGGTTTTGGATTTCGCAATAAATCTGAGAGTGTTCCTTGCGATCGACATAAAACACGCTGGGCGAAAATCGCTTGGGGAATTGAATATCTTTTGAGTTCGGATGCTATTTGAATTGCCAATTCTTTGGTGTTCAATTCTTCACCGTCATCATCGATATCTTCTTCGCTTGCAAACGCGGGCGAGACTCTTGTTAGCTTTTTTGATGTCGATGAAATTGCCTGCAAATACATGTTTTATTATCAAAATGTATTATAAAAAGCAGGCAGGAACAATAATCGAATTATCTATCCAATCAAAATTAAAACTTACATGATCAGAAGTATTATCATCTGAATTAGCAAACGTTGGGAAAGTGAAATCTTTCTCCATTCTTGGCGACGTGTCATACGACGAAACAAAACTCGAAGATGAGAAATGTAGTTGATCCGGTCCAGAACTTCCATAATCGGAAGGTGTAGAAGATTGTGTAGCTCCAACTTCATCACTCTCCTCATCCTCATGTTTGATCTCATATTCATATTTATAAACTCCCTGAGTTCCAGCAGAAGACGAAGTTGAATTGGGGAAAAAATAATTGCTGAAACAAAATTGGAAATGAACATTCATTTTTAATTAAAAATTAAAACAACAAAAAAAACCAACTTGATATTTTTAGTCTGTGGTGACGTGGATTCTCGAGAATATCTGGTTTTCGACGAGGTGACTGTTGAAATTGGTGGAAGAGGTTGGAGATTTGTCAATGTTGCGTAGTTTCTGAAATTCACAATTTTTAATCAGATCTAGGAGAACCCCGTAATTTTAATGACACCCTTCTGCTGCCTTTTTTTCTGAATAGAGCAGGTGGTCGAGTAGGAAAAACAGAGAGACGCAGAGAAAGTCTAATTATTCAAAACCCATTTTTCATCCATCCATGAAAGAGTGTGCTAATGAAGTAGTTTAGTTTACCTGGGGCTCTACCAAAAAAAAATGTATGCTCAACTACAACTCAACTCACACTTCGGTACATAACTTGAGAAATTGTGGTTCGTACATCGTACATATATGTATGCTTTTTTCTCAAACCAGCCGAGAAAAAAAATACAAAAAGAAATAGAAGAAGAAAATTATATTTATGCGAGCTGCGTCGAATCAATTAAATATTCGTCGATGGAAGAAGACGAACAAAATATAACCATTTGGGCGAAAAAAGATTTTATATCGAATTTTTGTCGTCGCTGGTTTTGGACAGCGAATGATGTAGAAGAAAAAATAGAAGACGATGGGAAAGCAGACGACGGAAAACAGTATAATTTTTATATCATATTTTTTTTTGGCGTGTTGTGTGATTGGAATGTGAATGTTATGAACGGGGGAATTTTTGGGAAGAAGGGGGAATGAGATTTTAAAAAAATTTAAAAATAAAAAAATCGGACCCGATTTTGAGGCCAGAAAGGAATGTTTGAGAAATATTCAAAATCGGACCACTTTTTCAAACTTATCCAATTTTCCATCAAAAACCAGAAATCATCGATTTTTGGACAAAAACACGCATTTTTCACAACGACACTCCGCTGAATGACGGTTTGCCTGTTGTTTATCGCATTTTTTGGAGTATTTAGAGAAAGTGGTCCCCTTTTCTGGCTGGCTTCAAAAATTTTCTGTCAAAAACTGGACCTGGCCGATTTTTTTCAAAATGAAAAATAAACTTTTAAAAATACCTGGCGTGAAAAAGAGAGGAAAATTTGACGTGAAAAATTAAAAATTCATTTTCAAAATTCAGAAATTTCAGATTTCTCACAAAAAATCTGAAAATCACATTTTCAAGTTTTTCTGAACTTGAAGCTTTTCAAAATTAGAATTTTTTCAAATCTCAAAGAAGTCCAAAATCTCTTTGTTCTACCTCACCATTGTCTCCTACAGTACCCCCTCCCCTACGAAGATTTATTTTTTAATTAAAAAATCCAACAAAGAGCAATTTCAGAGATTTTTGGAATTTATAGCCCTTTGAATAAATCTCCAAAATTTTTCATTATTCCTCCTACAAAAATCCAATCTTGACACCATCCTATCCTATCCAATTAATTCGTTCATTCGCCCACTCACAACACAACAATTCCATTAAAGACTCGCCTCATAAACTGCCACTAATGTTTTTTTGGTTTTGTTTCTGTATCCATGAGCAGATACGCTAATACTTCAAAAATAATTTGGTGACACCCGAGAACTATTCATTCGATTTATTCGATGCCATCTGTCACTTTCTCCCCTTCCCTTTTTCCCTTTGGCCCAAAACCATTATTAGCATATTTTATTTATTTTTGGATGGCAACTTTTTGGCGAAAAAGAGATCAATCTTTTGGTGAAGCGATGAGGAATGAAATTCGAGATACTCTCTACTTTTGTTTGAAATTTAACCCAACCCAAAATTTACAAACAACCTGACTTGAGTAAAGAAAGCCTTACCCATAGATTGCTGAATTCCTCTTGTGACTATCCTGATCTTCATCATCTTCATCATCTCCGATCATCTCAATAAAATCGAATTTCACATTTCGATGTCGTTTTTGTTGCGAAACTCGACGCGATTGTTGTGGAGAAGAAAGTGCGGCTGATAAAAGTGGATCGGAGGAAAGAGCACAACTACCCGTTTCTAATGAATCCATTATGATTTGTGAAGAGGAGAGGAATAATTGGGGGATTTTTTTGGTTGGCTGCAAAAAATTTGGGATATGGATATGGGTAGAAGTCACGCGAGAAAAAATTATTTCGGGAAAAAAGTTTCGCCGTAAAATTTTTGTTGGGTAGCTTTTCCTTTTCTAAATTAAAATTGGAGCCAAAATTTTAGTTAGCGTAACTCGAAAACATCTCAAAATTTCAGACTACAAGCGTTTTCAACTTATCGGCGAGTTACCCTAAATTAGTTTGAAGCCTGAGCTTAACCCAGTTTTCTAGAAAAAAATAATCTTTGATTTCGAAACGACTAGCATTTCATAACCCCGAATTAGTCATCATCATTTTCTTTTTCTAGAAAAAATAGATCAAAACTCATTCATTTTTTTTGCAAAAACTCTCAGCTCAAAGAAAAATCATAATATTATAATTCTAGCTAGACTATAACCAAAAAAAGAGACACAAGAAGAAAATGAAAGTATTCAGTAGTAGAAGGCGAAGAAAAAGAAGAAGGAGAAAAGAGCCAGAAGGAGAAAGCCTTGTGTTGTTTTGAATATCTGCGTCTCTCTTTCGTTTTCTGTTCAGCTTTTCCAAAATTGGCATGTGTGCCAGGAGCCGAAAAAGGGTGGAAATAGGAGGGAGAAGAGTGCGAGAAAAAAGGAGGGGCTTAAAAAGGGGAAAAAGAAAGGGGAGGGGGAAGAGGACATGTGGTCCGCGCGAGAGGAGCAAAAAATGGGGAAATAGTGGAGGGTCCGGAGAAAAATGTGAAAATGAAAGTTTTGAACAAAAAATTTATTCGCGGTAAAAAAGGCAAGTTTAGTGGGTCATTGGGAGTAATTAATTTTAAAATAAACATAAACACGGTTTAGTTCTGTACGAAAAAAAGGCCAAATTTGAGATTTATTCAAAGATTGATGAAACTGAAACCTGAAAAATTTTTCAAATAAAATTGTGTGAATCTCAAAATCAGAATTCTGAAATTCATTCAATTTTTTCTAACTCATTTTTTATCATAATTCCGAAAGATTCAAAAAAAGTCAAGACCTTTTAGAATTTTTTGAAGTATTTGAAGATTCATTTTTTGAGGATCTTTGTAGAACGTTTTTTTCGTGATTTTCAGATCTAATTGTTTCACTTTAAGACTTGCATCAGTTACAATTTCAATGAAAACCTAGATTTATAAGTTTTAATCGTGATTCCCTAATTTTGTTTTAAAAACTCGTCAATAGACCATAATTCTCGTACAGAACCGACGAAACAATAATTATCTTTTCTAGCCGGCAGCTTGTTCGACAACTTGAATGCCATGACGTTTACAAAATTTCAGAAATTTATCCCTTTTCTTGGCGGCTTCGTCGAGGGGAATAGTTTTATATTTTATAGCTTCGTTCACTTCTTTGATCAGCTGAAATTTTTATTACTTTTTTTGTAAATCAAAAAGCCAGCTCACGTGAACAATTTCTCTGATCGAAATAATCGATAATATTTTGCCAACAAGATCCACATGCGAACTATTAGGTGTCCAAAATTTACCAATCACACCAATAATTGGGCAATCCATATCAACAGAATTTGCATTTTTCGATTTCTGATATTTTTTTATGTATCGCTTATCGTACACTTCCAAATGTTCAATCAATTCCAAATGTTCTGACCAGCAACTAATTGAAAACATTGAGAATAAAAAGACCAAAATCCATAATATGATAAACAATACATATTTGGCGATTACTAAAAATAAGATAGGAACTGTAACTTCAATTACGAAACTTTAGTCCAAACACAAACCTCTTTTAAAAACTTTTTTATAAATTTCCAAAGTCTCACGAAGAATTCTATCAGCTTCGGCCTCATGAGCATTCTCTGCCCATAGTTGGTTTCCTCTAGCTCGTCCATCTTCTCCAATATCTTGCTGTGCATTTAAATCAGCTTGAACGGGGGCTGCAGCAATTTCTGGCGTTGGAACTCGTTCAGTAGCTGATGGTGAATTCAGATTTGTGAGGGGGAGTTGCTGAAAAATCGATTGAAATTTTAAGGACACTTTCAAGAAAATTTTCACAATTCAGAATTTTTTTGTTTTTGAAAGAATGTAGTTTTTCTCATTCAGCCATGTTAATTGCACTAACTGGCTGTTCATTTGAAGCTTGAGCTTGAATGTTTGTTGAAGCTAAAGCATTTTCTGGCGTTGGAACTCGTTCAGTAGTTGATGTTGAATTCAGAGTTGTGAGGGGGAGTTGCTGAAAAATCGATTGAAATTTTAAGGGCGATTTGAAGCTTTGATGGAAAACATTTCCCAATTCTGAGTTTTTTTTTTCAAATTTTCTATTTTTGAGAAAAAAATCAATGAAAAATTGCAAAAAATTGCGAACTTCTTCCACCGTAATTCCTACCTCAGCATTGTCGGAGGTCGATGTAGTATTTCTTTCCGAAGACATTTCGAATCACACTCTCCAAGAATACGTTGATAAATTCAATGAAATAAACAGAGAAATACTGAGGTAGGAATTACGGTGTGTAAAGAAATGTGTAAAGTTTCAGAAGTTCGCAATTTTTTGCAATTTTTCATTGATTTTTTTCTAAGAAGAGTCAGCTGTCGATTAAAAAAAGAAGAGTCAGCTGTCGATTAAAAAAAAATCTCGATATTTTGAAACATTTACGTGATTTTGTGATGCTTGTGAACTTTTGTTTATAATTTATGTGATGTTTGTAAACATAAACAATGCACAAAAACCCTATCACATCAATTTTTCGAAATCACTTCTATTAATCGACACCTGACTCTTTTTTTGCGGGGCAATCTTTTTTATTGAATTTATCTTGACATATTCTTGAGGGGACCTTATGCATTTCTCTTGTTAGATAAAACCGAGTTGGCCTCGTAGATTCATTGAAAATTCAGAAAAAGGCAATTTATTGGTGTCACAGGGAGCATCTAATTGAGATCAGCGTAAAAATATTTGACTCTGGACGGAAAAAATATCATTTTGATAATATGAGTTAGAAACTCGAAATTTTCTGTTCAGAATTTTAGAGTTTTTGAAATTTCTATCGAAATCCTCTAATTTTCTATTTTTTCCGCACAGAACCAACAAAACAATAATTATTTTTCCTATTCGCAAATTGTTTCCAAAAATGATTCGGCCAAACCGTGCAAATCTTTTTGAGTTTCATCGATTTTATTGAGAGCCTCATCTTGAGGAACAGTTCGAAGTTTGATAGCTTTGTATAATTTTGGCACCAGCTGAAAATTGATTTTTTTTTTAAAATTTTTTTTTCTCAAAATAACAACAAGGAAACTCACGTGAAAAATTTTTCTGATCGAAATAATCGATAATATTTTGCCAAAAAGATCTACATACGAACTATTGGGTGTCCAAAATTTATCAATCACACCAATAATTGGACAATCCATATCGACAGAACTTGCATTTTTTGATCTCTGATGTTTTTTCATGTATCTCTCATCGTACACTTCTAAATGTTCAATCAATTCTAAATGTGCTGACCAACAGCCAATTGAATAAATTGTGAACATTATGCCACAAATGCATAATATGAGCAGCAATAAATATTTGGCGATTACTAGAAAAACATTTCTGATGTCAAAAATTTGGAAAACTGGATTTTGATAATTTTTTCAGAAAAAGTTCGAAGAACCTTAAGCCAAGCTGAAGTTCTTTCTCACAAACCTCTTTTGAATCCAATATTTTTATATTTGTTCAAAGCATCAACCAAAATCTTTTCACGATCGGATAAATGTTTTTGATGAATAAGAGATGCAAATTTTCTTCCTCCTTCATCAGGTTCAATTGAGCCAATTGGATGTTTTGGAAGAGGAAAAGCTGGTTGAGAATTTGAAGAGGATGGATCATTTTTTGGTATTAAAACTGTTCTTGAAGGTGATGTTGGATTTCGATTTGGAAGTTGTCCAGGAGCCGGTTTTGTGACAGGATATTGCTGGAAATACTTTTAGTTGATCGAGTTTGAAATTGAAGTTTTGATGAAAAATTGAATTTTTTTCAAATAAAATATTTTAATTTATAAATTCTGAATTTAAAATTTCATTTTTCATAAACACTACCCCTTATACAGTACTCTACAGTACCCTACAAAATTCCTACCTCAATATTTTTCGAATCTGGCGGAATGCTTCCTGGCAATGGATCATATCTCGAAGAAGGCATTTCAAAATCCACAAATTTCAAGAAGACGTCAATACAAACTCAAAAAAAAGAAGAAGCAGAATTTTTTTCTTTTCTGCAACTAAAAAATAGCGCGTGAAATTTGGAGAGCTGTGCAGAGATAGAGCCAAGCTTTTGCTCTTTCTTCATGTTTTTTTCGTAGTTAACTGCAAAAAAAAACAAAACGAGTCAGCTGTTAAAGAGAGATTTTGAAATATTTATATGACGAGTTTTTATGTATAGATAATTGTTACAACTGAGTTGGCCTCGATGGTGAATTCGTAGATTCCTGATTGTGAAGATGTTGAGAGTGGGTCGGAGATTGATATTGAGTGGGATAAGAGCTGAAAAATTGAAAACTTTTTTGATTAATGATAGATTTGATGGAGAGACTTTTTTAAGTTTCCAAGATCATCAAACCTCGCTTTTATTCAAAATCACAACAGTTCTCGATCCATCCTGATTCAAAATCGCCAATCCTTCAACTTCCGAAGTTTTTCCAACAATCTCAATATCAATTCTAGTCGATCCCGGTCGAATAAATCTACTAAATTGTCCCATAACATGCCACATTGGTTGTTTATAATATTCCACAGCTGTAGCATTTACAACAATCGTCGAATCCACAAAATTCTTCGCCAAATTCGGACCTCCTTCCAAATCCAATGCATAATTCCAATCAACCCATCCATTCACAAAATGTCCGATATCACTTATCAAATCATTTGCATATTGTTCAGCGCGCGACCATTTTCCTAATTCTGGACCGGTTGCTGGAAAATATCCAGCACATGCTTCAGTTGCCAACATAAAATAATCTGGATGTTTTAGATGGGTTTCAGTGAGCGCCTTTGCGGGGTCGATAAAATCTTCGTACCAATGAATTGCGATTCCACTGACATATTGAGCAGCCATTGGATCGGAGAGAATCTGGGGGAAAAATGTATCAGAGTGGGAAAATTTTCGTCGGATCGGATCAATGAACAATGTAATTTTGCTGGGATTTTTCTAGAATCTTGAAATTTTGTAGGAAATTTGGGTTCAGAAAGCTAGAGCTCAAAAAACACTGCAAAATTCCAGGCCTAGAAAATTTCTACTGAATCCTGTTTTTGATTTCATTGAAACAATAACAATTTTTATCAATGTTCAGCATTCTTGAATTCATGAACCTTGTACCATTTTCGACTACACTCCGATTTTTATCTTTCCCTTTTCCTATCACATATATTTGCCCCTCTAACCAGAAATCATGAGCTGATAAAATAGTTAACTATGCGATCAGAAAATATTTTTCTCACCACATCAGCCCAATGTGGAAGATTGATTCGTTGATCATCGTTGATCATCATTTTCAGATTTTTCGTCACATCATTTGCTGCCAAAGCTGGTCCCAATAATTTCTTGATGAAGTTTCTTTCCATTTCCGAGCTGAAATAACAAGTTTGCCATGCCCAAGCTGGATCCAATCCAGTTGTTGGTTCATTTTGTGGTGTCAATGACCAGAAATCGATTCCCTGTTTGTGATATTCTTCAAAAAATCTCACAAAATATTGTGCCCAAGTTTGATAATATTTTCCATTTGGATCTCCTAATAATTTGCCAGCTCCAACCATTCTTCCATTTGTTTTCATCCAAGCTGGCGGTGACCAAGGAGTTGCGAAAAGTTTCAAATTATTGTTGGAAGCTTGTTGGGCTTTTTTGATGAATGGGATTTTATAATTGAAATCTTCTGCGGCTAGGCTGAAATTTTGGAGAAGGAAATCGAGATCGAGGTCGTTGTAACTGTATTCATGAGTTGAGAAATCAGTAGAAGCCATTGGAACACGACCGAAAACATAGCCAAGGCCTGGAAAAAATTTCCAACTGTTTTGAGTAATATTCCCTGATTGCCCTTATTCCTTACCATCAGTCTCTGAAAAATATTGTGTAATAATTCGATCCTGCATATTTTGCGGCAATTTCAGCAAATTAATTCCACTCGCATCTGTAAATGCAGCTCCAAATCCCATAATATTTTGATATTTTTGTGTGGCATTCACAACAAATTGAATTTTCGCACTGCCCGATTTCTTGGCCTTCAATTCACTTCGATCCAACCGTTTTCCTTTTTTCGAAGTTGTATAAACTACAGCAATTCCTGATTGAAGTGTTCCTAATGGTTCAATTGTATCACAATATGTTGAATTGCAAACACAAACAATTCCATATTTTTCCTCTTTTTTTGAACATGGCGAAAAAGCTTCTTTAAAAATCTTCACTTTATTTAAATTCCCAAAAATTCTCACCACTTGAAATCACAACAAAAACAATAAAAAGGAGCAAATTCATAATTTTTCCGAGTCTCGTGAAACACAGAAAAATAATAAATTGATAAATAGATAAGAAACACGTTTCGAGAAGACAAAAATACTAATCAAAGCAGGAAAAAAATAATACCTACTTATGATTTTCGATTGCTTTCTGTCATACAAACCGCGTGATCCATGAATGGTTTTTCGCAGTCCATTCCACGTGGATACGTTTTTGAAGCATTGAAACAACTGGAAATGAAAGAAATGTTTTGAAAATGAAAGGAAACGTTTCGAGGTCACGTTAAAAATTACTTTTAAAAATAATTTTTCCAGTCTTACTCAAAATTCCACAAATTCAAAATCTTTGGAAATTTCTAATTTTTTCTGGAACTCTGCTTTACGGTGAATTCAGAACTTTACTTTTGAATTAGTAATTTTTGGGCCCCTTCGGAATTTGGAACTCTAAAACTCACACCAACGCATCTCTAATCAAATGCCCACATTTGTGTGCCAACGCCGAATGCAGACAAGGACAATCGATATTCACACGCCCGTCCGGATATGCAGATTCTGGAAAAAATAGAATTTCAGAATTTCTTATCCTTTTAAAAATTCGATTACCTGGTTCCGGAATTGGCTCGAAATATTTGCGATATTCCATTTTTACCGATTTGTAAAATTCATTTTTCGGAATTTCCAAAATTTTATCAGACATCTGAAAGAATTTTGATTTTTGTTTTCGAAATTTTATTTTTTAAAAATAAATAAATAAAGTATGAGCTTCGGATAAATTCCAGTAATTTCAAAAAAAAACATCAATATTTCAAAGACAAAACTATTTTATCCAATTTTAATTTTAAAAAATACTACGAAGTTGTTGTTTCAGTCATCGCCTTCCTCATCATTTCTCGTTTTTCAGCTGAAATTTCAGAAATTTTTGAGGGAAAATTTTGGAAAATCTTATTTACCACTCATATTTTGCATACACGCCGCCCAATTTACAAATTGATTTGGGCATTTGACACTGGCATCTTTGGATTCATCAGATTTCATACAAATGTACAATTCGCGGAAAAAATTGCCGCATCTGGAAAAAATCAGAGTTTTTTTTGGGTTACTGAAAATATGTGCTTTTTTAAACTGAGATTTGGTTACTGTAGATTCAGATTCAGATTCTGAAATTTTATTTTTTTTTTCAAATATCAGGTCTACTGTATTGTCGTAGTTGAAAAATGTGGCAGCCATAAATAATAAAACCCTGTGCAGAGCTGATTGAACGACAAAGTCATTATTTCGTCAGTCGCGTGCGGCTGTGCGTCGCGGTCGGGAAACAAAGGAAAAAATGGATTATTGATTGTTTTTCAACCGCAGCGCACAGCCGCTCGCGACTGACGAAGTAACGAGTTTGTCATTCATTCAGCTTTGCACTGGTTTTTATTTTTTACGGTTGCCACATGTTTTAACTTCGACAATATCTGCGTATTTTCAGAATTCTGGGAAAATGAATAAAAATCAATATTTTACGATTACTTCAATATTTGATTTCAATTTCTTGGGGAAAATTTTCAAGAAACTTTTTTTTTTGCAAAAGTCTCACCTATGAGAAACTAGCGATCCACCAGCCATACAAGGACATTGCCAATTGATAGAACCATCCGGAAATTTGGGCCCTAAGCATTTTTTTTTACAATATTTTCCTCATCAAAATAAGTATACCTGGCTCTTTATATTTCGAAATATCGATTTGTACCTTCGGATCAGCAAAATATTCATTCCTATTTATCACAACTACAGTATCCTGATTTTTCCTGGTAATCATCTTCTAGAAAAAAATTCACAAGATCCCAATTTATTTTTTCAATAGAAAAATAGGCACAAGGATGTGTTCGTCCTCTTTACAAAAAATAAAATAAAATATTCAAAAATTGTATAATTTATTTATTCAAGAAAAAGAGGGGAGATCATATACAGAATTAGTGGTTAGTTATGTTCTCGAAACAAAAATTTGACAAAATTATGGGCATTTGTCGACAATCGATCGGCCGGTTTCGTCGAATTCGGCTTTTGAGAGCCACATTTGTTGGAAGGTTCCGAGTGAGCCCAAAATCGATCCACCAATCCATGCGCCGAATTTTCGTTCGGTGGTGAGAGGAGCGGCTGAGACGCGAAGTTTGATTGTCTGCAAAAAAATGAGAATTTTTGGAATTTAGCGGTTTTCTAATTGAAAATAGAGAACTGATTATTTTATATGAAAAAAAATTTACTTCTCGAGTTTAAAATTGAAACTTTTTTCAATATAAAACACTCAATCTTCCGATTCGAATTCATTAAAAACATACCGGTGGACATTTGTGTGCCAAATCATTATTCAATCTTTCAGTGAATCCCAAAATCAAGGAATTTCCTCCAGTAACCGTAACATTACTGAAAAGTGTTGGTCGCATATCAATATCCGTTAAACTCGCTGAAGATGCAGCCATTTGTGCAACAGTCATCAAACCTTCTCTCTTGATATCTCCTCGTAAATATTTCAAATCGAACAAACATTCCGGAAGTTTGATTCGTTCAGCAAGGAATTCTTTTGTAAAACCATTTGGGAATGAATAAGGAGTGGATGGTAATTTGTCGGCATAATCCAAATCGATTGCTTGATCACAAAGTTGAAGAATTGTTTGTGACATATCTTCGAGCAACTGTTTTTTCATGAATTTATCGTAACTCTCTGTGACTTGAGGTAGATTCTTTTTCTGTGTCCATTTTGGTTTTTCGCCCTCTTCAACTTCTTCTTTTCCAGCGATTTTGTAGATTGGAACAACTTCCACGTTTTTCTCGCTAAGCATGTTTTCCAATTGCTGACAAATTAAATCGCCACCAATTTGACTTCGCACAACTGCGTGAGTTACAGCATATCCGTCGAAAACTGGGACAACTGAAGTTTGTGTTGCTCCACTGTCAACCATCAAACCATGTGTGCGATTTTGGGAGAAACAAGCGAGAACCGCGTTTTTAGCCAAATAATAGGCGGGAACTTGGAATTTTTCGAACATCAGCTCCGTCAATTTTTCACGTTTAGATCTCTCGTTCCACTGGAAATTTTATTTTTATTGAATTTTCTCAACCTAAACAAAAAAGAAAAAAACTTACAGCACTTTCTGTGAATAAAACTGGATGTTCAGCGGACTTGCTGTATAAAACATTATCATATGAATATTCGACAAGTTTTTCGAAAAGATCCCAATCATCGACTGCAAAAAATGTTCAGAACTTGCTTCATAAAAAACCAAAAAAAAACTTACTCATTCCGTCTTTCATATATCCTTCCATTGTTGTTCTTGCGCGAGGAACAGTGATTTTTGTGGTGCCAATAAAAAAGTTCTTCTCTCTTTTGGCTTGAACATTCGAGTTTTCGGAATTTTCGTTCATTTCAATATCTCCATCAGCTTCTGGTTCTTGAACAGCCACCATCGAAGGAATATCACCTTTCGGGAATTCTTCCCCAGCAAATCCGACACGGAATGTATGAGAACCTGCATCGAAAACCAAACCGCTTACTTCATCTGTAATTTTTATTTTCAAAGTCTGTAAAATCAAAAATTTGAAACTAACCTCCTCCGTATAATGCTCCACTCATTTTTGAAACCTGAAAACAAAAATTCTGTGAATTTCTTCGTTTTTTTGACGCACAAAAATAAAGATTTTGAAATTTTTCGCGAACGCTACAAAATCGGTGTCAACAATTCACACAAACGCGTCAGCCTTGAGAAGTATGACGCACATTTTTGAATTTTTTTTTATTTTTTCGCTGCAAAATTTTTCAAATTCGAAAAACGTGGAATTAAACGATGATTAAAGTTCATTTTTTTGTAAAACTTGTTTGTATTTTTGAATTGAACATTCTAAAGATATCAGGAAAGTTATTCAATTTTGTCCCTCTGTAATTTTTTTGTCTCAAAACTTTGAAACCAAAAACTTATGTTTTTTTATGTTCAAAATACTTCATATTTATTTTCAGGTGAATGGATCCAAGTAAATTCACATTCCAACCTAAATCCGATGCAGCACCCAAGAAAGAATTCTCATTCGCCAGTTTCGCATCCAAAGCATCCAGCGGAGATGCTCCAGTTACAGTAAAACCGTCACCATTCAGCTCTATTTCCTCACTAAATACAAATCAAAACGTGATATCAGATGGACAAGAAAAGGGATTTGGCGCCAAACCAACTTTCGGTCAAACGGCTTTTCAAAGAAAACCGATGGATCAAATGAAGATTCCGATTTCTAACCCACCAACTTTTGGAGCAAATGTTTTCGAAAAGAAAGCCGCATTTGATGATGGAAAATCGTTTGCTCTCAAAAATCCATTCGAAGCAGCAAAATTGAAACAAGAAAAACCACATCCAAATTTCGGGCAAACTTATATGGAAAGAAGGAAATTGCAAGAAGAAAGAGGTATTTCAAAACCAGAAATTCCGGACAGAAAAAGAGCCACAATGCAACCATATGAAGCGAAAAAAGGGATAAGCGATCGAATAACCAAAAGACCAATGTTCGATGTGAGCAAATTCAAATTTGTTCGAAAACAAGATGCACCACCAGCCCAACCTCTACCAGGCACTGATGAAACCGATGAAAACCCCATGAAATTTCTGAAATCTGTTGGCTCCGCTCCAAACCTCGACAACAACGCAGTAATACCCGACGATAAACTTTGGAAACCAAAAATCCCTCAACAATCGAGAATTGAAGTTATCAAAAGTCGAGAATCCTCAATTCCTCGAAGTTTTTCACCAGAATTGAAGGATGATGCAAAATTGATCAAGAAGTTAGCCGAATTGGAAGGACGTGAATGTGCTGGGGAATATGAGAAATATGCGATTTTAGATGAACGCGATAAAATTCTGTATCAACTTCGAGCAATTAACAGTCCTGTTATTAAACAATTGGAAAGATGCGAAGAAATGTGCACGGAAAAGGAGAGATATATGAGAATTGTGCAAAAACGGTCATCGCCATTTGAATGTGATGAGGCGACTTTTGAAGTGGCTCATCAAATGATGGTGAAAGTAAGTCTTTAAAAAACTTTGGTAGTTATCAAAATATTAATTTTCAATAGGAATATGCTCGATCCGCGGCTGATCAAGAACGTCCACTTCCCCACGAACTTCGATCCGAAAAAATGATGGAACACACAATGTCATATCTCCTTTCTCAAGTTCTCGACAAATTCCCCGAAACCGCCGAACAACGCACCGGTTGGTACAATTTCTTATGGAGTCGAACTCGAGCTGTTCGAAAAGAAGTCACACAATTGTCGATGAGTGACACTTTGGCATTGGAACTTGTTGAGAGATGCACGCGGCTGCACATTTTATTCGGATATATTTTATGCGATTTGGAAGTCGATCATTTTGATCAGAAAATGAATAATGAGAATTTGGGTAAATGTTTGCAAACTTTGCGGCATTTGTATGAGGATTTTGAGAGACGTGGCATAAAATGTGTTAATGAACCAGAATTTCGATCGTATGATGTTATGATGCATATGAATGATAGCAATGTATTCTCTCAGGTATGGATTTGGGCAGTTTTCTAAATCGGACCAGGGTGACATTTTTCAATAGGAATCGGACCAAAAAAAAGGAATCGGACCAGGTTCGATTTTTTGAGAAAAATTCTGAATCGGACCCGAAAAATCGGACCACTTTTTCAAAATTTCCTGATTTTTGCACCAAAAAATTGACTTTTTTGAAAAAGTGGTCCGATTCAGAATATTTCTCAAAAAATCGGACCTGGTCCGATTCCTTTTTTGTGGTCCGATTCCTATTGAAAAATGTCACCCTGGTCCGATTCAGAAAGCCCTTAAAATCGGGTCCGATTAAACGGACCTGGTCCGATTCCTATGGTCCGATTCAAAAATTTGCCATGGATTTGGAATTAGATATTCGAAACATCGCAATTTCAGGTTTTATCATATCGAAGTGAAGTTCGCCAATCGCCTTCAGTTTGTTTGGCTTTGCAATTATCGATTAGTTTTCAAAATAACAATTATTGCAAATTCTTTCGACTTTTGAAAAGTCAGGCGACTTATTTGCAATGTTGTATGTCACATAAACTATTCAATGAGGTTAGTTTTGAAAAACATATTTTTTGGAAATGAATTTTATTTCAAATTACACGTCTATCTTTGAAAAAAATAATCGTTGCATTTTTCAGATCAGATCCAAGGCTGTAAATGTGATCACATCATCCTATGGTAGAAATGCTGGATATCCCCTCGATAAATTCTGCTCGCTTCTCGCTTATGATTCAATTGACGATTTAAAATCAGCCCTTGATATTTATGGATTAAGAATAGATATGGATGGAGATCAAGTTGTTCTAAATCGTGATTTTCTAAGCCTAAATGATCCAATTCCAATGCGACCTTATGAATGGATTGATAAGAAGAAAAATGGGAGATTCAGTCAAGTTGTGTATGGTCCAACTCTCTTCAATTTCTTTGCCACATTTCGAGATGTTTCGAATTCTTTCGATCATCATAATTTGTATACAAAAGATCCGATTCTTCGAAATATTCTTGGTGTCAATAGAAATGTGCCTAAGTTCCCAGTTACTACAATTGCTCCACCACGACCTAATCCTCTGGAAATCACAATTGAACAAAAACGAAAAATGGAAGAATTGAGAAAAATGAATTTGGTGATTGAAAGTTTATCGACAAATGTGATTGATCAAATTGTTCGAGGACTTGTTGAAGAAGAAAAAATGAAAGAGAGAATGCGTCGAAAATTTGAAAATGAGAAACGAAGAAAAGAGGAAGAACAACGAAAAATTTTGGAGAATCAGAAGAAACGTGTTGAAATTGAGCAAAGAGTGGCGAGAAGAATTCAAGAGAATTTGGAGAATAAAATTGTTGATGATATTTTGTGCAAGATTATTGACAAAGAAGCCGCGGAGCAGCGAAAACGGAGAGAAATTCAGATCGCCGAAAAAATGACAAATAAATTCTGGGAGAAAATTGTTATAAAATTTGTTGATTCGCATGTTTCGAAGATTTGTGGCGAATTTGTTGAACACAAGAATCAGGTAAATATTTTGAAAGTGGATTCTGAGCACAAAATAAATGATGCTCATTTGAAAGAGCATGTTCTAATTAGTAGAATCCTCGAAGGATTTTTTCTGGAAGCTTCTCAAACATTAGTTTAAAAATTTCAAACTTCGAATAAACATTGAAACACCGTGGTGGCCAGTAGCTTGAATTTAATGTTTGAAAAGCTTCCAGAAAAAATCCTCCAGGAATTGTACTAATCAAAACATGCTCTTTCAAATGAGCATAGCTTTTTTTGATCAGACTCCACCTTTAAATGAGTAAGAAAATAAAATCAATCGATGAAAAAATTTCAGATTCGATCGAAACTCGAGAATTTCAAGCAAAATATCAGCAGACAATGGTTGCTTCAATTCTGCAATCATTGGCGAGAATGGGCTAAAACGAAAAAAGCGAAACGGATTAGAAGAGCTGAAAAAATTAGAGAATGTATTCCAAAATGGGAAGCAGCACAAGGTAAAATTCAGTTTGGAAATTTTTTTAAAAATCCATATTTTTTTCAGATACAAGTCTTCTTCGAAAATATGATCGCGAAGAAAAAAAGATGAATCTGAGTCCAAAAGAGGCTGACACATTTGTGAGATCGAAAATCATTGAAAAACGACGAGAACATCGAATAGCTCGAAGAGTTCTATCAAAATGGCAACAATTTGCAGCCGAAAAACGAGAAATTCGAAAAATGGCAACTGAAATGTGTCGAAAAGAGAATGCATTTTTTGAGAAATTTGGAAAATTGGAAATTTTACGAAAACGAACATTTACTTTTGATGATCCGGAGGAAATTGTGGAGAGAAAACGAAGTCCGAAAAGAGAGCCGTTGAGAGAATCGAAATCGTTTTCAGTTTTTGAAGCATCGACAAGCAGTGCTGCAGGTATTGTTTTTTATTTGAAAAAAGTAGAATATTTTATGAGATCTTGAAGAAATTAGAAGCTTTCAGAGGAATTCGAGATTTTTGTAATTCAAATTTTCTGAAAAACCAAATTGATCTGAAAATTTTGCAGACATAACCGTGGCTCGTGATCAAATCGAAACTTGGAAACACGATGGAATGCCGAGCGAATTGAAAGAAAAACTGAAACGACGACGAGAATCGTTTGAAAAAGAGCAGAATGAGCACATTTTGAAGAAAAATAAACAGGAGGAAATTATGATTGGAGGTATTTTCTTTTTTGCAAAAAAAACTCCATGTGGAACTTTTTGGAGCTGAATATTTTATGCCAAAAAAATCCACGTTTCAATTTTTTTTGAAACGTGAACTTCCAGATCTAATTTCTATCAAAAAAAAATCCCATTTTTCAGACATTCAAAAGCAAACATCAAAAATGGACAAAATGTCAGAAGAAGCATCAAAACTATTAGAAGAAGCGAACAATTTCAAAAACGAGATGCGTAAATTCATGTGTGATTTGGAAATTCGACGAGTATCACAACAACTGTAGATTTCTTATTTTTCTGTAATATTTTTTATATTTTTAAGTATTTATTAATTCAATTGTTGATTTGTTCACATATTTGTTGTTTCGGGTGAATTGTGTTTTTTAAGCCTTTAATTGATCTTTCAACCACATCAAACCATCTGTCAAACCTTCGCCGGTTTTCGCATTTGTTCGAGTTACAAACCACTGAAATTAGGGAAATTGTTTTGGTTTTGGTTTGAATTTAGGGCCTTACATCTCTTTTAACCTTCTTGAGCTCCAACGCATTGATAATTTCCTGCGAGTCTTTGGAATTTGGCATATCCATTTTGTTGGCTAAAACTAGAAGATGAGCATCGCGCAATTCTGGCTCGGCCAATAGTTTGTGCAACTCCTCTTTTGCTTCTTCGAATCGCTCGAAATCCGAACTATCAACAACGAAAACGAGAGCTGTTGTGTTGGCGAAATAATATTTCCAAAGTCCACGGATTTTTTGTTGACCACCCACGTCCCAAACTGTTATTGTCAGCTTTTTGAATGTCAATGTTTCCACGTTGAAGCCTGGAAAATTTGGAGTTTTTTTTTTTTGAAAATTTTTAAAAGATTATCATTAGAGCGCACTTGAAAAAAACCTTACCAACAGTCGGAACGGTGTTCACAGTTTCATCCAATTTCATTTTATACAAAACAGTTGTTTTTCCAGCTCCATCCAAACCAAGCATCAAACATCGGCATTCAATATTCGGAAATATGAAAGATATCATACGCGTATAGAAATTACCCATATTTTGTTTGAAACGATTTTCAATTCAAAAATAACGAAGAAATGCGGCGCAATAAATAGTCGAAATCATCTTCCAACTCATTTCGAGACACGTTTTTATTGTTGGTTATGAAATACGTGAAGAGAAAAATACATTTTTTCGGTATTTCGAAATCTTTTTGTGTTCAGTTTGTTTGTTGATTACGAGAGAAAATGGGCGGGACTAAATTTTTGGAACACAGGTTTCTATTGGAATGTGGGTAGGTGAGTGTTTTCTAGGTCTAATTTGGCAAGATATCCCATTTTCAGAGGAAAATAGTTCTGGGTATTACTGTAACTTTCAGTGGAATGTGTGAACACCACACAAAACATTTTAGGTGACGCGCATTATTTTTTCTTTTCCAATTTTTCACGCCTGTTTTTTTGCGACGGTGAAAAATTTCACTACGGTACGCAATTTGTGCATTTGTGCGTCGCGGTGTTTACACACTAGATAGTGATTTCAGTCAGTTTTCAGCATGTTAGAGGCATTTTCAGAAAACGCTGAATATACCATTTGATTCGTCTCGTCGAGATGAGCCAGGAAAACTATTTACTTGTTTTTGAAACGCATTCTCAAAAAAGTTATGGGCTAAAAATCAAATTCTGAGCAAATCAAAGGCGCACACATCTTTCGAAAGAGTGCGGTCTCGCAGCGATTCCAGTTTTTCACGTTTTTCTACGTGAAAACGCCATTTTTAAGGCTTCTACTATACTTATTCGAAGAGAAGAGATGAATTTACGTATGTATGAATGTTTTGAAATTTTTCTGGGGCCCCCAAGATATAAAACGCGGCGCCGCCAAATGGAGACCTATTTTTTGACGTCCTATTACTGTACCGACGAATTTTGTTCAGGCAAAACAGGCGTGTTTTATTTTGCTCCGTTTTCTCTAGTTTTCGACAACGTACCACAAATAAAATCCAATTTAAGAACATTTTCAGCTTGTAGTATGTTCACGCATACTACAGATATCAAATGGACCGCTGCATCTCTTCGAAAAGTGCTGGAAAATTATGTTGTGAGAAATGTAAGCAATTTCTTATTCAGATCATCCCAAGATTCATTCAATTTCAGCGCATCAAACCAAATAGCTTGCAAGCGATTGGTGATGTGGAAAACGATGAAACTTTCTGCTCCAATGACGCCAAATATCGACTTCAGACAATAATAATGGATAAATCGAATGGCGATCTCGATATTTATGGTGGGAGTAAAGAATTGATGAAAGATTTGCAAACTTTGCAATATTTTCCGAATAACTCGGATTTTTTGGGTATAACAGATCCAAAATGTGAGGATTGTTATAGTTTCTCAACGACCATTAATTTCTTCCATGATAAATCTGGCCGTGAACATGTCTCGAAGAACGATTTATCAATGATGGTTGTGAATGTTCTCGGATCATTTTACAATCATAAAACGAGGGACAAACTCTTCTATGCACTTCTCATACCTTCACTGGGAAAGCAAATGAGAAAACAACTTGTTGGAAGCTACGAACTCATCTCGATCGATTTATTCAATCGAGTTCAGGCAGAAGTTTTCACAATTATGACTGCTCAACAAAAACCTTCAACAAATAAGGATTTTAAACCAATAAAACACACCGTTGATGAGATTTTTTCGATTTTTGCCCGGTTTTTCGAAGGAGAAAATGATAAAAATGTGATGGATCTTCTCAAAACGACTATCGTAAACTGCAACAGAAATACAAAAATATCAGAAGATTTGAAATTCTACGAATCGATCTTCACCCAATATTCTCTGTTATCTGACACAGTTTCGAAGATTTCGAAAAAGTTTTCCAATAGCTTTTCATAAATTCAACGATGATGTACAAAGAGATAATGTTATTCGTGTTTTCAAAGACAACGGAACATCATTTTGTTTTGCTAAAGATGTCGAAATTGAGTTCAGAATTCAAGATTTGAATGTGGAAACTGAAGAGGAGCGGAAGAACGGTATTTTGAGAACAATTGATTTTTCAAAGTTGCAAGACATGTTGAAAGAGTCAAAGATTAAATTGGATGAGAAAATGGTGAGTTTCCTTCGAAATATATGTTTTCTATATATTTATATTCAATTTTCTAGATTATCGAACAGGATATCATCCGAACTTCACGAAATATATCAGTTCCTATCATCACATTTTACGGAACACATTGTAAATTGGCGTCTGATGCGTTTTTCGAAGTTTTCAATCATGTTTTACACGGTCTGCGATTATTCCAAGGTGTCAATAAATCAAATATTCCAAAGATATACAATTGGTTTTCCCAATTATATGATGTTTTTGACTCGGAAAGCAAACGATATTTCATCGAAACTTGGAAAATTGAGGAAATTGTTGAACGAGCTTATAAAGATCTTGAAAAATTTGTCACAGAGGTGAGGGTTTTCTGAAAATCTCAGTTAAAATTCAAAGTGTTATTGTTTTGCAGAAAATTTATGAATGTCCACGAGAACCGAAATTATATATGACAGATATAAGTGAAGAAGAAGTTATCAAAGAAGTTGAAAAGTTATCGAAAAACTTCGAATTGAACTCAAAATTCATCAAATCTCGATATTATTTCTATAGAAGAAGTGTGAATTTGGAAGTTCCAAGAAAATATATTTACAAAATTTTCGAGGATTGCGTTGTTCTACGATTTTTAAATGAAAATCCAAAGTATCATCGATTTATTCATAATCAAGGACTTTGTGCGAATATTGAATTGTTTGAATGTGATTGTCAGAAATCTTTAAAGGAAGGTGAATTAGAAAAAAGGAGCAAAGTGGAAATCTTGAAATGCGCGCATTTGGAAACAGTTTATTTTGATTGTAATCGACGAAATAAGAAATGCTTAGTTGCTATAAGAAACAAGAAATTCTATGACAATACCACGGCGTATGAATTGGCTATGGAAAAATGTGTTGAATTTGAAAATACATACGATCTTCGGTTAACTGAATTATTGTTCGAATCCTTGAAACAGAAGCTTGGTGGTGATTTTCGAGAAAAACGTGGTATTTTTTATGTGCGTGAAGATGAATTGAAAGAATTATGCGATGAAACACGAAAATCTTTCACAGGTTTGTATTTTTTGAAAATTAGATTATGACGTGGCAATTAATAACTATTGTTTTTTAGAAGGCTGTCGAGTTGCTTATCAAAATATTGACAACAAAAATACTAGAATTGTTACATGGAATGAAGTTTATAATCGACTGAAAGTGTTTTTCCTCGTCGATGGCTTTATCAAACCATCTTTCAAAAAACTCAAAGATCAATTGAAAAAACATGAAAATGCCAAAGATTTGGGTCTTCCGGAGAAAGATGTTTGCCGAATTCAAGCACTTTATCGACAAATTTTTCAAAATCATCAAAGACTTTTCAAAGTCACTCAAAATTTGACGAATTTTAGTATTTATGAGAGAAAAGACCGGGGGAATATTTTGAGAATTATGTGCGAAAGGAGAGTTGATTATACCGAATGGCATTTGTTGGATGAAGAAGTTTTGGATGCGATTAAATTTGTTCTGAAATCGGAGAAAAGATATCATCTTTATAGAGGTAGATTAATATTTAGAAAAAATGGAATCCACATGTTATATGTATTTCAGACAAAATCGAGCAATGGGAAATTGATTTGTATCGAGGAAAACATCAAAATTGTGTTGGTGTCAAATTATTTGATACCATTCTCAATGTTTTGCAAATTGATAAACGAAAGTTCTTGTTGGTCCCAGATATTCAAGTTATTCAACATTTGATTTTGATGCCTTTGCAAATGGCTTATCATTCAATTCAGATCGATACACCGATGGGAGATACGAGTCTTCATTATATTCAGGTTTGTGAGTTGAGAAAATTGGTGCCAACTAGTTTTTCGATCAGAAACGAAACTGAGAAGGAATTTTGAGTCCGTGAATGCTAAAAATGCCAAAAATAAGAGATTTTTCAAGTTGCCACGTCATAGTTCACATTTTTTCTAGGCTCAATATTATGTTTTTCAACGAATTGTCTGTGACATAAATTGGATGCATTTGGAAGAAGAAGATGTTATAGAATATCGAAAGAAGATTCTGGAAACCATGAAAAGATATAAGCGAGGATATTATAGTGAAAGTAGTGTTTGTTCTGATGTGAGAAATCTTACTGAAAATAAGATTTATGAGATGGCAAAAAAGGTGGGGAATTGTTAGTCAGTCAGAAAATTTGAATTTGATTATTTTTAGAACAATGACCGAACTTCGATTGCTTATTGTCAGCGGAAAAAATTCGATGCTCTTCTCTCGAAAGATGAATTTTCGGAGATTCTGTTCAAGGCTTTTGGAAATACGCCTGAAGTCGTTACTGGGTGCCAAAATTTTTTGAAATCTTTGGGATTTGACACACAATCGGTGGTTTTTGAAATCGAAAATTGGAAAGCGAAATATATATTTATGAGACATTGGATGAATGTGTTTTTCGGAGACGATGAACAGGAGGTATTTTTCGCTGATTTTTATAAATATATTTGTGTTCCTCCAGATTCATTCAAATATTCTCAAAGCTTTCACCGCAACAATGCCAAATATTAAAATTCAAAGGTTGGAAGGTTTTAAAAATTGGGCGAAAAGTGGAAGTATGTTTCCGGATGATGGATTTATTGATTTCAGTCCAGTGGATACGGTTTATAAACTTTATAGGAAAAGTGAAGAAAAGAATCGAGATTTTGATAAAAATGGTGAGCAAGTTTTAGGTTTCGGAGGGATTCAAGGAATCGGGCCAGGTCCGCAAAAATTTATCACACCTGAATTTCAGGATGTGTGAACCACCAAACCCGAAATTCTATATTTTTCTAGATCTTCTGGAAATGCATGAATGGGATAAAAAGGCTCGCAAGAGTAATGATTTTGAAGAATATGCACTTTTTTCGGATAAAGAAGAGGAAGATAGTGAATCCAAAGATTCTGGTGACAACGTAGATCAGCCGGAAAATGAGTCGTGTCCCCAAGTTGTTATGAATGATGATTTGAAAGTTATCAAAGAGAACAATAAGAAAATTGAGAATTGTAATCGTTGTTATGATTTTAGAGAAGAGTTTGAACAAGTCAAAAAGAAAGTTGAAGAGTTGTATAAAAAGACGCAGATGAAAGATAAGGATGTGAAAGATTTGGAAAAGTAGGTTTTGTTGAGTACGGGGTTTTTTGTTGAATTTCAGTTGTTTTGCAGAAATCTGGAACGATTGAATAGGGACAAGGAATATGAATTGAAAAATTTGCGGAAGAACTTTTTGGAACAAAATCGAAAGTTGGAAAAAAGAAAATGAGCAATTGAAGAAGGATTTGGAAACGAAGGAAAAACGCATTCAACAACTTCATCAACAATTCAAAACGTGAGTTTTTTCTAGAGAAATTTTAGTGATTTCAGAAAATTTACAGTTTTTATACTGAAAATGCTGAAATTAAAATTTTCATACTTATTGAAAAAATTTCAATTCTCAGCCAGAAATTTCTTTCAAATTCACTGATATGAAACTCCTAACAAAACGTCATTTTTAGTGTTTTTTGTCATTTATAAAATAATTTTCAGAGAAAGTTGGTTTTGTTGGTAGCAGGGGTTTTTTCTTATTAGGTTATTTTTCAGAAATCTGGAACAGTTGAATAAAGACAAGGAATATGAAATGAACAATTTGCGGAAGAACTTTTTGGAACGAAATCAAAAGTTGGAAAAGGAAAATGAGCAATTGAAGAATGATTTGGAAACGAAGGAAAAACGCATTCAACAACTTTATCAACAATTCAAAACGTGGGTTTTTTCTAGAGAAATTTTAGTGATTTTAGAAAATTTACAGTAAATGCTGAAATTAGAATTTTCATACTTATTGAAAAAATTTCAATTCTCAGCCAGAAATTTCTTTCAAATTCACTGATATGAAACTCCTAACAAAACGTCATTTTTAGTGTTTTTTTGTCATTTATAAAATAATTTTTAGGGAGGAAGCGACAACTTCGACTTGGAAATTTGAAAATGAACAAAAGACGAAAGTTCTGAAAGAGCAATTGAAACATGTTTCTGAAGACGCAAATCGCAAGGAAAATGAAAATATTGAATTGAAAATGCGAAATAATGAACTGGAACAAAATGTGAAAAGTTTGTCGGAAAAGTTGAACGAAAATCAAAAATATATTGGATTTCTTGAGAGCAATATGAGTTATGGAATTCCTCCTGGATTATCTTTACAACAAAATCATAAACCAATTTCAAACGAAGATAAAATGAAGGAATATGAGAAGATTATGAAAATTGATTTTGGAAGTTCGCTGGATTCAATGACCAGAATTGTTAACAAATTTAAGGAGATAAAATCAAAAGGAAATTCGGAAATTGAGATTTTCAAAGAGAAATGCTTGGATTATGTGAAAATGGTTAGCGACGAATATAAAAATAATAATCTGACGGCCGAAATTCCGGATATTCCCCAACCGTTTTCTTTGGAATTTATGCAGAATTATGAGAGATTATTGAAAAAAGGGCCGAGTCCAGTGAAATGGGAAAAGATTGAAAAGAAGGAAAAAGAAAAGGAATTGGAGGATAATGAATGTTTGATTTGCTTCTATGATATGGAATTTCATCATCGATCGACGAAATGTGAAAATTGTTCAAGGAAATTTCATAAAGATGTGAGTTTTTGAGCTAGAATTTGGAAAAAATAGAGGTTGTGGCACCCAAAATATCGACGTTTTTGAACAATTCACTTGACTTGTTTCCTATGGTTTTTAAAGATGGAGTGCGAGATTCAAATAATTTAGGCTCATTTGAAAGAGAAATTTTGAACTTGTTTTACTAATTTTTGAAAAGCTTCCATCAAAAATCCTTCGAGAAATGTACTAATTGCAACTTTCTCTCTCAAATCAGCCTAAATTATTTTAATCTCACACTCCACCTTTAAATTATCAAAATATCTGGAAATTCTAAATTTGCAACATTTTTTTCTCAAAAAAATGAATTTAGAATCTTTTTTTTTTGTAAATATTTTGGAAGATTTTTCTAATGAAAATGTACAATATTTTCTCAACAAAGCTCCGATATTCCAGTGCGTCTCCGAATGGCTGAAACTCAACTCAATCTGTCCAGTTTGCCGTGTATCATTACCGGATCCAAATGAATATCCAACCCTGTAAATCATACTTATATATTATTGGGCTTATGTCCCGTTTGACCTATATAAATGCCCCACTTTCGAATTTTTAATTCAGACGTGAAAATCTTTTTATCTTTTTTTCATTTCAAGATTCCGAAAAGAATTCACATATTCACATAATGATCTTATTCCACTTCAATTTTGATAAGTTTCGGAAGAAGAGATCATAAGAAATTGAACTAAACTATCAAACTCGCTTGAGTGTTACTCTTTTACCTGAATTATGAAGTGAAGTCATAATTATCTGCCTGATTCTCATAAAAGTGTCATCTTTTGGTATTTTTTGGGCAGAGCTATTAAGTTAATGTTTTTGATCTGACTCCAAAAGATAAGTTTACAAAGAATTTTTACGAAAATTTCATTTTCACAGTTTGTAATTTACGACCGAAAAAATTTCGAGTTTTTTGAGACCTGACACAAACTAATGGGGTGATTCAGGTTGAAAAAAAATAATAAAAAACATTTTTAGACAAAAAGTTTCTATTCAGCAAATGTCAAAAAAAATGTATTTTTTTTCTATTTTTTGACATTTTTTCCACACAAAAATGAAAAATATCTCAAAGCGAAAATATTGCAATGTAAAAAAAAATGTCAAAAATAGGAAAAAATATAGTTTTTTGACATTTGCTGAATCGAATTTTTTGTCAAAAAAATTTTTTTACTAATTTTTTTTCCACTTGAATCACCCCATCAGGGATGGGACTAAAAGCGACGTAATTTTCATAAAACAGTGAAACATCTCCTACATAGTTGGATTTTCGGAAAGTGTGTGAAAATTGACCATGGAAAAGTAGGCGCTCTTCATATTTTGAAAAAGAGAATGCAAACAAAAGCTATCTGAAAAGTTTTTGAAAAGATGTTGTTCTTAAAAGAAAAATATGAAGATCAGCTATTTTCCGGAGCCCGTGTTCGCAATTTCAGAAATTTAATGCACTTTTCAATGAAAAATACAAGTTTGTGAATCATTGTTCGACAACTACAGATTTTTTTTGTAATCAAGGAAACTCTGTGAATTATTAGCAGAAAGAGTGGCCAAGTTAGGTACCATTTTCTTTAGATTCTTGAGAAAAATTAAGCCTCTCACCTTGATTCTAAGGACGATTCTAAGGACAAAATGTATGGAAAATTTTCATAAAACATTTGTTATAATTAAACCCTGTGCCGAAAACTTTCCGTATTTTCCGGAACTTTCAAGTAAAGTTAATTGGAAAATTAGAATTCTTCGAAATCGCCTTATTTTCAGAATTGAGTGGCTAAAATCAAAAGTTTGGAAATATCTTCTTGATTTTTACTTCTGACTTTGGTTTGCAAACTAGGAAGGTGATTACTTTCAGAAAACCTTGCAGATATACATAAATTAATTTTTCCATAACCGCAGCCGAAGGCTGCGTAGCAAAACAAGAATGAACACCGGCGATAGCCGGTGTATCATTCTTGTTTATTATTATTGTATTTGTATTTCTTTTCTGTATTTTGTTTTATTTTGTTCTTTTTTCAAATCACATATATACATAGATATGTTTTTATTTATAAATGCAAAATGCTGTGTTTTTCTCACACATGTCACCCTCCAAAAAAAAACCAAGCGTCCTCATCAATTTGTGGGTGGAGCTGAGGAGATGTGTATGTGTTCACCTTTTGATATATTGGTGAACGGGCGGGCGGTGTTCGTTTTCTCTGCGCCCTCTTTTTTTTGGCGCCACGCCCATCTCTTTTCTACACCAAATGTTTTATTCTGCACTTTTATTTTATTTCATTTCTATTCGACTATGATTTTATTTTATTTCATTGTTGTATTCTTTTTTCCCACCAAATATCACAAAAACGTTCTAAGCACGAGGCGAAATTTGGAAATTTTGAAAATAATTTTCGAATCGTTGCTTAGGATGACTTTGTGTTTTGATTTGGAGCATTTATTTTATGAAAAGAGGTACAGGAAAGTTTTAAATCGAAAAATTTCGAAGACACAATAAAATTCGTGTTTTCAGAGAAATGCTTATCAGACACATTTACATTTTTTAATAACCCAATAAAATTCGAGAAAAAATTTTCCATGTGCTTTTTTGTTGGTCTATAAAAACGCCAAACCCGGAAAAATTTGTTGATAACTCAAATTCAAAAATGAAAACGGTTTTATTTGTGTCTAGTTTGATTGTTTTGGTTTCGGCAAATCCGTTGGTTTTTCAGAAATGTGAGTTAGGATTTTGGAAGCGATGAAGAAGACCGGCCTGAAACTAGCCAAAATTTTTCTAAAAACCTAGGTTTCACACAGCCTAAACAAACCCTAAGCCTAACCTAAGGAAGCTAACAAGAAAAGTTTAAGTTTTCAAAATTCTGGTAGACTTTGTGTGTCTGAAAATTTTAGTCAGTTACAGTAATCCTGGAAAACGTGATTTGAGAATTTTGTGAATTTTCAGTGACTACAGTACTCTTCTAAAATTTGTGATCCACATTTTTTTTGGAACCGTTTTTCTGAGCCTCTAAAATTCGGCTGAATCTACAGTAACCCTTTAACTGCGTGACCAAGTTTTTCCAAATTTTTTTGAAACCAGGTGACTACAGTAATCTGAAAGAATTCTAGAAAATATGAATTTCAGTAAATTTTTTCTGTAATTTTTCCATTTTAAATAAAAACTGAAAATGAAAATCTTATAATTTTCAAAAATTTGAAAGAAAAAAAATTTCCTGGCAAGTTTCCCACTACAGTAGTAAAATAAAAAAATTATTCAAATTTTCTGCAGCATTGGTGGCATTCAGCGATGACGTGGCACGCAACAAACTATTTCCTTTGGCGGCCGCCGCTTATTCATCAACACCACAAACGTGTATGACGAAAAAGTTCACAAATGCTCAGGTAACATTTATGATGATTCATCATTCTCTACAGTACTCCTTCTCTCTTTTTTTCGCTTTCTCATTTGCATATACTTCTTATTCATTCATTCATTCATTCATAAATTGCACCCTTTGCGGTCACCTTGGCGCCCGAAAAAAAGCCAACAAAAAACACCTGGTAGCAGGCAGATTTGTGTCCTTGGAAGAAAATTGGCCAGGGAACGCCGAAGAAGCGATTAACAACAACAATGTGTTTTTTAGCTTCGTCGTCAAGTAAATGTGAATTGTGACGCGGGAAGTAAAAGCGATATTTGTTCGGGTTATTCGGCTGTGTTGGTGAATGATCAGGCGATTGTTTTGAGCTTCAGGTTTAGATTTGTGGGGGCAAAATGGGAATGGAGATGGGAGGGTGGAACTTTTACGACTAATCTGAACTTCACAAATTCTAGAGCTAAAAAATTGTTTGAAAATCAAATTCTGAATCAGCAGAATACATGAAATGTGATTTTGTAACTTCGAAATTTTATAAAAAAATTTAGAATCACTAAATTTCACCAAATTTTTTAAAATTACCTAATTAATTAATGAACGCTCGTTTAAAAATTGTTCAAAAATAAGCTATGACGTGGCAAATCTACCGTACTTTTCAGAAAACATTTCTAAATTACCATGTGATTTTGTAACTTCAAAAGTTTCAGAATCACTAAATTTTAGCAAAATCTTTTTAATTACCTAATTAATTAATCAAAGCTCGTTTAAAAATCGTTCAAAAATAAATTATAACGTGGCAAATCTACCGTACTTTTCAGAAAACATTCTAAATTACCATGTGATTTTTTAGCTTCAAAAGTTTATAAAAATTTTAGAATCACTAAATTTCACCAAATTTATTTGAATTACCTAATTAATTAATTAAAGCTCATTTGAAAATTGTTCAAAAATAAGTAATGACGTGGCAAATCTACCGTACTTTTCAGAAAACATTTCTAAATTACCATGTGATTTTGTAACTTCAAAAGTTTCAGAATCACTAAATTTCACCAATTTTTTAAAAATTACATAATTAATTAATTAAAGCTCGTTTAAAAATTATTCAAAAATAAGTTATGACGTGGCAAATCTACCGTACTTTTCAGAAAACATTTTTTTACTTCTAAATTACCATGTGATTTTGTAACTTCAAAATTTTATTTAAAAAATTTGCAATCACTAAATTTTGGCTAAATCTTCTTAATTAACTAATTAATTAATTAAAGCTGTTTGAAAATTGTTCAAAAATAAGTCATGACGTGGCAAATCTACCGTACTTTTCAGAAAACATTTCTAAATTACCATGTGATTTTGTAACTTTAAAAGTCTGTAAAAAATTTTAGAATCACTAAATTTCACCAAATGTTTTTAAATTACCTAATTAATTTGTTCAAAAATAAGCTATGACGTTTCAAATCTACCGTACTTTTCAGAAAACATTTTTTTTTGAATTCTTAATTACCATGTGATTTTAAAAGCTGTTTGAAAATTGTTCAGAATAGTTATGACGTGGCTAAGTTACTGTAATTTTTTGGAAAAATTTGAAAAACTAATTAATTTTGAAATTAATTGAGACTGTTTTCTAGATCAGATTCAAGAAATTTTTTTAAAATATTTCAAAACTTCCAGAGGAACTCAAAGTTTCATGCAATTAATCGAAGAGGCTAATGAAAGTGTTTTCTCCTCCCAAACTGCTTGGTCTGCTGGTGGAAAAGTCTCCAAATACTTTGCCGATGCTTTCAATCTCATCTGGACTTCTGGAATGAAAGATGATTTCACAACTTTGATCCACAAATATCCAAATTACGAAATCTGGGTGACTGGACATTCTTTGGGTGGTGCGATGGCTTCGCTGGCTGCAAGTTTCATTGTCTCGAATAAATTAGTGACTGCTTCAAATGTCAAATTGATAACTTATGGGCAACCAAGAACTGGTAACACTGATTTTGCAAATGCTCACGATGCTCAACTTCCATATTCTTTCCGTTTGACACATAATCGAGATGTTGTTCCACATATTCCAAATGAGGGATTTGAAGGATATCATCATCATAAGACTGAAGTTTGGTACAAAGAATCAATGTCATCTGGAGCCAGTTATACAGTTTGCGCTGATCAACAAGAATCCAACAAATGTTCGAATGGTTTATTGATTACCACAAGTGTTGATGATCATACACATTATTTTGGAAAAGAAGTCAGTGCATGGGGAATTGCTGGATGTAACTAATTTTTTGTCGAAAAAAAGTCGGCAAAATAAAATATTTTTCATAGTGTTTCGATGATTTTTTGAACTTCTCCACCGCCCAAACAAATGTTGCCTTTGTAGAAAACACACATCTGAAAAATATTGGAATTTTTTGAATTCTTGAAATTTCAGTCGATTTTTTGGAAATTTGGATATTGGTTCGAAAAATCCAAATTAAAAAAAATAAATTTTAGCTAGAAACATCCATAATTTTAAACATGAAAAACTTCAAAATTTCATAGTTTGAAAATTTTTGAGAAATTAAGAAATCTAGGCGACAAAAAAATCCACGTGGAATTTTTTTTGGATTTTTTCAAAGAAAATTTTTTATACTTTCCCGACAACAGTAAATATTCAAATTTTCACTAAAATATTATCCCAATTTTGAAACGTATTTTTTCCCGGTTTACTATAGCCTATTTTTGGCGCCAAAACGTGGAACTTTCTTGACTGAAAATTTTCGACGAACCTGTCCAGGTGCAGCAGCTCTCAATGGCACACGCGGTATCACTAAGATCCTCGAATTCCCAAGATTTTCCGATGAACATGGAATTGCTGGATGTGTTCGTTGAATTCGACACGTCACTGAATCCAAATCCAAATCCTCATCTTCTCTCCCAGAAATCCAATTCGGTTTCTCGATTTCAAATTTCGTCGCATAGAGTTTTGGATTATGTGAACCTTCAACAGCCAAAATATTATTTGAAGATATTTCAATATCTGATACAAAATATCCAAAATGACTCAATTTTCTCAAATATTTTCCATGGATTCGTTTTCCGATTGTGAAATGATGAATTCCGTTATGTTCCCCAATAATTTCTCCGGATTCTGCGATAATTTTTCCTTTTTTCTCTTCAATGTATTCATCGATAAATTCATCGAATTTCGCTTTCTTTCCAACAAAACAAATACCCATGCTCTAGAAAAATTCGATTTTTTTCCAGAAAAAAACATTTTTTCCTTGAAAAATAACCTCAGCTTTCTTGGCAACAGTATACAATCCTAATTCCTCTGCAATTTTTTTCACATCAGTTTTCAACATTCCACCAAGTGGAAATATCGATCGTTTCAATTGTTCCTGCCGAACTGTGCTTAGAAAATAAGTTTGATCTTTGATCGGATCTTTGGCTGTCAAAAGTTCCACACGAAGTTTCTCATTTTGTTTTTCTTGAAAATCCCCGAAAGAAGTTGAAGCATAATGTCCTGTTGCTATAAAATCAGCATCAAATTCTTGAATCATTCGATTGTGAAAATGTTCGAATTTTATTGATCGATTGCATTCGATGTCTGGAACTGTTGTTCGACCGATTTTGTAGTTTTCGAGAAATTTTAGGAATACTTCTGACCAATATTCTTTGACGAAATTGACTGTGTGGAATGGGATTTCGAGTTTGGCGCCTGGAAAATTTGTGAGGTTTTTTTTTAAAACTATTTTCATGAAAGAAAAATATTAGCTCATTTTTTAATTTTTTCAATTTCAGTTGTTCAAAAACAAAAAATGATCAATTTTGGCTGAAATTCTAAAATAACGTGACCTTTAATTGTTATCTTTCACGTGAATCTCAACAAAAAAAGTACCTAGCAAAAAAAGTACCTCACAAACTGCCAGTATTCGACAACAATCGTTTGGCAAATGGCGGAAATCAATAATGCGGGAATGTTATGACAGTACGAAAGGGAACTCCCGGTAACCAGCCGAGGAAGGTTTTACTGGAGGCCCGCGCAAGGGGCGGATTGGTTTAAAATTCTCAGGCACGAAACAATTACCGGCATTATATACGTTCTTTTGAATCTAACCTTTTCAATTAAAACATAATTCAAAAAACTAAAAAATAACTACTCAAAAAACCATTACGGTAGCGCTATCGGGCGTATTAATGTCCGGTGTTAGGTTAAATAAGTAAGTAAGTAACTAAATTTAAAAAAAAAATAACAATTTCAAAAATAAGTAAGTAACTTCGTGTCTGGGGATCCAGTCTGCCAGGTTACCTCAGGAGATATTGGCTGGATTCATCGATCATCGACGACGACGAGGAAGGAGGAGGTGAGGTGATTTTTGGGAGGTTTCTTTTCAGGTGGACCGGGGGCTTCTTCTGGCTGGCATGGCAATCGAAACAAACCGGACCTCTGGTTTGAACCAGCCTAGGACCGTGTTTTCTTACGTGAGGCCCGGCAACGGGGCGCTGTACACAAACTTCTCAGATACCGCACAATCCTCTTCGGGGGTTATGCTAAATTCACGGGTTGGCTTGAGACAAAGTTGCTGGGAAGCAACTTTTACACATGCTCTTGTCCAATTCCTTTAAATCTATCCAACACGATCCGAAATATCAGGCGACTTTGCGTTTCTTTTTTCAACACTCGTAGTTAACTATATTTATTTTCACTACTTTTCATTTATCATATCTAAATTCAAAAACAAAAAAATCTTACTTACGACTTTTTTTTAGTTTAACTTCATAGAAAAAATCAAAAACCGATAGCGCTACCGGGCGTATTGTCGTCTGATGTGGCAGGATTGTCAAGTTTGAATATATACCTCGGTATATATTCAAACTTTATTCCCAAACTTCTACCAAATTTCTTGGGTATCTGGGGTAATTGTTTGTGTATAGTTGCTAGGTGAACTAGAGGCATATGATGGAGGAGATCGACGACGACGAACTAATAAGCCTTCGGTCCGGGACGGCGGGTTTCAGATTTTCATAACAGATCGAGATCGATAGATTCGGGACACGGCCCCCGAATCTCCTCCGAGGATCTTTCACATGGGAAAGGGAGGGGGCCTTCTCAAAAGGTTGGCCTCACCGATGGCGAGAAGGTGTAACCCCGATTTGTCGGCAAATTGGGGGCTAACAACCGTAGTTACCGCCTCTCCCTTTTTGAGATTAGGTCAGGTAAGCTGGCCTTGTAAGCTAGGTTAGTGTGATTTCCAATTTTTGAACAAAAAAATTTAGCGGGGTGTTCTCATATCCCAAAAAATAATAAATGAGGGTTCCTCTAATTTTTTTTTGGGTTAGGAGAAAAAAACGTGGATTAAACTAGGTCACGTATTTTTTAATTGGTAAATTATTTTCAAAATTTATTATTTGACCTAGATTTTTCACGTGAGAATTTTTCAAACAAAAATTGCTGATATTTTGGATTCGATCGGAAGTTATTTTCAATTTTGCATCACAAAAATTCAGCTGTTTCGATTTGGAATAAGATCGATAAAATGGATTTCGAGGAGGAGAATAACTTTGAAACATGTGAATAAAAATTTAAAAACTATGCAAAATTTCCGGTTTTCTATTGAATTTTTGATTGTTAATATTTTATTTTGCAGAAAGTACAGCTTCTTGAAAATATTCTGGACTAACAATAAAATTCCTTTTCAAAAAACTCACAAACCGCTCGTGCATCACTTTCATCTTTAGTTCTTGGACAATTCGATGTTCCCTCTTCCAGCGGATCCCAATTTATCTGGAAAAAAGTCCTGTATTTTTAAAATCTGGAAATTCCTCACCATGTGAACTCCAATCACATCAAATCCTCTCTTTTTCAACAAATATGCTGAAACTGCACTATCGACACCGCCCGACATTCCAATCACAACTCGTTTCATCTGGAATTTTCTAGAATTTTGATGATTTTTATCGAGATATTAGTGATCAGTGACTATGTTCTTTCCTTTTTCAAAATATCGATGCGAGCAAATTTTATGAAAACCCGTTGACAAAAACCTAACCTAATAAAATAATAAAATTAAAAATCTAAGACTAATTATTATTTTTCTTCTGTTCTATGGCTTGTTTCATAGCTTCTTTGGAAGTTTTCTCGATTTGATCAATTTCTTGAAGTCGTTTATTTAATCGATCATGTTCTTCTTGACGAAGTTGAAGAATTGCTTCGCGAACTTTTTGCTTCTCATCGGCTTCAAGCTGAAAAATAAAATTCAAATGGAATTTCAGTCGAAAATTTATGATTTACCCTCTGATATTCGCTCAAAAATTGCTCATTCTTCCCTATTTTCCTTATATTTTCCCTCAATCCTTTCGCCTCATCCATAATCATTCGTTGATCAGAATAACCTTGTAAATGATCTTGCAATGCTGCGAGTTGATGTTTATTAACAACTTTTTGCTTGTCCTTTCTCTCAAATGGCCGGAAATATTCGAAAATTTTATCCAAAGTTTCCGGATTGACACGAGATGAAACTGCGTGATTTTCAATGAATTCCAATGATTGTTCGCGTTGTTTTTGTGAAGCTTCGGAAGTTGGAGGAACTTCGAGTTCTTGTCGAGCTCGCATATATTCTAAAGCCTCGCGAAACATCAATTTATCCTTTGGGATTTTTTCAACTGGTGGCTCATAAAATCCATATTCCCAAATTGGATCATTTCGATGCAAAAACTCGGATTCTCTAGTCGGAAGATCTTTTGTCGATGTCCATCTTTCAACAGGATCTGTTGATTTGATATTCATTTTATTCATATTTCCAATCAATTTTTCGTGCTTGGTTTCTAGATCCTTTTTGACTTCCTCACTTATTGCTCTCGGTTTTTCTGTTGGATATTTTGGAGCAAGAATCTAAACATTAGAAATATTGGTGAAAAATTTATATATAAAAAACTCACTTTAGTTTCACCCTTTTCGATCTTTTCCACGTGTTCCACTGCCTTCTTTTGGAATTGGCCATTTTTGACGTTTCCTCCAATCTTATTCCACAGTCGCTTCATTCGTCTATCTGAACTTTTTTTCGGTTGAAAAATTTCGAGAAATAAAAAAATGATGCAACGGTTTCAAGGAACATCAGACATAGCCTCTGGGTCTCGGACCGAAGTACGGTATTTATTCAAGGAACATTTTAAAACGTGAAATGGTCTTGTTGGGATAACATAAATGGGTACTTTTGAAGTCCTCCCGGAGAACATGACAATTTTTTAAAATTTTTGTTGTTTTTCACGAGTTCTGGGCTATTTCTTCATATTTCTGAAGTTTCTAGGCAGAAAAACTTACAAAATAAAGATCACTGATAGATTATTTCCCAACGTGTTCAAAAATATAACGTTTCTACGTAAAATTAACCGAAAAACCCCAAAAATAACATTTTTGTCGTAATAAATAGGCTGTTTCAAAAATAAGGCAACACATGTTCGCTCTATTGCAAACAAAAAACTGATCAATAACTAAAACCTCGTCATTGCTCTAGTACTACAATTTGTACTTTTTTTCCAGAAATTATTTATTGATTATCAATTTTTTCAGTGTCAGAAATGACAGCGGACGCAAATCGAAGCGAGTCGTTGTTATGTATGGACAAAGCGCGGGAAGCTATAAAGGTATATCGATTTTTCTGCAAAACAAAAAAGATTTATTTAATAATTCCTTGAATTTTTGCAGACGGGCGATGCGGATAAAGCTCGACGAATGTTGCAAAAAGCGAAAAAGTTGGATCCGGCTCAAAATATAGATTGTGAGTGTTTTTTTTTTCGAAAGCAGAAAGAAGTACATTGAAAAACAGTTGTTGATCAGCTGGTTTTTGTTAGGTACAAAATCAAATAAGTGTATTTTTGCTCAGATTTGAACAAAAAAATCGACGAAATGAACTCTTCTCAATCTTCTAGTCGTGCTTCAGAAGAACGAAGTTATGCGCATGATGATCATTATGAAGAGCCAAATTTGAGACAAAGACATAGGAGCCCTAAACAAAATGGTTAGTTTTTTTAAAATTTATCTATTGAAGTGAACTGGTTTTCTTGAAGGATCTGCGAAAAAAGAGCCGAAGCCCCGTTCGGAATCCAGAACTCCAAAACTTGGCGTGGATTACACTAAAGAACAATTAGAACTTGTTGAAAGAATTCGCCACTGTAAAGATTATTATGAAATTTTGAAAGTGGATAAGAAAGCGTCGGAAGAAGATATCAAAAAAGAATATCGAAAAATGGCTTTGAAATTGCATCCGGATAAATGTAAAGCGCCGCATGCAACTGAAGCATTTAAAGCATTAGGAAATGCGTATGCGGTATTGTCTGATGCTGATAAACGATCACAATATGATAGATATGGAAGTGAGGTGACAGCAAATGGTGATTCGCCTTCGAGAAGACGACATGGTGGAGGTTCTTTCTTTGAACATGATTATGCACATGGTTTTGAAGGTATTTTTGTTGGATTTTGGGGGAGAAATTGAAAATTACCATGATTTGAAAGAAAAGTTGATTTTGTTGGAGGACAACTTCAAAAAATGCATAAATAAAGTTGTTTCCCGGTTCTAAGCTCTGATTTTTAACCGTTCATTTTCTCCATGCTAAGATTTAGCTTCTTCCTCTTTGAAACCTGTTTTAAAAACTTAATTTCTTGAAAATTTTCCATTTTTTTAAAAAGTTTTACCATGTCTCTGTTCAAAATTGACTCTGGAATTAGTTCAGGAGTTGCTGTAAATGCTGCATTTTCTAAATTAGGCGAAAAATTATCCCATGAAAATTTCCCCCAAAACCAACCCATTTTTCAGCTGAATTCACTCCAGAAGAAATTTTCAACATGTTCTTCGGCGGCGGTTTTCCAAACGAAGGACTTCGTCGAAGAGCCAGATTTCAATCTCAACGTCAACAGCAACAACAACATTATCATTATGATAATCAAGCGAATTCGCCGTATGGTCCAATTTTACAACTTCTCCCACTTATTGCTATTTTTGTACTCGGACTTTTGGCGCAATTAATGGTTGGAGAACCCGCATTTTCGCTGCATCAAACACCGTATGTTTTTGATTCTTTTTTGTTTTTGACACAAAAACTATGTTCATCTATTTTTCAGTAAATATACTCACCATCGTCTGACAAAAGATCTCAAAGTACCATATTTCGTTAAATCTGATTTTGAAGCGGCTTATCGCGGAAGATTGAGAAATGTCGAACAACAGGTCGAAGATGATTATATACAACAGCTGAGGATGAATTGTTATAAGGAACAGAATTTGAGTGAGTTTTTTTGAGGCTTGGAAAATATTAGGGGGTTTTCTTGATTAAACCATCTGAAATTCTGTCAGAAAAATCCGAATTAGAAAATCTAGAAAAAAATACTATCTTTATTTCAATGCAGGTATTAATTTCAATAAAATTTAATTTTTTTATCGAAAAAAAAATGATTTTTTTTAGAAACATTTCTTGAAAATCTTGAAAATTCAAATTGGTCTTTTTCGAAAAATCATTAAAAATTTACCATATGAGAAAAAAAACAAATCAGCTAGTTTTCCCATTTTTTTGCCAAAACCATAGTTTCTTTCACCTTCCAATAGAAAAAAAATCAATTTTCCTCCCCCAGGAGAAACAAAATTATATCGAGCCCGATGGATGCGCGACGAAGCTCTAATTCAAGAAGCCGAACGAACACCAATGCCAAGTTGTCGAAGGCTCAACGAAATATATTCGAAATAATATCTTCTAGTCATCATATTTATTTAGGCCCCCTCTTTTTTTTAAATTCCATCCAAAATTCCTCCATTTTTTTCTTCGTCTACATAAAATATACGGGATTTTCTATTTAATTGTTCATTATTTCTTCTATTTAACAAAATCTAATGATTCTTGTCAATTGCCACATTTTCTTTTCTCTTCCATTTTTGTGTGTTTTTTCGGCTCAAGATTCTGTGATTTTTTCGTTGCGGAATGAATATTTTCTAATAAGAAAATGGGACATTTTGGTGCTTGTTTGCACCTTTCGCCAAAATAATAATCATTTTGCATACATTCAACCACACAATCATAAAATGTTTGATGTATTCATGTTTGAACATTGCATTTATTTCTTGATTGTTTGTTTGTTTTCACACGATAGCAGCGATGATTCTATTCGCCGCCATTTTTGCATTTTACCTCTTTTTTTGGGTGAAAATATTTATTCGAAATTTGATCTCAAAAATAATGTTAGCGCGTGGCTCAGCTGGTAGAGCTTTTGCGTTTCGTTCAGCCGACCTGGGTTCGAACCCCGGCTCGGTCAGATTTTTTAAAATTTTCGATTTTATAAGAGCTCACAATATTTTTTTTGGTGTTGTTGATCTAAAATTTTTTGACTCTTGGAAGAGAACACATGGCCTAGAAAACCAAAAATTAACCTTTCCGTTACAAAAGATCAAAGGAGCCGACAGAGTATACTGTATTTCTTATTGGTTTCAAAATGTTAATATTTTTCCACCATAAACTCCCAAATTTCCAACATCCTTTCTTCAAAAAGTACAAAAATCTAAAAATATTCCAAACTTATCAATTTTATCAAGACCACCACACAACATAAACCTCGAAAAGTGTTTTATTTTTAGAATCCGAAACGCATTAATTTTTTTTTTCCTCCCCACAGAAGCGTATTTTTATCATTTTTTTCCCTGTCTAATTATAATTTTACCCGATTTTTTGCTTGTCATGTTACTCTGGTTTTTGTGAAGAAGAAGAAGAAGAAAAAGGTAGTATCGAAACAGCGAGGTAAAAAAAAACGTGGATTGTTTGCTTTTCCGAGCGCGCTCACAAAGGCACACATCAAAATCTACCAATATTTTTTTGTTCTATCGGTTTTTCCTATTTTACTTTTCTAATTTTTTTTAATTTTTTGTTAATTTTCCGATAATTAATTAGCCATGGATTAATTAAGATATTTTCTGAAACTTTTACCCAAAATTTCATTTCGGGCTCCTTTCAGAGTTTCTTTAATCAAAAGTTCAGTTAAGTACCTTAAAGTGCATATTTGCTTTTCCCTTGTTTTTACGAAAAAAAATGAGAGAATTTAGAATTTTTTCCAACTGACTCATCTTTCGAATGAATCAAGCAACACATTTTTGAAAAGCAAATATTTAGTACTATGAAACGCTATGACTCATCGTGTTACCGGAGATGTAAAATTCAAATTTCAAAAATTTTTGAGTCATTTTTGATATTTCTCCCTTTCCATCTTCTCGTTTTCAAATATTTTTTTTCTACATTTCTTCCGAAAAAATCGTTTAGTACTATTTTCACACGAATAATAAAATTCTTGGTGTCTTCTTCCCATTTTCATAGCAAAAGCAAAATCAAATATGACTCATCCGTACAAAATTGATTTTCTTTTCTGTAGTTTTTTTGAAATTATTCATATTTTTTTTTAGTTTTCCGTAGTGCAATATCAAATTTCTTCTTGTTATTTTTTTGTGTGTTTGTCTTACCTGGGAAAACGAGGGTTTCGAAATATTTGTTATGAATCATGGGTTTTGATTTTTTGTAGGCTATTTTTAGAGTTAGGTTCTGAAAGTTATAACTTTTTTATAAATCTTTATAAATATTTTTGATCTACCAGAAAAAGTTTGGGGTCTAACTATTTTGAGTAGTAAATTACACACTGTGAAGTTACAAAATTTGTAGTTCAAATTTTTGAAAAAGCCTCGTGGCGTTCTAAAATTTTGATTTCACGTAACTTATCTCACATTTTCTCTATAGAGAATATGAATTAAACCCAAATTTCAAAATTCAAGGAATTTGAACCTTTTCCTGTTTTCCCGTTAAAAAATTGACCATGTTTTTTTCCACGATGATGATTCACCCGTCTTCTTTTCCTTCTTTTCAACCCCCCTCCTTTTTCATTTTATGGCTCGAACAAACAAAAAATTTTTGATCAATCATATCAATAATATATTTTTGTCGTTGTGTGTGTCGATAACACCATATACACACTTTACGACCAGCCGACGAGCAAATCATTTACAACCTCTTCTCCAGCAGCTTTTCAATAATAATACATTGTTTTTGTTTCAGGCTAATTATGGGCCTCAAATGTCTAGTGATATTTTATATATTTTTATTGTTTCGATTAGATGATGCACAAATTCAACAATCAAATTCGGCCAATATTAATCAGAATTTAGGAACTGGTGATGCGGGAACTTTGTATACTGGAACTGGGACTAATTTATATTATGGTGTTAATTTAGTGCCTTTCGGCCCGGAAGTTGGAGATCATGAAGTTAATCCTGGACTTTTGACAGCTGGTCAAACTATTGATCTTCATATGTATTTTCCATATTATGGAGGATTATACAATTACACAACAGTGAGTTTATTTTTTTTTAATTTTGAAACTTTCTTAAAAATCTGTGTATTTAGCTATCTGTAAATGGTTACATTGGTTTTGCCACTGTTCTTGATCAAGGTCCAACAATCAACGTGGGTCCTGATATGACTGATTGGCCACGTCACGAAGATCCAGCTATGATCGCCCCGTATCTTTGTAAACAACAAATTCCACAAAATTTGAACCCTGGAATGCGTGCTGGTGTATTCTATCGTTTGATAATGCGACAGTCATTGTTTGGAAGACAATCGGGAAGTAACACAAATCTTGGAGGTTCAAGCAGTTACAGTTCTTCATTTTTCGGATCATCCGCAAACAATGTTTGCCCAGGAACTCCGGATTCATATGTTAGATGTGATTCACAAGCTGATAACTTTTTGGAATTAATGCAACAGTGGTTAACTGAAGGTTAGCATTATTTTTTTGAATTATAAGTCTTGCTAACGTTATCTGAATTTTTAGGTGTTGCTGGAGCTGCTGCATTCCGCGCCGATGCTGCTTTAGTTGTCACTTGGTACAACACAGCTTCTGCGATTTCAGGAAGATCTGATATTGACGCAGGCCAATTGGCGACATATCAAGTTATTTGGCTCACCGATAAGGTAAGTACGAAATATTGATTTCTGAAAACCCGTGTTATCTTATCAAAAATGGAAATTCGACTTTCCATGAGGCATTGTGTCAACAAACCATCTCTTTAGCACCATATTAACACTTTATGTACATAAAAATAGACCGACCAAAGGAATAAGGGAACAAGGAAAATATAAAATGTAACTTTTTATAGACTGCTCGTTTGTCATATGTGATTATGAATTATGATCGTCTCGGATTCGATGCCGCCGATTTCCGACTCAACTCTCGATCTGGAAGATGTCAGGTAACCTAACATAAGTCCTTGAGTGTTGAAATATTTACATTTATATGAGTCAAGACATTGTTTGTTTACCCGTAACCGTAGTATTTGTTTAGATGGAATTGATTGGAAACATCCGGAAAATGTAAAATTTCAGGCGCTTTTCAATGGTGGAAATCATACCGGATTGGTGCCAGTTGATCCAACTCAAAACTTCAAAAATACCCCAAAAGTTTTGGCTCAACGTTCTGGAGTTCCTCAAATGGTTCGTGGTCGTTATATGTTCAGAGTGGATGATGTTGTTAGACCGGCTGGATGTTCTAATAAAACTGGAGGAACATGTAAGAACTTTGAGACTTTCAGAAATACTAGAAACTTGAAATGATTTTTTAGACCCAATGTTGATCTATCCAAACATTGTAAACATGTTGGGAGAAATGACAGTTGATGTGAATGCGATTTGCTTGGACAAATCACAAACTTATATTCTTATGATTGAACAACGTCAAACTGCGACGTGTACTGTTCTAACATCTGCAATTGCAAGATGTAGTTTACCAAAGATTTACGATTGGGGAACAAAAACTGTCTATTTCCAACCGCAAAGTGGTGGAGCAAATGATGAAAAGGCTTTTGTTGGATACATTTATTTTGTGCCTCCGACGCTTGACCCAATGAGGTTAGACATTGGAAATGTCTATGATTGGTTTAAAAATCCCCTTCCCTACACAACTATGCCGATCACCTGGTATCCAAGGAATTTCACAAACCCTGAAGCTTCTCAGCGAATGGATCAACTTCGAATCAACGATGATTCATTGTACAGTACCCAATTGGGATTATATGTTGTTGCTTATCGTGAATATAAGGATGATAATGTGAGTTTACTAATGAAAATAGATGGAAGATCAATAATGAAAATTTGTATTCTAGATCAAAAAATTCCGACCTGAACATCGTGTGATTGCTAGACTTGCCACGTATAGCAACAAAAATACCTATGAATATCGCTGGAAGCCACAAGAAGAACGAATCAATTTATATCAAGTCGAACATTGGTATATGTCAGATTGGGAGAGAAATCATGAATTATTCCAATATCGATTCGGATATTTGAAATTGGCTCCAGTCACATCGAATACTGAAAGCAACCTTGATCAACTCACCGGACTCGTCTCTCATCCAATTTCACTCCATTTCCTCTGGACGACAAATAATCCACAATTCACAACAACCACTTATGCTAATCAAGATCAAGCGGCTCGAACTGAATTCATCAAGAAGAAATCGCTCGAAATGTGTCACGATTGGTACGATGAAGATGGTGCACAATGGAACTTTATCAGAGATACTGAAACTAATTCATCTTGCCCGTGTATTGAAAGACAAGCGATTGCTGATATTGGAAGGTTTATGCCACATCCAAGATGTTCACAAGCTTTCCGTGATATCACTTGTACAACATCGATTGGCTCCAGAAATTGTTATATGTCATCTCAAAATGTTATGACAACTTATGCTGGAGATGGAAGACATTTCACATCAGAAAACACTGCGTAAGAATTTTCCTCTAGTTTTCAAAAACATGCCTGAATTTTCAGCCGTTTCCCAACACATTATGGACAAGTTTGCTGTTATGATGATCAAGGACATCTTATGCAAACATCTTATCAACCAGTTATCAAAGTAACTCCCGATGTTCCGTATAATCCTGGTTTCCCAATGAGGGCTTATGAATTTGGAACAACACCTTATATGGGTCAATATGAAGTTCCTGGTCTTTCTGCATTCCACAATGATTATATGCCATATTTCCTTTGTTGTAAATTTGCTGATTTCCGTTGTCAAATGTTCTACTGGAGAAGACCATCATCTGGTTGTCAAGAATATCAGCCACCAGCTTATGGTGAAGTTATGGGTGCTGGTACATTCAACACAATTGATAACGATAAATTCGTTTTCAATGAGCCAGGAGTTTTCAATGCGTTGTATATTCCAAAAACTCTTGCAACACCAGAAGTGAAGGTTCAACTTCGATTGGAAAGATATCCAAATCGTCGAGTGGATTTCAGTTTGTTGGGAAGATATATGTCACAACAAGATTTGGTGCAACCAACAAATGCGACAGTCGTCACTGGTGTTGTTCTCGAAGCCACCGGCACTGATCGTGTTCATGTTTTGTCGCGAAAAGATACACGTCGTTTCCGTTACCGTACCTCAATCATTGTTGGAAATATTCTTCGATATTTCGACACAATGAGAATTCAAAGATTCCGAGGAGTTATGGTTTATGTGAACAATGTTGAGAGAGGACAACCGGAAATTTATGTGGTTTTGGAAGAGGCACAAATTGGTATTCGAGTTAGAGAAAGTTATGCGATTGATATTGATCGATTGACTGATTATCAAGAAAGTATGGGAATGTTGAATGTTGCCATTTCGGTTCCACCACAATACGGAGTTGTATGTTTTCTTAACTCAATTTTTTTTTGAACAAAAAAATAGTCAAATATTTTCAGAGACCAGATGGAGATAAAACTCGCGAACAAGAACTTCGTCAACGTTATGCCCTGCCACGTGTCAGCGGTCTTTTCCGTCCATATCCAGATCAAACATCTGGAAGTTATTCAACAACTTTGACATTGAATGATGTCAATTCGGAAAGTATCAGACAACAAATCATCGCCAATTGTAAGAAACTTTTTGAAAAACTGAACACATAATTATTTTTTTATTTTTCAGACCGTGTTCAAGGATCTGGTGAACCTGGAAGCGAACAAAATATCAATTCTGGTAATCAATACAATCTTCCAACTGAAAACATGTTCACAACAAGTCGAGATGAAGACAAAAAGTTCGAAGTCTTCCCAGAAGCTTACATGAAGAGTGGACCAATTTATAAAACAGCACCAAAATATGAAACTGGAGCATATCGATTTGTTCCAGTTACCGGAACTGTAATGAATCAACGATTGCAAACTTGTAGAGATATGCAACAATCAAATACTAGTGAGTTTTCGAAAACAATAGAACCTTTTATGATTAATTTTTTCTAGTCAATATGCAACCACTTCAATCATCTCTGACTTCCGAATATGGTCAAACTCAATGTCCAGATAATCCGGCTGCTGTTATTCAAGATTGTGGAGATTCAGTTCCATGTTTGTATGATTATTATTCTTTGAACGCCAAAATTCTTGGATTGAATGTGAAAAATGAATGGAACGTATTCACAACTGATCGATTTGATGCATCAAGACAATGTGAGTTTAGAGAAAAATGAAATTCAACCAGACAAACAAAATTTTCAGATAACAGTTGTGGTGTGATCAACATTGAATACCCAGAATATTTGATGAAGACATCTTCATTAGCTTCAGCTTATATGCAAGGAGATGTTGCTCGCTTCGAATGTTTCCAATCTCACTGGATCAAAGGAGTTCACGAATATAAATGTGGAATTGTTGCTGAATATAATCGACCAGATGTTTGGCGATACGAATGGAATAAGGGTGAACAACCGTGGTGTAGATCAAGAGAAAAGGAAAATTTCCTTATTTGGCTTTCGATTGTTTGTGGAATTTTGGGAGCAATTCTTGCTATTATGTTCTTATTCTTGTGTTGTTGGGTGGTAAAACAAAAGAAACGAGCGGAAAGAAGACAATTTGGAGGAGATGTTCAAAGTCGAAGAAGTTCGATTAGTCGAGATAATAATAAGAAATATCCAGTTATGGAATCTGAACCATTGAATCAAGACAAACGATTTGATCAAGACACATATCGAGACGATGATTATTATCCACCAGCCAAAGAGTATAATCCAGATACTTTTGGCTTGAAAACATCTGTATAAAATTATTAATTAGTCTTCATTAAAATTATTTTTTTTCTTTAACATCAATTGGTCTCATAATTCTTCAAAGACTTTTCAAGTTGTATCAATTTGTTCTGTGATTTTTTCTTGTTGTGCCTTCGTTTTACCCCCAAACTTATTATTTGTACTCTGCCATGACTTTTCTCTGATGATTAAATATCGAAAATTCCATTCGAAAAACTATGTATTTATTATTTTTTTTTTTATTTTGAGGATGAATAAATATTTGAAACGTGACCTCTAGATAATTCTGTGGCAAATTACGTGGCAAAAAAAACAGAAAAATTAGAATTGCAAAAAATCCGGTATTTCCTAGTTAACATGAGCGGAGAACAGATTGAGTCCGAAATAAATCAAGAAAAAACAAGTGAGTTAGAATCAAAATCAATTATTCATGAATTGAATCAATTTGCAGAACCTGAATCAAGTCTCACAATTCACACATATAACAGTGCTGCGAATCTCACGGAGCACCAAACAATTTTGCTCGATCCGAACGAATATCTATTTGATATCGCAACAAAAAACTCATGTGTCCGCCCGCTTGAAAACTTCATCAAACTTTTATCAAAATCGAATGTTCCCCGCGAATTCACATCTTTTATGTCAGTTCCACTAACTCGAACACGAACAGTTGATGCATTTTTTGACAATATAGAAGCCAACAAATACCATGAGGATGTGTTGGTTTATGAGAAAACTCGAGTTCGAGTACCACACACCAAACTTGGACATGATTATATCAATGCTTCTTGGTTGGATGGATTTCGCGAAACTCGAAAGTTTATTGTTACTCAAACACCGTTGTCATCCACTGTTTCACAGTTTTATCGAATGATTTATGACCGGAAATCTTATGTGATTGTATCGCTTGCGGAACTCATTGATGAGAATGTAGGTTTCAATTAGGAAAGGAAATTTCTCAAAGAAAATGGGCGAAAATGTGGAACAGGGCCACGTTTTTTTTAAATGTCACGTGACATGATATTTCGAAATTTTTTTGAAGTGGAATTTCAGAATTTCGCAAAGAATCACAGGCTTAAAAAAACAAAAAAACAGCTCCCTGAATACAAAAAAGGGAAAAAAACAAAAAGAGTGCTGAAAACTCATAAAAATTCTGCTCCGTATTTAACTTTTGCAAAGCATTCGCTGCCGTGGACAAAGCGCACAACAAATGGAAATTTATATGAAAAGCTTTTTTCCACGGAAAACGCAAAAACCCCCGTTGAAACAGGCGCAACTTTCGCGAGAAAAAAAAATAAATAATTTTGAATTTTATTTCGCTAAACAACAGGCAAGCGCACAAACGGAGTGTCGTACTAAAAAACAGGCAAAAGAAATCGGAGTGTTGTCGGGTTTCTTTTTTTTTTTGCGCTTTTGCCCAAAAGATACCTGTTAGAAAATTACTTTGAAAATATTCCAAATTTTCAGAATCAACCATACGTTCCTCAAAAAATCGGAGATGTTCTCAAATTCGATGAATTTTCCATTGAGATGTCGTCGATTCGTCAAATCACATCGACTTATCACTCGGCAACTTTGAAACTGACAAAAGAAGGACAAGATACTCGTCAGATTATTCTACTAGTTTATCATGGTTGGGGAGTTTCGGGATATCCACGTCATCCATCGGATATTCATAAGATTATTGCCGATATGAATCATATGAAAACGATTTTACGAAAAAAGGCATTGGATGAAAATATGACGGAGGAGAAGCAACCGTTAGTTTTTATTCTGAATTTCAGAAGTTAATATTAAAAATTTTCAGATTTCCGATAACTTTGATGTGTTTCGATGGTTTATCTCGTAGCTGTGTTATCGCGGCTCTCGATATTCTTTGTCGCCGCCTCGAACATTCAACAGCTCTCGGAACTCCTTATGTGGATGTTCTCGACACAATCGCAAGACTTCGAATGCTTCGCGCAGCGGCTTGCCCAAAAGCTGAACATCATATTTTCCTATCAATGGCGATTTTGGAGTTTGGTATTCGACGAAGAATTATCAGTAGAGAGATGTTGGCTGAAATTGATTTATCAGGATTCGTTTTGTCTGGTGAGGTTAAATAAAGTTTTTATTTATACACGAAGATTTCAAAGAAATTTATTTTACAATTTTATTGGGATCCTCCAAAATGGTTAGTTTGTGTAAATTCGGGGAAAAATTGAGCAACAATGTCCCTGTTGAATACCGGTGTTAGACGAATTCCATCAGCCCAATCGCGCGCCAATGGTTTGTTGAGAATATTTGGATCTTCTAACATTCCCGGAGGTCGAAGAATTTCCTCAATCGATTTTGTGATTTGTAGAGGAAGTTTTGGGAATTGCAAATTATTGGGTCGATAAACTTCTGGAGAATAATTCATGTCGAAGTTTTGATGAGCAAGGAAATGATGTGTTTGAGGTGGTGGAAGAGAAAGTGGCAGAGGAGAAAGATCGGGAGGTGAAAATTGAATATTCTTCCTTGTTGTCACTAGTAAATCCAATACTTCTGGATTTATAATATCCACTAGAATTTTATAAAATGGAACTGGTGGCGGATTTTCGATGCGGGAAAATGATGGACTCAAATATTGACGAATTGTTGTAGATAAGTTCTGAATTTTTAAAAATTTGGAATGATTTTTTCAAGAAGAAATTGTTCACTCACTCTAGTTTCATTGAGAAAATGAATCAGTGAACTCATATAACTCGCTGAATGCATTGATGTTTTACTCCGACTCGATTTTATAACCTTGAACAAGAGTTCAGATAAATTATCTCGTTCTTGCGTCAAACTTTGGTTTAGCCAATTTGATAGAATTGTACTTTCAGAAGTTGAGATTATATAAGCTTTTACGATTGAATATTCGACAAGTGATGGCGGTTTTTTGGTGAACGATTCGAAAACATCTCGTAATTTGTGGGTTATTTGAGTTATATCGCTGAAAAAACCAGGGTTGCCAGGATTTTGAGAGAAAAAATGATTTCTTACAGTGGAAGAAGATTGAAAGACTGTTTGAAATCTTCTAACCCATTTGGCCCTTTTGTTGTATGTCTTGCAATGGAATCTAACAAAAGACACGGAATCATTGAATTACTAATCAATGCACATTTATCCTCCACACTAAATTTTCTTCCCTCAACATCTTCAATCAAACCAAGATATCGATCAACATAGTCGATGACTTGAACAATTTGAAAAATTGACAAAAAATTATCGGCATCACTGCGAGATGGCGAAATATTATCCAGAATAGTTGAATTTCTGGCAAGCGCTCTGTCAGCAATCAGAGCCTTCAAATTGAAGTCGGCGATTCCTTCAATATTCTTATCCAAACTTTGAGTCTCATTGTCGATTTTTGCCAACTCTGATAGCATTTTACGATGTGTTGGTGATAGAAATGAAGTCCAATCTGATGGATCTTGCAGGCGGTTTGACATGCTTCTTGTGAGCGATTTCTTTTTTGACAGTAAAGATTTGGTTTTCTTACATTTTTCACGATCAGGACGAACATCTAGAAATTTCGGTTTGGTTGTTAGGGAGAGATACAAGTTTTTTTTTTAAACTTACAATCCGGATTCATTCCAACCAAAAGACATTTTCTGAATCGACAATATCGGCAAGCATTTCGTTCGGCTGTAAATAAAAAAATTTTGATAGTTACTTCTTTGTTTGCCACGTCATAGCTCACATTTATTCACTTCACATGATTTTTCGAATCGACAAACATATTTGTTCCTGCCATCTTTGACAGCACGACGGAAAAATCCTTTACAACCAAAACATGCCAACACACCGTAGTGAATCTGAAAATTTAAGAATGTAAGGTGTGAATCCTAGCTTTAAATGAAAAAAGGTAACCACAAAGCCAGGGAAAAAAGTTCAAAATTTAAAAAAATGTGGAACTTTTCTCAAGGTCCAGACAATTTTATGTCATGTTTTTTTTTCGCAGTTATGCTAAGTCGAACTCACCTTAGCCGGTGTATCCCCACAAACTGCGCAAGGTCTCAAATAGTTGTGCTGATGCATTTTGCTCTCAATCGATTCCTCATTCATTTATTATGTTTTATGTTTCCTTCTCGTAAACCCGGATTCGCGATCTCTGAATGGTCTTTTTTGTTAATTGTTACAAGCTTAATTTCTGTTGATCGCGAAACGAGAAAAAAAACGACACACAAAAAATGAATGAAAAATTTGCATGAGAGAGAACAATAATAAAATGTGATTCAAAAAAAAAATCTATATTTCAATTTCTATTTTTTGTTGAAAAAAAAAGAGTATTTATTTGAAATTGAAGAGAGAAAAATGGGCAGAGAAAAAAAGAAAAAGAGTTTCGCTACTGTTTGCCCATCGAATATTGTTATTTGGACAGTTTTATCAAAAGTTCACAAAAAAGAGGGGATTTTTTTGTTCAAACATGTCGTTTTTTGTGTTAGATCGAAAATTTATTTGTTAGAACATCATAGATCAATTGAATGCATAATCAGATGGTTCGGCTTTCTCTTTTTTCTTTGGAGTTCTCTTAACTTCGTCGTGATTTCCAGCTACTCCCGGTCCTCCAGGCGAATCATCTTTATCCGACTCCAAATCGGTTTTCGGAACCGTTTCCTCCGCAACTTTTTTGAGCATCAAACTTGCGATATCAACTTTCTCCGATTTTGTTTCAACATCTTTCTTGTTGGCGTCTTCAGCAGATTTCTGGAAGAGAAAAACTTAATGCTGAAAATGTTGGGACTAAGCATACCGCCTGATTTTTCTTCGGCTCATCTTTCGCTTTTTTCTCCGACGATTTTTTCCGCTCAACTTTCGGTTTTTCACTAGCCTTCTTTGACGGTGTTTTGGGTTTGTCCGATTTTGGATTCGATTCGACTTTTGATAAATTCTCGCTTGTGGCCTGAAGAAAAATGTGTTAAGAAAATAATGATTTTTGCCACGTGAACAGATAGATTTTAACCTCAAAAAGCTGGAATTTTGTAAAAAGAATTTTCGAGATTTTACAGTCTGACACTGAGTTTTCTGAAATATGAAATACTTTTGAATTTGGCTGGAAAATCTCTATTTTCCCAAAAATTTTGATTTTCTCCAGAACTTTTTTCCCGTTCCTCTCTCAGAACTCACCCGCTTCGAATCTTTCACCGCCGGTTTTTTGCTCGAACAACCTGTCAATAATGAAACCCATCCGAATATACAAAACATGAACAACATTTTGATTAAATTGTTTTCGATAATTATTAGAGTCATTTCATAAGCTGTCAACGAATAAGAAATACGTTATTTGAGATTTTTGGTCGCAAAATGGGTCAACACGAAATTTGGGTCACGTTGGGAGAATTCATTTTTTTTTTGAAAAAATATCAAAAAAAAATCTTATGATTCAAAAAGAACCCCACCAAAGTTCTAAATTTTCAACAACAATAAAGATAAAAATAGTCATTCCTCAAATTTTTGTTTTCAAATTTTCACACCTACACTATATTTTGTACATACATAGATCGCCAACATTTTTCTCAAAGTGAAACACCACCAAAAAACAATTAAATTTGGGTTTAATGGTTTTTTTGATAAGCATCTTCTCATCATAATTCTAACAGCTCCCAATTTGGTCGTCACAGAAAAATGACGAAATATGCGAAACATGTAAGATTTTACATTATAAATTTCAAAAAAAAAAGAAATTTTTTTCAGATTCATTATTTTTGCACAGTTAGTCTGTATATAATTTTTATCCTATGTATTTTTATGAATTTTTATGTTTTATTGAGTCGCGAAGATACAATATATTATTTGAGAATGTATGATTGTGTAGTTGCCCTATTGATGTTAACATGCGGTGTAGTTCAAATCGAATTTCTCATCAGAACTAAACATCTTCCAAAATTAGATGAACCTCACGCAATTCCCGATCCTGCGCTAATCGGAGCTATCGCTTTAACCATCGGAATTATGCTTGGATATTTATATTTTATCGTTTTTCAATATGCTTTTGCATCATGTGACAAATTAGTTGATGCACTTTATCCATCTGAACGTTATTTAGAAGCTTTTTATGATTTATTGATGGCCGCATTCTCGGGGATTTCTTTGATTTATATCCTACATCGACGATATTATGGGGCAATTGGCACGAATTTGGATAAAGTTGCTAGACTTTTTGTTAATATCACGTTTTCAGTTGTCTGGATGAATGTTGTGATTTTTAAAGGATACTTAAGTCATCAGGCAAGCCAAATTCCGGGTTTTTCTTATCAATTAGTGTTTTATTACGATCATTAAACACTAATTCATGATCAAGTTATTTATATTTTTATAGGAATTATGCCAGCGAAAAGAATTGGAAGGTTATTGGTGTCCGGTTACAAAACGACACTATGAATGTGATCCTTATACCGAACTTCATGGAACTCAAAAAATGTGGTATTATATCAACAAAGGATTGCTGAACTCGTCGATCATCTCATGCGCCTCGGAATTCTTTCCAGTTCTATTGGTGACACATTGGTTGGCTTGTGGTGGAGCAGAAGAACGAGCTGAGAATATTGAGAAACGGATGAAGAGGAAAGAAGGAGTTCGAGGAATGATGAGAGAATTTATGAAGGATGTTTCAAGAGTCTATGTGGATCATTACGAAAGTCAAAATGCTCCTTTAAAAATTGCTAAAATTGTCGAAGTATTTTTCTGGATTGTCACACCTGTTGTGATGTTTTTATCAGTTTTAAAGTATCTTTTCTATTTTTACTATACACTCGATTTCGATGCTCTTGTAGCTGAGCATTATTTGGTGAATGATTATATTAATCTAGCAGCTAATATTGTGCAAATCATCTTTTTCTCTGGGGTAAGAAAAAGGCTATCAAGTTTCTGAATACAAATCTGAAAAAAAATATTTAAATTGTAGCTCTACGGATTTACCCTCACGATCAAAAATGAGAGATTGGATGCACATCACAAGGCACATTCTAGAGGTGATATCTCAATTCTCTTTGGATGTTGTATTGTTTTATTGATCAAGCTGATTTTGCAATCAATAGAAATTGAATATCAACGTTTAGATGGTTTTATTATTTTATCCGATGCTATTATTCAAAATATTAGTTTGGTTGTTGTTCAGGTGAGTTTCTAAAGAAATCCAACCCAACTTTATTCCAAGTTCAGATAACTCAATGGCTCCAATATTTCCTAATTCGTCGACTTCTCCCACTTTCCGATGCTGATTGCAAAGCGACAAAGAAATTCTTACCGTTGGCTGCGATTGCTGGACTTCTTATGGCTTGGGTGCATTTTGGTGTCACATTTTTTGAAACCTCTTTGCTCAAGTATCAGTTGACCGATGAGAATTTCCATTTCTCGAGTACAACCTTGATTTGTATGATTTTCACACAAACTTTGTTCCCGGCTGATTATTTGTTCGCGTTTACAGGTATCTCCAAAGTTGATGAGAATAATATTTTCAAAAAATATATAATTTTTAGTGAGTGGTTGCTACCTTGAATTCCTTCAAAGATATTTGAACATGGGATATTTCCAATTAGGCGAACCTCGAATTATCAAAGAACATCATCATAATAAACACGGCGAAGCACATAAAGAGGTATGTAGGTACAACATTAAAAATTCGTCGTTATCAAAACGAACTTGCACGTAATAACTTTTATTGGTTTTTCTATCTATTTTTTTTCCAGGAACCATCAAATCAAGATAAAATTGCTTCAATGATATATGCAGCAAGTGTTTTGCATCGGAAAAGATTCGAAACTTCAGCTACATCGTCTTCCGAAGAATCGATGAATAAGAAATTCTGAAATGTAAATACATAAATGTTTTTTTTTTTTTTGACAGAAAAAATCTGGACCATGCACATGTTTAAAATTGTTTTCGTTTGAGTGCACAAATTTGGGGGTTTCAGGAGCGAAAACCATTTTTTTTCAAAATTTCTGAATTTCTGAAACGTACATTTTTTAAATTCTGAATTTAACGAGCGATCAAGAATTATCTGAAATTTTAAAAATTATTTTTAAAAATTTCACTTCTCCAACCCTAGCATTTTTAGGTTCCATTTTTTCTCCGGGCAAAAATTGAAACACTAATTCAATTCCTCTAACACACACAAATCTTCGCGCAACATCTTCTCGAAAAACAACACCGATCCTCTTTTTTCTCTTGTTTTGGCTCAATTGAGCATTTATTGTTCAGTTGAGTGTAAATTTTTGTTTGGCACCTCTCTTCCCAAAAAGATTCTTTTTTCTATAACTAAATAAGTAAGAAGGAAGACTGGCTGAAAACAAGATGAAAATTTGTATCCTATTACTATTTTTTTCAGAATGCCGACTTTTTTTTAAATACTCTTGCACTTTTGAGAAACGAAAAATATATACAAATTAGTTGAAGTGACTCGAAAAAAAATCATCCAGAAGAAAGATGATTGAAGAGAGTCCATTTTGTTCTAAACAATTGTTTCACATGCACATTTCGACTTTGCTTTTCTTCAATTTTCAACAACCCGCTTTATTTATTATTCTTGTGTTTTGTTGTGTTCTTTGCCGATGACACGCTAGGATTTTATTTATTTGTTTGTTTTTTTTTTATTTTTGGGGCGGCGAACTTTTCAGCACGGAATATTTTTTTTGAAAATTGAAATTTTCAGAAAGCTAAAAAATCTTGAATTTTTTCAAAAATTAAATTTCTTCGAAATATTTTCAGATTTCGAATTCTCATTTTGATTTCCCAAATCATGTAATTTCCTTCTGACCTTTTTTGATCTAGATATTTTTGATCTACCAGAAAAAAAAAGTTTTGAAAATTTTCAGTTCTGATTTCATTTTCTCATTTTTTTTTGATTTCTGAGAAAAAATTTGCAATTTTTTTTATTGAAAATGTGTTTTCCAAGAAAAAAAATTTTTTCTGGATTTTGGAATCAATTCAATTGAAGCTAATTTTTCTCAAAAATATTAAAACATTTTTTTTTGAAGAAAAATTGCAAAGAAGTTTTATTTTTTCAAAATCACCCATAAAATTTTCCGGATTTCCACACATTTTCAATTTCTCACAGTGCTTTGCATAACATTTTTTTCATTTTTCAAAGCACTTTGTTTGATTTTTGTCCAGGATTATACTTTTTCCAAATTTTAGGCCCCGCCCACAAAAAATGTCTGCGATCTTCTCAGAAAGCAGAATTTTTTCGTGGGTAACAAAACCCGTGTGTTTTATTTGACTCACAAATCTTCTCCACGAAAAAAATATACATTTATCTCAATCCACAAAACTTTTTTCTTTCTCTACTTCCTTTTGAAAGCGAAACGAGCAGCGAAAATGAAATTTCTATAGAAATCGCAAATTTTTCAAGTCTACTACGTTCTAGGCTTTTTACACCATAATATCGCACTTATTTTTTTTGTCGTCTTCATCACAAATCACTCAAAAATGTCAATCATCCGCACACTTTTCCTCATTTTTTATATATCTTTTTTTTTTGTTGAAAGTTTCACGAAAAGTTCAAAATAATTTGCATCTCATTCAGAGTTGTCGCAACAAAAAAAGAGAGTTATGATAAGTAGTTCGGGTGTTCATCATGGTCGAAGTTTTACGGCGTTGGATGGATCAAATGGAACAAGTTCGAGAAGAAATCCATTTATTCAAGTTTTCAGGTGGGGATTTTTTAGAACTTATGATGCTTTAAATATGATTAAGGCCCTAATTTGCATCAACATTCATAAAAAATACCGATTTTTTAGAGTAAAAATAATGATAGTTTATTTATATGAAATCGAAATTAAACTCGTAATGTAAACCGGTAAATATGTAAGAAAATTAATCTCAAAAATAATATTTTTTTGATCTTGAAAAAATTTGTTTTTTAAAATTTGATCTACCAAATTTTTTTTGTTTCCTAACTCAATCAATGATTTCATTTTAAATACAACTCAGAGAAATGGGCTGGAGAACCGGCGGAGAAAACGACCTGTCGGCGAACTTTAGGACAACCGGCGGAATGTCTCACCTACACTATTTCGCCGAAACTTTTGTCCGCCGGTTGTCCGAGAGTTTGCCGACATGTCGTTTTCTCCGCCGGTTCTCCAGCCTGTTTCTCTGAGAAATATAGTATTTTGAATATTGTACGTCTCCTTCCTCTCTCTCTCTAATTTTCTCTTCATTTTCCACACTCTCTCATCTACTCTCTAACGTCGCGCCTCTCTCTCTTCTTCATGTTTTCATAAACAGTTTAATTTATAGTATTCTTAACATTTTTTATCATTTTTTCTCATTTTCTTCCACTTTTCGCGCGTAGGTTAGGTTTAGATTTAATATATAAGGTCCAGCAAAGAGTTTTCATTCAATTTTTATTTTTTTTCTTATAATTATCTAAAATTCTATTTTTCTCTAACATAAAAATATGTTAAAATTAGATTAATCCAACAAAAAAATAGAAGAGTACGTAGAATAAATTAAAATTCCAAAAAAAAGAGCAGGAAAAGATCAAAGACCTTGGCAGTCTCTGAAAGGGTCCCCTGAATGGGGTCTTCCTTCTCCAAAAAAGGGTCCCCTGAATGGGTCCTAGTGTTTGTCATTTCTCCTGAATGGGACCGCGCGTAGCACATGTCAAAAAATGGCGAAAAAAGGGTTTTTGTCACTTTCCTGAATGGGTCCTCTAAATAATGGGGCCCAAAATGCATTTGGCGTTTTCCTGAATGGGACCAACCTCTTGTTTTGTCACTTTCCTGAATGGGACCTCAAAAAAAGGGGCCAGTTGTGGTTTTGTCATTTTCCTGAATGGGTCTTGTAAATTTTTATCTTGATCTACTCTGACCTTTCCAGTATCGGGAATAAAATTTCAAATAATTCACTTTAAATTTTTTTGAAACGATTATTTTCGAAGTTATTTTGAGACGACGGAAAAGAACAACCTTTGTGTAATTTTTGAAAGAAGCCTCGGAATCGGTTAGGAAACATGTAATGCATTTTTCTTAATGTTTTCGAGATTTCTTTCAAAGAAATTCTTTGGAAATTTTCGAAAAATCGGACCACTTTTTCAAAAAAGTCAATTTTTTAATGTAAAAATCAGGAAATTTTGAAAAAGCGGTCCGATTTTTCGGGTCCGATTCAGAATTTTTCCTGGTCCGATTCCCTTTTTGTGGTCCGATTCCTATTGAAAAAAATGTCATCCTGGTCCGATTCAGAAAACCCTCAAAATCGGGTCCGATTCAAAAACTGCCATCTTTCTAACCTACATTTTATCAACAAAGACATGAATTTCATCAACTCAATCGTAATTTCTTACAAAATTAGAGTTTTTAATTGCAAAAAATCAAACGAAATTCAAAATTCAAAATATAAGGTTGTTATTTTCTTTAAGCCAAAATCTACAATTGCGACATATGTCGCAATTGTAGATTTTGGCTTAAAGAAAATAACAACCTTATATTTTGAATTCAACTAACAATGCGATTGATTAACTTGTTCCCACTCAAATTTACAAAAGAAATTCAAAATTATACAGAAATATCATCTCTATTTTCACACCTGTCAAAAATTTTCGCACCTTGGCCCTAAAAAAGAATGCGTCCAAGAAGAAAATAGTGCGTATTTTTGGAGACGAGATCACCTTTTTTGGGAAGTTTCCCTTCCGTAGTTCACTGAGATTGCGCATTGAAATCTCATAAGCAATAATTAGGGAAAGTCTGAAAATTAGTTTTTTATTCAAAAATATGGCTCTTTAGCAGGTCCATTTTCAAGCCAACTTTTTTATTTTTGAAAATGAGGTGAAATTGAGTTTCTACTGACTAATGATTCTCAAAAAAAAACTTGCAAATAGTAGGAGTGTTTCACAATCGACTGTTCGAAATAGAATATCTCATATCAGATTTTTTGAAAATTGTGTCAATTGAATTTCGAAATAATTATTTTTAATTTATCAATTTCAGAAAAAAATCCAAATTGTTGTTTTTCGTCGTCTCAAAATAACTTCGAAAATAATCGTTTCAAAAAAATTTAAAGTGAATTATTTGAAATTTTATTCCCGATACTGGAAAGGTCAGAGTAGATAAAAAATTATAACTCATTTTTAGAGTTGAAAAATGGCTATGGGCGATCCGAAACGATATTAACAAGATAAAAATTTACAAGACCCATTCAGGAAAATGACAAAACCACAACTGGCCCCTTTTTTTTGAGGTCCCATTCAGGAAAGTGACAAAACAAGAGGTTGGTCCCATTCAGGAATACGCCAAATGCATTTTGGGCCCCATTTTTTAGAGGACCCATTCAGGAAAGTGACAAAAACCCTTTTTTCGCCATTTTTTGACATGTGCTACGCGCGGTCCCATTCAGGAGAAATGACAAACACTAGGACCCATTCAGGGGACCCTTTTTTGGAGAAGGAAGACCCCATTCAGGGGACCCTTTCAGGAACTACCAAGACCTTGCAAGATTTTGCGACATATTCATGGATAAATTGCAAGTTTCCTACCAATTTCCGGTGTCTATTTATGTATACTTTTTTTTCAATTCTGGAAAAATCAGAAAAGGGATTACTTGTTTTGCAAAATAAATTTGAAAAACTTCCGGAAAATTTTTGAACAAAGGATAGCGAAGATTTGAAATTTTAATTGGAAAATTTGTAATTTTCATGTTTTTTTGTAAATAGATCGGAAGTTTCTATCTAGCTGAAAATGTATTTTGAAAAAAGTTTTTGGCTTCCAAAATCTTCAAAAATAATCTAGAAATTGTGTCTACAAAAGTCTAACCTATGCTAAGTTGTGTACAAATCTGAAACTAATTGTCATAGTTCGTTTTCCAGGCTCACCAGATCCATCAAATGGTTCAGCCACATCAACCAACGCCCTTCAATCCACTCCAATTTCATCAAGAGTGCGCGCTGAAAAATTGATGAATTACATGGAAAGATCGCCGCCGTCATCAACTACAACATCAGTTGTCGTGGTCCCAGGGTGAGTTAGCTTAACTAGGAAAAGAGTTAGAGAGATGCGCGCGAGTAGTAAAGGACATGCGCATATATCAAATTAAAAAAGCGAGTTTTTGTCAGGATATTTATATGTTTTGTGGTACTTTGATGTGAGGTTTGATGCTAGAATTTTTCAAAACTCTTTTTTTTTTGACATTTGATGCTTTTTTTGTGTTGGAATTTTTTTTTGAAACCGAAAATTGTAATTTGAACGGATTTACGAAATCATTTGATTTTTTGTGAAACTAACTTGGAACCTTACTAATTCTGAATTCTGTTGTCATAATGTATTAATCTTGGAATATATTTTTTCCCAAAAAAAAGTTCACTCAAAAAATGTCTAGATATAAGATTTCTTGTAACAAATAAATTATGGATGGAATTTTTGAGAAGATCTTGAATCGCACTTCACTTCCGTTGAATTTTCATTTATTAGGAAATTCATGTTCTATTTTCTAAAACGAAGATCGCATTTTGAGAAAGTTCCTGAAATAATTTCAAATCCATTCTTTCTGAAAAAGTACTTTTCAGAAGTTCACCTGAAAAAAAGGTCCAGATTTGAGACTTTTAGTTATGAATAAAATATCATTGGAATAGTTTAGGGGATCAAAATTCTGCTGAGAAAAATTGTTTTTGAGATTTTGTACTGGAAATAATTTTGTCGATGATTAAGCTGAAATCGCACAGATTTTTAGAAAAACATTTTTCGAATTTATATGTTTTCAGAACTTTGAAGGGAAAAAGCTTTAATCAAGTTTGATTTTCCAAATTCATAGGCTCCGTTTAAAATTTTTGCCTTGAAAAATTATTTTCTGAATTTTCTCTGATGTTTGATCAAAATCAAATCAACATTAAAAAAAATACGATTTTAGAAATGAAATTTAAAAATTTCTAAATTCACGTGGCTTTTTTTTTCACGCGAAAATCACATTTCTAAGTATTCAAAAATTTTATTAATTTTGAAAAATAATCGCTAACTTACTTTACTTTTTCCACGCCAAATTACCTGAGAAAACGATTTTCTCTGAAACTTGTTATTTTAATAATCTTCGATCAAAAATATCAAATTTCAAACATTTGTCTATGTATACAAGGCAAATCATTTTATCTCTGATTTTTGAATTTTTTTCATTTTATGATCGTCACAAAATCGAAAATCCTAACAGATTTTCCACCTTCGATAACAAAAATTTTGCTATGAATCATTTGATTCAAAAACAAAAACCAATGTAATGTCTAAGTTGGATTATCTTACTGCACCAAATAAATAAATGTCTATACAAGAATAGCGTTTTTCTAAATCTTCTTCATTTTTTCCTCAGCTTCTGCTTTTTCTTATAAACAAAATTCCCGCCCATAAATTTTTTTTATACAAAAAATAAATAAATAAATAAATATATAATTTTTTTGAGCGAAAAAATATAATAATTATTATTATCTGCGCAACTTCCCATAAATAGAAAAAAACCAAAAAAAAAGTGATATGCACATATTTTTTTTTGTTCAAAGTTTCAGTTCTTAATCTAATCAGCGGATTAAATTTGTTATATTATATTCGTTTTTTTTCTGTGCAGAGCAGATTTTTTCTTTTTTTTTTCGATAATTTTGAATGTCACTAGGTTTTTAGTAACAGCTGGTCTATGTTTTTGTTTTTATGTAGCACTTACAAGATCTTAGACAAATTTATTGACGTAACACGAAAAAAAAGAAAAAAAACTCTAATTAATACTCACCATAAACAACTCAAAACAAAAAAACTTCTGAAAATTTTCTCGCTCAAAGTTTTTTTGCTCACTCACTCACTTTACGATGTTTTTTGTATCATCGGCCACTTCGGTAGATACAATTTGTTCTGAAAAGCTCCCATATCTTTTTCATTTTTCTTCAATTGATATCTTCATCAATTCATCACTTGTCGTCTAAATCTCCCAATTTTCCGTGCTATTTTCAATGTATCATCAAAAAAAATCTAACAGAAAAGAGGAACACGGAAAAATGGTTAGTCGAGTGATTGAATTGGGCGGGCAACCGGCGTATCGACGAACGTCACCATTGACTTCGACAACTTCGAATTCAACATCAGCGACAACATCGACAAATAATAATTCGAATCCGAATCCACATCAGAAATTGATTTCGGCTAATTCGAGTGCATCGTTGACTTCGAGATTGTCTGTGGGATCAAATAGAGTTATGATACAGTAAGTGGAATATTTTTGGAATTTTTATTATGTAGAAAATTTTGGTAGCAAAAATTCACTCGACTCTGAATGCGCTTTGATTTTTTGTAAAACTGAATTAGTGATAACTTTTTGAAAAGTTTCCAAGAAACTTTTGAAGTGTATAATTATTCATTCAATAATTTATAACCTACATGTTAAAACTGAGATATTATTTTCGAAAAATGGACCTTTCGAACAAACTTTTCTCAAAAAAATTTCCGACAAAAATTTTATTAGAAAACTTTTTGAAATTTGAACTTTCCTAAATACATCCGGTTTTTCTTGATTCAATTTTTAAGAAAAAAAAATGAAATCAAAAAAGTTTAGCACATGTCGATTTACTGAAAATTTTGTGACGATGAGCTTCCGGGCCAGATTTTGATGTTGAATTTCGCTACAAAAATTTTCAGACAAATTCTATTTATCTGAATCTCCGAGTTTGAAAAATTAGAAATTGGAAACAAACATTTTTTTAATCATTTTTTATTTTCGATTTTTTTCTTGGATAAGTTTTGGTTGCCTTTTTTGGCAGCTGAATTTCACAAAACTGAAAAACTCAATTTTTGAAGTTCTGGTAAACTATGTTTTCATTTTTCAATTCAGTGTTTATGAGCACTTTTCCAAATCTGAATCAAGGTTTTTAGAAACCTGTGGTATTCCAGGTTCAAATTTTGACAAAAAATTGCTCATACTGAAATTACGGTATGTTTATTTGAGAAATGAGCAATTTTAAAAACCAAAAATCTACACACGTGAAATTTTTTCATTCCCTGTTTTTTCTTAAATGTTTCTCGGCAGCTGAATTTCAGAAAAGCTGAAAAAGTCAAAACATTTTCAAGTTCTGATAAACCATACTTTGATCCTCATTTTTTCTCTCATCTCAAATATTCATGCTCTTCTTTCCTTTTTTTTTTCTAAAAGCGTTCGCAATCCACCACAATATTTGCCCTTTTGCTCATTTCAAGAAAGAATAATAATATTCTGTAATAATTTCATGAATAATTCAAAACCTCCCCTTGTGAAGTTTCTATCCAGATCAATTCAACTGGAATAACATTTTTATTAATTTTTATTTTTAATTTAAAGGACGACGGCTGAATTTTTAAGTTTGCTGTTTGATCAATGAAAAATAGATACATAAAAATGAAGAGAAAAAAGTAGACCTACTATATTTATTTTTCCGTGGTGTTTTTTCTTTTTTTTTTTCAAAAAAAAAAGAATATATAATATCTTGGTCCCATTGTTGTTCATACATGTTATTTTCTGTAAAAAATAGCGAAAAACATCTCATACATCAATCAATCAAATTATGAGTTAACCCCGACCCAAACGAAAACATTTTAAATAATTAATCCAATTTTTGCCAGTCCTCCTCGTTTTCTATTTTTCTGAAAAATCATCAAAAATCGTCTCTCGGATGATCTCTAGTTGTTCTATTTTTATACATCTGTTGGTGAACAACTGTGTAGATGAGATATGTTTCCGTGTAGATTCCGACGGTCCGAGATCTTTTTTCTTGTTTGAGAGAGAGAGAGAAGCGACAAATGTTTCGTTGAGTTCTTTGCTCTTGTCTGATTTTTAAAAATGTGCCAGATTCTTTGATCCGAAGAGTTTGATTTTTTGGATGTTCTTAAGATCAAATTGATTTTAGTCGATGAGGAACTAGACTAGACTCAAAAGGTTGAATCCGGAACTTGTAGAAATTCTGAAACTCGATATTCTAATGAAATATAGGAAGAAGAAGAAGAAGTCAAAGATTTCATAAGAGAAAATTCAAAGGTTGAGAAACCTTTTTTGAAAATTGTTGATGTTTAAAAAAATTTTCAGGGGCTCTAGGCTTAGGTACAGTTTTATGACGTGGCGCGGGGTTAACCCTAAACTTAGGACCAACCCTAAACTTAGGAACCCTAAACTTAGGACCTAAGGAGAAACCCTAAACTTAGGACCTAAGGACCAGGAATTTTTAAAGTTTCTGATTTCTGGAACAAAAAAAAATTCAAAAAACTTGAAGACCAGATTTTCAGGCCCTACTTAGATACTCAAAAGTCTCAACACCCCTGATTTTCCCCAAAAGTTCAAAAGTTCCTCTAGAACAACATGTAATCGAATTGAAAGTTTCAAACTTTATCCCCCCCCCCCCGCATTCCATTTTCCTGATTGCTTTTTTTTTCTTTTTCTTCCCAGAACCCTTTTCATTACTTTATTCAAATAAGATGTCTTTATTCTTCCATTTCTAAAAAACTCCAAAAAAAAAGAATTTTCCAATTACTTGTCTCGAATCTCTAAAGATCCCTTCCCTTCACTGTAGTCGTTTTTTCCTGATCTTAGATCAGTAATCTTTTTTCTCTCTCTCTCCTGTCTTTTTCACCATCAATTACATCCCCAAATGATTTTTCCCTCTCTCTAAATATCTTCCCGACGACCAAAACACACAAAAATCCTAATAAAAACCTCGTAACAAAGAAGAAGAAGTATTTTAGATAGATATAGTGGGCGGGGGCTGAGTTTCCGATTCTTGTCTCGTCCCTCAAGACTCAACTTATTATTTCTCTCTGAATATAACCTGAAACTAACATCTTTGTCCTTTTTTGTCTTTTGTCTTTGTTTGTCTTGTTTGAAATGAAAGTCAAATCTGAAATATAATATTGTAGAACTACTATTACTATAATCCTGAATGGCATTATTGATAGCACCAGCAGCCGTGGCAGCGTAAGATCAAAATCAAAAAATCAATAACATCTAGAAACATAAAACATCTGAAAAATCTCGATTTTCAGACAAATCGCATCTGGAAGCACATCAATGGCGGCAGCTGGAATACATGATCGAGACAGTTCAGTGGAACCAAATGATCGGGGAAGTGTTGATGAGAGATCGAGCAATAAGAATTTCAATGATGAAGATGTTGAAGCTAGAACTCCGATTACACACAAGAATAGTATTAGAGATTCAAGTGTGCCGGATACGATTCTTAGGTTGAATATTGGTGGAAGTAGTTATCGAATTCGTACAAGATCGATAGTCAAGTTTGGGCCGAAGACATTGTTAGGTGAGTTTATGAATTTGATAAATCTGGGATTTCTTATAAATCTAGGAGGCTGAGAGTTCTGGTATCTTTGAGTAAATCTTTCGCAAATCACACTCATGGGATTCTACTAGATTTGAACTATAAGATCTTATTCTCACGATCAGAAAAAAAATCCAAATTCCAGGCCGTTTCTGCCGCATGAACCACGAGCACCGTCGTCAATGGGCTGATTGGTATTTCGAAGATCAAGACGAATATTTCTTCGAGCGAGTCCCACGATACTTTGACCCAATCTACGATTTCTACGCCACCGGCAAACTTCATGTTCCAAAAGATCTTTGCTTTGACAAATTCATGGCCGAACTTCGATTCTGGGCAGTTTCGAAATCGAGAATGGATGAATGTTGTTCACCATTTGCACAATATTGTGTGACAATGGGAAATGATCCGAAATATACAGTGAGTTTTGAAGATAGTCTTGTGAGAAATAACATTTATTGGAAAATTTTTGAATTTAGGATGAAGCTGCTGCGTTGCAAAAGGTATTAGTGTTGTTTTCCTTTAACACGTTTTCCTTTTTCCACGCATAATTCTTCAAATCGCTTTTTTTTCTTAAATCAAAACCTAAAAAGTTAAATAACACCAACACCAACAAATTCCAGCAATCCCCAACCTTAAAATTTTTAGGAGAAGGATCATTTCATTGGTGTGAGATGTGCCAACATTCGCCGTAGATTATGGTTGATTCTCGAAGGTCACACCCAAACTCGTTGGTGGAAAGTCTTTGAAGTTATATCAACAGCGTTTGTTGTTTTATCGATCTCAGCTTTGATTTTGGGATCAATTCCCGAATTCCAAGTTCCACATAAAACTGAAGATGGTCAATTGGTTTATGCGACTGCAACTTATCCCACATATCCAAATGGTGGTGGAAAAACTCTTGAAAGCACAATGACTATTAAAGATGGTTCTGATAATGCGGTAGGTTACATTTTCTTTGTACCCTTGAATTTTCACGGTTTCAAAAGTTTACAGACAGGAGAAATAAGAGATGAAGAACCAGAACCAGAACCAGTGGTTTACTGGCGAAAGGTATACCTAAATGTTCATTCCACAAAACTTTCATGTTAATTAAAAAATTTGCTAACATTTTCATGTGACTTTTCTCCCAAAATTCTTTGAAATCCCCAAATCTTTACAGCCTGAAATGACTGAACATCCAGTTTTCACATGGGTCGAAAATGTTTGTGTGATCTATTTTTCAATCGAGTATGCACTTCGATTCATTGTTTCGCCAAGAAAATTGGCATTCGCCAGACAAGTTTTGAATGTTATTGATCTTCTTTCGATTGCGCCGTTTTATTTTGAACTTTTGTTGTGGCTTGTGAGTTTGAGGATGGGGATATGGTGGTTGGAATTTGTTACTTCTAGGCTTCAAACTTTACAAATCTGGTAGATCAAAAATATTCTTCAATCTTTCGCTTTTGTTTCTCCAAAAAAATCTGAATCTCGAAGATTTTTGGAAGTTTCTCTTTATTTTTTTTTAAATTTCCTAGATTTCTATTCAATTTACAATTAGCAAAAAATCCCCAGAGAACTTTTCATAATTTTGTTTTTCAAAATGATAAAAACAAAAATGTCTACGCGGGTCACTGATCTGATATTCCACGTCGTAGTAGCTTCTACTAACAATATTTTCTTTCCAGTGTGGAATCAGTGGTGAAAATGTGCGAAAAGTGCGTTGGGCATTTTTAACAGTTCGTTTACTTCGAGTTCTTCGAGTGATTCGTATCGCCAAACTCGGTCGATTCTCACCAGGTCTCGCCAATTTCGCCCTGACCATTCGAAAATCCAAAAAACAAATGCAAATGGTTGGAATTGTTATGATGACTGTCGTCATCTTCTTCTCAACCCTCATCTATTTCCTCGAAAAAGACGAAGTGAATTCGAAATTCACCTCAATTCCCGCCACATTCTGGTGGTGTGTTGTCACAATGGCAACCGTCGGATATGGTGATTTGGTGCCAACAACAATAGCCGGTAAACTTGTGGGAAGTGGTGCAATTGTGTGTGGTGTAATGGTACTTGCACTACCAATCACGATTATGGTAATTAATAATCTAGACATATCTTAAGTCCACTTATGTTTGAATTCCAGGTCAATAATTTTATGCAAGTTGTCAAATTGAGAGAGGAGGAAATTGTGAAAAAATATGCGCAACAACATGGAGATCAAGTTTAATTTTTGGACCACAAAATTTCAAATACTTATATTTATTCCATTTTTCTTGCCAATATTATAATATTCAAAAGTAGTTATGTATAAATAGAAAAATGAATAAAAATTTTCCGAAAGTCTAGACATATTTTGTCTCCCTGGATAGATATAATTTTCTGCCTCCTCAAAAATTTGTTCAGTTATGATTTTGTATTTTGTCCTCCTATTTTTCGTGGAGGGTTACGATAAAAGCGATGCTGAAAAACTTCTGAAAAAAATCTGGAGTGAAGTTCCCGGTCTCGCTGAAAATAAACTCGATGACTATATTCATCATCTCTTTGAATATACAAATTGTGAAGGAGAAGTTAAAAATCGCACGGATTTTATTAAAATTATTCTTGAAACTTCGAAAAGTCTGAAAATTGATTATGTCGATGAAGTTGGAATTATTGTAAAAAGTTATCGACATACAAAAGGAAAATCGTATCCAGAATACAGTACTCAACCATATCTTTTGTTTGATGTAAAAATCGCGGGGTTCAGTGGAAGTTTTGGATTTAGCGCAAGGAAAAAGGAGGGTGGATTTCTTCCAGAATTAGTTCTGGATAAAGTTATCAATTATAATTGTGACCCGGCGAGGGCAGAAAACCAAGTCAAATTTCAAAACTATGCATATTTTATCACAGCTTCAAAGCTTTTGAACAAAATCGCAAGATCCGATGATTCTTCCAAATATATTCGCGATGATTTCACACTCTATTCCTGTCCCGAAAAACCGAATGACAAACCAATTGAATCATTCAAATGGTTGCTACAAAATACAAAGGGCGATTTGAGAATTCTTGATTTGAAAAAAATCACCAAACAAAAATGGGAATCTGGAACATTGCTCAGAGTAACAATGGAATATCAGAAGGGTTGGTATGGTCAATACACAAATAATCTGATGGTTACAACTGCCAGTGAAATCACCTGCTGAATAATTCCTGTACTTTTTTGAAAATTTAATAAAAGTACAAATCTATTTCATAATTACACCTGTCTTCCTTCAGATTTCTTCTTAGTATTAGATGGATAGGGTATTATTATTTTTTGGTTGTCTAATTCTCACACGGATTAGCGATCCTTTGTGCGCTCGTGATAGCAACCGATGCAAGCAGTGATTATAGCAAAAATACTTACTTGAAACCATGGTAATAGGCACACCTCCTCCTCTCTTATTTTCGCTATACGTTTTTATTTCTCGCTCTATTATATTATAACATATCAAAAAATTATTAACCTAATCCTTGTCTTCATAAATATTCAATTTTGATTATTATGCTAATCAAAACTATTCCAGTGGGCCACGCCCATTTTGTATTTATAGAGCTATGGTTTTGTGATTTATTATCATATTTCCTATCTAGACTCAACTAATTTGTTTTTTTTCTCGAATGAATTCGATCGGTTCTCCGCAGTTTTGCGCATTCATCTGGTTTCAAGAGTGATAAATGCATCTTAACTGCGGTGAACTTATCCGAAATCAATTTTTTTCTGTAGAAAATCATTTCTCAAAAACTAGAGTACGTCTAAATTTATTCAGGCTGATTCAAGAATTCAACATGTTTTCTTCAATCTACAGTAACCCAAAAAAAAACAAAAAATGTTGCAAAAAATATCGAACCCGCATAGCATGACCCCAAAAACCAACGCGCTACCACTGCGCTAGGCACCTAACCATTTTGAGTGTGTTTATTTTTTCCATGATTTCGCTTTTCATTTTTTTTCCAAAACACACAGTTACGTGACCCAGATTTCGAGTACGTCAAACTTTTCTCATAGGTCCATTGGGAGACTAAAAATTTGAGAGAATCATTTTTATCCGTATATCAATGTACTGTAAAAATTTCATCATGATTTGAAGTGTTGAATAAAAAAGGTTCCCTTGTGAAGCTCACCAAAATTCCATTTGCATATCTCGGAAGTACCCTAAACAAAAGAATTTTTTTTCGAAAAATCAAAATTCATTCAAGGCAAATTTCAGTACACGTTTTCAAGAAATACAATCAAGATCAAATAAAAAACTAACAAATTAACTAATGAAAATTGAATAATAGAATTTGAGTTAGCTCTTCGAATCTCAACTCTCGCTTCCGATGTCAAAACATCATCAATTCTCAATATTCTTCCCGGTGTGTTATTGCATTTAATTGATAGCAAAGAGCACATTAATGAATAAATATCGAATAGTTGAATTGGCCCTTTTCGATAGTTTTTGTTGAAGCTTGGACCATAACCTAGAAATACACCGAGGACATCGGGCAATTCATTGTTGTATCCATCGATTGCCGCGGGGATTTCATGAAGTTTAGGTTTTGGAAATTGTTTTTTCTCGTCCTTCTGTAAAAACATAATCTTCCTAGAGAACTTTTAAAAATTTCAAGACTTACGGTAACAATTGCGTAACCAGGATCTGCTACCAAAACAAGATCAGCAACAATATCACTCTTCTTATAACTGAAATGTTCAGGAATATCTCCAGATTTTGGGGAAGTGTAATAAACTCGAACGTTTGGAATTGGATGATGATCTCGAAGTTGGCTATAAACTTGATGTGTTTTTCCTTTTTTCACAATCAATTGTTTTATAGATCCACTTCCAATTGTTGTTTCAATTAATTCCATTGGAATATATTCATCAATTGATCGAATATGAGCTCGTGGAACATCGATATAACCATGAGTTGAAACTACAATTATATTGAGATCAATTCTTTCTCTCGCTTGAGCTGTTAATCTTTCCAAACTTTGTGCAAATTTTCCAACTTCTTTCGATCTTTTCTCATTTGTATGATGAACACCTTTTCGACGAATCTCTTCACCAATCCAAGGATGATAAATCAATGTTAAATCGTGTTCATTAGTTGCTTGGATAATTGATCGAATTTGATTTTCATTCGAAAATGTTTTTCCATCATTTCTCGGCGGAACACAAACTTGTGGCCCAATTTCCCAATTAATTTTGCATTCAGGAAAATAGAACATTGCAACTGAAGCTTGAGATTTGACTGCGGAAACATATATTGGATCAATTGTCCACCAATCTCTCGAAAAATCAGAGTTCTTCGAAAAATTGTTGAATCTCAAATCATCGCGCCAATTATAAATATAATCGCCAATAATGCCGTGTCTTCTTGGTAGAACACCTGTCAAAAAGGGAATGTCGATTTGAAACGGCAAAAGTTGGAAAGACTGGAAATAGTTTGGTTGACCAAACGCCTTCTTCTTCAAATGTTCGAAATACCGGCAAATGGGAGAATTTGTGGAATGTGTTTGCAGCGAGACCATCGACTGAAAATCGGGGATTTGTTAGGGGTTCAGATGTGGGGAATTTGAAAAAAGGTTCCAAATTTTCTTCAAACTTTTTTTCTTCGAAATTTGATTTATAAAGTTTTAGAAAGACAATTTTTTTAAAAATTCAAAAAAAAAATCAAAATTTGAAAAATTTTCATTTTTAATATCCTCGATGAAAAATTAAAAAAAAATTTCAAAAATCTTCCAAAATTCACTCACCAATAATAACAGCCAATTTTTGAGCGACTCCAATTTGAAAAATCCAGAAAATAAAAAATAAACGCAAAAAGCTCATCTTTGTTTCATAATAATATAATACTAGTATTCACATATTGTTTCGATGTCTAAAAATGCAAAGATTAATTAAAAGATACACAATTCTTCAAGTGCAAAAATTGAAATGAATTTCTAATAGGCTGCCCAGTCGAGAAGGAACAAAATTAAATTAATTTAATTTAATAAAATTAGATAGGTTCCCTCCCTCTTTCCATACGAAATGCACAAAAAACGGAAAAAAAGGAGAAAGGAACCTTTTTGTATGAAGTGAACTTTGCTAAATTCGATTTATTTACTTCTCGCCCCAGAAAAATTTCGGCTCACAACAAAGATTTTTTTCATAAAAGAGGATTAAGGCAGATAGATATCTTGACAAAAAAGCAATCGATAAATAAAATGTATTTATTTTGCGCACAAAGTGAGTGTGTCTGTGTAATATTTATATATTATCTTTTGATTTTATGCAACTCTTCTGATAAATAAATCCGAGTAGAAGAGTGCAAATAACATATTCCAACAATTGTAACAAATTTTGAATGATTTTGATGTGTCAGGTGTTCATTTGGTCTGGCATCCTGGTCTATTTCAAAATTTATTGAAGAAGAAGATAAAATTTGGAAAAAAACTGGTTTTGTTAAAAAAAATGTGGAGTTGTTGAAAATAAAATTCACACATAATCAATGAGAAACTTTTTTTTGTTGTGTTGAAAAAAATTGAAAAAGAGTTTTATTGGATAAGATCAGCTGAATGATAAAAGCTTGGAAAAATTGGGATTAGGGGGAAATCTGCACTTTACGAAAAAAAAGTTGGGACTTCCTGGAAGTTCGGAAAACGCGCAGAACAAAAGTTCTAAAATTTTGGAATTTTTATTTTCTAGTCTGACATTTTTGTGAAAACTCTCTTAGGAGTTATGCTAACTCAAAAATGCTCTTCAAGATTAACTTCTTCATTTGTTCCTCCTTCGAAATAGAAAAAAAAATATCTCAAAACAGTTGAAAATATTTCAAAATTCCAAAAAAAACACAAATTTTGAAATTGCACATTTTTTGAGAAAATTAAAATAAAAATATTGACCAAAAATTTTAATTTTCCATTTGCCCAATTCAAAGATCTTTTCATAAATTTTTAGTTTTTTTCAATTTTACCCAGATCTTCTTTATTTATCATAATCAATATCACTAAACAGTAATTCTACTTCCTTTCTATCATTCTCTGCATCGTCTTCTTCTTTAAAAACCAATCAAAATCTAGTTTCAATTCAATTCAAATAATAATTTCTTGATTTATTATATATTTTTTATTCTCGGTCAGAAGAAGAAGAGAAAAAGAAGAAGAATGAGAAAAACCGAATTGATAATAGCCGTAGTAGAAGATAGTTGGTAGAAGAAACAATGATTTTTTGTAACCATTGATTGGCTTATCACAACTTTTTTTGCGTGTTTAATTCTTTTTTCTTCGCATTATTATTATTATTATGATCAGGGATGATTGTGTTATTCAATTATCCGATGGAAGATTTGAACAGAAAATTCAAGTGGATCGAAAGAAATTGGAATCTATGATAACTGGTAAAACTAACTTACTTTTGAAATTCTTCCTTATTAATTAATTAATTAGGAAATGCAAATCCGAATGCTGATCGATTCTTCGCAAATGTTATGGCTTACTCAAACGCTGAAATTATTTGGCCATCACAATTGAAAATTGGAGCGAAGACGAAAAAAGATCCATACGTGAAAGTTGTTGGGAATATAAATCAGATTGATTTGGCGCGAAATTTAATTTTGAATCATTTACAAATCAAGGTGAGGATGTTTTATTAGTAGAATCGAACAGATCTATCTCCTCCGTGATGATGATTCAAGTTGGAAGGTGCTGTAACTTTTTGTTGATATTGAAAAGTTGGTGGATATTGTGGAACTGTCCAATCGAGTGGGATTGTTGAGAGATTTGAATTGCGTTGATGAATGTCGTTGTTCTGAAAAATGTTGACCTTGATAGATATGAAAAAACATAGTGATCTTTAAAAGCAAAAAACACTTACAATCTCTTGCAATATCAAATTATAGGGTGGCGGTGTGTAAAAATATGACTCATTTTCAAGTGACGACATCAAATAATTATGAGCAATTTCTAAACTTCTAGGAGGTCCTGATTCTCTTCCATATCTTAAACTTTGTAAATCTGCACTGGATTTTGTTTTCATCACCGCATCAACACTTCCAAGTCTTCTCCAGGGAAGAAATCCAACAATATTTTCGATTGCGATATAATACGCGGACCAAATATCATCCCATCTTGAAGCGTCTTGTCGGCGATGAATATTTATGGAAACATAGCGAAGAGTTCCGTGGAATGGTGCACTGATTTTGCGGGGTTTTAGACTTCCATCTTCTGCCACGTAACAGCGACTCATTCCGAAATCAAGGGTGTATAACATTTTGTGGTTGTTTAGTCCGATACAGAAATTGGCGGGTTTTACGTCGCGATGAAGCCATCCAACATTATGCATTTTCTCCAGAGATATAATCATTTTGTAGAAAATCCAGAGCGATGTTAAAACTGAGAATCGATTGAGACTTGTCGCCGCCTTCAAATCCCTCAAATTCGCTCCACACTTTTCCATCACAAGAAATCTCAAATCACCAATCACCCCATATCCATAATATTTCAAAAATGGTTCGGCTCCACATTCCTTGTATGGATTATAGACCTGATTCAGTGTTCGCAAACACGATGTTTCATTGTAAAGTAGTTGAATTTTAGCTTTAGTAGATTCGAGTTTAATGATAATTTGGTCATCGGATCCAATTCGAGTCGCCTCATAAACTTGTCCAAAACCACCAAGCGCCAACATTTTATTGATAATAAACTGATTGAATTGTGTTCCGGGTGGAGCCAATGGTGGATCGCCTGTTTTGTGCTCCATATGAAGACCAGTCTGAAAAAATATGATGAGCATTAGAATTTCCAATCATTTTCTGAAACTCACCATTTGTCCAAGAATTATAAACAAAAAATACAGGAGATTTTCCACGATGTAATAAAATAGGGAAGGTCACGGCCTCACGTAAAAATTGTTTCACTAAACCTCAATTTTTTGCAGAAAGAACGTGTATCATTAAAAATGGAACTTCATCATTCTCTCCATTCACATATTATTGGAAAAGGTGGTCGTGGAATTCAGAAAATCATGAAAAACACAAATTGCCATATCCATTTCCCAGATTCGAATAAATATTCCGAATCACCGAAAAGCGATCAAGTATCAATTTCTGGAACTCCGACGAATGTGTTTTTGGCGCATCGACAATTACGAGCAATGTGTCCGATGTCAATATTTATTGATCTACCTTGGTATCATCCAGGGAGCCCGGATTTTCGACAACTTGGCTCGCAGATTGATTTGGTTGTGTTGTCAATTGAGCAAAATGTGTATAGTTTGATGTTGAAAACGGCAGCCACAAATGATGCTAGTGTTCTTTTTGCGATCAGATTGGTTCTACATCATTTTGCATTGGTGGGATAGTTTCTACTTCCCTCAATTTAAAATGAAAATTATCATATTTATCTTGCAGACTGAAGAACTTATCTCAATCCGATCAACAGTTTCAACAAAAGATGATGTTTCTGAAATCTGCAATCGATTGGGTGTCACATCAAATATTGAAGATGAGCAGAATATCACATTGATTGGTGCACCTTTGAATGTTCTAAACTGTCGGAAGGCTATAATTGGACTTTCTCCGATTTCAGTCGCTTTTGATTGTAATGTTCTAGATGTTCATTATCCAATCGAACAAATTGATCAAGATATTACAAGTAAACGGAAAAATGGGGATATGTTGGTGAGTTATTAGATCTCTTTGTAAGTAAAGAAAATAATTTTCAGACAATCACGATAAAATCAATTGAATCAAAACTTGCTGAAGTTTTGCAATCGAGAGAACTTTTACTCGCACTTCCACCAACACAATTTGAAGATTCGCCATCTTGTAAGCTTTTTTTTTTGAAATTTCAAGAAATATCCCACTATTTTCAGCATCGTTCACATCGCTTACTTCAATTCCACAAGAGCCAAAATCTCCAAATCCTGAAGATTCCCCATTAGCTGCTTCAATTCTGAATGGCGCAAAAGAGATTTGGAAAATGAAGGAGAAACGAAAACCCGATCGATCTGAAATGTTGATGAAAGCAACTCACGCGATTTTTGATGATTGTGTCAAAACGACGCCTAGAAATCCGACTGATCTTTGGTCGGGTTATGGCTTCAGTTCGTCACTTCCAGCTGATTTGTTGAAAGGAATGATGGATTTGTCAACATCGGATTATTCGACACCTCCGCAGCAGAAAATGCATGGATTGTGTAGTGTTCGGGAAGAAGATGAATTGTCGAATTTCAGCGCGTCGTCGACGTTTTTTGATAGAAATACTGGAAATGTTTTTTCAACATCAACATCTTGTTTTGAAACAACTACACTGCCTTACGATCTTCAATGGGATATACATCAATATGCTGAACCTTCGATGGTTCTATCCAGATTAGGATGTAGCGAATACATGACACAACTACGAGATCAGGAAATTGATATGCACGCATTTTTATTGCTCGATGAGCAAAATCTCAAAGACATTGGGATTTCGACAATTGGAGCGCGCAAAAAAATCTACAACGCGATTTTGAGTAAGATTTTTTTTTCTTTCCCATGAAAACTAACAATTAAAAAAAACAATAAAAAAACGCATAAAATGAAATTTTCAGAATTGCGTGAGTCAGCGCGTATGAATGGGTCAACGCTATGAGTGAAAAACGGTGTTATTTTTATTTTTAATTTTTTTGCGAAAAAGAATAAATATTTTTTGAATCACCACTTTGTTTGCTTCAGACTCACAAACGTGCTCCGTTGATAATGGTCTTGCCACGAACTGTTTGGCTGCGTATGTTTGTATTCACCGCGAATTTTGAAATGCGCCATTTTTTGTTTTTTTTGCTCGTTCAGACTTTTTCTTTTTCTTCGCCCTCAATTCCCAGTTGTTCAATGATTGCTTTTGTTTTTCGATGTTCAGAGTTCCAGTCCCAATATTCTGTTTTGCGCGAAAAAAGGGCAATTTTTTCAGCTGGTTTGTCCTGTTTTTTTCGACTAGAAAGTGTTTTTTTGTGATCAATGTATTCTATAATCTTGAATGAACTCCAAAAACAGCTAACATCTCAAATTTCCTATTTCTGAAACTCGAAACCTTTCCGCATAGATACATTTTAAGGAACTGAATGTTAACATAATAAATTTGCCAAATAAAGCCAGAAAAATCACATGTTTTCTTCTATTTCTCTATCAGTCAGCCGGCAGTCAGGTGTTTGTTCTATTCGATCCGTGTCTAAGCCAATGACTAATCAAACTCGCTCCGTCGAAGCGAGGGGTTCGTCTCAAGACCAGAGGCGCTCGGAAAATTCCTTCTCGATCGATTTTTTCTTTGTCTGCGCGTCTAACGTCTCTAAAGAGGCAGCTGTGTTTCGTCGCTCTGCATCTCTCTATCACTGACACGCACCGACACACACACACTCGCTATTCAAAGCAGCAGCAACCACCAGCCTAGCCATTTCTTTCATTTTGTTCTGTTCAAACGTGCGTACCGCCTTTTACGTGTAGTAAATCGCAATATTTCGAAATTCGAAATTTCTAGAACGCGAAAAATTAGCTGCTGGTTTGAACAAGTTAGCTTGTTGTTCTAACTTTAACCTTTTTCTAGCATGACATAGTACAAATCAAAGTGCAAATTGAGTGCGGCCCAAAATCGATTTCTATCCAATCTCATTTTTGTTAGAGGCATAGTGAATAATATTTCATGTTTCCTTATTAAAACATTCACACTCTTCTTGTATTTTCGAAAACAAAGATGATTTCACTTTTGCTTTCTTTTTCGTCATCATAACCAAGTGATGAAGAAATCCAGCTTATTAATTAGTCGACAATCGATAAATTGCTGTCTTACTAAAATCTCTAACCATTCTTCATAGCGCCTGCAACTTATCGACGTTGTTTCGTTTTAGGATTGAAAACTAGTACTTATATGAAATTCTCGTGACAACAACCAGTAGGAAACTCAATGCGCATTCATCAATTATTTTTGTGCGAGCTCATATAAAATTAGCTCTGAGGGTCGATAGACTGCATTGTGTGAACTAATTGTTTCTTTTTATTAGTTAGTTGGTTTTCTGCTCTTCAAGACCCAATTATTCAGACGTATTATTAGTTTGCTTATTATTTTTTGAAACGAGCAAACACGCGTCGCATCTCCGCAACGCAATCCTTTTCTTGTCCTTTGAAGTTTTTCAAAAGTATTTTGAAACCTCGCCTCAATTATTATTTTTTCAGTGGTCTCATTCCGGGTCGGAACCGGGTTGTTTTAATCTTAACACACTACACTTCACACAATGGCTCTCAAGAGAATCCAGAAAGTGAGTGGCTATTATTCATGCCCAATGTATCTTTAACAACTATGTTTTTTTTCAGGAATTACAAGATTTGGGCAGAGATCCCCCTGCACAATGTTCAGCTGGACCAGTCGGTGATGATCTTTTCCATTGGCAAGCCACAATTATGGGACCACCAGAATCTCCATACCAAGGAGGTGTATTCTTCTTGACCATTCACTTCCCGACCGACTACCCATTCAAACCACCAAAGGTTGCGTTCACAACACGTATTTATCATCCAAATATCAATTCTAATGGAAGTATTTGCTTGGATATTCTCCGTTCTCAATGGTCACCAGCATTGACCATTTCAAAAGGTAATTTTCATCCCGAGGGTTGCTGTGACAATTTTTAATCACTCTCTTTTCAGTCTTGCTCTCGATCTGTTCACTTTTGTGCGATCCAAACCCAGATGATCCGCTTGTGCCAGAAATTGCGCGCATTTACAAGACAGACCGCGAAAGGTAAATTTGCATCACTTTTTAATGTGAACAATTCTCATTTATATCTTTTCCAGGTACAATCAATTGGCAAGAGAATGGACGCAAAAGTATGCAATGTGATCGAGAAACGTTTTAATTTTCCCCCTCTCAACATCCACATCCCTTTGCAAAAAAATTAATTATTTTTTTGTTATTTGCATCTTTATCATCTTCATTCATCGAAACGTTTATTTGGCCCGGTTTTCCCAAACATTTTTCAAATAAATTCTGAGCAAAAAACTTGTTTATCAATCGTCTACTTTCTCTCTTCATCATTCTTTCATAATATGGTACATCTGATCCTTCTAATATCTTACCATTCTTTTCTCTTTCAAGACAAATTTCGAACTCTAGAATTCTTGAAGTAATGGCTGCCACATTTGTGCCTTTTTCAACATTTTGTGATACGAGTTTTTGGAGCGAAGTAAATCGACGAAAATTGAATGATTGGATGTTGGACGAATCACCAAAACGCATTTATGGACAATTCTCGATTTGTTAGTGATTCGATTAGTTATCGAAAATGAAATCTGAAATATATTTCAGATGATAAAATAGGTTCAAATTGTCGACTGTCACTTAGCCACGAATCATTTTCTACCTCAAAATCCTCTTATCCTGGCTCATTTCACTTGTACAATACACTTGATGGTTTCAAAGCTTCCGATAAAGCTCAACTATTGAAAATTCACAGTCAACAAATCTGGGATTCTATAAAATCCGAAGCGTGGCTTGAAAATCCTGATTCTCTTTTCAATTTTTTCACCATCGCTTTTGCCGATCTCAAAAAATTCAAATATGTTTATTGGACTTGCTCACCAGCTCTTTGCTATCCAAATAGCATCGGACAAACTGTAAGTTATCTGAACTTCAGATTCTGAAGTCTGGGAGAAAAATAATGATTTTTTTTTTCGAAACAGATCTCAAAGTTCGAGGGAAATGTTGAAAAAATCAGCAAATTCGATGAGAATATCTTCATTTACACTGCCGGAGAATGTAAAAATATCAAAGAATTGAAGAGTTTCGATAAGTCAGATGATGTATATGTAAGTTTTGCTAACTCAAAAAGAAAATCATCGAATTTCCTTAAATTTTCCAGATTGTATTAGCCGATCCTTCCCCAGTTTTGTCTTCTTTCGGTTGGCCTGTTCGAAACGTGTTAGCTGCTGTGGCAATCACAAAACCTGAATGGTCCTCAGCGAATTTTATCGCTCTTCGAGGATCGCAAGATTATCAAGTGTTTCGATATACTTGGGAGCATGGAATAGCTCCAGAAGATGTGCCGAAATCAGTTGGTTGGGAGAGAAATGCGCAGGATAAGCTGTCGCCATATTCAGTGGATTTGAGCAAACAATTTGATCCGAAAAAGTTGGTTTTGGAAAAAATACACGTTTTCAAAATATTATTTTCATTTCAGACTCATGGAGCAAAGTGTGAACTTGAATCTTTCTTTAATTAAATGGCGTTTGGTGCCGGATATCAAGTTAGAAAGATATTCCAATCTTCGAGTTCTAATTTTCGGAGCTGGCACTCTTGGTTGCAATCTCTCACGGGGATTGATGGCTTGGGGAGTGAAGAAGATCTCATTCATCGATAATTCAACAGTCAGCTATAGTAATCCGGTTCGACAATCGCTTTCCGAATTCACTGACGCAAAAGAAGGACGTGGAAAAGCACAAGTGGCAGCGGATGCGTTGAAACGAATCTATCCGTCGATTGAAGCTGAAGCGTATAATTTAACAGTTCCGATGCCTGGACATACTGTAGATTCATCTGGAGAAGCGAAATTGGCGGAAGATGTTGAATTGATTGAGAAACTTGTTGTTGAACACGATGTTTTGTTTTTGGCGTTGGATAGTAGAGAAGCGAGATGGTTGCCGACATTGTTGGCTAATCGACATAAAAAGGTTGGTTTTGACTCGAAAAGTTTGATGTCTTGAAACGTTCTTGTCGAAAACTTACTTACTTTGATAGTCCAGGACCAGATGTTTCCAGGAACTTCGGCTTCTAGCCACTTTCTTCCACTATTATTTCATGAATTCTGATCCAAAAATCGATAATTTCAAGAAATTCAAATACTAAAAAATTTGATTTAAAAACAATTTTTAATAAAAATTTTGAAACCTATTTTTTTGTTTTTGAAATATTAGATTTTTGAGTCTAAATTTTTCTCAAAGTCGCTGGAATTGATAGTTTGAGCTTTTTAATGCAAAAAGCACGAAATTTCATGGGTTTTTTCCTAAATACCTTCAATTTTCGAATTAATAAATTAAATTATTCTAGTTTTTCAGCTTAAAGGGGTTGTCCTGCTACAGAGAAACTTAGGTTCATTCGATAGAGCTAAGGTGCTCCTGAAACATTCCATATTTTATTTTGATTTTAGAGCGAGTTTTCACCATTTTATTCATATTTTTGCTAGGTTTTAAGGTTTTAGTGCATATAAAAAACATGTGTGCTCTTCACACACATAATTTATTTGTGTGTATTTCTCGCGAAACGTATTTCCTAACATTGTTCAACTATGCAAAGTGATTTTGATCAACTTTAGGGTTGCTCATAGTTAGTTTTAAAAAGTGACGCACTACTGCGGACTTGATTTTCGACGTAGAAGGACAACCCCTTTAAATTCTCTTTTCAGCAGTTTCGAGATAGATTTAGACTCAAAATTCTTATGTTTTGAAAACGTAAAAAAAATACGTTTCAAAATTTTTATATAATTTATTATGAAATGTTTTTCTTCAATTGAATTCAATACTTCTTGATTTCAAGAATATATATTAAAACCAAAACATAATTGGAAAATTATCTATTTTTGGATCAAATTCATGAAAATTTAAACCCCTCCACGGGTAGATTCCCCCAGGCATTCGACGTATGAACAAATCACCGCCCGTTCCCAATTCCCAACCCAAAACCTATCTAATTCTCCAGATTGCCATCAGTGTTGCACTCGGCTTCGACACCTACGTCATCATTCGACACGGCATCGGCTTCTCCGAGCCATCCAATTCGCCTCGCACTTTTTGCGTGACGACCAAAGAAAAAGTACCGTACGCCCATCTTTCCTGTTATTTCTGCAGTGATGTGACGGCGCCCGGAAATTCGACGGCTGATAGAACTTTGGATCAACAGTGTACTGTAGGTGTTATTTTTTTTTGGGGAAATTTGAAAATTTGTAGATTTCAAAAAATCGGGGGTAAAAAGTTTCGAAAAAGGTCCCACAAAAATAAAATTTCAGGTATCTCGCCCTGGACTTTCAATGATTGCATCTGGCCTAGCTGTCGAAGTACTCTCATCAATTCTACAGTACCCGGATCCTCTGGAAGCGCCCGCAATTTTGGGTGATTTGGAAGATGAAGATCCATCAATCCTTGGCTCAATACCACATCAAATTCGTGGATTCATCGGACGATTCCAACAAATGACACCGTGTGTAAAACGATTCGATCGATGTGTTGCTTGTGGTCACGCAGTCGGTCAACAATTCCAAGAAAATGGCTGGAAATTTGTGAGAAATGTCATGAATTCGCCGACTCATTTGGAAACTGTTACTGGATTGGATCAACTTCAACATTCTGTGAATGATGTTGAGATTGATTTCAGTGAAGATTCGGATTAAAACTTCAAGCTGGGCTTGATTTTCAATTTGTATTTAACAAAAAAATTATATGTATATTGAACTCACATAAATTTCTATACTTCTCTTGATTCTGAATTCTTTTTTTTCAAAAAAAAATGGATAAAAACCATGAAAACATACCTGATTTAAAAAAAAAATCAATTCACAATCAATTTTTGAATAGATATGCACAAATGCTCTGAATGCGATAAGAAATTCGAGGTGAAACGATATTTGACGAAACATTTTCAAAGGATTCATGGTCCCAACGCGAAACCGAAAGAAGAACCGGTGGCACATTTGAAATGCAGTGTTTGTGAAAAGGTTTGACAGGGATTTCAAGTAAATATTTTCTGAAACGTATTTTTTTTTTAGGAATTTCCGAGATTGTCGCATTTGCAACGACATCAGACGACGCATTTCAATATTCGAGAATTTAAATGTGAATTTTGTAAAGAGGAATTTTCGCAGAAGGTTAGGGATTTTTGAAAATTCAAATTTTTTCGGGTTCTGCTGATTCTTTCAAATGTTTTCTTTCCAGTCACATCTAACTCGTCACATGCTCCGAAAACATGAAGCTGAATATCTTCAACAAGCCGGAACTAGCACAATATCTTATACAAGTTGCCCGAAATGTGGATGTTTATTCAAAACTTCTTATGAGATGGAGACACATAGAACTGTAAGAATAATATATATTTCAAATCCCCTAAACAGATTTTTTCTTCCAGACAACCCATCATCGATTACGTTGCCATCGCTGCAATCAAGTAATCCACGGCATTGAAGAAATGAAAAAACACGAAATGAAATGTCGAGATGAAAGTGAATTGTGCGCGGATTGTGGAGCAACGTTCAGCAGAATGGCTGATTTGAGATCGCACCAAAATAGTTGTCGAAAATTGATGCAATTCGAGTGTTTGCATTGTCATCAAATGTTTCGACAAAGAATTCAATTTGATCGGCATTTTAAGAAATTGCATTTCAAGAATTCGAAATGTGGAGTATGCGAAATATTGATTGAAAATCCAATAATGAAAATAAAACATGGAAAAGACTGTGAGAAGAAGGAGATTTGCGGGTTTTGTGGAATTGAGAATCCGGGGTATTTTCATGTTTCAAGAAAGCATTGGAATCGTTTGAAAAAGCCTTCGAAGCAGCCAGAAATTGAGAAAACATCGGAGACTTCTATTGAAAATCCAAGTGAAATAGCGGAGAAGAATAATTCAGAAGAACCAGAAAAAATCGTGGAAGATGAAGAAGAACAAGAAAAAGAAGAAGAAGATGATGATTCAATTGATCCATTTTTCCATGACATTGAAGATTTCTCAAAAGAAAGTTTGGGAATTGTTGAGAAGCAAACAGAAGAGGAGATTATGATGGTTTTTGAGATATCGCCAGAGATTGGAGCCGAGAAATTCGAATTCAAGGGGAAGATTCCGACAGAACTTGTGGAGATTTATCCGGAATTGGAGGAGACTGGTAAGGTTTTGGGGTTTCAGAAAGTTTTTCTGGTCTAAAAAAATCAGATTGCTGTGGAGCCAAAATTCGTTCGGATTCAAATTCTTATTCAAAAGTTCTGACAAAATTTTCAGCTGAAAAGTTATTTTAAAATTATTTTTAGAGTTTTCGAAACTCACTCAATTTTTTTAAAATTTTACCCCTACCAGAAAATTTTTAAAAATTTAGATTCCTAGATTTTTTATTGAATTTCATCTCCTCCGGAACATTACAATTATTTGAATGTGTCTGTGTTTTTTCCTCATTCCTTCCCCCCGAAAATTCCACGATTATTTATTTTTGGCTCTAACAAAAAAATTAGATTTAGTTAGTGTATTCTTCTATCAAAAATCAAAGCGCAACAAAAAAAGTTGCATTTCCTGATTTAATAGAAAAAAAAGGGGAAACACAAAAGAATCTCGGATTTCTTTCGTTTTTTTCCAGCTCTCGTATTACTCGACAATTCTGGTGGAAAAATTCGAGTGCAAATTCCAGTTCAACCGAAAACGCATTTGATGGCTGAAAATCTGAAGGTTTGGGCTGAAAATGTGATTCAAATATAGATTTGTCTAACTTTTTTCCTGGAGCGAAACATCATGATGTATGTGATGAAAAAATAAATAAATTTGAGAAATTTATGATGCGAGTGCATTTTTTTATTTTTTATTCGAATGCGAATGTCGTGTTGAAATTTTCTTGTTTTTCGGAAAATGAAAAATAAGGAGTAACCTATAAAATTGCAATTTTCGGAAATGAGGAAGTTTCAAATTTTCATTAGGGAAAAATCGCGCAAAATAAAAGATTTCGGGAACTTAAATTAAAATTTCTTAATATTGGATTTCAAAAATTACAGTAATTCAAAAGGGTAACCTGAGCAATCCCTAAATTGTGCTTTATCGAGTTTTTTCATGATTTTTTTTTCAGCAGAAGTACTCGAATCTCGAAATGCCATAATTTTTTCTGAAAAAAGCTATAGATCAAAATTTTGTGCTGAAAATTGTCCCAAACTTCAAACTTTTCCAGAACAGACATCAGAACAGCAAAAATTCCAGTTTTCCATCCATTTTCTAGATATTATCAAGTCTCTTGAATTATTGATAAGAATACTCTTTTGTTATTAGAAAAATTGAACCATTGTACATCATTTTTTTTTGCTTTTTGCTCCAAAACAAATAAACAAGAAGTATCCTCTCTCCCGTTTAGAATTACCACCCGAAATTCATTAAACTCGTCATTTTTCTCAACTTTTTTTCTTTTTTTTGATGAAATGAGAGGAGATTTTTGAATTGAATTCAATTGAATTGGATTTCGGCTAAGTAACACTTTCTTTTCAAAATTGAATTTTGTTTTGTTGAAAAAAAGGAAAAAGGGTGATGCACTTGCGAACATGTGAAATAGATAAAAAACAAAACAAAACAAAAATCTCTGGAGAATATATTGTGACATTTTTGGAAAAAAATGAGGCTCAAATTGCTCATGTCAATCAAAAATGAACCAAATAGAAGTACATCTACTTCCAAGAATCAAAAAAATTCCTTGATTCCTATGAAAATATATATATATAATATTTTTGTAGTTTTGGCGAAAGACAATTAATCAAATCCTCTTTTTTTTCTTCGAATGTTTGTTGTTGACAAAATAAAATTCAGAAAAAATAGCGAGGCGACCCCCCCGCGACAAAATAAATCATTTTTCATTTCATCAAAATGAAGAAGCTGCTGTGGATAGCAGAAAATATGTAAATATGAATATGAAAAAAAAACAAAAAAGGAATCAGTGAAGAATGAGCATTGTTTTGTATAGAGAGAAGACACCAAGAAAACAGCTTGGAAAATATCTAGATTGATCTGAAGATTTTTGAACTCGGAGATTTTGCAAATCGGAAAAATTAGAAATGTTTCACCTGTCTGAACAAAAGTGGAAATAAAACTCAAAAAAATTTGGAAAAATTTGAAAAAAACATTTTTCACGTGTTTCACGTGAAATTTTGGAAATTCATTTTGAAAAAAAAACTGTGACCCGGCTCGAAAATAAATGTTGATCTTGTTTTTGGAGAATTTAAAGGCGCAGCAGATCTGTGGGTCTCAACACAATTCGGGTTATGGCAGAGAACCGATATGGCCTAGAAAACCAATTTCCTCTTTCAATACAGAAGATCAGAGAAGCCGACAAAGTATACTGTATTCTGGTTTTCTCTTCCACGACTCTAGAAATTACAGTTGACATTTTTTGTTGATAAAACGCTTGGAGCAGCTGAAATTCAATTTTGGTTAATTTTTTTTGGAAATTCAAAATTTATCCAAATTTTAGGCCGAACGAATCCCGACATTCGAAAACATTTACAAAAAAATCCTCCAATTTTTTTTCAAAGCCAAAAAACCTCATTTTTCCCCTGTAACTTTTTTTGTTCCCAACAAAACCACCAAAAAAACAGTTCAACCACAATTTATTGCACACGACGAGAGAAGAGAGAAAAAAAAACGAGAGGGTAAGAAGAAAAAATCCGAAACTATTTGGAGCCATTTTATTTACGACCAAATCGAACAAATGAGGGCTTTCTTTTTTCCATCTCAATTCCTGAACGTTTTCCGAATCGAACAAATGACGGTTTTCGTTTTTCTTTCATTTCTAGCATTCCATCTTCAGCCTAGAAAAAATAAAATGATGTAATGTTTCGACAAAAAATGATCTTGATGTTGTTGTTGTAAATTTGATCTTTTTTTTGAGTTGAGGTTTCTTTAGGTCATTAAAAATATTTGAGTGCGCTACGAGTAATAAAACAAATTTTATTTTGCATATGATTTAGAGCCCTATAAAAATTGTGAAACTAATTTCTTTCAGCATTTGATTTACGGGACAATTTTCCCATTTTACCAACTCTCTCAGAATTAATGGAAAATTAAATTTTTTGGGCCTTAGGCTTATGTGAATTTCAGGCTTTTAGGGCTTTAAATTTAGAAATTTTAGGCCCGGCTTCAGCGCTTTAGATTGAGAAATCTTAGGTCTGTTTTAGGCCTGGTTTGACCATAAAAACTCACCATTTGTTCTCCTAGTTTTCTACAAATCTCCTTTAATTGTGGTGTTCGGCAGAGTTCAGCCAATTGAAGAGCCTGGAAAAAGAAAGAGCATGAATGATTTGGATTAAATTGTACTTTTCTTAGTAAAGTCGGTGTGTGAAAAAAATGTCATTTTTTCGTTGTCGTTAAGAATTGTGAGAATCCCGAACAAACAAACAAGTCAATTTTGCGGACGGACCACACAAAACAAAACAACATCGTCACTTGGAAAAACACTTGAAATTAATTTGATTTTTTTTTTGCTTTTGCCCACTTTTTGGATCACTCTTTGAGCTTTTTTTGGAAGAGATAATTTGATTTATTTTGTAACGTCAGAAGTTTTGGGGAAACTTTTTTGGAACTTTTTTGGAGGAGAGGATTTTTGAGAAGGCCAGAGGATTTGTGAATTTTCAACCAGGTTAACCACCAAAAAATGTCCGATCAAGTCCGTTTTCAAGAAAAATTTTGAATTTAACCCAAATATTTGTACCTGGTCCGATCAACAGCCCATAAATTTTCTATTTAAAAAAAATCCTAAATAGTTCCAAAAGAGGTAGTGAAATATATTTCACCAGACCAAAAATAATGATTTTCCGGAGTTTCAAGGAAGTATTTTCCTGAAAATAAATCCAGATGTTTTTTTTTTCATTTTAAAATCGATGCAAAAAATTTTCAAATGTTTTTTAATTGGCTTCGTTATTTAGATTTCAGAATAAGATTAACCTTTTCCAGATTTTTCAATTTTCAACCAACCTCCTCAAATTCTTCATCGTTCACAACAGATTGCATTCCACTGGCCATCATAATCAATGCCAAAACGAAAATAGCAATGATTTGTGTGTTCATTTCTGTGTCGTGAAGACGACAGCAACAAATCTATAAAGTAAAAAAAGTATAATCGAAGGAGAAAAGGGGCGTGAGCCAGAAATATATGGGCGGAGCTTGAGTGGAGATCGCGCTTTTTTTTTGAGATGGGATGGATTGAGGAAAAAAGACAAAGAGAAAGAAGATATGACGTTGTTTGAAGGAGATTTCAGCTGTTATTGAAACTTTTTTGAGGAAGTGGTGAAAAATTGAGCAGTGTTCTATTTAGAATTAAATTTTTCAATAGAAGTTCCAAAAATTATATATCTTCTTTTTTTTTTTGATAAGCTATGGTTCAGGGAAATTTTTAGTGCACAGTTAATTCCAATTTTTAAGAATACCAGAATTAATCATGCTTGATCTGGACAATTTTATTTTGATAATTTTCAAAGGAAAAATTAATTTCCAGTCAGAAAACCTAATCAGAAAAGATTTCTCGCCTGAAAGTTTTGACCTTTCAATTTCGGGATCATTTTCCCACGCTCATTAATTTTTCGGATTTAGAGCAACTTGCCCTAAGTTCCTCAAAACTTTTCACCTAGGAACTTACTTGATCTAAAAATTTTTTTAATAGAAAATCAAGTTCTATTCATAATTTCTAAAAGTTCTTCCTCAAAATAGTAAAATTCTCAAAAGTGCTTGCTCACTGATTTTCAAAAGTAAAAGTGTCAATCCAACAAAAAAAACAGTGATGTCTGGATCCATTCATAGAAGATCGCAATGAAAATGAAAAAAAATATCAAAAACAAACCGAGACCCCAAAAAAAAATGAGGCTTGTCGGAAACAAAACAACACACTAAAACTTTACGATATATCTATTCATCTATCAATCTTGCTTTTATTTCAAAAATACTCCCGAAATAAATAAAAATGAAATGAAATGAAATGAAATGATTTATAGTTCCTTCCAGAAGGATATTATTCCTAACCCAAAAAAAATTTAGAAAAAAGTATTGTTTAGAAGAAAGAGCAAGATACATATGGCTTGTAAAGAGTTATTTATGTTTTATGGGGTTTTTGTTGGCGAGAGGGTGGTGATGTTATTGTCTTGTCTTATGCTATAAGGACAATTTTAACCATAAATATTTTTCATTTTTCACCACGATAATTAGAAAAAGGTTATTTTTTGCGTGTTGTTTTTTTTGCTGATCTGGAGAAAAAAATGTTTAATTCTGGTCTCGATTTCGATTTCGATTTCGAGTGAATTATTAATGTTTCATAGTTTTGGGGGTGTTTTATCAAAAACTTGAGAGATAGAGAGAATAATCAAATATGCAGGGTTCAAAAACTTCAAAACAAAAAAAAATATTTTAAAATCGTGAACTTTTGACGTGGAATTTTGGAAATGCTTGTTGAAATTCTCAAGATTAATTGTTCACAAGGGAATGTTTTTTCACTCTGAATTTTTAATAAAATTTGACTCGAGTCAAGTTATGACGTGGCAAAAATTTGATTATTGACCAAAATGTGTAGCTTCTCTTTGGAGTTGTAACTTTTCAAGCGTGAAAACAGGAAAATTGATTGTGGGGTTTTTTCATGAAATATTTTCAGTGTTGTGGTTTTGAAGCTTCTGACTCGAATTAAAAAAAAACTATAAAAGCAACTAAATTTTGTAAAAAATGAAGGACTTCAGAATCTTCTGATTGCAAATTTGCAAAAAAAACAATAAACTGAAAAAATTTTTGTGATAATAAAAAGAAACGAATGAAATTTTGGATGCAAAATTATCTACATTTGGAATCAAAAAAAATTTTCACAAGAAATTGTTGAATTTGACTTCAAGGTTGTGATCCCTGAATCCAGATTTCAAGATTCATTTTTGTAGGCTCAAGACAATCCCACTCTGGAACTTGCTATAATTCTCCTCCTCCACTTCTCATCACATATATGTTTAGTTTTTCTTCCCTTGTTCCATGCGATCAAAAACATCTGGCCAACGTTTACAAAAACAGAAACGAAGAAAAAGAAGCGGGAAAGCATGAATTGGTTATTATTTGTTCAATATTCAAACAAATTCCGAAATCAAATAAACACTGACACTTTTTCCGATTTTCACTCACTCATTTACTGTTTTTTGGTTGTTTTTTTTTATTATTTCTGTTGGTGTTGTACATTTTATCAACACTTCCTTCCTATTTTTTTTGAAAATAAAAACAAAATTATCTCATACAGTAATCTAAACTTTTTTGTTTTTGTCGTTTTTTCAATAAACAGAAAAAATAAGTTTTTATGGATGAGTTCACAATTTCTTAGCCAGACCAGGCCAGGTCATTTTTTCTTGTTATGTTAGATCTGCAAAACTGATTAGCCGAAATCATAATTATTTTTTGATTGGCTATAAGTTTTTTCTCTCTTTCGATCATTTAAAGAACAATTTTTTTGTCGAGAAGGTCATATTTGGTTTTTTTTGTTGTTACACAGTTCCCGGAACATCAAAAATTTTTCAATTTCAATTTGAAAATGAAACATTTTTTCGCTATTTTTCATGTTTCAAAAGATGATTGTTCTTTGCAAAATACCTGACACATATAGATAGAAAAACCACTTTTTCCTGTATAAATATATATATGGTAAATAGATGTGAGAAAGAAAAATATTTTTTTGTTTCTATTCGCCGAAACTTTTTGGTCGTTTTTTTTTGTATTTTTTTCCCGACATAACAATAATATTAAATTTAACAGAAAAACAAACAGGTTCTTTTGGTTTGAGTACTAATTTTCAACGAGGTTTTTTCATTGATTTTTTTGCCTACATTGAATTTTGCTGGAAATTTTGATCGAAATATCAATTTATGAAGGGAGAACGAGAGCCGGAGGTGAGTTTTTTTTTGGAAAAATTAAAAATTCGCGTGACATTTTTTTATTTTTTTGTCACTTGTGAGTAAAAAATGAGTATTTCTTAAAAATGTCTAGCGAGAAAGAATCTTCTTTTTCTTCAATTTCAACTGTTCAAAAATCTAGCAAAGATTCACAAAAAGAAGTTATAGAAACTGATGAGAATTGGGTAAGTTTTGAAAAAAAGAATTATGCACACCCTGACGATTAGAGAAAAAACATTTGTCAATAGGGCGAAAATGCGTTGTTTAATAAAATAGTGACCTCAAACTCGCTTGCCAGCACCTAATCACGTCTCGGGGAAAAAGTAGCAAGTTTTGCTTTTTTTTAATTTTCAAAAAACAATGTTGAAAAACTCACTTTTCCTCCAGTTTTCCTCGTTTTTGACAATCATACAACTAAAATTCGCTTCATGAATTGTTTCGATAATTCCATAATTTTGCTGACGTTTTTTTCTGTAAAATAGAAATGAATCGAATTTAAATAAATACTTTAAACGGAAGAAAAATTCAAAAATGTACATTTTTTCATAAAATTACTTTTTGAGCACCATAAAACTATCGAAAATCAACTAAAAATATGTTACTTGTACTAGGAAAATAGATAAATATGAATTTCACAACAAGATTTATTCAAATTCATGGAAAAACAACAAAAAATCGACAAACAAACAAAAAACAAAAGTAAAATAACGAGACTCCGCGTGACACTGCGCTCACACAATCGCGCCAATTTTTTTGTTTTCAAACGAGGGTTTTTAATTTTTTTTTTACTTTTGCTCCAAAAAAGTGTAAGTTCTGAAAGTTCCCTCTTCGAAAATATGTTGAAAATAGTGCCCCTTTTTCTTCAAATAAAAATATGTTATTTTTTCAGACCACCTCCGAGATCATCAAAAAATGGCCAAAACAAACGTTTCTAATCATTGGAAATGAGTTTTGCGAACGTTTCAGTTTCTATGGAATGCGAGCCGTTCTCATGCTATATTTTGTGAATATTCTGAATTTTTCCGATTCAAATGGAATCGTATTATTTCACGCTTTCACAGTGATCTCATACACAACACCACTTTTTGGATCGATTTTGGCTGATGGTTATATTGGAAAATTTTGGTGAGATTTTATATTTAATAAATAAAAAAAATACTGTTAAAACTTTTTAGGACAATATTCTCGATTTCCATAGTTTACGCGATTGGTCAAATCCTTCTTGCTGTATCCTCTACACTGTCTCCTGAATTATCCCTCCATCCATGGCTTGATTTATTGGGACTTTTGATTATTGGGATGGGAACTGGAGGTATAAAACCATGTGTTTCGGCGTTTGGAGGCGATCAATTTCCTGCAAATTACACTCGGATGATCTCGATGTTTTTCTCGATTTTCTACTTCTCAATTAACGCTGGCTCATTGCTCTCGATGTTTATTTCTCCGATGATGAGATGTGAGTTTTCAAAAAATCTTTTCGAAAAATTTTGAGGTAAATGTTTCAGCGATTCCATGTTTGGGAAATGACACGTGTTATCCGCTGGCTTTTGGAATTCCAGCAATTTTGATGATTGTGGCAACAGTTGTTTTTATGCTTGGAAGTTTCTGGTACAAAAAATATCCACCAAAAGAAAATGTGATTTTTCGGGTGGTTCGAACAATTTTTGTGAGTTCTTTTAACTAATAACAAATTTCCAAATTGAAAAAATTGCAGAGAGCTCTTCGAGCCAAAAGAAATGGAAACAGAGCTCATTGGTTAGATCGATCTCTAGATGATCATTCATGTCAATCATCTCGAGAATGCAAATCAAATGGAAAATGTAGCGAAGAGAAATTTGTGGATGACGTAAAAGTGTTGATTCGTGTATGCGTTATGATGATTCCGGTTCCAATGTTCTGGGCACTCTATGATCAACAGGGTTCCACTTGGGTTCTTCAAGCGGTGGCTATGGATTGCCGGATTTTTGGAGCGTTCACTTTGTTGCCTGATCAAATGGGTGTTTTGAATGCGTTGCTGATTTTGGTGTTTATTCCGATTTTTCAATCTGGAATTTATCCGGCGATTGAGAAAATGGGATATAAATTGACGTGAGTTTGGAGGGAGCAGAGAACAAATATTTTACAGCAGCGTGGGAAAAAATTTCATTCCAGAATGCTGCGAAAAATGGCGGCTGGCGGAGTTCTCACCGCCCTATCATTCTTCATTTGCGGAATTGTTCAACTTTTTGTCAATCAATCTTTGGCCACTCTTCCAGCAGCAAACGAGGCACATCTAACAATTATCAACACATTCCCATCGTGTGATTTTATGGTTACTGTAAATGAAAATGCTCCGTTCCTTTTGCCACATGGTTTGGGATTACATGATGATGATACAATTCAAGATCCTGTCAAATTCCAATCTGCAAATTATTTTCATCCAAATATTTCGATAACCAGTGATGCTCCAAATTGCCCGAAATTTGCTACGAAATTATCGCTTTCTGGAGGGCAGGCTTATCAAATGACATTGACACCAACTGGCTGGACATATGGACAAATGAATTTGCAAAAACCGAAAAATGGGAAAGGCGAATTTGCGGTCAGTTTGAATATGATGATTCCTTGCGAAAATTTACCAAATGAAGTTAGTTGGAGTGGATGTGATGGCGAAACTCGAACAAAAGGATATCAAGGAACTCTTGGATTGTGCAAAGTTGAAAGTGATACCAACAATGAACATCCATGTGATCCGAGTGCTGATGGTAAATTCTACCAATTTTCGGATTCTTCGAGACGAGCACTTTATATGAATGATTATTTGAATGGAAATGGCGGAAATTTTGGGCAATCTTATGATAATATTGATGTACTTCCTGGAACTTATCGATTGTTTTATGTGAATTATACGGTTCCATATAAAAAGATGTCAAAACCAACAGCTTCTCAAACTGTAACTTGGCCTTTAGATTTACCAGCTGTTACACAAGAAGCAATGGGAGGAGTTTATGTGATAACAATAACGAATAAAGAGAAACTTGGAAAGGATGTTTTGGCTGTTTCGCAAACTATTGTTCATCGAAATCATATAAGTATTCTATGGCAAATCCCGCAATATGTTATTATTACGGCGGGAGAAGTTATGTTTAGTATTACGGGATTGGAATTTGCATATTCGGAAGCATCGCCGCAATTGAAATCGGTGGTTCAGGCGATTTGGTTGTCGACAACTGCGTTTGGTGATTTGATTGATGTTGCGATTTTGGCTTTGAATCTTTTTAGTGATGTGGTGAGTTGGGGGTTTTCTTTAAAATGTATCTCCCATTCGAAACTTACGGCAAATTGAAATTCATTACATGAAAAAAATATTTGAAAATATGAACAGCTTTCATGTTTATCGCAAAATCTTTTTGAAGAGAAAAAAACTTTTTCCAGTCCAAATTCCGTGAATTTTTCATGTTTCACACCAAAAATTTTCCAACTAACAATTGAAAATACAAATTGAAAAATAGACCGACGCAAAAATTAGCGAGACCTCAAATAGGCAATTTTCAAAGTTAGCAAGAGCCTCCCACACTTTTGTAAAAAAAATTTTTTTTTTTTGAAAATTTTGACTTCCCGCCCAAATCAAAATTTTCATTCGGGCGGGAAAAAACTTTTGTAAAAAAAATTTTTCTGAAAATTTTGATTTTTGTTTAAAAAAATCGAAAAAAAAGTTAACCGGACCTCAAAATTTTTCTCGGAGTTAGTCAGCCCGTAACTATGGATAAATCCAGGGATAAAATTTGTATTTATATATATCTACTTCTACTTTTATATTATTTCCCGAGGTGTCTTTCCGCATTTTAAGGTCACGTTATTTCTTGTATTTTATATTGGAGTACTGTAAACAGCACTTTTTGTGTGTATTTGTGCGTCGACGTGTATGTGTAATGGTTCCCCGCGCTGTTCAAACCGTAGTTTTTCGAATTGAATTTCTGAAAAAACAGGGAACGGAAGCTCAAGAGAAGGACTAAATAACTGTTAAGACACCTCAAAACTCATTTCCAACTGGGTAGCTGTCTTCAAGCTCAAATAGACACTGTCTGAAACCTGTGCCTATCTGAGGCCTAATTCGAAATGTCCCAACTTTCCAGGCCACTCAAATGTTTGTATTTGGCGGAATTATGTTAATTGTCATTGCACTCTTCATTCTACTATCAATTTACTATTACGAATACGCCGATTATACAACAAATGATGACTCAGAATCCGAAAAACTGGCCATTGAATGAACTCCCGAACTCGCCATATTTATAAATGTACATAATAATCTGTTTTATTTGATTTCAAATGATGATGAAACTGTGTAACTATTTAATTCCCTAATTTTTTTTTGCAAAAATTATATTTTATTCCACATTGTTTCGCATTTTCAAAAACAAAACACAAATTGTTGTCTCGTAACTTCCGCATTATTTTCATGTTTACTTTTTGTATAACCGTGACTTCTGAGTTACCAATTGTTTTTAAAACCAGCCGATTCCTTATTCATACATTCAGTGTTATCTCCGACCAACCATCTTATTATTTTAGGTGAGAGTGATTTTAATCTCTTGGAAAATACACGTCCCTTTTTATTTTTCAAAAATTTTGAAATAATTCTCACTTGGAATTATATTTAACCGATAAGAAAGAATAATATTATTTTTTGGCCCAGAGATAGATTTATCAGAAACTAGAAAGTACACACCAAAGTTCTGTGGAAATTTTGGTATAAAATCGGGCACAATTTTTTTCGAACATGTGTTTCCGATTTTTGTTGATTTGATTATTCCTGATTTCCGTTATTGATAAAATTTGACCATGACGTGGGAAATTCGGGGCATTTTTCTGATTTTTTTTAGAAATGATTTGGGGTTTGCCACGTAAATAAGGAAGGGTTCACGTTAAGGAATTATTTGTTTTTAAATTTTTCTGAAGTTCAAAAACTTGACAGTTTTTTTGAGAATAGTGAACTTTAGATCCAATTTTTCTTAAATTTAAATTTTCAAAAACATTTTCGGAAAATTTCAAAATTTTTTTAGTTCTGTAGTTTTCAGGATGTGTTTTGACTAATCTAGATTCATTAAAAACGATTCCAAAATTTTTGAAAAACATTTTCTAGGAAGCTCTATTTGAACTAAATAAAAGTTAGATTCAGGAAACTTTTAATTAAAATATCATTGAACATTTTTCTGAAATTACCATGTTTTTTTTCCAAAAATGTTATTTTAGAATACGTCATTGATCAAGATCTTCTTAGATTCTTCCATCATTACTCTTCACACCTCCCAAAAATTCTTAAAATAACATTAATCTTTTTTTTCCCCGATTAAAATCTAACTTTTTGTCATTTCTTTAAAGTTTTTTCTGTTGTGCCGCTCAACAACTGTTTCGATGATCATTAAAAATTTCGCTTTTTTTAAATTTTATAAAAAATTTTAATCCCCAAACGAACCAGAATGAAAATGAAAATGAAAATAAAAATAGAAACCCAAAATCAATGATTCACATTCATTCAGATGTCGTGATGAGATCATCATCACATCACACCTTCGAAAAACAAACAAAAAATTTCGACCATATAATAGCAAAAAATACCTGTGATCTTCTTGTTGGTGTCTTATCGAAAAAAATAGTTTTTTTTCGCTTTTCACGAGCTCTGTTATGTTTATACATACATGCACACTGATAACTAAAACTCATCATGATAAAAAAATAGCCAGCCGTCTGACTGTGTTTCCACCTTCTTTTTTTCGACAAACGTTTTTTTGTCGTCGATTTGATGATGTGAAAATTTATAATTGTTTTTTTTTGAATCGGGGGATAATAACCTGTCAACTTTTTTTGTGACCTGCCGTGTTTCAGATTTGATCTTTGCTGTCCCATGACGATTTTCACAGGTCAATCAATCCAGTTCTTTTTATCCCTCCTTCTTCCTCTGAAACCCTTTTTCCCTGAATAAATAAACATAAGAAGAAATTCGTCATTTTCCGCGCGCCCCCTTGAAATAAAACCAGCTCCTTCCGCAACGCAACGCAAAGAAAAACTGTGTATAAAAGTTTTTCAAAAAATGTTGTTGTTTAATGCTAATTTTTTTTATCATTCACCATTTCGTATTGATTTATTTGTTGATCTTTTTCGCCCCGCTTCAAGGAAAAGCAAAAGAATTTTGACACTTTCAAAATAGATAAAATATTTTTTAATGCCCTTAAAAATCTTTGCGTTCCAACTTTTATCACAAAGTTTTTATATTTTTCAGAGAAAAAAATGGATTCTTCAAATTTCCTGATACTTCAAATAATTCTCGCTTCTGCCATGTTACTTGTAACATGTATTGCTGGATGTGCTCCATTATTAGTAAGTCCTCTCGGGAAAAATACGGCACCTTTTTAGCGCCGAGGCGACATTTTCATGAAAAATCCATTATTTTACCATACAAATGACTTTTGTTCTCTTTTCATCGAAATTTTCCGCACTAGAAATGTAGCAAGCGTGTCCGAGTGGATAAGAGGATGGGTTGTCGTTGTTTTGACCCAAGTTCGATGCCCCTTTCCCGCACCTTTTTTTTATTTTTTTCGTCTCACTGGCACACCATTTTAGCGCCGAGGCGAGAGAACTTCCCGCCTCGGCGCCCCAGGATGTCGCCTCGGTGGCGTATTTTTCCCGAGAGCTTTTAATTCAATTTTTAATTTATCGCAAATCATGATTTCTAGCTTCTGACAGTGATGAAAAGAAAAGGAAAAGATCAGACCAAAAATGGCTGGCTCTCATATTTATCGTGTTTTTCTGGTGGTGTTTTTATGGCCACCTGTTTCCTCGATATCATGCCACACATCGCTGAAAATTATGAGAAATTTGTGAACACTTATAAAATTGATCCACCCGTTCCATTGAGTCAACTCTTCATTTGTCTGGGATTTTTCCTAGTTTACCTAATTGAAGAAGTTACTGCTAGAGTTTTTGGAGGCGGCGATGGACACGGACATTCTCATGGAGCACCGCCGAAAAAAGAGAGCAAAGAGAATATTACCAGGTTGGTTGGTTGTGATATTAATTTCTGTAGATGTTTTACTAATAATGCATGTTTCTAACAACTTCTAACAGACAATCCCTTCTTCCTACTTCTAACAATTTGCATGATAATAATCATCCACAACTTCTACGACACACCAGGTGCTTTTTTTGGGTTTTTGAAAATATACGAACTGATTTGTGGAGCAAATGGAAAAAAAATGGAAATTTGATTTTTTTTTCAGAAAATTGAAAAAAGTTTTTAAAAAATTTCGATCAGAAAAAACTCCAGAAAAATAATATTTTTTAATTTTTGAGGATCAGACTCTATAAACTCCAAATTCCAAATTTCAAATTAGAACTTCGGAAGTCTAAATCGTTCACAATCAGTTTGTATCTCATCATTTCTTATCCTAAAATCCCTTAACTAATTATTTTCAGCTTGGTTGTTGAAGAAGCTTCGCCATGGGTAGTCTCTGATGAAAAATCGAATATGTTGAAAAGTTTGACATTTGCTGTAGCCATGTCTTTTCATTCACTTCTTGAAGGTTTCGCGCTTGGAGTTCAGGTAACTTTTTTATTCAAAATTGAATATTCAAATTATTTCATTAAAATTAAACACAGGACACCACAACAGGAATTTATGCGCTATTCTTCTCACTTTTATTACACAAATCAATCGAATCGTTCTCAGTCGGACTTCAAATCTCAAAAACAAACAGTTCGAAATATGTTGTAGTTGTTATCACTATATTGATATATGCATTGATGACACCATTGGGATCAGTTCTTGGAACAGTTTTGCAAAACACAAAATCCGAATCATTGTGGAAAGATGGTTTGATTCTTCTCCTCGAATCAATGGCTGCTGGAACATTTATTTATGTAACATTCCTTGAAATTCTTGCACAAGAAAAAGAAAATCATTTCAATTCTTTGAAACAATTGTTATCGATTGCCGCCGGATTTATTCTCATTTTGATTCTTCAAATTGTATTCGGACATGATCACGAGCAAGCACATGTTCATCCAGTTGGGGTGAACGCGAGTGTTTCACACGTCTGAAAATTTTGAAGAATATTTGGATGGAAATATCTGAAACGTGTAAATTCTAGTGGTGATAAAGCTTTATTTGTTTGTATTTATTGTAAAAATAAAGTTCAAAAATGTTTAAATTTTTCAGAAAAGCTGGATTTCAAAAACCTTGAAAAAAGATTTTCAAAAATCATTTTTTTTTATGAAATTTGAGATTTCTGAGTCATTTCAAGCTACCAATTTTTAGAATTCCTGAAAAAATTTTCCCCAAACCAAAAGATCAACACACATATCGTTTGATAAAACATCAAAGTATCAAAAACTTCGGTAAACTCTCCAACAAGTTCAGCTAATTTTCCGTCTTATCAAATCAATCACCTCTCTATCTATCTGAAATAAATATTCCAGCTATCCAACATTTAATGAGATCCTCAAAAAAAAATAAAATATTACGTGAAGAATCTGATAAATTGCCCCGTTTTTTCCACCATATTTCTTCATTACCCAATTTTTTTCAGCTGTCAAACCTTCTCTCTTCAACTTTACAGTTTCTCTTTTTCCAGAAACCTTATCTGTCTTCGTTCTTTTTCTCCATCTTTTCCTTCATATTCTTCCGATCAATCATCATCGATTTGCCCTTTTGCTACTACTACTTTCCATTCTGCTGGAATCGCAAAAAAAAACAAGAAAATATTCTAAGATCCCTCCCTTACTTTTACTACTTTTGCGCGCAATCAAAACAACTTTCACTTCATCTCATCTCATCTCATCACACCTTTGCGTGTTGTTGCATTTGGTAATTTCAGATTTCTCTTTCTTCTTTTGATTTCAGATATTTTTCAGATATTTCTTCAAAATGCTCGACGACCATTGCTGTGATGAGCAATGCGGTTCATCAATTATCGATTTATCCACACCGGACACTCTTCAACGTGATTTTAACAATTGGCTTAATGTAAGTTTATCATCTCTGCCTCTGCGTTTCCATTTCTACCCAGCTGATATTTATCGGTTTAATACCGACCTTATCCAGTTCATTCATTATTTTTGCCTTTTGCCATGCAAACCTACGATTATAATACCTACTATTATTTTCTACCGCCTTTCCAAAATTTTCAGCAGCAGCAGCAAACCGAAAATGAGTCGATTTACGGCTCGCCGCAAAGTGATTGTGGTGGATCGAGCAACGGCGAGAAGAGTGTGAAGGATGAAATTGTCACGGAACCCGAGAAGAAAATCATTACTGATGGCAGGAAAAATCGAAAAAAGGGTGAGATTTTCTAAATCACGAGTTCGAGTTCACCCCGAAGTTTTTCTGATCTTCCCGATCTTATTCAAGAAAACATCAGAAAAATATGTATTACATAATTTCACTTTCACCCGAAAAAACGATCATTGTTCGCATTTCCAACCAAACTATCTATATAAATATTTTTCGGGAACAAATTTAGGTTCGGGAACAAATTTATATGGTCGCCCGTATTGCCCAGGTCGACCGCTTTCAATGGATGAACGTCGACGGATAATCGAGCTGCATAGCGGTGGAATGAAAGTGAATGCGATCTCGAAACTTTTGTGCATTTCACATGGATGTGTGAGCAAGATAATTAGTCGATTTCGAGCAACTGGCGTTTTGCTACCTGCTTGTAGTCCAGAACAACGGAAATCGAGGAAAAGAAAGACTGAGGAGCCAACTTATATTCCTGAATACGTCGTGAGTCCTCTGAGATTCTAAATTCTATCTATATATATAATTTTTATCCAGATCCCTGATCCGAATGGAAATGATTATATGAATATGTATCCAATAGTTCAACAAATTCCACAAGATTCCAATCTACAATCATCGTATTATCAAATGATCTCATAAATGATTCAATTATTAAGAAAAAAGTTTCTTAGATCTTTGGTCAAATTTCATTTTTCCAGGCACGTAGGTTTTCCAGGCAAAATGATAAGATCTGCATGGATGATCTTAGGTTCTGGTTTTTCGGCGAGTCTACTGCAATAAAATGATCTATGAAGGTGTACTGTAGACCCTTTTTTCGGGAAAAATGTTTTATTTTTAGGTGGTTTGATACGGGGAACAATTTATTAATTGTCTAGGGGGTTTGGAACGGGATCTTCGTTTGTTCTTTTGCAGTCTGCAAGGAAAAAGTTTTGTAATAATTATTATTGTAGAAAATTTTTTCGAACAATAAATTTCAATAAAAAGTGGGAAGAATTTTACATTAAACAATTTCAGAGTGAAATTTAAAAAAAAAAGAATTTTCGCGAAAACTTTTTTTCAAATGAAACATTTTCAAAAATATTTTTGAAAAAAAGTATCTCACTTTTTTTTTGAATTTCACAAAGGTTAACCCTTATTCAAAAAAAATCCAACAAACCCTAAACCTTACTTCAAGCCTAAGCCTAAGTCAGAAGCAATTTCAGACAAAAAAATTACAGTCTAGTCTGAAGCCTGCCCTAACTTCCAGACCAAAATTTCTGAATCATCAACTTCTCCGATTTTCACAGCTTAGGATTAGTGAACTTCAGGGAAATCAACATTATTATAAAATTTAGAAACAGAAGTTCAAAAGTTTTTCTGAAAATTTCAAATTCAAAAAAAAGCAACACAATTTTTTGATTTATAACATTTTATTAACATTATTCGAATTTTCCTCGAAAAATATTCCAAGAGAAAAAACACTTTTTTGTTGTCGAATGTGCAGAAGATCAATGTGAATGTGCCATATATACAGAAAAAACAACGTGTAAATTTTTTGACACATAATTATTATATTGGAAAAAAATGGGTAGGGGCAAAAAATAGGGGAGGGGGAATCACTGGTTCTGTTGGTTTCAAATAAAACATCGCAAAAAAAATAAGTTAATTAACACACATCAGAGATAAAAACATAAAATAAATTTCAGGCACAGCCCTGTATAATACTTTCTATTCGAAACATTTCTAGCGAATTTTTAAAAAACAAAGATCATTGGACAAGAATATGGAATCGTGGGGGGATATCAAAAACTAATATGAGATTATACGGAAAAAGTTTACCGAGTTGGCGATTCTAGGCACTTGTAATTTTCGAAAACCACATCTTTGGTGCCATCGAGGAATTGTCGAATCAATTGTGGATTGTCAATAATGCTCTGGAAAAAATCAAGGTTTTGAATTTTAAAACAAAAATTTTTTTGTGAAACTCACCATCTTTGGTCGGAAAATATCTTCAACTTCCACCGAGATCTCAAAATTCTTATCCGACGCATTACTTCCAACACTAACTGGTGTATATGGGGCACTGCCAGCCGCCACGTGTCCACCATTCGCCATATTCTCGTGCGACATCGATGAGCCAACACTGGTTGGATGCATTGTCAAAGACGGTGTGGCTGGTGTTGGTGGGCCAAGGCCTTTTGTCGGGCTTGGCAAACCATATGGGCTGTGGTGTTTGGGCCAACCATCTGAGGGCACACTAACTGGCATTGCTGGGGAGAATGTGTGAAGATCTCCACCGAACATTGGGTTCTCGTGTTTGACGAATGTTTCGGATTTGATTCTTTTCAAGGTGTTTTCTTGTTCTTGCTGTTGTTGCTGCTGCTGTTGTCGCTTCTTCGATCCCTTTTTCGGTTTCTCCTTCTCTGGAACTGCCGGCGCTTCAATCTCCATAGGTCTCGGATTTCCCATCCGATCCATAATAATCTCTGATATCAATGGATTTGCCTGACATTGAATAAGAAGTTGATTAAGGAAGAGATCAATCTCAACATCACAGAATCTGAACCACTGGTTACATATATTGCAGAAATATCTTGTGGAGTAAGGGTTGTGCGCCAAAATAATCGCCATATCGAAACATTGGGGTGTTGTGCACATTTTATGCCTGGCAGGAATAATCATTCGTTTTCGAGTTATGGCACACCAAAGGGGAATTTGGATCAAGCCGTTTCGCGAAGAATGTGCCATGCTTTGATCTGGAATTTTTAATTTTTTTAAAAATGTTTTTGTTTTTAAATAAATTCTCTAGAATACTCACATCGATATTTAGCACTTTCCAACTTTTGTCTCACATCCTCTCCAGTCTCAAATAATTTCTGTCTAAGTTCCGCAATCGATTTTCGACACACAAATTCGCAAGTAATCTGATGCATTTGAATTCGTGCATTATATCCAAATTGAAACACATTCTTTCCGGGATTCAAAAATTCTTTGAGAAAGAAACTGTGATATTTTGCAGTGGTCGCCAGAACATTGGCACCATTTATATATATTGTGATTTCTGAGGGTTCGGCATACTGCATTGGTGTCCAAACTGTTAGAAGCATATCGTAGTTTGCTGTTTTCATCATGTTGAATGCATCTGTTGTGATTTCGAATTCGGCGCCATAGCTTCCGATTTTTGCTGTGAATTCTTCTAGGACAACCTGAAAGAGAAAAGGTTTTGGAAAAATTACGGATTAATTTTTTTTGGAAAAGTATATGAGAAAATTAATTTCTTGCGTGACATTTTTGAAAGGGCATTTTCGAGAAAAAAAACATTTTTTTATAAGGCTTTTCTGAAAAAATGTCACACGAAAAAAAATTTAACAAAGATTCGGATAAAAAAAATAAAATTCTACAGTAATCTGTGAAATTTTCGGGCCTAAATTTAACAATTTTCTCAAAAAAAAAACCATTTTTTCAAAAATCTGAGATCTCGAATTTTTAGGTGTTCCAAAAATATCTAGAAATTTTTGCCCCAAACTCACATGTTCTGACGCATAAACATATAGGCCATTGATTGGTCCAGCCAATCGATCCATCGCCAAATTCGGATTAATCTGCGGTGGATTCTGCGGCCTAAAATGCACATTCTCCAAAGTTCCATGCGGTGTCTCATGCGTCCTTCCCAATTGCGGCGGAGGTGGTGGCGGATGTGCAGCGGCTGCAGCAGCTCTCGCCCTCATCATCTGCTGATATTGCTGCTGATTGGCGGCATATTGTGGCGGATATCTCATCATTTGTGGTGGTTGTTGTGATTGTCCAGGAGGATATTGTTGTTGCTGCATTCGCATCGCCATCATTCTTTGATGATGTTGTTGTTGTTGCTGCTGAATATTCTGATCATACATCGATGCGTTGCCTTCCATTTGCCCATAGGGTAACATTGGTTGTTGTTGCGGTGGCGGCACAGTTGGATCTCCCGACGCGGAAGATCCAGCTGATTGCCACATTTGAGCGGTTTCAGTTGGATTTCTGAAAAAAATGAAAATTGGGTAACCCAAAAAAAAATAATTGATCGAACGTTATTGTTCAATTTTTCTTATCGCGAAAATTATAGAGAATCAAAAAAAAAGAAGAGAAGAATATAGGCGGAGTCTTTGCCATAGGGAGGAAAAGAAGGAGAGCGAAAAAGAGCCGGAAAAAAGTGCAACACGGGGGATATTTTCAGAGGAACGCACTTGTCTTGAACTTTAAAGGAACATAGAGGGTTTTTGGTAAGAAACTCGGAAAATAACAAAAAAAAAATGTTTTTTTTTTGATGAAACAAAACGGCAGCTTGGAATATTTTTTGTTTTGGAAAAATTTTCAAAAAAAAAGGATAAGAGATTTCCTAATCGTGTTGAAAAGTGCAAAAAAAGCGAGGAGAAAAGATAATATTGAAGAAACACAGAGACATACACATATATATATATACAGAAAAAAATATTATAACACTCGCATTCATATTATACACGCGCATCTTACATTAGGCAGGCAGACATGCCAGACAAGGAGGAGAGAGGAGGAGGTTAGAGACGCAGAGTAGGCAAGCGTGTGCGCGCTTGAAAACAGCATATACCACAAGAAAAGAAGGCGAACACACAACATTGTTTCTCTGCGTCTCTCATGACTTTTTTTGGCACTCATTCGAAGCATATACACTTTTTTTGTGTGTGGTGGAATAAGAAGATGGAGAAGAGGAGGAGGCAGAAGGCACACCGAATATTTCGAGGGGCCCCTTTTCTGACGACGACTGGTGCTAACATCATTGTTTTTTTGTCGTGTGTCTCATGAGCAGGATGACAGAGGAGAGGGTGTCACGTGTTTTAGGAAGGGATTGGAGAAGTTTGGGGTACTGTGGAAGTTACTAGACAGAATTTCAAAGCTATGGGTTACGGTAGTTGAATTTTTAAAGGTACAGTAGAAATTCGGAGACACGTAGAAAAAGATTACTGTAGTTTCTCAAAGCCAAACTTTGAGCTACTGTAGGAGTACTGTAGAAACTTCTTCCAAGAATCGGAAAAATTTTAGGATTACTGTAGACTTGAGAATTTTATAACTGAAAAACTACAGTACTCTTGAGGTTTTAGAATTTCAAGGAGTTCCGAATTTATTAGGGTTACTGTAGTGAATCTAGAATTTTTTTGAAATTTCAATTTTCCCGGGGCACCTTAATACTATCGATTTAGCACAAGTTATCCTGAAGAAAATCAACTAGAAAATTGTTCCGAAAAAGTTCTAGAACATTTTCAGACCTACTAGCTTCTCCCAAATGACAAAAAATGCCCCACAGGAAATTAGATTCTGATTAACTTTATATTTTTTTTTCAGAAAAAGCGAAAAGTTCAAAATGACTTTTTGTTTTGCTAACCGAATTTTGTTATTGATGAGAATTTTTTTCAAAAAAATATGCGGCTCCTGATTTTTTTTGATAACAAAGAAATAATTGCGCGTGACCTTTTTCCTAAATTTTTTCTACTTATTTTCAAAAATTGATCAATCCGCCCCGTTATCTTTGTGAACACAATTTTTCAATGAAAATTCCATAACAAAAAGTATTTTTTTTTGTTAATGATAAGAAGTCTGAAATTAAGAAGAAAGAGAGAGAATCGATAAGATTTTTGAGGAAAAAATTAAAAATTAAAAAAAGAACTCACGTTTCAACAACAAAATTATTGTTTTCGGATTGGGTGCTGGTGGTTTTAGGTGGGGCTCTTTTTCGTCGCCCGCCGTTTTTCTTCATCCGTCGAAGTTGTTCGTACCATCGATTTATGCGATCTGGAAAATATTGGAATTTTGAGGATTTGGAACTCCAGAATCCAAAGTTCTCGGAGAATTTTCAAAAATGAATTTCAGTAGAGGAAAATTGTAGAAGTTCCTCTACTAAAAAAATCTCTGAATCCAATCCTGTTCTATAGATCTAGATCCCATCCCAAAACTCACTCGCTGAGAGTTTTGATAAATGTTTTCGATGCGAAAAGCAGGCAGTCATCAATTGATGTGTTAAATTGAAATCAAAAGTTTCTTTGGTTCCGTTTTCCATGGCGACTTGCAAAGTTGCCAATAGATTGTCCTCGAAATGCGGTGTAAAAGCTCGTTGATCCGAACACCATTTTGTGAGTTCGACACAAGCTTGTGAAAAAGTCAAGACATCCGAGAGACTCTGGAAAAAAGAACTTTTTTTCAATTTTTTTTTCTAGAAGTTTTAGTTTCAAATTTTCACAGTTGAGGTTTTGAGGTTTCAAAATAAGAAAATTGAACTAATTTTAATTTTTGAGGTAAGTTTGAAACTCGAAAAATAAAATAATTTTGGAACTTTTTTCATTTTAAATTCTTCAAGGAATTTTTGTAAGCTATTAGGATTAGTGTAATTTCAGGTGAACAAAATTTATGTTCATTTCCGAAAAGTGTTTCAAATTCCAGTTTATTTAGAAAAGGTAGATCCCAAATCTTCTCAAAACCTTCAACTTTTCCGAATCCAAAAAAAATCCAAAAATTTCCTAATCTCCCTAAAAATATTCCTTTAACCTTCTCCAATGCCCAAAAATCTAAACCCCCAATTTTTCTTGCAGAAATCAAAATCAAAACCAGAAACATTCCAAGACAGATTGATCAATCATTTTCCATTTTTTTTTTGTTGTCTTCTAATAAATTACATATAATTTTTGTGAAAGATACTGTAGATCAGAGCAGATTTGAATTCAAGAAAATTTGGGAAAAACAGGTTTTAAATAATAATTGGCATTGATCAGAATTTGAGATAAAATTAATTTTTTTTTTGATTTTTTGAAAAAAACTTACAGCCCGAATTGAGTTGAGGCGCATGTTGTTGAGAGCAACATGTTCCTCATAGGTGATATCTTCACCCATGAGGTAATCCACTTTGACCTGAAATTAATTAATTTTATTTTTTTTTGTTGTTGAAAATGCAAAAAAAAAATCGAAAATCAAGAAAAGCAAGCGATCTATTACGTAAACGTTTTGTGAAAAATTGAGAGAATAGAAAAGCAGCAGGCAAAAAAAACACGTGAGTCGTAAATATTGTGTGACGTGTTTGCGCGCGCAAGAAAGATACCGGAACTAGCGCGCGCGCGGAAAAATGCGGAAAATATTGGGAGAAATTGAGAGACGCGCCAGTGTTTGTATGAGAAATGCCATTGTGATGAAAGCGAATGATCTCTCGGTCATTCAAGCAGTCAGCTGTACATAGTTATAGGGTTCCATTAGAGATTTGGGTAAGGGTTTCGCCGCAAAAATAAAAAAATACATTATTTTAGGCGTTATGGGGTTTTATCCATTAGCGCAGCTCTTTTTGACTTGTAAAATTAGAAATTGTGCAAAAAATGATCGCCTAGGTCCTCTTGCATCATAGCCGATCATAGAGGAATAGGCATACATATAAAACAGATGTTTTACCTATTATTGCGACAAGCAGATGTGTGACACGTAAATATTTTGTATTTTTGGCGATTAAAAACTGTTTTGGAGAATTGTTTGGAACATTAAAATGTATAGAAAGAAATTCGGAAAAAATGCAGGCAAACATGGAAGATTTAATAAAAGTTAATGAAAATTTCGATAGGTTTTATTTAATTACAAAAAAGTTAATTTTGTCCAAGATGACGTTCAGAAACATTTTTTGTTTCAGAATAGATTTGTTGACTTCAGAAATCCACGTGGTTTTCAGAAGGTTTCCAGAAATTTTCTCTTAACAAACTGGGTCCAACACTGAAATTGTTCTCAATTATTTTCAAAAAAAAAAGTTTTGCCACCTAGATATTTTTAAGATTCAGAATTAATGATCTTCAAGATTTTTTGGAACATTTTTGGCACAATTTTTTATTGAGCTATTTTAGTTATGTTTTTTCTAGATTTCTAGATTTTTTTGCCTACATTTAAAGCCGGAAATTTTTGATCTACAAGATTTAAAAAAATACAGTACCTTTAACTTTTTCAAAAATAGGTGGATTAGAAAAAATTGTGAGATATCAATTTTTTTTTAAATAAAAAAACAAAAAGCAATTCAAACTATACGAAAAAATTCGAAAAGCCTAGAAAAAAGTTCCAGACATTTTTTATCAGCACAAAACAAACAGAATATTTCGAAACTCTTCATAACATGTGTAATATTTTCGACACTGACCAAAAGCAAGAGACAAAAAACTCATATAAAATTAAAGAAAATTAAAAAAATTTTAACAAAAAGTAACACACAAGAGGTCAAGAAAAAAAGCGAAATCAAACAAAGAGAAGAAGAATAAGCATCTTTCTGTCTCTCGCCCAAAAAAAGCAATCAAATCGATTGGTCAATTTCGATTCGATTGTCCAGACGTCTTCAATTGAGAAAAAAGAAGAAAAAGAAGAAGCTGAAGACATGAAGACGAAGAAAAGAAAAAGATGCGCTGCGCGGGAATGTCTTCTTCTACTTCACAACGGGTTTTGTTGTATTGTCTGCGCTTCTTCGAGATTTTCCCATTCGGATTTTGAATATCTGTCTGCCTATGTAAATCTGTACAATGTGAGAGTAACAGAACCGAAAAAATGTTCAGAGGGAAAAACTGTACAGAAAAATAGAGAGATTTTTGACAAAAAAAGAGGGAAAGCAAACATTTGCGGTCAGCCAGCGAAACTGTATGTACTAATCGGAACATAGAAGAACATATATCTGATGATCGACAGATAATAGTTTTTTTCTTGTACTTTTTTGGAACCTTTTCGGGAAGGTGTTTAAGGAACCAGAGATCTAGAAATTTATGGTTTTTTTGGAAAATTTGGAAAAATTTGGAATTCAGAAAAAATACTTTCAATGTTTTTTTATTTTTTTGATCGATTTATCGAAAGTTTCAGAATTTTTCTGACAAAATTTATTTTTTGGCGTCCTTTTTTTTGAACAAAAAATGAAAAGTTTTGAAAAAAAATTAAGTTCATCGAATATTTCAAAAAAAATTCCTTCTAGCAAATCCTGAGATATAAATAAATATGTCTGAAGACCATATTTTAATTAGTTTCATCCTCCAAAAACTTTTCTGGAAGTTTTTTTTCAACCTCACATCAGTAAAAATCCAAAGAACAAGAAATTATTATTATGAAACTTGCACAAAATTTTTGAAGAGCACCGGAAAAGCAATGCTGACGAAACATATTTGGGCTGTATTTTGTGTTTGCTCAGCGAACCCTCCCCCACCTATTATTATTATTATAAATCTTTTCCAGAAATCGAAACTCAAATTTCAGTGCAAAATTCCGATCCCAAAGTCATGTTTCCTAAAATCAATCGATCAAATATTCAAATTTTGTCTACCAATTATGTAACACTGTCTGCTGCTCTCTCAAATCCGCATACTATTTCTAATTGCGCACGCTCGCGGCAAACAAAAGTGCATGTCTGTCGTCTCTTCTACAGTCTCCACTCTCTCGGCGGCCACGATTTTCTTGTGCACGATTTTTTGGAAAAGGAGATTTACTACTGGAAGAATAGAAAAAACAAAAAAAAATAGGGGGGGGGGGGGGCAAATAAATTATTTTAATTATCTAATCAGATGAATTATTTTTTTCAAGGGTTCGGGTTTTATCCTCGTCTTCCTCGATAACAATTGGCAACACTTCTGTTGACATTTTCAGCTGGTCTTCGGAGAGTTGCGCTGAAATTTGAAATTTCTGATCAGATTCACTCAATTTTTCAAAGTTTACAAAAAAAGTTACTCACTTGGCATTACAAGTTTAGAATTTGAAATTTTCCGCTTAAGACTGGTATTCATTTCCAGATTTGATAAATTAATTTCACTTGGTGAAGCTGAATCACAATTGAAGTTCAAAGTGGCTTGAGATTGTGAATTCGAATTGTTGAAAAAATTGCGATTCTGTTTTCGCGCGATTTTCCTTGACAATGAATCAATCATCATACTTCGCTTTCTGGGTGATGAGAGACTTGCGCGACTTCCAAAGGGACCACCGATTGACATTACTGAAAAGGTTTTGCGTGGAATGAGGTGGTTGGTTGATTCGAAGTCGTATAAATCTATGACGTCATCCATGTGAGGCATCATCATAACTTCTTCTTCGTCGTTTACTTTGGTGTTCGGACAGCTGGAAATTTTGTTATGAACATTCTAGAGATAAATTCCTACGGACCTCTACTAATTTCAAGGTTCCCTTTCATCAACTCACTCATAATTGGCTGCTGAACCAACTTGTGGATTCTTTGGAATCATCGCAGTATCCACTGAATATAAAGGTTCAACATCGGAACACCAGAACATATCCTTCTCAATCGCCGGAATCTGATTATAACAATCATCAACAATCGCCAAACCAACAGCCAAATTTCGATCCAATAAAAAGTTACACTCAAAATCGTCATCATCCTCTCCCAATGGATTTATCATACTTTCAGCCACTTTCATCCAACCAACAACAAAAATGAATTGAAGAATTGACATGAGAAATGGCACAAAATGATATAACTGCAAAAATGAAAGAAATGATTGCGGAATTTTTCAAGAAAACATTTTAAAACTCTTACCAAACTTGCTTGCTCTGGCGGTTTTCCATCCAAAAGAACCGATTGTCTCGCAATCAACGCCATCACAAAATACGAGCGTACAGCAAGAAAAACAACTTGTGGATATGCCAACGGAATCGGAACCCAATCATAATTACTGAGAAGTGCGAGACCTTTCCGAAACTCGATGATATGTTTACCAATCTCATTCATCAATAAATCCGCCGCGATTTTTCCTTCAGATCTTGCCTCAAACAATAATCCCGAAGACCATTGAATTGGCAGAAAATATTTTGAATATTTTAAAGGGACATTGTAGAATGCCTCTTTCTCGTGTTCAAGCATGAAACCGGCAGCGACAATTGATTCGAGGGTTGGAAAACGGCGGCGAACTTGGAGGGAGATGTCGCGGAATACGAGGACTTGGGTGAGAACCATGTAACGGATCACATTTCGACGTATCATTCGAGTACGTTCATCTGTTCCTCGGATATAATTTGCAACAGTTAGGGCAGTGCTAGAAATAGAGGTTTTTTCGAAAAAAATATGAGAGGGGGGAGGCAAGTGCGCTCCATCGAACTTTGTGGCAAATGCGGGAATTGGAGTTTTTTTTTAAAGACTAGTATTCTCCCTGGGAAAAGCAAAGCTTGAAAGACTCTCAGGGTTCCCAATGTTCATACATTTAACGTGTCCCTTTTAAAATCCGGGGGGGGGGGTTCCCATTTTTTAACCCCCGGGGGTTCCCATTTTTAAAAATCCCCAAAAAATACAGTAGGCGAGCAGCGTGTTTTCTATTCTGCAGCGCCTTTTCGCGTCAGCGCGTAAGATTAAATGTTTGCGGACCAGGCGGTGTTGACACACACTTTTATTTTTTCCGTTCTTTCTTTAGGTTTGGGATTTTTTCAGTAAAATCTGAAATTTGACCAAAGTTTCAATTAAAATAATTTTGAGCCCAAAGTTCACGAGTGATTTTCTTTGAGTGTGATCTAGCAAACGCGCCCTAGCAAACTCCAACAGGCGGAAAAACGTTCTCGGGAAAATTACGGCACCTTTTCAGCGCCGAGGCGACATTTTCATAAAAAATCCATTATTTTACCATACAAATGACTTTTTTTCTCTTTTCATCGAAATTTTCCGCACTAATAATGTAGCAAGCGTGTCCGAGTGGATAAGAGGATGGGTTGTCATTGTTTTGACCCAAGTTCGATGCCCCTTTCCCGCACCTTTTTTTATTTTTTTTTTCTCACTGGCGCACCATTTTAGCGCCGGTGCGTTCTCTCTGCGCACCTTTTTAGCGCCGAGGCGAGAGAACTTCCCGCCTTGGCGCCCCAGGATGTCGCCTTGGCGCCGTATTTTTCCCGAGAATTATTTTCAAAAAAAAACTCACTTATCAACCCATCCCAAATTCGCAAAAATATCATTCCATCTTCGCACAATAATTGTCACAAAGAAACCAAGCATAAAAGTGAGTGGAATAAATTCCATCGTCTGATCGAACAAGGCAGCAAAGTTATCCCATATTCTAAAACAAACAATTTCTAAATCTTGAATTTTCTCATGAATTTTGCTCACTTCCTGGTCTCTGGAGCAATAAAAAGTTCACTTCGATAAATAAACGAGACAACAAAAAATGCAGACACAAAGAAGATCAACTCTTTCAACAAATACTTCCAAATCGAACCGTTCCATCTGAGTTGAAGTCGGAGAAATGAGAAAATCGAGGCGGAAGAAACATCAAGATTGTAGGAAACAGTCATCTGAAATTCTATGAAATGGGAAAAGTTTGGGGAGATATTGGAAAAGTGGGCGAAACAATTTCTTTCTATTTTTGTTTTGATTTTATTATTTTTTCTCGTATTTTTTTCATTCACAGAAAAGTTTTGGCTGAAATCGAGAACTTGATCCGTATGATAAATAAATAAAAATGGAGAGAAAATAAGTGAGAAATAAAATGACAAAGATCGTCGATTGAAAGTTATCGACTTTTAACTTCTTATTCTTTCTCGTCAACAGATTATAAGCAATCGGGCAAACAGTTAACGCCGCTAGCTACTTTTGTTTACAGCTTTTTTCACCCCACCAAGAGAAGAGAACTATATCTGGAGACCCACAAAATCAATATAGACAAAATATTGACAAGGTTTCTTCCTAAAAAAAAAAAGAAAACATAGTTTTGTTTTGGAAAAACAGAAACACCTGGGAAGATCGAATTAAATATAAAAAAATAAACAAATATATAAAATTTGGATAGTCTACGGAAAAAGTAGAAGTAGGAAAAAGTGTGGTGATTCATCTGCTCTCTTTTGTTTTCTGGGTGAAAACGAAAAGCGCGCGCTGGGACAGTTTGATTTATTCGGCGTTGCTTTAGAGAACATAATGAATCATTTTATTATGTATCAACACTTTTTTAATAGAACATTTTATAATGATTTTTTTTGGACTTGTAAGGAGAACATTTTTGTTGTCGGCACCTGTGGAACAGATGGATTTCTGTACAATTTGGAAGAGGAACAAAGCTGGAATTGATTTTTCTGAGAATTACAGAAGATTCAGATGAAAAAGTGAAAATTGTTTCGGATTTTCAAAAAAAAAATGAAAAATATTGTATGACAGAAGCTCAACTGTAAATGAAAAAAAAAATCGAAAATTGGCTTCTGAAAAATATGATCTGATAATTTTCTGAACAAATTTGAATAAAAGTGAAAAATAGAGATTCCCCCGATTTTTTCAGATTTCGAGATTTATCCAGAATTTTTCAAAGAATCTGAAAAATTATTTATTTTGTGCTTTCTCAATTTTTTTTCAAATTAAAAATTCTGTTAAATTTTTTTTCCTCTTGAAATCTAAATGTTGGAAATTTAAAGAAAATGTCTGAAATTTAAATTTTTAAACTTTTTTTCCACGTCACAGATTTCTGAAGTTTCAGAGATTTCCAATACTTTCTATTGTTGTACATATTTTTTGAAGATTATCCACTCCTTTTCCCACTAATCCCCAAAATGCTCTTGGTCCTCCGCTCAAATTCATATAATTAAATCCAACATTTTCAAGCGCATGAAAGTGCACCCCGTCATCTTTTTTGAGTCAGTTTCCATGGTTTCCCTTTTGTCATCATTTTAGTTTCTCCGCCCCAATTTTTCAGTCACTTTATTCTCCCAACATGTTTTTTCTATTAATCCGAACTTCCTTGCACTTTTTGCTTCTTTAATAATTCAATACACACACCATTGAGCTACTTTTTCTCTTCTTCTTCTTCTTGTCAACCAAAAAGAGATCTCTATTCTTTTTTATTTCTTTTTTTTTCTATATACATAGTAGTCACCTAGACGACTACCTATTTCTCTTTTATTTTCAGCCAAACCAAAATGTCACCGGATCAAAAACACACCTACAAATTGTTCTATGTGAATGCTCGCGGACGTGCCGAGCCAATTCGATTGATCTTTCACTACTTCAACGTGGATTTCGAAGATTATCGGATGGAAAAAGAAGAATTTGGAGAGGCTAAAGAAAGTGAGTCGGAAATTAATTATATGTTTTGAAAAATATTCAGAATGTTTTTTTATAGAAGCTCCGATGCATCAACTGCCTTATATGGAGCTCGACGGGGGAAAGACTACATTGTGCCAAACTTTGGCAATGTGCAGATATTTGGGAAAATCAATTCAACCTGAACGCTGTGAGCTTTTTTGAGGGGGAGGGGGGATTAGTGAAGCATGCACTTTTGAACACTGAAAATGAGACCTCATAAGAGTTCACGTAAAACTTCTCCGCGCCTCCAGCTCTCTAGCGTCTCTTTTTGTTTTCCCCATTACAAAAAAATCCAGTTTGTCGTTCAGAGCAACGCGAAGTTCAACAAAACACAACACACATTTCCAGGGTTCGGCGGAGCAACCAAAACTGACTCGGCAAAGGTTGACATGTTCGCTGACGCATTTTGCGATCTTTTCAACTTAGCCATGAACGCGGTTTATGCCGACGAAAAAATCAAAGAGTTCCAAATGGAAAGTTTCAAAGCAGCTATTGGGCCGAAATTGAAGATCCAGGAGAATCTTTTGAAAAAATCGAAAGGCGACTATTTTGTGGGAAAAAGTATTCATTGGTGTGATGTATACATTTTGGGTATTCTTCAAGCTCTTGACGAGGTTTGTAACTTGATATATATATATTCTTGTGAAGGGCTTAAGAAAAATGTTTCAGCTTCAAGATGGAATATTTGACGATCTTCCGGAACTCACTGCATATTATTTGAGGATGAGAAATCTTCCAGAACTTCGAGACTATATTTCTCAAAACTGGCCAGCCACTAAATATGAATAAAGAAAATACTTTTTTTGCCAAATTAGTAGTTCCACTGTAATTAATTAAACAAAGAGAAAATAATATTACAAAAATGTATGAATCATCTTAATTCGATCTCATCAATAAAATCGTTTTCATCTCTAGCTTCTCTTCATCAATTCATACTATCTCAAAAATCTAGGACACTAAAATCGCGCATTCACTCACACACATAATACATAATAATAAGAGAACATTTTCCGAAAAATGCTACTTTTTTATATTTTCATTGTTTTTTTGAACACTCATTGTTTTGTTGTTGCGCAACTTTTTACACCGTGTAATGGCAAATCGGCGCTGAATGGTGTTTGTGATGTGAATTTGGATTGTGATAATAAGGGATCGATTTGTTTACGTGGAAAATGTCGATGTCATCCGCATTATGTGGAGACGCAGGATGAAAAAGGACGACTTCCGAAATGTGCACCGCGTGAGTTGACTTTTTGAGTTTTTGAAAAATTTTTGACAAAAACTTTTTTTTTGAAAACTAAGAACTGGGATTAGTTTCGAAAATCAAATCGATTTTTGAGTGCTCCAAAATTCCAGAAGGTTTTCAACTCTCAAAAATATCCCTTCCAGTTCCTGCAAAAATCGGAGCCAGCTGCTCTTCAAAATGTCGCGAGCCTCTATTCTGCCGAAATGGCGAATGTCAATGTGTTCAACGCGGAACAACCCGCGTATCAAACGGCGAATGCATCACAACATCAAGAGTCGGCGATCGTTGCTCAAGACATTATGATTGCACTTCGCCATTCTCAGCCTGTCTCAATTCCCAATGTGTCTGTATTTCTGGAACAATCCAACAAGGTTCTCGATGTGTCGCAGCTGCCAATTGTCCGCTCGGAGGTCTTCCCGGACAAAGTTGTGTTCGTCGATCTGATCCATCGCTGGCTTTCAATTTGCCACCCGATCAGGATAATTGTCCAGCTGGTCAGATGTGTATTACAGCCGCTGATAGCAGCGTAGGTCATTGTTGCCCAATGGTTTGCCCGTTGGCCAGTCATATCGACACAAAATATTCGTGTGATCCGAATGCCACGTCAAAATGTCCTGCCGATTCTCATTTTTGTCATTTGTTATCAGGTGAGTATCTATTATCGAAAATCCCATCGGTACTACGCGCTCCACCGAAATAAACACGCAACGCAGACCGCGTCGCGCCACAACACACACAAATAGGGGAACGATTCAAATTCCCTCCCTTTTTTGTGTGTGTGTTGTAGCGCGGCGCGGTCTGCGTTGCGTGTTTATTTCGGTGGAGCGCGTGGTACCGATGAGATTTTCGATAATATATCAATTGAGAGCCCCACAATAATAATAATCCAACTCATTTTCAGACGGCTCATTCACCCAAGCAGTTTGCTGCCGTCGACCGTGCAACGCAATGGCACCCAACGCTCTCTACGCCAACAACCAATGTATTCCACGTGGCCAACTCAACTCCGCGTGCACAACAAATGCTCAATGCGGCGGTGGCGAAGGTATGGAGTGTGTGAAAGGACAATGCCAGTGTATTCAAAATTTCCATCCGGCCGTCGATGCGCTAACTCATCCGTTGAAAAATCCATCGCAAACTTGTTCGAGAGATTGTGAGAGTGAAGATTTGTCGAGGGATACAAGTTGTATGAAGGTGAGGGAATTTTTGAGAAGATCTAGATAGTTTCTAAAGCATCTCTAGGATATGTTGATCAGTTTTTAAAGTTAGGTTAACTAGTACATTGGCTAGTGAAACAAAATTCTCAAAAAAATTGCCACGTCATGATCAAAATCTTCTCAAAAACCTCAGGCTGTTCCCCTCGGCTCTCTCTGCTTCATCCAAAAACAATGTCCCACAAATTCCGGATGTTACCGTGGCCGATGCATGTGTCGATGTGGATTTGCCGCAAAATCCGGAAAATGTGTAGCTCTTCCAGCACCGTCAACAACAACTTCAGCACCATCCCGTAAGATTTCGTTCAAAATTTTCCAAACAAAAAATATTTTAGCTCCAATAATCCCTGGTGTCCAATTACCACCAGGAAACGATTTGTTCAAACTTTTCGGTCAATTTTTGGGCGGCGGAAACGGTGCAAACGCTTTCAATTTAGGCTAACTACACTACCAAAATTTTTCCAAGATTCAGAAAGTTTTCTTTCATTTTGATACGAGGTATATTGTTCATACAAAAAAAAATAAATATTATTTTTGTTTCCCATGGGCTTCAATTAGCAACCACGAGGGGTTTCCGCTTCCTTCCTAATTTGACCTTATTTTTGGTGGGATGGACATCTGCAACTTTTACCCCAACCACATACATAATTATAAATAAGGAAACGAAAGACGAAATAAAATAACAAAGAGGAGAAGAAGAAGATCATTTTCTCTCTCGACGACATCAAATTCAATTTTTTTCTTCATTTTTCTCGCGCACGCGTGCCCGATTCTTGAACTTCGCATTTTTTCGTTGTTAAAATGTCTCCCCAGAGTCGTTGAGTTTTATCGGATAAAGAAACTTGATGTTAGTGTTGGAGAGATAATCGAAGTTTTTACGGAGAAGCTGCTGGGTTTTCAAAAATTTGGAAAATAGTAGTTTGCTGTAGACAAATCAGAGTGAGGAATTGTTACCTTCTGATTCTCTTCTATCATCGAATTTCCTTCGTAGACCCTAAATGTTCTGGAGTCTTCTATTCAATTTCAAATTCATATTTTCTAGTCGTGACTTCTTAACCTCCTGTATTGTTCCATATATTTGATGCTCTACGGTACTACGGTACTACGGTAGAGCCTTTACCTCCCTGAAAAACCTCGCCTTGATCCTTTGACCCTTGAACTGTTTCAAGCCAAAACTACTTGGAACTCTTCATGGACGTCAAGTCACTGCTCCTTGATCTTCTATAGTTCTCAAGGAATCGAGCCTTGAACTTATCTACTTCTGTAGAAGTCTCTTCATCTTGATCTTCCCCTAATTCTCTAAGTTTCAGCCTTCCTCCAACATTATCTCAAAAATCGCCATATTTTCATTGAACTACTGACCCAATAATTTTCCCCTCTGTGTTTTTTGCGCAACATATTCTTCTCCTTCCTCCAAATTCGAAACCCAACCATTTCTTATTAAAAAGTGAAACGCTAGTTTGGAAAATGTTCCCATTCTACTAATTAAAACGGCATTGAATATACATAAAACCAAGTAGTGACTAGTCTTTCATTATTATTATTTGCCTACCTCCCAGCTCTTCTATTGCGCATGCCGCAATTTTTCACCTGCTCGCATGCTTCCTCATTGTGCTCAATAGTTTCATTACATGTGTTTTTTCTCTCCCTTCCGCAGACAGGTTATTTATTTACGTGAAAAGCGTGAAGATGCTGGGTGTTAAGAAGTAATAATTGCCTTCATGTGTTCATTTTTCCTTTGTTCATGACTAGAGACGTCTTTAAGATTATTATCGAGGCGGTTAATTTTTTTTTTTTTGGTGGGGCTGCATTTTTCCCAATTTCCTTCCTCGATCGTTATTTATGCTTGTAAAAGGAGATTTGTCGATTTGGGTTAATTCTCAATCCAGTGTTCGGAACTTCGATTTGAAGATCTGGCGTTTGAGGCCCAAATCTTCAAGATCCAATTTTTTTTTTGAAATTCACATGAGCTTCCCACGTCATAAAAATCCAAAAGACTCCCAATTAAATATTGATTGTGAGCTTAAAAATAATTTGAAATCAGTTTTTTGAATTTCTGTTTCTTGGAAAATAAATTTCAGATTTTCTCTGAGATTTCCCAAAACAAAATTCTGAAAATCAAAGTTTTTCCCCAACCAAAAACTTCAATATTTCCTGAAACCTTCCCTTTCACTCCTCAATCTTCTCTCAAAATATCTCCAGAAAAAAACCGCATTTTGTTGTTTTTTGTTGTCTCCGTGTTTAATGACCTCTTATCTTCGCCTCTTCCCGAAAATGTTTACACTTTACTGTCCCAAATAGAAAAACGATCTTAATATTAATAAAGCGCAATCGAAAATTTAATACTGAAGAATAAAAAAAAACGGATCGAACCACTTGACAAGTTTCATTTGTTGTTATTTGCGCGCGCGCGCTGGCGCTGCGGAAACCGCGCCATAAAAAATGAGACTCCTGAAGGAAGGAAAATGTGTGAAAAAAAAAGAGAGAGAAGGTCAAGTGTAGATACTTTTGACTTAAATCACTTTTTATTAATAAATATATATATGTACACTTATATATAAATATGTATTATTTTTATTCTGTATGTATGTACATGTTTCCAATAGATAATTCCAACTCAAGAGTGAAACTAGTAGGTTGAACAAGATTTTTTTGTATATTTGTTTGTGCATTTTTTGCGACTTCGAGTGGTCTTCTTCGTTGTTGTTTACAATGCCATCTCGATTTCTTTTTGGATGGATACATTTTTATTGGAAAATGAGCCATTTATGGCATATTTGTTGCGTGAAACGTACTTTTTTCATGAATTTTTTACTAGGGTTTTGTCGGGGGGAAATATGTAGTGTAGAATTTGACCAAAGTGGACCAGATTTTTTGGAAAAATTTTTGAAAAACACTTTCTTCCGGTTAATTGGAATTTCGCTCATTTTGAACTTTTCAAAAGTAAATTGGTCAGAATATTCCAAGTTCTCACATGTCAGCTTTTTTTTTCATTTTTTTCTGTAAACATTTTTATGTTTATGTTTCCACGGAAATTCCCAAACTTAAAATTTGACCTACACATTTAATTTCGTACATTCTCGAGTCAACCGATCTTCTCAAATTCCAAAACTTTACACCTCACAAGTTTTGAATCATCCTTTAATCGCGCAATATTTGTTTAGGTAAATTTTTTTTTTGATTCGTCAAGGTCTTTCTTAAAGTAAACACAGTTTTTTTGTCCAATAAAATCAAAATGTTTGAAAGTGCGCGAATTATTTTTTCATAAATTTATTGCAATTTAAAATTCCATGCAAATAGAATGTGCAAATAGAGTAGTAAGGTAGTAAATATTTTCAAAATTAATGAGAACAGAATTCGAATTCTCATTATTTTTCAATTTTGAAATGCAATTTTTAATCGGCATGTTGTTGTTCACTGGATTAGCCTTTCACCTTTTTCGTTCGTTTCACTTTTTCTTTTTCGTTATTATGTTCTGCCATATTATAGTTTTTCTTACGATATTTGAAAAAAATTGAAACATTGAAATTTTGAAGCGAATAATTTTTTTTTCAAAAATAATTCTCCTGGATTTTGTACGTTTCAGTTTTTTTATTTTTTAAATTATTTTTATTCACATTGATATACGAGTACTTTCAAAAATCAGTTATAAAATTTATCAGAAATTTTTCTAACAAAATTTCGATTCAAAATAATCTGCATATAGCTAAAAATATCTTATCGTAAAAAAATGTTCAGATAAGCAAACGAAAAAAAAATCTGAGAGAGCTTTTATTACAAAATTTTAAGCCAAAATTTGTCAGAACTTTATCTGAAATTTCCTATTTTCTGTTTTTTAATGTTTTGTTCCAAAAAATGTCTGCAAAACCCATCTTTCCCAAAAATTTGATCAAAATTTTTCTTTCCCTTTTTTCGACCCAATAAGATTCATTGTAATACGGACCACCCGCATAAATTGGCTCGTCAAAATCTTTTTTTTTTCTTTTTATTTTTTTGCTATTCCTAACGAGACTTGTCCTTTCAACTCAACTCAAATCATATTTTTTCAAATCTAGTTTTTTTTTTCGGCGCTGCCTGGCTCCTATTTCTTTTGGTTTCTATGGTTATTTATGCTTTTGCATTCATATTTATATTTTTAATCCTCTTAAATCCACCTTTCTTTATTCCGCTCTCCCCCAAAATTCTGGCCCATTTTGTAGATTATAATTATGCGAAACGAATGAAGAAGCTAATATTTTTAACCTTGCTATTGCTAAAAGCAAATCCAATTCAAACCGAATTTCAAGCCGATGTTCGTTGGACTTGTTCATCGGACTCAATTTCCATATTTCTACGAACAACTAAACCATTCGAAGGACTAATCAAAACACAAAACGCAACAACAAAAAATATCGAAAAATGTCAAACACTTGGAATTGGCACAAATGTGGCAGTCCTCAAACTTGACCTAAATTCAGATGATTGTGGAATACAGTATGATACAGAAACCAATACATATTGGGTTAATATTGATATTCATTCACATCCTATTTTAATTGTGGAAGGAGATAAAAGTTTGAAAATTACTTGTAATATTGATCCGAATGTTAATATTTCATCGAATGTAAATGATGAGGAAGAAAATCGAGATTATGAAATGCGATTGTTATCAAATCGATTACCGGTTGATGTTGTTAAGTATTCACAACCTTATACACTTCAGGTAAGCAAAGAAAAATAACTGAACATTTTTAATAAGCACTTTTGAAACGTATAAATTCTGGAAAAATTTCAGATCCGCCCATTATCTTCCCAACTTCCAAATTATTTCATTGGTCAATGCATCGCCCGAGGTGGAAATCAATCAGTTCAATTAACTGACACAATCGGATGTGCACTTTTCAAATCAATAATGTCAGATTTTGCGAGAAGAGATTATGTAGAAGAAGCTGAAATCCCATCAATGTTTAGATTTCCAGCAGCAATGAAACTTGAGATAACTTGTGCGGTTATAGATTGTGATGGAAAAAGTTGTGGAGAACGAAACTGTGCGTCGGAATCAGTGAAATTATTGGAAAAAACAACAGCGAGTCTTGAATCGGAAGACACTAGAAAAGTAACTCTTGTTGTTGATATTTACCAAGATCACATTGTATCCTCAACAACTTCAATGCCTTCTTCTGCTGAAGTTCGCACAACTACAACAACAGTTGTACCATCTTTGATTCTGGCGGATGATCCGGAAGAAGTTTTAAAAGACTCTCCAATTCATTCAACCCAGCATTGTATTTCACAATATGATTTTAAAACAATCTACGCGCTTTGTTTGTTTTTAGCAGGTAACTTGCAAGTTGTTATTAGAAACAAAAAAATGTTTTTCCAAAAAAAAAAACAAATGTTTTTAGTTTGCTCAATCGTTGGTTTCACAATGAATATTGTTCTTTGTATCATGTTACGAAGAAAATCGGCAAAATTGAATGAGAAGAAAAAAGTGCCAAGTGAAATAATTCCGATTCCAAAATCGACTGTCAATCATCCTGATTTCTGGATAATGGAAAATGCAAAACAACCTGAAATGTATGAATCACCGTATGCATCTGTACGAAATCCAACATCCGAATATGGATTGCATTCATCGGAAAGTGGAAGTAATGAAATATACAGGTGAGTGAAAATCTTGAACGCAGAAATTTCAAATATAATTTCTTTTTTTTTCAGAAGACCTCATATAATACCTCCAGAAGTTCGACACAGTAATTCAACATTTATGACACATTCAACAACAATGGAGACAGATTTAGACAGTCAGACATCAACTTCTTATCATTAATTTATTACGGGCACAACAAAAACAATTTGTATGTAATGTTGCTATGGTGATTCAATAAAGCACCTTTTCAGCTATCTTTTGTTTTATTTTTATTGCACTACTATTACTTTTTATCTTTTTATTGTTGTTGCATTTTTTTCTATTTCTAAAATTCAACAGATAAATTTACAGATGTACAAGCAAGATGATAACATCCAAATGAGAAGTGATCCATTGGATAGTATCACAGAAACTAGAGCAAATTATCAAGAAGTCTCGGCGATTCGAACAAGTATTGTTAAACCGCAAGATCAGTTTGTTTGGGGAGAAAATGAAATCGATGTCAACACTGTTAATAGATCAACATATCAAGGTGGTATTGGGGATAGATTTCAAGCTTCTCGACCAAAAGATCAACTAGATAAATCGAGTGACCCTATCGAATCAAATACTATCAACAGATCAACATATCAAGGTGGTATTGGTGATAGATTTCAAGCTTCTCGACCAAAAGATCAACTAGATAAATCGAGTGACCCTATCGAATCAAATACTATCAACAGAACAACATATCAAGGTGGTATTGGTGATAGATTTCAAGCTTCTCGACCAAAAGATCAACTAGATAAATCGAGTGACCCTATCGAATCAAATACTATCAACAGATCAACATATCAAGGTGGTATTGGTGATAGATTTCAAGCTTCTCGACCAAAAGATCAACTAGATAAATCGAGTGACCCTATCGAATCAAATACTATCAACAGAACAACATATCAAGGTGGTATTGGTGATAGATTTCAAGCTTCTCGACCAAAAGATCAACTAGATAAATCGAGTGACCCTATCGAATCAAATACTATCAACAGAACAACATATCAAGGTGGTATTGGTGATAGGTTCCAAGCTTCTCGACCAAAAGATCAACTAGATAAATCGAGTGACCCTATCGAATCAAATACTATCAACAGATCAACATATCAAGGTGGTATTGGTGATAGGTTCCAAGCTTCTCGACCAAAAGATCAACTAGATAAATCAAGTGACCCTATCGAATCAAATACTATCAACAGATCAACATATCAAGGTGGTATTGGTGATAGGTTCCAAGCTTCTCGACCAAAAGATCAACTAGATAAATCGAGTGACCCTATCGAATCAAATACTATCAACAGAACAACATATCAAGGTGGTATTGGTGATAGGTTCCAAGCTTCTCGACCAAAAGATCAACTAGATAAATCGAGTGACCCTATCGAATCAAATACTATCAACAGATCAACATATCAAGGTGGTATTGGTGATAGGTTCCAAGCTTCTCGACCAAAAGATCAACTAGATAAATCAAGTGACCCTATCGAATCAAATACTATCAACAGATCAACATATCAAGGTGGTATTGGTGATAGGTTCCAAGCTTCTCGACCAAAAGATCAACTAGATAAATCGAGTGACCCTATCGAATCAAATACTATCAACAGATCAACATATCAAGGTGGTATTGGTGATAGATTTCAAGCTTCTCGACCAAAAGATCAACTAGATAAATCAAGTGACCCTATCGAATCAAATACTATCAACAGATCAACATATCAAGGTGGTATTGGTGATAGATTTCAAGCTGCTCGACCAAAAGATCAACTAGATAAATCAAGTGACCCTATTGAATCAAATACTATCAACAGATCAACATATCAAGGTGGTATTGGTGATAGATTTCAAGCTGCTCGACCAAAAGATCAACTAGATAAATCAAGTGACCCTATTGAATCAAATACTATCAACAGATCAACATATCAAGGTGGTATTGGTGATAGATTTCAAGCTTCTCGACCAAAAGATCAACTAGATAAATCGAGTGACCCTATCGAATCAAATACTATCAACAGAACAACATATCAAGGTGGTATTGGTGATAGATTTCAAGCTTCTCGACCAAAAGATCAACTAGATAAATCGAGTGACCCTATCGAATCAAATACTATCAACAGAACAACATATCAAGGTGGTATTGGTGATAGATTTCAAGCTTCTCGACCAAAAGATCAACTAGATAAATCGAGTGACCCTATCGAATCAAATACTATCAACAGAACAACATATCAAGGTGGTATTGGTGATAGATTTCAAGCTTCTCGACCAAAAGATCAACTAGATAAATCGAGTGACCCTATCGAATCAAATACTATCAACAGATCAACATATCAAGGTGGTATTGGTGATAGATTTCAAGCTGCTCGACCAAAAGATCAACTAGATAAATCAAGTGACCCTATTGAATCAAATACTATCAACAGATCAACATATCAAGGTGGTATTGGTGATAGATTTCAAGCTGCTCGACCAAAAGATCAACTAGATAAATCGAGTGACCCTATCGAATCAAATACTATCAACAGATCAACATATCAAGGTGGTATTGGTGATAGATTTCAAGCTTCTCGACCAAAAGATCAACTAGATAAATCAAGTGACCCTATTGAATCAAATACTATCAACAGATCAACATATCAAGGTGGTATTGGTGATAGATTTCAAGCTTCTCGACCAAAAGATCAACTAGATAAATCAAGTGACCCTATTGAATCAAATACTATCAACAGATCAACATATCAAGGTGGTATTGGTGATAGATTTCAAGCTTCTCGACCAAAAGATCAACTAGATAAATCGAGTGACCCTATTGAATCAAATACTATCAACAGATCAACATATCAAGGTGGTATTGGTGATAGATTTCAAGCTTCTCGACCAAAAGATCAACTAGATAAATCGAGTGACCCTATTGAATCAAATACTATCAACAGATCAACATATCAAGGTGGTATTGGTGATAGATTTCAAGCTGCTCGACCAAAAGATCAACTAGATAAATCGAGTGACCCTATCGAATCAAATACTATCAACAGAACAACATATCAAGGTGGTATTGGTGATAGATTTCAAGCTGCTCGACCAAAAGATCAAATCACAACCGGGAAAGTGACGTTTCAATCTGATTCAGGGTGAGTTCATATTTTCATAAAAAAATTAAAAATTAATTCCATTAAAAATTAAAAATTTATAAAAGGATTCAGATAAGAGAATGAGCCGCGCAAAATAATAGTATTGTACGCACTTTTTATATTATTAAATAGTTTTCACTTAGCTAGATTTTTGGGCCTAAATTTTGATGAGTTAGCCTAACTTTTTTCAATTTTTGAAGATTTTTTTTTCATAATTTCCATATATTTTTCAAATTTAATAGAATTTTTAATCAGTTTTTCTCAATTTTCACGAAATCTCTCCCAAAAACTCACCAATCGCTTCTATTTCCGAAATCACACAAAAATAATCGAAAATTCGAGAAATTCAATCGAAATCCTTGATAAATCCAAAATCCTCATAGTTTTTCACGTTATAGACATTTACATCCAATTGTCCATCAATATTTCAAGCTGAAAATCGGCAAATTTGACTTTTTTCATGTACCATTGAGTTCTGCTAACTACATTTCTGTTTCTATAGATTTCTTCTGGGTCTCACAACAATTTTCCAGCTATTTTTCAAAGGTGCACAGCAAAATCTTACCCAAACCCATTTTCCATCGATTTTTTCATAAAAACTCACAAGTTTGCCGGCGGTTTCTTCAATTTTTGACCTCCCCAAAGAGTTATCGCTTCAAATTCCACCAATAATCGTTCTCCTCGTATTCAACATCATTTTTGACTCTGAAAACTCAAAAATTTCAATCAAAACAGTGCTTCTCTAGAAAAATCCTACCTTTATTCGATAATCCTCCGATTTTCCGTTGGAAGCGATAATTCCAGCCTTGTTGAACATCTAAAAATTCAATTTTTGACTGAAATTCACTAATTTTCCCCGGAAACCTGAAAACCCAGCGAAGAAAAAACGAAAAATGAAAATATTCTCGTGTTGCGCTAAACAGCGGGCAAGCGGAGTGTTGTTGTAGTGTGTTGAGGCAGTGAGGAAAAGAGAGAGAGGGAGAGAAAGAGAGATATGCACTTTTTATATTATTTTGAATAAGAGTAAAATATACTTTAGTTTGACCTAGTTGTTTTTGGTTTTGTATTTAGTTTGGTGTTAAAGTGTAAATAGTTTTTGCAGATTAAAATACAATGAATTTCCCATGACATTGAGTGCTCCAGTCGATAAATGGATCTATAACACCGAACATCGTTCATCTTTCCGTCCGCAACCTGCAAATTCCTGTCCAGCCGCAAGAATCGTATCATCCAAAAAGCGCAACACTCCAGTTTACTTATACTAGTCTTTCAATTTCAATTCATTTATTACTTTTTTTCTTGATCAATACATATAAAATAAATTACTAATTAAAATTACACCGAAAGCTACCAGTTTCAAAAAAAAAACCAAAGTGAACTATGTTTTAACCGATTGTATTTGCTGTGGTGGCATTTCAGGTTCCAATTCTCTAAATTGTCGCCATTGTTGAAAATAACACCAAACTATGAGAAGACATGAGACAAGGAGGAATATTTGAATGGATGCCAAAATCATAGTAAAGAGGCATGTGATATCTTCAATGAAACAATGGTGGAAACTTGATTCGAGAGTGGCAACTTTCTGAAAAAAAATTACAGTTTGAGTGTATTTTTTTCAAAACATCTCAATAATTTACCTGAACCATAGAAACTCCATCATCATTTTGAGCAGGATTCAATAATGTCAATCGATGCGCACTTATTTCATATAAATCATTAGTTAGCTCAAGTTTTGTCGTCGTCGTCTCGATTGCTCTTCGAACCATTCGATGTTTCCTTGGTAAATCCAACGATAATTTATTGATAAATCCCTCAGATTTTCTCATTAAAATATCCGAGTTACATTTTGGCATACATCCAATTTCACAAGTCTCAATCATTGTGTGATATACGATTTCGGTTTGTTTGGAGAATCCAGAAAAATTTATGCGAAATTTGATTTGGGATTTTCCGATTTTTTCGATTTCTGTTATAATATCTCTTCGGATAACACATCCTTCTTCATCGATGATTTTCATTGTTTTACTGGATTTGTTATTGACTTCTTTAGCAATTAAATTAGTGACTGTGAAATCATCGGCAGAATTTTTGACAGTCAACACAATCCATCCCGAATCTCCAATTTTGACCTCACTCGCCTCTGTTGAATTATCCGTTAATATTTTCAAAGAGAACTTTGGCACATCTTTTGTCAATTTAATTGTTTCATTTTTCGGTTTTATATTCATTTGCACAGATAATGTTTGTTCTTCAGTTAACATTGGCATTTTATGCATTCTACAATTCACTGCCAACATTTTATCTCGAATTGTTACCAAATTTGTTGAACCCTCTTTCACATGAATCATTCCTTTATACATTTCGGCTGTTTTTATCGGTTCAATTCCACATTCTTTGAAATTGAATTTTGAACTGAATTCGTAATTTCCATTGATGAAATCGGCACATTTTTTGGTTTTTGTCATCACTTTGCCGCTGAAAATATTAATTTTGAAAATGAAAAAATATGTCAGAATTCTGATTTCTGTAAAATTTCGAAATATTTCGAAAATTTTTCAGAATTCCAAAAGTATAAATCTTTCTAGCTCCTTCTTAATTTTTTCTCAAAATTTTCAAGACAATCGATACTGATATTATCTCAAATTTCAAAGATTCTTTGAATAAAAAAAATGAAACGTAATTTCTCGGGGTTGTTTGAATTCAAAAACCTCAAATCTCTGACTTTTTCAAAATTTCATTTTCCAAATAGAAACTCACACAAACAATCTCATCGTTGAAGCTCGAACTTCCAGACCATGTTCACGGCATTTTAGAGAAACTAAAAAAATCTAATTATTCATCGCAAACTTCAATCAACTCACAATTCATACAATCATCCAAATCTCCATGACTCAAATTATCTTTCATATTTTCCAACGGACTTCTTCCAACAATTCTCGTCGACGCGTAAAACAAAAAACATTGTTTAGAAGATCTATCATAAGTGTAAGATCTACAAGGATCAGCGATTTTCGATCGAATCAAACACATTTGCTCGCAATCATCGGTTGACTGGATTTTTTGAACGATTTGATCGCTGAGCTCTGGTAGACCACCTTTTTGAACTCGCATGAAACTGCAACCCGTGCTCGACATCTCGACTGAGAAATTAAAATTATTATTTTTTTTTTAATAGAAAACCTACAATCTGCACAATTATTCTCATAGAGATCAATATTTTTCGAAAATTTGAAAAAAGTTCGAGGATTATATACAGAATTTGGAGAGATTTTTGAAATTTGACACATCGAAGTTTCCAAGTTGAATAAAGATGCTCGACAATTTTCACTGAAACTTTTGTATTTTTTTTTTTTTTTGGTAAATGAAAAACAGAACTCACGTCTCTATGCATTTGTTTAGACAATCTTCAAGACTGACTTCAAAAGTTTTCAAAATCCACGAAGAATTCGAAATTGCTCGCCCAGCAAACTTCTCAAATGCAAAATTCCGTCTAGAGCACAATTTATAATTTTCTTCCGTCAAACAAAATTTCCTCGCCGTCGTTGATTCTGGATAAATCGAAAGTTTCAATTTCGAAGTTGCATAAAGTTGACAAAAGTGTGCCCCTTTCTTATCCGGAGAAACATTATAAAATGAGCAATTTGGAAGAGCATTGCAATATCGAGCACATTGTGACCAAGAATCTACGGATTTTTCAAGAATTATTTGTCCGCTTTGAGATCGACCGGGTTCGATGATATAATTTGTGGAATTGGAATTGCATAGTGGTGAAAGTGTGTGGGTCCTGAGGATTTGAAGAAAGACGAAAATTAGAAAACCTAACAACATTGCGACATCTGGAAAATTAGGAAGAATTTATTTTTTGGAAAAAATGAAAAAAAAGTAAAATTCATAAATTATTCAAAAAAATTAGGGTGAATAAATTTTGAAAAAAAACTTTTTTTTTTGAAATAAAAATTTTTGCCGAAAAATTTTCAAATTTTGATTTTCAAAAAAAAATTAGAAATTCGGAGATGGGACCACAAATTACAAAACCTAACAACATTGCGACATCTGGAAAAGAAGAATTTAATTTTTGAAAAAATTTAAAATTGCATTTTTATTTTTAAAACAAAGACACAACGAAAAAAAGTGAAATTAATAAATTATTCAAAAAAAATTAGAGGTAATAAATTTTAACAAAACTTTTTTGAAATAAAAAATTTTGCCCAAAAATTTTCAAATTTTGATTTTCAAAAAAAATTAGAAATTTAGAGATGGGACCAAACATGGAAATTTTTCAGATTTCCGCAGAGTTTTTCCCTCCAGAATTTCAAAACCAACTCTTTTCAAAATCAAAATCAGAAATCATGAAACTCCAAAATGCTTGAACACAAAAAATACAAAAGTGAAATCTGAGAACAAGACGAAGAAAGTGTCACAAAAAAACCAATGTTTGTCTACTTGAAAACCTGACAGCTTTTGCATATTACGTATGTAGAAAGCACAATTTGAGAAAAAAAAGAAAATTAAGTTCTCAAGATAGATAGAGTTGAGTTTAAAGTTGAATTGAATTGAAATAAATGACGGGGTGCCTAATTAATGGACCTCCTTCTTCTTCTTCTTCCCGCGGGGGGGGGGCAGTTTAAACCGGAATATGTGAGATGTTTATGAGGTCATGAATTATATCTTCTCGGGATTTTCTGGATTTGAGAATGAGAAGAAGCACGCGATTTTACCCAAAAAAAAAAAATAAAAATAATGTGTCTGGAAAATATGGAATAAAATTAAGTATATAGCAACTGGTGCTTTAAATTTGCATGTTTTATTTGAAAGTGAATTTTGCTTTACTAAATACTAAACAGAAAAAATTTCCCAAAAAAAAGGGGAAATGGCAGAAATCAACAGGTGAGTTTGACAATAGAACACCTCCGGTAAACAAACAATCCTCCAAATTATAGAATAATAATAAAAATAATAATAACAAGTCATTGAATACATTTATTATAATGAAAAGGACATGAAAGTGAGTGACCGAAAGAACCAAGTGAAAGTTATAGTTGGATTTGGGATTTAGCAACATTATATTTGACCTCTATGTCTATGCTAATTCAAAACTGGTCATGGTAATTATTGATTTTTGTTTTCTTGGGGGACTTGAGAAAGTGAGGGCTTCAACACGACCATTTATTTCCTCCAATAGAAAATTGCCCCTCGGGTCAGAAGAGAGACGACGGGAGTCTGATGACGTCATCTGAGACAGAGAAAGACATCGCTTCGAGATATTTTTGAGAAAATATGTGTGTCCCTTTGAAAAAATACCGTATTTTGTTTCAAGGAACACATGTTTTATTGAAAATATCTCGAAGCGAAATTCATTTTCGGGATATTTTTGCAAAACACTCTCGTCGTCTCGCGTCTGACTCAACGGGCGCCTTGTATGGTCGTGCCAATTAGGAAAACTGAAAATTTTGAAATGATTTTGAATTTGCCACGTGGAATGGTTTTGGAGTTCACGTTTATTTTAATTTTTTTCAAGATTTTATTCGATTTTTGGAAAAATCTCAGAAATCTTGACAAAATTGTTTTTTTTTTGTTAAAATTTCAAATTAGTTCTAAATTTTTTTAAAGTTATCAAAATGAAAATTCAGGACCTGAATTCGAAAAATTCACCAAATTCAAAAAAAAAAATCTATTATCTCATAGACTTTTCACAAAAAAATTCCCAAGCCTTCTAAAATTCTCAAACATGAAAAGTTACTTTTTTTTCCATGCATCTGGAAAAATCTGAAAACATCTGGAATAAAATGTATACTTCATTTTCTCCAGAAAAAAAAGAGCAAAAAAAGCCAGAAAAGGATTTGAATAATTTTCTCGGCGCCCAAAATAAATAGGTTTCAAAAAAAAATGGCTAAAACCCGATAAATAAAGAAGTGAAATAGGTCAAAGCATGTGTAATTACATAGTTGTCGGTTTATATTGGTCAGCAAAAAAAAGTCAGAAAAAAGAGAGGGAGAAAGTTGAGAGACGGCCATCTGTATCCGGAACCAGCTGCACCGTAAACTACTCAAATACAGCATAAAAAAGAGAAAGAGTATTTCTTTTTGTTTTGTGAGATGCGCTAAAATAAACAAAACAAAAACAATCTTTTTTGCTTTCCGTGAAAAATAAAAAAACATTTTTTTTGCTCATCCAAAATTAATGGCAGAAAAAAAGAGCAAAACAAATAATGGTCCTCTTTCTGATTAGCCATTTGATATTTGATACCAGGGAGGACAAATAAAAATATATTAATCTAATAGTAAACAGGAATTAGGCCGACAAAAAACACTTGACTTTGGGGGATGAGAGAGAAAAAAACGCAAATGATCATTTGGCACTTATTATTTAATTTTGTCGCAGATTTTTATTGAGCTTTTTGAGCCGGAATTTTGGAAAAAAAAAATTGCATAATTTTTTCAGGGGGTTTCCCATTTTATTTATGAAAGTCTGAATTTTCTGATATTTTTTGCAAAAATATCAAAATTATCAGATTTCCGGGATAAATTAGCAAATGACGTGGCAAAGTTTTTATAAAAAATATAATTTTGCCACGTCATAACTCTTATTTTTTGGAAAAATAGCTCTCAGAACTTTCAAGACTCACCTCTTTGCCAGAATACGTTCGAAGAGCCCTAGGCGGGACTCCTTGTCATCAAAATGGCTGCCTAGACGGTGCTCCTTGCGAGAATGGCTCTCAAGGCTTGACTACTTGTCACCAAAGTAGCTACCAAGGCGCGACTGCTTCTCGAGGTAGTTCTCAAGGTGTGGCTGCTTGTTCCAATAGCTCTATAGGTGCGGCTTCTTGTCAGACAGAGAGTTGATCTGAAAAATTGTTGCAATTTTGACACTAAAGCAATTCGATCTGAAAATTATACCTGGAAATGTTTTTCCCCACATTTTTCACCTAAAATTTCATTTTCATTCAAAAAATCCTGCCAGATGTTTTTTGCTTCCCTCAAAAAAATAATGAAGTATAGGCACACTTGAACTTGACACTTATATGATGGACTTGTCAAACAAACATCCATAAAAAACGATGAGAACAGCAATCAATCATCTCAAAAAAAGAAGAACACAAATACATCAAAAGAGCAATCCGACACTTTTTCTGCTCACAAAACACAGAGAAAAAACATCTGATAACCAAGATGTTGACCTTTTATCAGGATGAAAAATATTGTTTTAAATTATGAGAATCACTGAAATATCCAGGTCACTCACTTACAAATTATTAAAGTGAAAACAGCAACATGAAAAATGAAAAATGAAAAAAAAACCAGATTTTCCTCTCATTTTCATTGCATAATATCTGACAGATAATATGATGAGAATTTCTATAATTTTATCGATTTTCTCAATAATTTGTGCCAGTCCACCGAAAGGAAGCTTTTATTGGAGTAAGTTTGATTTCTTTGAGTTGGCTGAAAAATCAGCTTGTGGAATTTTTTTTTAGGAACATAAAGAAATGTTGGAAACGAACGATAAAATTATTTACGAAAATTTTGAAACCTCTTTTTTCGGGGGAATTTTTTCCATGGAAATGTTGAAACCTTGGTCGAATTGTTTTCATTGAAAAAAAATATATCAGAAAAAATTATCTTAAAAAATTATCTTAAATTGTTTTTGAAACGATGCAAAAATTTTTAATAATGAAAAGTTTTGAGCCAAGTTCTACAAATCACTTTCCAGAATTTTCTATTTTCAGCTGATCGTGAGATTTCCTGCACATCCTACGCTGTTAATCGAACACGCTGTGTTCTGAATCACCCCGATCTGGGACCTGAACAAAATCCAGAATGTTTCGATGAGATTTCTCCCACCACCGGAGAGAAAACCAAAACATTTTGTGCTTTGGGATGTGAAGAATCACTGGAGGCGACTCTGGTGAAAAAAGATCCATCGAATAGTCGAAAATGTGTGCAACATTATACTTATAATTTGGAGCGCAGGAGGCAAGATTGGTGAGAGATTTCGAGTGCAAAGATGATTCTTGAATAAAAATATTTTAGGTATCTTTGGAGAAATGGATCTTGTCTCGATACAACCATCAAGTTTCATTTGATTTGTGGAACTCCGACTAATCCGAAAATATTCTACCGACAGAATGAAGAACTGTTTTTGTATGAAGATGCTACTGACTAAAAATAATTTAGATTTTTATATATTTTTGAAAGATTTTATAAGTTATTAGAAAAAATAAATCATATAATTTGGAAATTACAGTTTTATGAATCATTCAAAAATTAACTTTGCCAGTTTAAAATTTTTTGAATTCTAACATCTAATTTCGTTCATGAATGTTTAAAATATGAAAATTAACAAAAATATTTTTAAATTTTTCTTGATCAGAAAATTTCAATAACCCTACTAAACTTAATGACATTCAAGTGAACTATGACGTGGCAAATTTTAAAATAATTTCATGTTTTGATTGCAGTCCAAAAATAACTTGAAGGAGCAAACTGCAAAAGACCGTACCTGCGCATCTAACCCATCAATGTGGAAATTTTCTGATTTCTTTTCAATTTTTTTCAAAAGCAGAGTTAGATCTGCAGGTTCTACAGTACTCAAAATGTTTCTGAAGAGCATAAGCAAAACATTTCTTTTGACGGTACCAAAATCTTGAAGTTTTTCAGAATTCATCAATTTTGAGTATCTGAATCTTTTTTTTTCAAACTTCATTTTTCCCTGAACTTATAGATGTTGAGGATTTTTTCCTCGATTTTTCGAAAGTTCCAAAAGTGCACTTCCGTTTTTCAATCCCTAATTTTCCAACATAAAACAACACAAAATCAACTAAGATTGATAAATATTATCAATTTCTTTCTTCTCATTTCCCCCCACACACAAAAAAGACCCAAAAAGGCGAATTGTTCATCAATCATTTTCGTAGGTTTTGGTTGGCCCCTATCTGTTTTTTCTCTCCAAAAATTTTCCCGTTTTTTTTGTTGGTCTGTCATACATTTTGATTTATTATCCAACACAATAGTCTAATATTATTTTATTTTATTATTATATTTGTTTGAGAGAAGACACACAAAAAGAAAATTAGGTGGAAATAGAAAGAAGAAATGATTACTGTAGATGATTAATTGCTTGATTGCCTGTAGATAGATAGATAGTGCCTCCTTGGTTACACCTATCCATAAAAGTTTCTGTGTTCATTTATCATACAACTTTTTTTTATCTGCAAATATTTGGCTAGGTGAAACCCGTAACCCCCCTTTCTTCCTTATTTCCTTCTTCATAATATTTTTTGTTATTATGATATCACAACAACAAATGATAAATTCATAAATAATAATAAAGAGAATTGATAGATCAAGCTAATCAAAGAGAATTCAGACATTTGTAATTCATCATAATTTTGGCACAACTGTCTGTGATGATCAATCAAATCACGACTTTTTGATAGTCCTATTTTCGATTTTTTCGGTTGGATTCGGGTGTTTGACATATAAACACAGACAATCGTCTGGATTTTTTGTTGGGTTGTTTCTTTCTGATTGATCGTGTGATCTTTGAGGACCGGGAAGATGTGTGAAATTTGAACATCATGACATGGAAATCTTAACAGGAAGTGTAATGTGCAAATTATTTTCACACATTCGACTCGTGAACAAGAGCTCACATCAGGCTCGAATTCTGATTAAATTCCGAATTTTTGCTCTTTCGCAAAACTATTCAAGCTTGAAAATGGAAAAATTCATAGAAAAATAATTTTTTTAGGCTGAGCAAGAGACTTCTGACAAAACTTCCCAAGCTCAAAATTTAACCTTTTCAGATTGTTTTTCGAAATACAAGGGAATTTATGCATTGAAAAATCGTTGAATGTTCAGATTTTCAAATTCTGTAAAACTTCTATAACTGAAAAGTGAGAATTAGAGGGTGGTTTTTTTAAAATATCGAAGTTCGAAGTTCCAGTTCAACATCGAATCCAGAAAATTTGAAAATTCACATGGAAAACCAGTTCACAGTTCTGATAACTACAAAAGGCATTTTTCAAAACTGAAATATTCACAAGAAACCGAAAAATGTTATATTAAAAATCATTTTTTAAATAAAATTTCCAATTTCCAATTCAATGTTTTTCTCAAAAATTCACTGTTTGGATGACTGAAACGTGAATTTTCAGAACTTGCCACGTAGCACTTTTCCTTGATCGCCTGAATTTCAATTTTTCTGCGGACCCCTCAAAAAAAGCAAACAAAAACAAACACGTTCCCCTGCCAAAAGATGTTCCCAAAAGTATTGAGCGAAGAAAACGAGAACAAAAAAATGATGAATGTCATCCGATTATCGTCGGTGCCTTTTGTTTTTCGCAACTTTTTGGTGCTTCTCGAAAAAAACCCAATTGAAATATTGCTTGAGAAACAACTCAACTCAACTGGCTTTCGAAAAAAAAATGAAAAATTAGTTTGCTATGTTGTTGCTCCAAAAAGCTGCTGAATGATTAATGTTGATTAGTTCAAATCCATTTTACACCGTCTTGTTTTTTCCGTGCCTCGTTTTTCACAGCTCTTTTTATTACATTCTTCAAACGATTTATGACTCGTCGGAGATTTTTCAACATCAACAAGAAGAAAAACAAAAGTTGTTTGCAAATGATAGATCGTGATATCCAAAGTTCATATCATTTTCAAATAAAACATACCAATAATTCATCATTATTGTCTTTATCACTACTATTATTATGATTTCTTTTTATTTTTTTTCTTTTATCATTCCTAACCGTCCTGATTGGTTATATATGAGAAAAATGAAAAATGATCGATTACAGTATGACAACAACATAACACAATACAATAACGCCTTGATAGCCATCAATCATTTTAAAAATAACACTGTCTCTTTCTTCTTACAATTCCTAAGAATCGTGCCACGTGGAATCTAAAAATATGTACATACATATCCCCATTCTTCCATCCTAGAAGAATTTGATTTACGAGATACACTGTCGATTTTTTAGTATCGACCATAAATCCTTCACACGGCCAATTTCATCTCTCCCCTCGCTGGAAAAATCCCGAAATTTACAACCGCCGGTTGTAAACGACGATCACGAATTATTTCGTCGATTGTTTGATGTTTTACCGATGAAATATAAATTATGGCGAGCAATTCGGTGGGAAAGTTTTTGGAACTAACTGGAAAAATATTGACGCGACAAATTCGGAATTCTAAGATTCTGAAGTAGTTTTGAGTTTTAAATCACATTGTCCGAAAGGAATTTGGGACATATGCAGGAGATTATTCGAAAAAATCCGGAATTTTATAAAGAGGTATGGGATTTTTGAGGAATTTTTAGCTGAAAATCTAAAGTATTCATGAAAAACCCTATTTTTCAAGACTAAATAAGGCTAGGATTACTGTAGATCAACTTTTAGCACCGAAAAAGCTTCTACAGTAATTCTATGCTTATTTGGTGTCAAACTGCAAATTGAGCTAAATAATCAAAAGCTGGTAAAATTTCAAAAATATTCCAGAAGAAGATTCAATTTTTGCAGAAAGTTGATCTTTGAATACACCGTGGCATTCTTAGAAATCACAAGTTTGAATATTTTTAAAATTTGATATCTACAATTACTATTGATCTACGTAAAATATGGCTAAAATTTTCAAAATTCAAGATTCAATTGAGATTTTTTAAAAATTTTGGAAAATTGTGAATATAAACCTTCTAGATTATAATGACTGCAGAAGTCAGGAATCCACGATTTTCAGACATGGTTCCTAGGTTTTCCTGATTCTCCAACGATGAACGACAACAATCAGATTCGAATTTCACAGTGTCGAAGCTCTTGATCTACTAGAAAACTTCAACAAATCTGGCTGGAATCTCAGATGATCAAACATCCCAAATAATTATTCACAAGCTTTTCTCTAATATTTCCGATCCACCAAAATCTATTCCAACCCCTATTTCATTCAGCGCCAAACCATTTGCCAAAATCGCGCTCGCGGAGAGAAAAAGAATATACCTTAAAACGTCGCGTCAAAGTGATTTATGAGTGCCCCTAATCCCAAATTGCACCCTTTTTCATTTCACACACAAACAAACAAAAACGTCAAATAAATCAACATATTTTGAATAATTGCCGCCGGGTCCCCCCGCGCGAACCAAATTCGTTCGCTTAATCTCTTTTTTTGTTAGATATATGTATGTGTATGAAACGAAACTGAATTCAAAAGTAAATACATACATAGTTTCGGTGTGGGGGTTATGACAGCATTTGGATGATTAATTTGCGCCCATCACCACCACACACAGTTGTGGGTGATCTATCACTTTTATGTGTACGCAGGCAACAGCATCGCTCATCATTTTTCGATTCGATTTTTCGTCTTCTTTTTTGTCTTCTTCACTTTTGTCTGTTGATAGAAACGAAAATAAGTTTGTTTGAAACTTGTTAGAAAATATATCGAGTCAAGGAAAATATTAGCTAGAAACTTCCGAAAATCGGGGTTGAGTCAGATTTTTCAAAACTTGAATTGCAAGTTATTCTACCTAAATAGAACTAGGATTTTTGAAAAATCAAAAAATCTGGATCAAAAATAATTGGACTACGGTAGTGACTGTGAAAAGTTTTCCAACCCCATGTGGCAAAAATAAGTCAAACCACGTGGAATTAATTCTAACATGAGCAATGCTAGTTTTCCAGGCCACGTGGAATTTCTGCTAGAAAAAATGTAGTGGAAGCTAAAATAAGCCTAGAATTTGCAGCAAAAAATTTCCAGTTTACAGTTTCTCGAAAAACTTTTTACTGAAAATTTTTTAATACAGTCCTATTGCTCAGATTTCAAAATATAATTTTTTTTCATCTGAAAGTCTGGAAATTTCCTAGCCGGAATTCAAAAATGTTTCAAGAAGACTCCAATTTTCTGCTCACTTTTTCATACACCGAATTCAAACCCCTAAGAAATCCTGATTTTCCAAAATTCAAAATTCAAAATATATGTCGGGCCCCTTGCAAATCCCCTCCGCAACCATAGAAAACTTTGACATTTTTCCACCACTCGGCAATAAATTACAAATCACACAAAATTTGTGGTCCAATAAAAATGCGCAAAATAAATGTGGCTCATTTGGCGAATTTATTTATGATTCGTTCTATTTCTCATCCATTTTTTCCTCTTCTGCG